TAACCCTAACCCTAACCCTAACCCTAACCCTAACCCTAACCCTAACCCTAACCCTAACCCTAAAAAACCCTAACCCTAACCCTAACCCTAACCCTCAATTGTTTTTAGAAGTTTTGAAGAACTTGTTCTAGTTTTATACAGATATCCCTCTAGATCTTCCCTCCGATGTCCTAATTGGCAAAGCCACAAAGCCTGCAAATCAGGCACTTTACTTCAACCTCCAAGCCCGTGCACGATTCTCTTAACTTCAACTTCCAAGCCTGTGCGCTACACTCTTTGAGCCTAGATAACACGCGCCCTGCAAACAATTCGCGAACGTTTGTGTGACAGCTTCTACTGCCCCCGGCAAGCGCTTTGCAATGCGGCCCTGCTCATCCTTTTGGCCCCTCGCTGTGTAGAGTAAAGGCGCTTTTTACCTCAACCTCCAGCGCCGGGCGGGGGCACGGGCGCGGGAGGCCGAATTCGCCCCAGCCTCCATCGGGCGGCGGGTTAGGGTCTGGGTGCGGAGGTTGAAGGCGTACGCATTCATAGAGGACTGGAAGGGGAAGAACATTTCACCGGCGAAAAAGGTAGGAATCATGAGCAGGATACGCCAATCATAGAACAGGGAGGCGGAGATACGCAGCGACTCCCAAACAGAGATGGGCTTGAATACGGCGAGGGCAGTACCGTCGGCTCGGCGTATCTTTTCGGCGGGCAGAAGGAGGAGAGCCAGAGCAACCGATGTACACTGAATGACGATAAAGATAATGTAGACAGCGTGCGGGACGCTGGCGGAGGAAGCGTTCCAGCTGACGCCGAGAGCAACGCTGGCGCCGATGGCTGCACCAGAGATGTTGTTAGAATATGGGAGTTATGGGAGTTCCCCTGGCCGGCTGGTCAAGCCACTTAGGCACCCCACTTGGCATTTCTCCACCACAAAGGAGAAATGAGATATGTGTACTCGCGATGAGCCGAATACACGGATATCATCGCATCCCATACTAATTAGTATGGCACATGATGACGGAGGCCCTGGGAAGCCATTCGGATACCATCGGTATTATTTCCTTGAGTCACCTGATTGATCACCTGACCCCATACATTCATTTGCCTATATATGTGAGGTTTTCACCCCATAGTATTAGGATTTTTAATCAATTCAATTACCCCATTCCATGACCCATTCTGACCAATCAATTACCTGTATTAAGTGTACCAATTTGGGTCCCATTAATCAACAGATGTTTCCGCACCACTGGATAGCACGCCAGAATCCCTTGTCTTTCTCCTCGGCGTAGGCATTGGAGACGTATGCAGCCGTTGTCCAGAGACAGCCGCCAGTGAGACCGAGGTAGGCACCGGCGAAGACAGGGTACCCAAGATTACCGTACAGGTCAAAATACCACATGGCGCCGATATAGAGCGGGTAACCAGTAATCCCGAGCATCATGGTCAAACGAGGGCCGAGGACATTCAGCAGTGTTCCCGCAAACAGGGCAGAGAAGGTGAACACCCCGTACAGAGCACTGTTACTGATATTGGCCATGGTGATGGAGGATGGCCGGCCACCGCCAGCGCCCAGGAGCTATACAAAGATAGACAGTAAGTTAAAGTGATGTACCTCAAAGCGTGGTAAAAACGGAGAAATGGGGGCCGGGCTAGAGGGGGAAACATATATGGTTCACATACGGCGATTGCCAGGTACAGACCTGGATTGCAGAAGAGACATCCTGCTACTATGAGATTCTGGACGAAAGGGCTTCGAGGGTCAGTCTAATATCCACGGGAACTCGTCTCACAGTTCTTACTGACTTGTTTAGCCGCAAAAAAGGAAGTTGAGTCATGATGTTCCGGGTAGTAAACAATTGTCATATGAGAGATATCTATGGGGGACCACCCCATCTCATATTCTACTAGTTTTTATATGTAGTAGCAGTGCACAGTCAAGCAAGCATATACGGAGTCTGTGCAGCTTCCCCGCATTGTTGCACGAACGAGTTCCGAGACAAGCTTTCGGATCTCGATGTCGGTTATTAGCGACGCGTGTTTACTAGAGACACCAACCTATCAAACCTCGGTTCGATATTCGATATTCGATATCATGAAAAGGGGTCGATAGTGCGCCCTCATATAATAGGCTGCAAGAGTGGTTAACCTACTCAATCGGTCTAATAAAGATATAGAGCTACTTCCGGCCCCGCTTCTTGTCATAGTTACGAACACTTCCCCCTCCCTATCTCTATCCCTCCCCTCCCTATCTCTATCTCTGTCCTTTCCCTCCCACTATCTCTATCATGGCGTTGGTTTTTATCTTTGTCCTTTTCCCTCTCCCGACTTCTACCTTTATCCCCCGGACTATTATTATCGCGCCTGCTGTACACGCTACGGCTCCTGCTCCTAGCTTTGCAGTCTTGACCCCTGTATCTGCTCCTATCTCTTCCACGACTCCTATCTCGGCACCGAGACCTTGTTCTAGCATTCAGGTCAATCAGCAACGGAAATTAAAATATGACTCTAGGCATCTTTAAATACAGTACTTGGACCGGTTACTGTAGTAACGAAACTAATATGTAATAAATATTATTTTATATGTTCACAACGTGTATAGGTCAACTTTTCACAGTGCAAGCTTTACGCTGTGCTAACCGAAATACAAAGAGACTCTTCTACAAAATTATAATATTCGAAAACACTATTATATGATTTAGAATATTGCTGTGCCATTGACATGACTTCCAACTCCGCCTGGACAGTTGGCTGGGGCCGAGCTAAAGAAAAAAGTCGATCGTCGATGTTTCTTTACTAGAGAACTAACGCCCTCTAAGTCTAACATCTCCCCAATCGGAACTCCCCATAACGGCAACAGATACTCATGCATTTTTCGTGTCCCTGGCGGCGAGGGCCATCGCTCAAAAGCTGGCGCATCACCCGCCACAGCTGCAAAATAGCAATCGTGCAGCCAGTCCAGCATGTCCTCGCCTTGGATCACCCCGGCCCAGGCGGGATTCTCACGCAAACCGATGGCGGTGTTTTCCTCTTCCGAGCGTGCATAGTAGTCCTGGACCCAACCTGAGCGGACGAAGAGGAAATCTCCTACGTGGATATCACCACCCTGGCTCTCAGGGCGGATATCCAGCCCCTGGGATCTCCCACATGCCGCCAACTCTGTTAAAGTGATGCCATGCCCGCTAGCAGAATCATAGACCTGACCCTGACCTTCTGCGTAGGTTCGATAGTCGAGTAAGATTCCTCGACCGACCATACCGCGTCGCGCCCAGTGGTGGATGCCACACTTATCAGGGGTAGATGCCGGGCCGGTAATGTCTTCAGCGGTCGTGTTATTGTAATAGACTTTGGCCGGCATATGCGCGACATGTCGAAATCCATCCCACTGGGTGCCGGACTGGGTGTTCAGGGCATAGAGATCGTCATGTCCAGCCCCACCATCGACCACTTTGATGGTGTGTTCAAAGCGTTCGCGCCCCCAGCTTGGCTGTAGAGGCAAATTAAGGGGCAGGTCAACGCGTGCACTATCGCCAGTGACAATTTCGGTAGCAGCCTTAGCCACGCGGGCTGGAGTCAATAGATTTAGACGGCCGAGGTTGTCATCGGGCCCCCAGATCCAGGCAGCGTCTTTCGGTGCATGAAGGAGTTGGGGAAGCTCTTTTCTGAGAGGAAATATGGTGCTGTTAGGATCCCAAGGAAGGCTTTGTTGGTTGTCCATGCTGAGTACTTGATCTCCCACTTCCAAACATCCCACTTTGATGGCTCGCCAGCCTTTATCTACTTGCTCGGAACTCGAGACTTCTGTGATACGACAGTCCGGTATGTCTGAATCCGGTCGGGCTATTAATTAGGACCTGTTTATCCCCGCTCCTCGGAACTCGAGGCTTCTGGGATAAGATCGTCCGCTGATCCGAATTCCATCGTGCTATTAGTTAGAACTTTGTTCATCCTCGCCGCTCGGAACTAGAGGCTTCTACGGCAAGACAGTCCGGTACAATTCCGTCGTGCTATTAATTAGAACTTGTCCATCCTCGCGGATACTCATATTCACATTCCCTTCTGCTTCAACTCACATTACCTTTTGATGATGGAGTCCTTTCAATCTATTGCTTCCTCGTGTCAGTCTGCTGTGCTTGAAGCGATACCATCGAAATGGCGCCTCCAAGGACGACCAGAGGGCACGGATGTTCGTCATATACCACGAAGCTGTGGGCTGATGACACCTCAGCAGCTACTGATCACCGAGAAGAGCGCCACCGAGCTGCTCTCTGAGCTTCATTCCGGATCTTTGACTTCAGTAGAAGTCACAGAAGCCTTTTGTGCACGGGCTGCCATTGCCCACCAATGTGTACGTGCCTCGATAAATCTTAACTCATAACCCGCTAATTCATCTTGCACCCTCGTAGATCAACTGCCTCACGGCTTACATCTATGAGGAAGCCATTGCCAGGGCCGCTGAATTGGACGAGATATTCGCCAAAAGCGGGCCTGTCGGGCCATTGCATGGACTTCCATTTGCGGTCAAGGACTATTATCAGATGAAAGGCCATGCCACAACGCTCGGATACGTTGCCTGGCACTCCAAGATAGCCTTGACCGATGCATCAATTGTGCAACTGTTCAAGAAATGTGGGGCCATCCCCTTCGCGAGAACCACTATGCCCCAAACTGGTATGATGCTTCAAACAGTCAGCAATCTTTGGGGCCGTACACTAAATCCCTATAATACCGGGTTTTCGGCCGGTGGCTCTTCTGGCGGCGATGGGAGCTTGGTCGGGATGCGCGGATCCCCATTTTGTGCCTCTACAGATATCGGGGGTAGCATTCGTGCCCCCGCGACCTTTAACGGTCTCTATGGTATTCGGCCAACGGCAGAAAGGATTCCAAAGAATGGTCTTGTCACCACCGCTCCGGGACAGGTTTCTATAAAAGTGTCGTCGGGGCCAGTGTGTCATAGTGTGGCGGACATAAAATTAGTGACAAAGCTACTACTGTCGCATTTTGAGTACATTGGATACGAGTCAACTGCGGTACCAATGCCGTGGAGAGAGGTCAAGGTGAAGGAGAAGCTGAGATTTGGGTTGCTTAAGTATGACGGAGTGGTGAAACCTCAACCGCCGATTCTCAGGGCATTAGATGAAACCGCGGCATCATTGAAACGAGCAGGGCATGAAGGTATGCATATCTACACCTTTATTTACTTAACTTTAGTTTTTAGACCTCTTCTCACCAACAACTGCAGTCGTAGAATTCGAGCTCCCTTTTGATGCGTGGGACGTAGCTTTGACAACGGTCAGTCCATAGCTTAACCCCCAAGGCGTTGGGAGACCTTATTTCTGACCTACGGTAGTGGAGGCTATACTTTCAAACTGGCGCGGCAGAAGTAAAAGCAGTGGCCGCTTCCACGGGCGAGCCTCTAATGTCCAACTTCTCTTGGTATCTCGATACATTCGATATCAAACCACTTACAGTCCCTGAACTCTTCCAACTCAACGCCAAGCAAGCTGAGAACAAGCGACAATTCTTCGAGGCATGGAAAGCTGCCAACATTGATGCTTTGATCTGTCCTTGTGCTCCATCGGCTGGATTCCCCCACGACTTTCCTGTGTGGTGGGGATATTTCTCGCTGTGGAACGTGTTGGACTATCCTAGCACGATTCTACCGCTGAAGGGATTCAAGATCGATCCCGTGATAGATGCCAAGGATTTCAAGTATGTTCCCAAGGAGAATGTGTTTGACAAAATGAATTGGGAGGTCTACGACCCAGTGCTTTGGGGTAACCAACCTGTATGTATCCAGATTGTGCGGCCCCCGTATACCGACGAAGAATTGATCGATGTCACGGAGAGGGTGGATGAAATATGTAACTCTTAGTCCTATAGATCTACATTATATTCATCTCATAATTCATATCCACAGTCCAAAACACTCTGCCACTGATTCATCTCATCACACTCAAGCCATGCATCATCTCCTAGGATATCTGCCCAATTGACATGCTCCGTATCAATTGGTACATCTTCATGTGCCCTCAATACTGCCGAGAACCTATCAACTAACCCCTGGAATACCTTACGTACTCCCTCCACGGTTGGCCAGTACTTTGATAGGTGCCCTGCCACGACGCACACCCGGTTCAGTAGATCCAGGTCATTTACGACAACAATCGGTGAAGCTGTAGTCAGGGCCTGCTGGATCTCCATTGTGATCTGGATGGCTGCGGCAGTAAGCGCCGTGGCGGCCGTGAATTGGCATCGCGATATCAGGTTACTTGTCTGGAGCGACTCAAAGATAGAGATGATGGCTCTGGTAGCACTGGTCGCCACTTGGCGAGACTCCTCGTCTGTGGCGAGGATTCGGGAGAGATGAATCACTATAGTGTGGTAGTGAAGACGGATATTTAAAGCGCTGAAACCCGTATCCGTATTCATAGTTAGTTTCCACGTTGCTAGACGGGCGTGTAGTAGTGCTATGCGTTTATCCATGCTAGATGGGTCAGCCCGAGGAGCACTGAGGCCGATTACTTCCAGGGCGATATGACACAATTCAACATTGCGCATGCAGTACTCGACATCGATCCGGGGGTTGATCTCGCCGTCTACTTCTCGGAAGTCCTCCATCGATAATGGAGCCTGATCGAAATCGTCATGCCGGATCATACAGGGTCGGCCATGCTCCAGCGCAGACAATACTTCGGCGGTGAAGAGCGTCCACCAAACACGACGCCAGCACCGCCGGTCAGACATCGGCATCCGGCCCGGGCCTGGAGGATCGGTTAGCAAGTTGCGATGCATTCCGATGCCGAAGGCGATCCGGCATCCCACACCCAGCCAGAAGTAGCTATTTGCACTGGCTGTGTCGCCGTTCTGTAGGTACCAAGTAAATAGTAGGGCGGCTTGCACAAGGTTAACTCTGTCGGTCTCAAGGCGCATATTAAAGACAGATTTGGCGCGACGGAAGAGCACCGCCTTGATAAAGTGTCGTGCGTGGATGGCTCTCGGGTGTGACGAGACGTGTGCGCCTGCCAAAAGGATTACATGTAGGAGGAGAAGTGATGGCCTGCTTCCCGGGTTGCTATAGCGAGCCCGGAAATTTGCCTCGTCTACAACGGGGAAGTAAGAATTTATCTTTGCAAAGAATGCGTCGATGAATTCATCCCGGATCTCTTTTGCCGGAAACGAGTTGATGTCTTGTAGGGCGTCATGGGCATCGTTCTGCGACGCCGACGGTAGCGGTCTAATCTGTGGGTAGGGATAGATCAGGAAAAAGGGGTTCGGCCTATCCAGTTGGACCAGATGTGACATATTGGAGATATTAGTGCCCACGTAGACAACACGCATCTGGTCCTGATCATCAAACGCGCTCCACGAGTCACGAGAGATGCCATCTTTAAAGAAGCGGAAGAGGCCATTCTCTGCAATTTCTAGAGACAAGGCCACTTCAGACTGATGAGAGATATTCGTCGGCTCTACCACCGGTGGGGAGTTTGCCCTGGATCGAAGCCTGGGCGAGGAAGAGGGTTGCCCAACGGGGGACTGGGAGTACGACACACCCTGATGAGAGATACTCGTCGGCTCTACCACCGGCCGCGAGTTGGCCCTGGATCGAAGCCAGGGCGGGGAAGAGGGCTGCCCAACGGTGGGCTGGGAGTACGACACATCTTGACGAGGTCGAGGTATTCGTCTCCAGCCGAAAGTAAACCTGACGCGGTGTGAGTGCTGATCAAATGACAGGTGATGACGGAACTCAACACTTACTTGCAATCGATTTTAGCCTTGATACAGGCACTGCATGTTGCCTGGTGGACGGAGTCGCAGCGGATCTTCCTGCGGCGACAGACATCGCACGAGTGCATCTGCTGGCGGGGCATTTTGGCTGGTTGCCAAGTGAAGAGATCCCTGGAGATCGCAGACGTGCAACACTGCAACGCAATGTAGGAACTCAAGCTCCGCCGATGACATATCAATGTTTGTATCCCTCGGAACTCGAATATCGGAACTCGATGACAATGGGCGAGTTCCGGCGGCGCTGGCGCTAGCCGTCAGCGCAGATGCTGTATCTATATATACAAGTATTCAAGATACCAGGTGTGCCTGGACCGCTCTCTGCAAAGGACAAGACAAGGAAAAGATAAAATAGGGGTCATCTCATCGAAAGCAAGTACAATGCCCGCAATCACTATCGACCCCCATGGCCTCTTTGAAACCCGCCCAACTTTCTCCCACGTCACCTCCTCGGCCGGCCCGGCCCGCTTTGTCGCTACCTCGGGTCAGGTCGGCGCCGATGTCAATGGCGTTGTACCTAATAATCTAGACGACCAGATAGCTCTCGCATTTGCCAACCTGCAGCGTTGTATCGACGCGGCTGGTGCGTCAGTTACCGACATCCTTAAACTGGTGTATTACATCGTGGACTACGACCATAAAAATCGACCACATGTCAAGCCTCTCCTAGCCTTCCTCAAGGGCCATCGTCCTGCGACATCGTTGGTCCCTATTCCCAAGCTAGCGAAGCCAGAGTTTCTCTTTGAAGTCGAGGCGTATCTTGCCGTGCCTCAGCGAGAACTGGAGAAGGTAGATGTGGTTGTCGTTGGTGCAGGACTGAGCGGTCTCAAGGCAGCTTATGATGTGCAAAGGGCTGGTTATTCATGCGCGGTGGTAGAGGCGCGAGATCGGGTGGGCGGCAAAACGTGGTCCGTTGATCAGAGTGATGGGGCGGGGAGGACGGTCGAACTTGGCGCTGCATGGATCAATGACACGAACCAGTCCGAGATCTTTGGGCTTGTTCAGGCTTTAGGCCTGGAAACGGTTGTTCAAAATACCGACGGGAATATCGTCCAGCAAGATATCAATGGAGATCTCTCTCACTTCCTATACGGGGGCCAACCGCAGGCCCTCGCCGAGCCAAACGGTGCTCAAGACGTGCTTGCTATCCGCGAAAAGACAGAAGAGGCATGTCAGGCTATCGATATTCGTGATCCTGTCCGCACGGGTGGAGATCTGGACAAGATAACGCTCGAGGAGTGGGCGACTTCCCAAGGAGGAGGCAAGACTGCCCTTGCATCTGTGGCGATATGGACAAGAGTCATGCTGGGCCTCGAGCCGCGGGATGTGAGCGCATTGTTCTTTCTCGACTACTGCAAAAGCGGAGGTGGACTGGTGCAGACGCGCTCCGATCAGAAGAACGGAGGGCAGTATCGGCGCCTGGTAAAAGGCACTCAGAGCATTTCCATCGGGCTAGCAGGGCTCTTGAAGTCGGGCTCTGTCCATCTCAACTCCCCTGTGCGCATTATACAACAAAACATCGACGGCGTGTATGTCACTGCTGGAAAAGGCAGTTATCTCGCCAAACGCGTGATAGTCTCGGTCCCGACGCCTCTATACAAAGATATCGCATTTCAACCCCCTCTTCCCGCCGCAAAGCTGGAGCTGAGCCAGCAGAACAAGCTCGGATATATCAACAAAGTCATCCTCCGATATGGATACCCATGGTGGCGTCAAAAGAACCTGTGTGGCATGCTCCAATCCTTCAAGGGCCCCGTAGCCGTTTCTCGCGATACGAGCGTTGATGGGTCCGGACAGTTCTCGCTGACCTGCTTCTGCGCGGGGGAGCCAGGACTCGAGCACTCCAAGCTCCAACAATCCGACCGATTTAAGGTGGTAGTCGAACACATTAAATCGACCATTGGGGCCGGGATGGTGACTCCAGAGCCTCTCGGAATCGAGGAGTGGGAGTGGTCAAAGGATCTGTGGGCTCAAGGATGTCCTTGTCCTGCATCGCCACCCGGCCTAATGACCCAATTCGAATCTGCGTTGCGCAGTTCCCACGGCAAAGTTCATTTCGTAGGTACGGAGACCTCTTATGAGTGGAAGGGGTATATGGACGGGGCAGTTCGTTCAGGCGCGAGGGGGGCGAGAGAAGTCATCCAGACCTTAGGGAATCCTAAATTGTGATACACCTATCCTAAAATTTAGCCAAGAATGAAGCCAACAGCCGAAGGGCAAAGTAATTTAGTCATAACATCGAGGCTTTCAAATAAAGAGCATATTTCAACGAGGTATGCTTGCTCGCACTTATAGTGGTAAGAGGTGTGATCATACTCTTGGCCTCCATGTGCTATGCTCTAGTTCTCATGCCAGACTTCACATTGGACTTTCAGTTATAGAGACCAACTCTCAAGGTCCTTCCTTCTCTGCAACTAGCTCCTGTATTTCACGAGCGTTCTCAAGAAAGAAAAATCAATTAATAGCGTCGCTTACTTTAACAAATTCGGCCGAAATATCATCGGACCAACACATTCAGTCTCATTGCTAAGTATTCAGCCGACAAATTGGAATATATATAAAGAGTGAAGTAAGTTATATGTTTGATCTTTCATGAGTTGCCTACATCTAGCTACTGCTCGATCCGCCCCCCATCTAAAATCCTTGTAGATGTTTGGGAACTAGACCTGGAATCGTTCTATTCCGTTGTTGGATTTAGCCACCGAACGCAAGCTCTTGACCGCCTTGATGTTGCCATTCCCGATGCAGGAAATTTCAAGTTTGAATAGGCGACTTCTCCGACCACCGGGAATGAGTCTCAACTTCAAATCAACTACCTGTCCCCGGCGCTTTTATACTTGCTCTTGATACCCGTTCTGCGTAAAACATCACATACAGTCAGCTGCCCGCCACGACTTATATTCACTCTGTTAGAAGTTCACACGTAGACTTTATAATAGTAGTATTACGTTTTAGAAATAATATCTTCAATTACTAATATAATTAGAATAAATTATATTCTAAATAGGACTATGAATCAACTAATAAAATAAGTCAGCCGATGAAGGAATACGATATAATGTAGTATATCCGTCTATCGCAATCAAGTCTTTATATCGACCTCCTCTACCATCTCTATTTCCTCCTTTCCATCTCTGCTTGACCCATCACCACGCATTCTTGCCTCCAGCACGTGTCTATATTCCTTCTTAGCAAACAGCAAGTCGATTTCCTCCAAGCTAAGTCCCTTGGTCTCCTTGACGCAAAAATAGACAAAGGGGATGGCTAACACATTGAAGACACAGAACAGGAGGTAGAACCTCCAACCAATATCTGAGATGCCCGTTGGGCCAAACTTGACAATCTGATTCTAATTAGTTCGAAAATCTTAGGGATTTCGCCAAAGCCGTTGCATGAACTTACAATGAATGTAATAAACCATTGAGTGAACACGGCCATTGAAGTACCAATATGCCTGACATGGAGTGGGGCAATCTCAGGCACGTAAATCCAAGGTAAACCGCACCAGGAAGCACCAAAGCAGAACTCAAAAAGGAAAATTGATACTACGGCTAATTTTAGGGAAGGGCCGGTGTTCACAGCCAATCCGATGGTGTAGAGAATCATCCATAGTGAGCATAGCATAGCACCATATAACAAGACTGGCCGGCGACCCCATCGCTCGACCGTGTAGATAGTAGTGGCAGTACCTCCTAGGAAAAGTAGAGTCACACCCCCAGACGTAATGGATGCCTGACTCTGTGACATGCCGCAGCTATGAATAAACAAGTAGGTGGCATAGTAAGAGACAATGTTATTTCCGTCCATTTGTTGGAAGAATTGGACGAGCACACCAAGCCAGAGACGCCAAGAAGTATTGACGGGGGATTTGTCAAAGAACATATTTGAGAAGCTGAATTTCATCTCTTTCTCGGCCTCCAAGGCTCCCAGGACATTTTGCCGGTGACTGGCCACCGACGGGTCGTCGAGAGGCACATCGTAGATGCGGGCCATGACATCGTCGGCATCGTCATGGTGGTTCTGAGAATAGAGATACCGTGGACTCTCTGGTAGCAGAAAGATGAGCATCCAGGTCAGCGCTATAAAGACGACCTGGAAGGCCAACGGGAGCCTCCATACAATTGATGTGTCAGGGTGGTTGTTAATCATGCCATAGTCGAACCAGTAGGCAATTGTCAGGCCGAGGATAACGATAGTCAATTGCGTAGCGATCAGGGCGCCTCGGCTACCTGCCTTGGAAGTTTCAGCGACCCAAATTGGAACCATAGTGGTCTCAATGCCATTCCCAATGCCACCGATAACGCGGCCAGCAATGAGGTAGCTTGTCCCATGTGCGCCAGCCTGAAGACCGGCTCCAACCGCCAGGAGGGCGCCGCCGATAACGATGAAGGTGCGGCGTCCAAGCTTCTGGCCACAGAAGCCACAAATGATGCAGCCGACTAGACACCCAATATCATAGATGGCGACAATGGTTCCCTGTAGATCGGTATCGTCTGGGTTAATGCCATTGTCGCGAAGAAATACCGGCAGCGAAATTAAGCCCCCGAGGACACCCTGGTCATAACCTGTTTATCTCGGCTATATCAGTATTGTACTACTGCAGATCTATGATGAAGATCGAAGACAGTACAATTGCGAGGGGCATACCGAAGAGAGTGAAGGCCCACGCGGAACACAGTGTTATGCCGGCCTGAAGCCAGAACCCGTTGAGAGTGGAAGCGAAACCTCGATTGAAGGAACTCATGGTTGGAGCAGCGAGACGATGAAAGAAGAATTTGTCCAGCCTATCTCTCTGACTGACAGTAGTGTGGCAGATATATTTGGTTATTGCAATCGTTTTGAGCACTGTGGGTGCTGATTATGTTATTCCACGGAACTCATAGCACGTAGAGTAAAGCCAAGTTCGTCCGAGTTTTTTAGGACTAGTTTAGGAAATCGGAGACTAGAAATTGCGCGGAACAATTCGGAGTTGCCATTGGAGGATGGGGGCGAACGGAAAATGAGATTTGTCCAGAATCTCTCGTGGAGTAGGGTTAACGGTCATGGCACACTGCTATTTACGTATTACAGAATGAACAAGGCGCAAGTTGGCTATGACCCTATAGATCTAACTACTTAATTCTAGGATGTCTTGTGTCGGTGAATTCCCGACTATTAATCTTACCTCCCATGAGTGCAATCTTCGAAAAATTCTCAGACAAACCAATTTTGTGAGGGCTTCCGAAGACTCGGCATCATACTGTGTGGACCCTATTCGCCCCATTGGTAACACCTCACACGGTATGGACACCTACGTTCATTACCCCGACCTCGCTATAATCGATCAGTGTAGCCTTGCCCTCTTAAACCGATCTCCTACAAATGTATCATGCTGCCAACTCTGCCTAAGAGATGTGACCACATCGAGAGCCCGGGACGCACTCTTATAGGTCTGTCCCATCTCTCCTAATGCCTGCATACAGGTCATGATATCCGACTGGGCGTCCTTGTTCTCTTGACTATCTGCGGGAAACATACACAACTGAAAAATATGAATCAGACTGGCAGTCATTGCTACATGAACTATTTGGTGATGTGGCCTGCGAAGGCCGTACCGTTTCCTAAAGAGAATCAAGAGGCGGCAGACGTGGTGCGCAGACTTCACACATTTTTGGAATGATGAGCCAGTCGCTATGTCCTCAGCTCGATGTTCGGACATAGGTGATGCTGCTGATTCTGCAGGCGTAATGAGAGGTCGATGCAATAAAATAATGCATTCCTGAAATATGAGACTGAGAAATCCAATGTTAGAATTTTGGGGTTGTAGAGCCCGGCCAGAACCTACTGAAGCTCTAATACGGCCGGCAAGGGTATTGTGGACGAACTTGGCGAGCAATCTACACGCAGCGCTGGAGGAAGGGAATTGAGCCATCCCTGGAAGTCTGAATCCGCTTGAGCGACGAAGGCTTGGATGTCGCTTGAAATGTCAGGGACGCCAGAGTACCTGAATAGTGTTAATATTTCCATTAACTGGGAGCGGGGACAAGTCATACAGCACTTCTGACACTCTTGCTAAGATGTTCATTAACTTTGCAAGATATACATGAACATAGGCGGCAGCGTGAAAATCAAAGTCGTCCGGAAAGGTCATGATGCTGTACTCGTCGGTATAATACTCCCATGTGTATGTCCTACACGGTACTGGATTCTGAACATTATTGACGAGGCGCTTCATCAGCGACGGTCGTCCGCTGTAGGCACTCCACATTCTGCTTAAACAATTAGTTCGAGTTTGAGTTAACTTCTTCCGAGATTTAGAAAGTCATTTGCTTACGTATCTATTGTGTTGGTAGACCAGAACAAGTTCCTGCGTAGATCGGAGATGTCTTCGTCGTGGCCATCACGGGTTTCCAGTCGGGAATGTTCCAGCTCTAAATTTAGATGCAGACCTAGGTCTGTTATTATTTGCACCGCCATTCCTAGAACCATTTAATACGAAAATGCCGGGTTTGTCCTAGATGGTCATACCAGAGTAAATCCAACCACGTGATTCACGGGCATGAGCTGCTTCATGTGAAGACATCACGAGCAGCGCTTGCGCGGTTGCTATAGTTGGACTGTCGATCTCAATATCTAAAAGTGCCTTGGCTCGAAATCCGAAAAATTCGTCTGTAGCATCCTTGATCGCAGGATGTGTGCGGTCGGTATACGCTGCCCCAATAGTGTAGCTGTAAGAGCATGGTCAGTCTTTGATATCATCAGTTCTTCTCACAACATACACCGCATTCTCTAGTGTAGGTGAATAATGGTCGGTGCTTTGTCCCGAATAGAACCGCTGGCGTTCCCTGAGAAAGGTTGCCCTGTCTACGACATACATCAAGGCATTGTGCCATGAGAAGAAGAGACGGATGAGAAGGTTCTCATATGTCGGATCCTCTTTCCACTGCAGGCCAGCCTGAGCAATGGCGGCATCACCATGTGTAGCGATGTTTCGTATGTTGGGCTGAATAAGTGATCGAGTTCCGCTGTGTAACAAGTGTAAATTGCTTGTCGCGCCATAATAACGCGGTTGGCCATCTTCCGCAATCTGGAGTCGACCCAGCCGGGTGGTGATTTGCCTCGCCACATCATCCAGCACAAGTGGTCTTTCATTGGCAATATGGAGTGATCGAACTTTAGGGATTTTGGAGTTCAGCTCTTCTAAACTCTCTGCAGACGAATGTTGCTGTTCATTCAAGATCTTCGGGACAGCATCGAGGCTTGCTGGTAATGTACCCGGCGTCGCATTATCTCCATTGAAATTTGGAACCAAGGGGTCTTGAGTAGGGTTAAGTGCTGATAGATTGAAATAAGGTACCGTCTGGTTTTTATCGATGTCAGGAGGGTTGAAGATATCATCGTTGTCACCAACATCTAACCAATACTCCCAGTCCTGTGTCAGCTCAAGGGAGGTTAGGGGAGGATTGTTGAAGAAAAGTGCGGCTTCCTGGTCCTCGAGTGGGCCGTTATCGAGATTGAAGTGACCCAAAAATTGCGTGTCGGGTTCTGAGTTGGGCTCGTCGGATGGTAACAACACTGCAGCCTGCAGAGTTTCATCCGTGGCATTGCTACTGTTATTCGGTGACGGCTTGGAAGCAAGGTTGGTACTGAGGCGGGCGGGCATAGACAATCTACAAAAACAGTTAAAAGTCGCTATTTATGGTGGACATCGTACAATCTTGCGAGCATAGCCCAGTCCACTTTTGGAGCAAAGCGGCCGACTTACCGTCGACGGTCCTCACCAAGGACGCAGTCCACGTTGTAAAGCTGACAGTTTGAACAGCGAGGTCTGTCATTGTTGCACTAAGGAGCATTAGCAGATCAGATCATACGTGCAAGCTGGGCAGGAGCAAGATTCAGAGGCACAGATATAAGCCTGAGACGCACCTTAACCTTGCGTTTCCGGCATGCTAGACAAGCTCTGGAGGTGTATCGCCTTTCGCGTATTGATTTTCCCGTGTTCTGCGACATCCCGGGCTTCTACTAGAGGGAGCATAGATACGTGCAGTAGTTGTGCATGACAGTAGTAGTGGAGGATGACCTTGGGTTGTATTGAGGGAGTCGGCGAAGTAGAGGAGCAAAGCGGGGGTAGGAATCACGATTCCGGGTCGGCTGTGGGGAAGTGGAGAACTACCGAGCTAAGATAAGATATTCATCATTCATTCACTTATGGCCCACAACAACTAACTCTCACCTCCCCGTGGTGCAGATTGGGAACCCATACCTCTCTTGAGAGTTTATAGAGCCGAGAAGATTCACGCTGGGACCGTGGTTGCGCGCATAGTAATACAGAGTTTTATCTGAGGGTATTCAGAACGCGAACCAGGAAGACTCACCTCACCAAGCTACGAATCGAAATCAAAGCTCTTGTCAATCGATAATATTTGAATCTCCAGTTAAGTAGTGGCATCTGCGCAGTAGGCATGGAAAAGGGACAAACTGGGACGTGGCCCGGGGAACATTGGTGTACAAGATGGTAGATGGAAATCTAGAGCGACAATACTTGTTTGTGGTAGCCTCTGTGGGCCTTGTCTCCTGGCCACAAAGCCTATGAATACAGCTTATAGACAAACTCTACTATAGAGACACGACCAAGGACACACTAGGGCTATGCTGGCAGCGAGCTAGCGACTTCTCATTGAAAAGTTAGACTAGATACAAGGCGATCTTGGCTTCCAGAATACAGCAAAGCAGGATACTTGAGAACGGCAAAACAAGCAGGAGAGCAAAAGGAAAGATGGCTGCTCTGCTTTGGTTAGTGAGTGAGAACGGCTCTCTTGTACTGCCTGGCTAGGGGTATAACGAGAGTAACCCCTGCCAGGCATAGGTGACTTCACAGTGAGGGGAGACCCAGTAAGGCAACGTGAAGTGGTTTAATATCAGGTGTCACAGCGTATAATGAAGACTACAGGGTGGGTTGGCGGCTTGAGACACCCTTTTTACGGCTCGATACGACATATATGCACATCAGTCTATAGGAGGAGCATACAAGGCGGTCGGAATAGCGTGTTGATATAGGCTTAAGAAGCAAATAGGGCAGAGGGCATGAGGGAAGGTTGTACTTTGGACCGACCCTCGAACCAGGGGGGAAATAGTGAGTTTCAGGGCAAGAGGCTTGATCACTGGGGAAAGCGAGGCAGGGAGGTTGCTAGCCCTGCTTGTATTACGGTCTATTTGTAGATTTGCAATATAATTTTGCGTCTACATGGCGCCAGAGCAGTGAAGCCGGGTTGTCAGGGCGTCCAGGCAGTGAACAGACTCAGAGGAATCAGACCAACCACAGCACGACAATTAATATGCCATGGCTTCTTCCAGGATTTACTACACAGCAGTAGTGCAGATCTCCCCATACCTTGAGAAAGCTATGCCTATGTTGATTGGCCGTCCTTATTTCCATACAATTTAGGCTAAATCTAAGGACAGAAGAACTATCCCAGATTAAAGCCATACATCCTTACTGGCAGTCCAATTCAAGTGTTGAATCCACCTGTTATTCATAGCAACAGAAGACCAAAAGAAGCTCTAGGCTAAGGAAACGGACGTATTACTGAATATAGTACAAAATAACTAGAATTATAACAATATATATTATATAATGTAATTAATAAATGAATAATAAGCTTTATATATCAGCTTTTGAGTTCTTAGTATATATTAATCTTCACATTTATTTTAAATCTTTCAAGTTAATTAATTTGATTAAGTAATCTAAAACTTTAATTTAAAGTTAATTTAATAATAAAGAAGACAAAGATAGTATACTAGATTATTATTATTATTGGTAATATATATGATTGCTAAGAAATTTTATAACTTAGTTAATATTGCTAATAAACTATAAACCAGTTACAAGTAGTTTAGTAGTAGCGATTACTTATAGCCCTATTCTTTTGTATACAATTACTATAGAAAAGCGAGGAATGGTTTATACTTGCTTACTGGCTACACTTGCTTCTACCGACTAGAATCGAATGCGACATAAAAAAACTGTATAATCGAGAAGTCGAATCAGGGCAGTCCATTTCTAATTATAACTAATTAATACACATAACCTTCGCTCCCACCACCATCGACTATCAACCTACTCTCCATGCCACTCCTCCTCTGAGCCAGTCCAAAGCAATTAGCGAATATCATGATAGCCACCATCATTGACAATCAATGAACCATTCATATAGCTGCTTTCATCACTGAGTAGAAAGCTTAGCACATTAGCCTGCTCTTCAGCAAAGGCCATCCGTCTCAGAGAAATTTTCTGGTTCACCGGTGACTCCTGATTCTCCTGAGACCCTATAGCGCCTTCCTTGCCCATGCTGTGTTCGATCATGGGGGTCATGGTCCAGCCGGGGCAGAGAGCATTGACTCGAATGCCATTTGGACCATAAAATTTCGCCCCATTCTTCGATACGGCAGCTGCTGCATATTTGCTCGGGGTATATGCAGCCAGCCCTCCAGCATGTAGCCCGGAAATCGACACTACATTAGCAATAGCCCCTCTTTGTCCTGGGATTTCATGTTCCGGGACAGGTGTAAAGGATATAGATCGAGGTTCTTGCGTTCGCATTTGTAGCGCCTCGTATTTCTGGCAAAGCCAAAGGCCTAGTGTATTAACGGCATGCGTTCTAGGAGATACAGTTATTGCTAGCCCAGAAAGTACATTAGCAGAGTCGAACTGTCTCATACCTCTCAAACAATTCCGTAGTTATGCTTTCCTCCTCATCCCATACCGACTCGCAGACTCCTGCGCAGTTTGCAGCAAAATCCAGCCGTCCAGTCAAGCTTGCGGCTGCTGCCACCGCCTCCTTGACTTCAGCCTCCTGGGTGACATCTAGTTTCTGAAACTTGGTGCGTACTTTCCATTTCTGCGCAACCTCATTCGCAACAGCTGTTCCTTGCTCTTGATTCATATCTGCAAGGACAACGGATATGCCTCGACTTGCGAGCTTGTGAGCTGTAGCTCGCCCGATGCCAGACGCACCGCCCGTGATCAAAACGACAAGTTCCTTCATACTTTTGATTTTTTTGCAGCTCTGTCTGACAAGGCCAAGTGCGGTTCTAAGAATAAAGGGTATGGATAACCACGGGATACATACACTGGTGCAAGCAAGAGATGAAATTTTGCTTGTATCCAGAGATGTGCTTTTGTACAGTATCTGCAGTCCTCTGCCTGCTTCAGGCTTTACCGTGGAAATTGGTGCCTTAGGCATGAAACTACAATTCCGTGGAAATTCGAATTAGCGGATCCCACGGTTTAGCGCAAATACCAAAGTCCTGGGCTTGTTCCCAATTCCCCGGCAGCAGTAATGGTACCTTAGTGCCTGATATTGAGCTAGTCGGGGCATTTGACGGGCCCGGACTCTGAAAGACAACTTGAACATTGCCCCTCAATCTTTCCACGGAATAACCAGCGGGGACGATCGACTGGTCACTCGGCATCAGCCGCAGAGACTCAAGAATTGTCTTCAAACGCCGAAAATGCTTCTGCTCAAGAATTTAGCAGTTCAAAAGAGCAGATGAGCGAACTAATCTCGTTGCTAGAAAATTATTTGCTGGCTAGCCACCATCTTTATTCTTTTGCAGGTGATTTAGGAGACAACAGTCAAAATCATGGAGAGACCGGTTGATGCCTTGATCGTCGGGGCTGGGTTTGGTGGCATCTACCAGCTACATCGGCTACGGGAGATGGGTTTATCTGTGAAAGTCATCGATATGGCAGGTGACGTCGGAGGCACTTGGTACTGGAACCGTTATCCTGGCGCAATGAGTGACACCGAGAGCTTCGTCTACCGGTATTCATGGGACAAGGAAGATTTGCAGACTTACCCCTGGAGTCATCACTATGTCAAACAGCCCGATGTCCTGGCGTACCTCACGCATGTCGTGGACAAGTATGATTTGCGCAAGAACATGCAACTCAACACAGAGCTTCTGTCTGCCGACTGGAACGAAGACACCAAAACCTGGCACATTGAGGTTAGCACGGGAGAGACCTTTGTGGCTCGGCATCTAGTAACTGCTCTCGGCCTCCTTTCAAAGGCGAACTATCCGGATATTCCAGGGCTCAACTCCTTCAAAGGTGAAATGTGCCATACAGCAGCCTGGCGACCAGACATCCAGTTGGCGGGCAAACGTGTGGGTATCATAGGATGTGGTTCAACTGGCGTTCAGGTTATAACAGACATTGCCAGCCGAGTCAAGTCGTTAACATGTTTTCAACGACATCCACAGTACAGTGTCCCGAGCGGTAATAAGCCAGTCAGCCCAGAATATAGAAAATGGGTCAATGAGAACTACGATGATATCCTCTGTCAGGTCAAGAATTCGATCTGCGGGTTTGGCTTTGTCGAGTCTGCAGTCCCGTTTCATCAAAGCTCGCCAGAGCAGCGAGAGCTGGTATTCGAGGAACTTTGGAACCAAGGAAATGGATTTAGATTCATGTTTGGTGGATTTTGTGACATCTCGACAAACAAGGAGGCTAATGAGGCAGCCTGTCAATTTATCCGGAAAAAGATATCTCAGGTTGTGAGAGACCCTGAAAAGGCACGGAAACTGACTCCCCATGACTGGTATGCACGAAGACCTTTGTGTGACGGAGGTTACTATGAACAGTTCAACAGAGAGAATGTTGACATTGTGGACTTGAAGGACACGCCAATGACAGCCATCACCCAAGAGGGTATTCAAACCAGCGATGGAGTTGTGCATAAGTTGGATCTCATTATCTTCGCTACTGGCTTCGACGCCGTGGAGGGCAACTATAATCGAATACGGATAAAAGGACGCGGTGGTCGGACTCTGAAAGAGCATTGGGACCCTCAGGGGCCTACGAGCTACTTAGGGGTTTCTGTACCAGGGTTTCCAAATCTCTTCATGATCACTGGCCCTCAGGGGCCATTCACCAATCTTCCGCCGGCGATTGAAGCACATGTGGAATTGATAAGTCGCTGTATAGAGCGCGCAGAGAAGGACCGGTTAGATGGTGCCCAAGGTGTCATTGAAGCTTTGCCAGAAGCTGAGAAGGAATGGGGCCAAGAGTGTGATAGGGCTGCAGATGGAAGTTTGTTCAAGGAGACTGCGTCGTGGATCTTTGGCTCTAATGTGGCAGGGAAGAAGTATGCTATGAGGTTTTACTTTGGTGGTTTAGCCAACTATTATAAGTATGTTCAAAGTATGATGGATAATGGATTTCGCGGATTTAAGTCGCCAGTAGATAATGCCTAATAGTTATTATTACTTGGAGTCGATAGTTATCTAGTAGTTATAATATAGTTTTCTTTGAAGTCGTTATAGTAAATACAGAGAAGACAATAGAAAGTATTATTTACAACTATCTATTATTTCTAATTTAATCGAAAAGTTATTTTTGAATATAATATAAAAGAAACTCTGTTTCTTTTATTATAATAACTCTTTTTCTCTTTCTTCTTTTCCTCGACTTCTTCTTTTCTCAGTTCTTTCTCTCCTTTCTTTCTTCTTTATACTTCTACTATTATCTTATAATTATATTTATATTATTATTACTTTAATTATTATAATAAGTTATTTATTTATATAATAACTAATACTTTTAATTAATTAAATAGAATTATAAATTATATTATATTAGATTTATATTTTCTAAGATTCTTAATTTTTTAACTTGTTATTAAAAATTAGAGATTAAATCTATTATATGAGCTTCTTTTCGAAAGCTTCGATCAACTCTACGACTATGTTCTTCAAAATAGCCGGCTGGGATAGAAATGGACTGTGTCCTGTCTGTGTCTCCTGAAGCTCCCACTTTACTCCACTTTTGTCGACCATCATGGTCTGCACAAATGGTGGGATAATATTATCATTCGCAGCTTTGATATACGCCCTCCTGCCATCGAAGGCGGAATCACCCCATCCAGAGGCAGGAAACGGTGTAGTTAACGCGCTGTAGGCGTGCTGCTGAACCGCAGCGGCAGCAATGGCCTGTTCGGAAGAGGGAACGTCACTATAGAACATGTCGATGGGGATTGATGCTGTCGTCTGCCCCGATACTTCCTATTACGTTGTCAGTATCTTGTAGATAGGAAGAGTTTTAACGACATACATCGATGATAATTCTGGGATCCAGCTTTCCACCAACCATTGTCTGCAAATCAGCGCCCTCAACTCCCAAGAAAGCTGCTATGAAGATGAGCCCCACGATCCCACCAGTCCTGCCTTCATTCTGTTGCTCGATTTTGCTTAGACCTTTGGCCGCAGATCCACCTACAAGTTTAGTTAGCACCGAATAATCCTCGCGTGGGCCATATCAGGATGTCCTGATGCTTACCAACAAGGCCGCCGTACGAGTGATTGATGAGGACGATGTCCCTGCCCTCTTCAATGAGCGGCAAGAGCAATTTATTGCGAACGAAGTCGACATCCGTCGTGGCAGTAATCTCGTGAGGTGTGGATGAAGCAACTGATGGAAGGCGGAGAGAGCGGGTTGGGTAGCCTGCTGTCTCTATGAGCTTGAGCAGAGACGAGTAATGGGATGGCGAGTGCCAAGCACCGGGAATGAGGACGACTGTTGGCTTAGACATATTGTCAAGGAGGTGTAACTTGAACGACTAGTCAGATTTCTTGCTGCAGATGAAAATTGAAGTAGAAGTAAGTTGGAGCCTTGGTCTCTAGAAGCTACGATGTCACGACAAACAGTTATCGCACAGCAGGATTCCGCCTTAGATTCGCTTACTCGAGGACCCGTTCTCTTGCAACCACCCGTCGCTGGAAATTAGTAGGCTGTAAGCTCGTATTCCCTAATTTTATAGCGCATGCAGCTTATCAGGCAAGCGTGGAAAGAAACTTATTTAGCTATCTCCCGAACAAATCCTGCGATCCCACTAGAAATAAGATCGCATATTTTCGAGGTGGCCCGCTCCCCGAAAGTCAGTTTCAAATTACTTCCCTGCCTCGATGACCGTCTGCAGATAAGAATGGCGCACGAGAGGCTCTTTCCTGTGCTGCCAAGACATGTGCTGCTCTCACGACATTCTTGATCTAAAGAGGAATCAATCAGCATACGATCCGCGCTTAACTCGCGGGGCTTTGGTAGCTGACGTGGCGCGCTGCACTAGTTGCTAGCCAACGCCGTGCGGGGTAGCCTGTGCCTGCTACCGGCCCGCGTCGGGATCGCCTCAAAATAAGTATATTAAAGAATATTAAACGTGTATATTCTAGAATTACTTTACTTTTTATATTAAACTTCTTTTTCAATAAAAGAAGAATAGATATATATTTTAATTATAATTATATATATATATATATATATATATATAATTATTAAAACTCGGATAACTAATTATATAAATACTATTTAGTTTATATATTTCTATTAACTTTATTTCTTTCGTTCAAAATTTTAAATCGTTAATCTTAAATTATTTGTTCTATTTTGAGATTATTTTATAGAATTGTTGTTATTATTAATTTAGTATTATAAACGAATCTTTACTCAAGTTTCACAAGAACAGAGACTATCGTCGAAGACATTGAATAGTTATTCCAACGTGAATATTAAAGATCTTGTTGTATAAAATGTAAATGAGTGTGTGTTTATAGCCAGTACCAGAAGTCAAACCAGCTGGGGCATCTCCAGTCCCTTGAAGTAATGACACTTGCTCAAGTGGCAATCTTCACGTCCAATCTCTGAAAGCCTCCTTTCTCAGCAACATCTTTCTGCAGGACTACCATTCTCTTTTGATCCCCAGTAGGATCAGCCGAGTCACCTTCGAGCGTCCATCCTAGGAACTCATTGGTGTAGTTCGGCTTGAAGTCCTCGTTAAGGACCTCGAGGCGTTTGCCGTAACGAGTCACCTTCTCCCAATCGCGTTGAACATTCTTCAAGTCCTTGGAAAAGTAGGCATAGGATCGCTCAAAGATCTTAGTGTTGACGGACGATGCCATCTCAGGCTTCATGTCGATGTACGTCTTGTACGCCTCGGTTGGAGATGCAAGAACATAATCTGTGGCACGCTTCACGGCCCGCATAAACTTTTGTAGCTTCTCGGGGTTCTCGACCATGAAGTTGTCGTTGACTGTTAACGAACTGAGATTAGCTCGTGCATTAATTTCGAAAATCGAGGGTGGGTCCAACCAATATAGAGGATCGAGCAGAAACAGCAGCATCCAAGCTCCGCAAGTTCGTCGATTCTCAACATTTGGACGTCAGAGCGAGGGCGGCCAGAGCTTGCCAGCCATTCCTCCAACTCCACCATCTGAACATTCTCCAAGCCAATGCCCGCGTGAATGCTTCCCTCGATGATAGCCTGTGAAACATTCATGCCGCAACGGATAGCCTCGTAATCGGTGGGTTTCATGCCGTAGTGCTTGGTGAGCTCATCAATCTGAATCTGAAAAAAATACAAATAAGCTTCGTCCAAAATCCGAAACACGTATTGCCATACCTTGCCGAACTCTCCAACATAGCCAATCTTCTTGCCCTGCAAGCTTCGGAAATCAGTTGTAATTCCACTGTCCTTCAAATATACGACGCCGGTGAAGGGCTCATCGAGGAGTGAGCCAATAGAAGTGACAGGAAAGCCGCGGGCTTTGGCAGCGAGTGTGTGGATCATAGCCTTGAAGCCCATGTCAACTTTGCCAGACCCGATGATTTCGGTGACATCTGGGATAGTCTCGTCAGCAGCTGTAGCAGGAAGCATTCCAAGACAGGCACGAACCACTCGGGTCATTCGGTTCGAGAAGAGCGACCTTGATACCCTCGTCGGCGAAGAAACCCATCTTCTGTGCAAGATAGACAGGCGCATGGTAAGGCGTGGCGTGCCTGAAACAATAAATCAGCGATAATTGTCCTGTGCAACTCGAAGAGCCCAATCTATTGTTAGCCCTACCAGTTCATGAGAAAGGTAATCTTGTCAGTCGACATCTTGGCTTGACAATGTTACTCTTGCGGGAAGCTATATGGGATTAGAATGCACACAAGGGGTCGGGTCGGGGAAGCATGAATTCTTAGACGCTGGCATTATCCAGATCAAGTTCTAACGGTATAATCTCAGATCCAGACTCGACGGCTTCCCATCTCCCCTTTTCTTATATCTCTCTTCCATTGTTTGGAATTAGGAAGAAGAAAAGGTGGTTGAATGGGTAGCGGAAGAATCGGAAACACCCGTACAGCTTTTTAATTTACGTTACCTCGATCTGAAATTGATGCATTGCGAACAGAACACGCCTATCATCGCGCTTGAACATACTGCTTCGTGCGAACGGTGATTCTGATATTGAATGCGAGGGGAGATCTGCTTGAAAAATTTGATGAACTGTTGAGAAGGAAGTGGGGTGAGAGCGGGGTCGATGAGATTATATACTGCGGGAGAACGGGAAATTCCCGTGCTTCTTGGAAGCACGTACTCGAGTACCACACGCGCGGGGTCGTGCACATTAGAAGGTAGCTAGGTAGGCGATATAATTGGCCGCAAATGCTCCGCCAAAAATTTCGTAGTATGCTCTTGTAGAGATTTAGGAAGTATAGAAGTATTTTTATTTCTCGTTCTTTCGTCTTTGGACGTCAATTAAAATATATATATCGCAGAATAGGTAAAATCATCTGTGAGTAGTAAATGCCGTTGTAATTCTAGAGCATACCGCGCGTGACGTAGTTTCACCTTCGGTTGAATATACTTAATAATCTAAGTATATCGAAGATGGCTAGACTTAACGAGGATACTCTTTTAAGTTAAAAGCTTTTAATATTAAAGACTACTTTTAATTATTTAAAAAATCTTAAAGTTATTAATTTTTTGAATTAATATTCTTAAGCGTAGCCGGCGACAGCTCTCAAAATAGTTTTCAGCTCCTAGATTTTAACCCCTAAAGTCGGTGTCCCGCAATAGAATAGCCTAGGTAAGCGACGAGGAACACAGCCTTGCGATACTGTATTTATCTTTTCCAATCGCGCTTCCGTTTTCTTCAGTGTTTTACCTTTTGGTTATTTTTGTATATTACTTTCTGTCCTTCCTTAACTATAAGCAGTGGATTCCAGCCAGATCGCTCCCTGGGTAGCATTTATCGTCCCTACCCTCGCGCTTCTCGTAACGCTGGCCCAGGCCGTTCAGCAGTATGTCGCAACCGCCCAAAGCATGCGCAAGTGCGATAAATCGGTCTGGGGCCCAATGCCAAGTCGTCATGGCACGTATGTTGACTTGGGGTCAATTTCGGTTTCGCGTTGTTTTTAAAATGCCAAATATCTTCATCCCGACCGACCACTGGGAAATACCAGGACCTTCGAGGCTCTTCCCTGCCGAGCGTGTCGTTGCTTTGGGGAATTCATTTGGAAGAGAGGTGTCTAGCGTTTAAGACGAGGAGCTAAATCTAAAAGGAGTGTTCAGAGGCATCCTGGGTCTCATTCACAAGACAAGTGAGCCATATATATCCGAATACTATACGGTTCGGGCTCATCATGAGCGATGCCGATCGCTGGCCAGCGGACCTCGCAGTTGTTGCCATGCAAGTCAGTCTGCGAGATATTGTTGTCCTCGGCTTGATGACCGGTAATATACATGCTTTCGTTCTTCACCTACCACCCATGCCTGGAAGTGCTCGGCTCTATCCCCCATCCTGACCGATCTGGCGCGAAAGGTATAGAATTAGATAAATGCTAATTATTACCCAGGAATAGACATTATGAATGTCGACAATGGTGCCAGAATTCTCGAAGTGACTGGCCCTGCAGGCTTCATCACCAGCTCTGAACAACCTCTACTAGGACTACTGATATGCTTCTCAGCATTTCTCGAGCCCCCAGATCCTTCTATAAAATACTCCGAAGTGGTGAGCTGAGCCGCTCGTGGCTAGCCAGAGTACAAGGTGTTGCCACAGTAGCTCAGAGACAATACACCTTTGAGCAAAGAGACTATCACAAACGTTTGGTCGAGAATTGGAGGACGGTTGAGCGAAGAGGGATTCGATACATTAAGGAAGCAAATGACACAAAAGGTCCTGTTCGTTTGGTTTTCGAGGATATCAGGGGCATGAAGCATGAGGTGTCTATTGATGATTGCACTACCTGGGATGTAGAGTGTTCGATCGAGAATTGTCCGTTAGCAATCACTAAAATGAATACAGGATATGATAAAAGCACTCGATGAAGCTGCAATCGCCCAAAGTTCTATCATAGTTATTGGCCCTGAAGGAAGAAAGGTTGCCCCTAAGAGTTGGGAAAAGCTTATTAAAGTCGTTCGCCGAGGTCACCTGAAAGTTGTCGTCAAGGTTGGAAATTCTTACCTGCTTGTTACGCAACTGACATTCTACGTATATTAAACAAGGAGACTATGTCGCAACAGAAGTAATAAATCTATATACTGATCCAGTCATAGCATCTGGCTCCAAGTCAGACGCGCAAAAGCCTCCGGATTCGACAACCGGCACGAATATCCAAGAAAAGGGAAAGTGAAAATCCGAACTATTCAAGATGCAGACGGGAAAAGCCGCCAAAAATGAAGACTATGCCGTGCCTAGTCAAACTGCCTCTCAAAATACAGCCGAGAATTCAAGTAGTCCAGAGGCTGGGATTGAAATAGGGAAAATGTCGCGTAGGCAATCCAAGGACAGTCTCAATCCGATTTCACCGCGACCCACGGAAACCCACGGAAACCAAACCAAGCGATACAACGCGATTGCTCATTGCTGATAGGCCATGGAACTCCCAAGTTGAATTAGGAAGTGATCGCGAGGACGAAAGCTCTAGTAGAACAGGGACACACATTAAAATCCGTAGGTACCGGCCCGAACCAGAACGTTCAAATGGAACGAGTATACCCCTCGCAAGTAACCCACAAACCTGCTACTCTCGGTCTATATCAGAACGATCCAGTATATACGGGTTTGATGATGACCGAAGCTATCTTGGCCCCAGGGCATCCAGTTATGTTGGTAGGGAGCGGCCAACAATGCCAGATTTACCATTTTTCTGGGCCTCTCAGATCGATACTGAACTTGGATACTGGGATACCCCGTGGGCAATATACTACTATCGGTACGAGCTAGAGTCGTTGCCGGCTATGATTGATGTGATACTGTGTGGCCTAGAACTTAGTCTCAAGCGCACCGCACCCACTTTGACACCCTCCGTTGAAGTCGCTCATCAGATATGATACGTGAAGAACATCCACGAGGAGATTATTCTTGCTGATCTATGGACGAAGCTTCGAAATGGAGGACATACTTGGCCGCCATATGCACTAAATGCGCGCGGAGGGACATCGGAACCTGAACCGCACATGTTCATTGACTTCAAGGTCTTTAACGAGCAAACAGAGAGACTACCCCCGATACTACTGCTAGAATCTGTCCGAGATCACTACGGAGGGAGGAACAAGGCCGCTGCACAAATTCTCAACCAAGACCGCACCACCGAACTCGCATCGCTAGACCACTGGTTTTCTCAGGCCGCAAAGACGGACAGTATTTCAAATGGAGTCTTAAATATAATTCAGTACGCGCCAGCTATCATCCACGACGTATACATAAGATTTCGTTATGAGATCTTGCAGTTGCGGCATCTGGACAAAGAGAGAGAAAAGGGAGATGTGCGGATTCGTAAGCTAGCGGAGGAGATCTCGGACAGCTTATATCAGGTGAGGCATTCGGAGGTGGAACACTATTTCATTTGGGTGGTGCTTCTCAGGGCTGTGAAAGTCATGCAGTGTGTTAAGGATGGCGCTGACACTTGGGCTGCGCAGAAGATTTTCAGTGATGATTTGTTGGTTTACTTCACATGAGGATGCAACGGTGGCGGCAGTTTATTGCCAGTATTAAGAACGAAAGGAGGTAATATAAGCTCTGCATAATCAATCATGCGAAGCAGGAGTACTAAAGTCTAGATTTTGTATATATAGTTGTCAGCGACAGGCTTAATGTCGCCGATAGTACACAACTACTATTTATAAATTATAAAGTGTATTTGCAACCTGCACGTCAAGGATTTAATATGAACTCGTAATATTAATTATAGTTTAATTTTTTCAGTCATATCTTATAAACTTCGCCGAGTCTAAGTCTCTATCTCTAAAATACGTATTTTATTTATTATAAACTATTCGATTATATTATCTTTGATAAGTAGAGAGAATAGATAAGAGACTTAGAAAATAAGAGAAATATTAAACCCTATTATCTGAGATATAGAGTTCTAATCCTGTGGAAAACAGCCGCAATTTGCGGTAGTATTTCTTGACAGGTATCTTCCTACTATAGTGCAATATTATATTGGAATAAGGTTCCGCGCACTTAGGGAAAATGAGAAGGCGTTTAGATAATATAGCTTCCTGGAATTTCCAAGCTCGACTGTTCTACGATAATTTAGTAAACTGGAACGCAGAGTTGTCTGAGCAGTAGACAACGTCAGGCTTCCGATTACATCCTTGTATTATGTAAATCTTGTATTGTTTCGGCCCCCCTACCCAAGAATCAGAACTAGTTGCAGCGACAATTGTGAAAGCAGCGCCGCTGTAGATAACATCCATAATATACATCTAGTCGAGTGTGTCTTCAGAGTCGTCCTATTGAATACACAAAGCGTCCACCCACAAATAGTGAACTGATAATTCACTGCCCACTGCCATGGAATTGTCGATAGTATGGGGTATAACATCCCACTCATCTCCGAGACCGCCAGGAGAGATCAAGCGTTCCAAGTAGCTTTTTTAGATTCAAGCTGTTCCTCTCCGTCCTTAGATCTGTATCTTAACGCTGCATAAGAACATATAGGCGGAGCAGAAACGATCATCCTCTTCTCAACGTCAATTACTCTCGACAGTCCTCGGGGAAATTCGTGTAGTGGCATTGGCGCGCAGCTTTCTCCATAGGCTTTGTTGCAGATATTGAGCCAGGACCTGCACAAATCGAAGTCAAATTGGTCCCCCACTCGTCGGCCTTGCAAGAAGCGATCCTCGAGATTCGTTTCATCATTTTCAAGAAGAAATATGTACCGCACCCGCCATACGAGGCATTATCCGCTGGCCAGCATCTACAAATCGGGCAAATTTAGAGCCAGAATTATACAGAACTGCTGGATCAGTAGACACATGTAGCCGATTTATCTGGTACAGATTCTAGATATCCGTGTCTTAGCACCTCCATCTCATCGTTGATCTTATCATTCACAGTCATCAACTGCGTTGATGAGTGCTCGACCTGGTATGTTCCAAATTGAATGCGGTAGTAGATGATAGAGTCATCGCCACTAGGCATGCATCTAGTGGAGTTGATAGCTAGGCTACTGCAGACCAATCGACAAAGCCGACATTGTACTTTCTTCTGGATATCACAACGTTTCTGATCACCCAAATTGCCCCATCTTTGGTCCGAGCTCTGATATTTTGCGTATTGTGGCCTGGTGAAGAAAAACGACTTCTGGCTAAACTTCTAGCAACTGTTATACAATACGTTGCTCGGACGCTATCTCTTCAACTATAGCTGCCCCTTAGGAGAGAAGTGTTAAGGGTATTATTACCGCTGACTAGGGCAGAGAGAAAGTGTATATAGCGGAGATGTAGAAAATAATTGGAATGAATTATAATTATAAAGATCTGAGTATGTAAAAGCGATCAGGTTTAGGATCCACGATGAAATTAAGCAATAATAATACTAATTAAAGCTCGCCTGGAGCTTGTTTGGTACCCGGATTTATCCTTAGGCGGAAGTTTATATCTCTCTTATATAATAAGCAAAGTTATAACGCTAATATCTACTAATATTTATTAATTCTTAGATAGTAATTTATATAATATGAGTACCAAAGCTGCTATAGGCGACCCCGTTCGTCATCTGTGTATAGAGTCCTCCTAATCCAGCACTTTCAATTCCCTGATACACTGATATACTTGTGTAGTAGGACACATCCGCGCCGTAAATATACTTGTACGACGTTTCCGATCCTATCGTTCGTAGTCAAGGCAATAATTTAGATTCGTCATAAGAGGAATGAGGGCTAATACTGTTGGTTTTAAGCGCTCTGCTAAGCCCTGTTGGTCAATTTTGCACATTCGTCAATTACATCAAATACCTTTAATATCTTTTAAGGGCGTTTAATATTAAAATCCCGAGAGTAGATAAATAGGTGATTTGACGCGGAAAATTCGCTGACAAATTATAAAAATTTGTATGGGAAATTGACATACGGGGCATCCGTTTAACCAATTGGCCAAATTGACCAACAGGGCTTAGCAGCTCGCTTATTTTAAGTCGTACATGTGAGAAACTATTTTTATGAGTTAAACGCGACATGGTGTGTGCACTCTCTCCGCGCAGCTGTCCTATTTTATCTAAGGGGCGAAGTGTTGGTTCTGCGGGCCCGGGTCCAATAACTTCCCCTGCTTTCGTTGAGATGTTATTTCTGTGTGGTGGTACAAGCCCTTTGCGATGTTTCATCCTTCCATTGTGTTGGTATCTCACGTTGATGGAGACAGCTTTTTTTAACAACTTGGGGGGCCCGGAAGGTCGGAGGAAGGGGCGAGTGGGCTGTCTCGAGATAGTAACAGCAATTAGAGGTATTCGAAGCCGGAAGCAATGAAAGCCGGACGTAATAGAGACTATATATAGAGAGAGGAAGTCTTCCCTTCAATTATAGCATTAGTCCAACATCCATTTCCTTCCTTCACATTTCCTTCTGGGGTCTTTTCCTACGCACCTCTTTCATCATGGTTTCCTCCTTGTATTTCAGGGAGATTCTTCTCTTTTCTCTCATCGGGAGTTCAGTTTCTAATAAGATTCATCTCACGGCTCGACAGGAGGGCGGGTCATTGGGCGCCATTCCACTATGTGTTGTTAGTGCCGAGGGCGCACTGTTTACGGAGACTTCGGGCGTCCTTCCAACCGCCGGCTGCCCCGGTGTGCCTGGGGCTGCGACTGGGGCTGCCGGAATTACTGGTGCAGGCGTTACTGGAGGTGTACAGCCTATAAGCGTTTCTCCATCACTAGCAGGCGTATCAAGCACCAGCGTTTCTCCATCACCAGTAGAGATATCGAGTATAGGCTCCTCTCAAGGACCGGTCTCAGCAGCACCATTACCATCCTTCATCACCATCCCATCAGGGGCCTCCGGATCCGGTGAGACATTTTCACAGACAGTTTTCCCGGATCTCGCAACCCTCACTACAACCGAGACAGTCACAACCGGTATCGTTCAAACGGATGCCAGTGGAGGCACAACCACAGTACAAGGTCCAATTGTTGTGGGTCCTGGCGGTATCGGTTTCATCGGACAAACTGGAGCTCTGCCTACGGGTGTCAGCATTGATGACAACGGGAACCCTCCAGGAGGGTCGAATAACAACAACCCAGGGGGGGACAACAACAACAATAACAATGATGGCGATAATAATCCCTCAACTCAGTCGGCGCAACAAGAGAGCACAGCATCCGCGTCAGCATCCGCATCATCTACAGAGGCATGCATTTTCACCGAGGTTGCTTGTACCCAGACATGTACGGTCAGCTCAATCTCCGGTAGTTTAGCTCCCACCACCTCTTGCGGCAGTCCTGGATTGTGTCGAAGGCAGGTTGGCGGCGGTGGATGTACATCCACAACAGGCACGACCACCTCAACATATTTAACAACTGCCTCGGCCTCGGCCTTTATTTGCAAGGCTGGTTCGTGTGCTGGCGCTGTGTGTGGAACTTCCGCCCCGAATATAGCACCAGCTATAACCACGAACGCTCCGGGCGATCAGATCCCAAGTCTGGCGAATTTGCCGAACCCAGCATCCAAGAGAAGTCATAGAAGAATCACAAGAGTTGATAAAATTATTAAGCGGGTCGTGGATGTGGATGCAGAAGATCCGACATCGATCAGACAACTCGATTTCACAGACCCAAACTCGTTATATTCAGATAAAGCCGATGGCCTTTCGGGTAAAGAACAGTGGTATACAAACGCCCAGATGCTTGTGGGGAGCCAAGGGCCAGGGAATTTAATTTTCGCTGTGGGGGAGGATCAGCAAGAAGGAGGCGCCTCGTCGACGAAGTTCAACTATGCAGACCTGCGGCAAAATGCCATCACCACGGGAAGCGGTCCCTCCTGGGGCTGTACCAGTGTGTTGGTCTATTCTGAGCGGGGGGTATGGATTGCACACTTCTGGGAGCAAGAGCAGATGCAAGCCGCCGACTTCAATGGCCAAGTGCTTAACTTCATCCGCTCGGGCGAACCGGGGAGGTTCGAAGGGCTCAGCGACGTGGTCCCCTCGCTCTTTTCTGGACCGTCACCCGGGGAGGAAGAGGGAGAGATCGTCGAAGTCCCCGTCTTCTCAGGTGCCATCATCTTCACGCCCAGCTTCCGCAGAGATACGGTGCCGCCAGGTTCGCAACCCACAGACCCCATTTATAGCGACCAGGTCAACCAGATCAAGACCGTCTTGGTCAACCAGGTCCCCGGCTTCACGCTCGCGAACATGAACCAAAAAATCAACGTCGCCACATATCAGCCTGTCGAGGTCGAGGCCGAGATGGTATTCAATCCATGGCTTGGTCTCCTCACATTCGAATACGTGCCCCAACACGTCTCGAACGACAACAACGCGTGCGAAGTCCTTCGCGCCATCCGCATCCACATCCAAGATGCCATCCAGTCCATCATCGCATGGAACTGGCCCGGTCCCTCCGCAAACCCCAACGCGGCGGGGTCATCGAAGTCGAAAAGCAAGCGGCAGGGCGCGTGTCCCGTCAACCTCCCCCAGATCCTCTCGGCCCAGGGCGATGGCACAGCCGAGCCCGCAAGTTTTTTCGATATCAGCACGCCTGTCAGTGGAGTGACGGGTGTGACTTCACAAGTCGGACCAGCACCAGCATCAGGTTCAGCATCGCCATCAGCATCACCAACATCGCCAGCCACGTCACTGGCTGCAACGACGAGCTCGCAGCCTCCGCCGGCGGCAACCACAGCAGTGCTGGCCCCAAGTTCGACTCCGGCGGGTCCTGTCCTGTGTAGTAATTGGGAGCTCAGCCCGAACGGCGTACAGGTGGGGACGGACTGTGATGGGGATCTGAACAAGACGGTTACAGTGACGGGGGCGCCGGGGAAGAGGGCTGTTAAGACGGTTTTTTGAGGGGGGTAGGGGGGTGATGGTGGGAAGGGGGTTCGCTTAGGGATAGGGGCATTGAGGTAAGGATTCATTTTATTCATTCGTGTATCCGGCGTTATATCATATCATATTATAGCAATCCGAGATTGGAATTTATAAATTTATACTGGTCCCGTCGAAATCCTGAAACCTAATATGCACCACCTCATAGGCATCGCGGCATCTGATCGATGCTGAGTCAAGACCAATGCGATGTTGGCGACGTATTAATATGATATTATAAGGCTCATTATTTGATTGGTCTAGAAGATGTATTAATAGGACGTTACAAGCCTCATCATTCCATTCGTCTACAAAGGCGGGCGAACGGTGAACCGCAACCCCGCCTCGCGCTGTTTTTAAAGTCAGCATATATGCCGCCACCATCCTCTCACACTCTGAAGGTAAACTAATAAACTAAACTATCGCTCTCCTAGCAAGATGAAAAACAACCCAATGGCAACCTCAAGCCCAAACTCAAGTACCGCCCCATCCTCCCCGGAAGAAGCCGAACAGCTCATCCGCCACATATGCCACCACGGCTTCCGCACGAGCGACGAAATACAACAAGCCATCGATTCGCAGTTCCTCCCGCACGCAGACCAAATCCTCGCTCTACCCAAGACGACCCATTTCACCGACAAGCGCCCCTTTTGGTCGGTGGTTCCCTGGGCGCTGGCGCAGAAATGCTATCCACTCCTGCGATATCTCATCCATAATGGGTGGGAGATGAATCGGGCGCACGTGGGGACGACGGGATGTGCGTCGTTGCTGGGGTACGTACTGTACCTTTCATTCCTATTCATATGTACATGTATATGTTTTATTATATTATCCATCAAGATACACATTAAGATTCCCTGAAATACAAATAAATACACCCTGCTAATATATGCACAGCGAACGCGCGGTCCTACGAGACATCGACCTAACCCGCTTCCTCCTCGCCCAAGGCATGGACCCCCGTGTCGGAAATACCCCGCCGCCCGCCCCTCGCACCCCCACTCGCGGTTCCATAGGCTGGCTCCTCTACCTCGCCGCTATGTTCAGCAGCCTCGAGACCTTCACGCTCCTGCATTCACACGGGGCAAACCTGTCCTACGCGCACGCCCTCCACGGCGCCGCCTACGGTGGTCCCTCGCAAATCCCTATCATCCGACACCTGCTGGATAGCAAAGCCGTTGATGTAGATGAGCTTGACGTCTATCATGTGCCGCATATAGGGACGCCGCTGTTAGCGGCGATTACGAAGGGGCATGTAGAGGTTGTGAGGGTGCTGCTGGAGTACGGGGCGCATCCGTTGGCATGTATCAAGAGCCCGTATGAGACGAGTGCGGAGGAGTCGGCGAGGGCTTTGGGGAGGAGGGATGAGGGGGCTTCGAAGGAGATTTTGAGGATGTTAGAGGAGGCGAGGGGGGAGAGGGAAAAGGAGGGGAGGCTGGGTAATATACCGGTTACAGGTGGGCGTATATCTACATTTTCGTAAAGTATTCTATTAATTGTATTATGAATTACTACTTTGGTTTATATCTATTATTTTTATAGCTTCTAATATAAATCTATTTTCATTTTATACTAAAGCCACTTCCCAAGGTAGCGGCTGCTAAATTTGGCAGGACGCGGTTGCTGCTTTACGCAACCTTTACCTCTCGCCAGTCGGAGGTGGTCCCCTTCAAACTGTTCCTGGTTCCTGGTTCCTGTGCTCCACTTTCTGCTTTCTATATCTCTCTTTCCGTCTCTGGGGACTACTGCCCACCATGATCATTCCGCACGCACATTGGACCACACGGGCGCTCAGGTTGGTCACTTGTTTAAATACCTTGCGATCCCGCCGCCTACATCGAGCATCACCTCGCCCAAGAAGCTTGCCCTGTCACACCCTCGTACAAGTCACCTAGCTAGATCTTCGTCTCCTGAGGGCAGACTCCTCGCGATATTGTCTCCAGACCTCTGCGTTCATTTAGTTATCCCAAGTGTATCGTCGAGTCGCCTATCATGTTCACTAAACAAATAGCTAACCGGCAACTACTTACTCTACCGTAGGGTATAATAAATTTTATCTCTAAACGAACAAAACTTGCCTAACAGCCAGAGGAGCTTCAGTGTATATACTAACGTCTTATTAAATTAGCTTTTGTATTATACCTGAATGAAAGCGGTTATATCACTGACGTCACGTGCTAGTACCGAGATGAGCAATATGTTTGACTGGTCTACTTCTAGGACAGGGAACAAGTCCGCTTCTGGACTTACTTCAGCGGAGATAGATCTTAAGCCTCCGAGATTCTATGTTGACGATAACGAGATTGTCGTCCAAGTGATGGACTTCGAAGTCACTCCGCTTGGACTGAAAGCTGCATAAGAATTAGGTATTTCCGCTATAGTGCCTATTAGATCCAGCGATATCCATATCCTTTACGTCTCCGAGGACTGACCCGTCACTTGCTTTTCTTACATTCAACAGCAGCGAGTTCATAGAAGGTATGATTATGATCCCTCTATGTAAGACGACAAGTAAACACACTGACTCGTGATGCTGCGGTATTATGTGGCACCCGTGCTTTGGGGTTGATGCAACGACGACGGTGCCCCCGAGCCAATCTCACCACGCATCTCGTGAAGCATCTGCCACGATTCTTCATAGGTCAAAATCGATCGGTACAATAACGGATCCTTATTACTGTCCGTCTCGTCCTTCGCTCTAAATATATCGAATACCTCACTAATTAGATGTTGCAGAAGCTGTATGTCACTGTTCTGCGGGTGCTCCTTTAGATAGGTGAGAACGAGCATACATTGTTGGAGGGGTTGCAATTTTCCTGGGAAGAGCCATTGGTAGGGAGAAAAGGCCGGTAAGCGTGCAAGGTTTAGATAACTCCTTAAGAACTGGCAGCATAGAGACATCTCGCTGTGAACTTTGTCAGTAAAGTGAAAGGAGTTGAGGGAAGGGGGGGAGGTTGTAGGATTTCGCAGGTGAAGAACGTACTGGTTCCAAATCGTCGAGGTCTGGTGGTCGTCAGGCCCACTCAAGAATTGCCGATTAAAAAATATCAACACGTGGTGTTTCGTCATGTAGAGTCCAATTCGTGCATATGCATTAAACACCGTCTCTTCGTGTGGATTATCTTGGTAGAGCCATTTGTGTATTAACGGATCTGCCGTAAGTAGCTGGGTTGAGATATGACCATGCTCCGGAGTGCCACGGACTTGTAGTCGTCCGATGAGGACGTCTATCTTTCTCTGGAATAGTTCCAGCTCTGCAATTAAATTTCTCAGATCCTCTTTAGCCGGTATGCGGTGATTGTAGCATTGTTCCACAATCTTCCTCATCACGCGGGTCATCTCGAAGCGGCCAATAGCGAGCAGCATTGCTGACGAAGATTGTGCATACTGGTTAGAAGTGTCTAGGATAGCCCTCCCCAAGCCGATACTGATGTCATGAAATTCTTGAGGTATTTTGGTGGTGTACGACTCCTCGCTGCTACTGTGCGACAGAGAACTTCCCGAAGTAAGCGTGGCCAGCACTTCGAGATATATGATATGATACCAAACCCGCCGTGCAATCTCACCCTCCACTTCACCATAAGCCATGATTATTACCTCCTCGCTGTGCAGGCCGAGAGTCATTGCAGCTTGCATCACCTGCGTAACAAAAGCTGGCGCTGTGAGTATCTCATCCACCTCCGGATCGCACTCACGAGCTAAAATGGACGCTATGAGGCCATTTAAGGTTGGTAGCTTGGCATACTTGCATAGTGTGAGACATTCCTCGAGTTTAGTGCGTAAATGTAAGAGCAACGCCGAAGAGTGATGCACATGTATCGAGGCTTCGGCTAACAAAGAAGGCGAAGCAGCTACAGCTCCACAGTAAAGCACCGACCAAAGTAGGCATAGAAAGGAACCATCTGTTAAATCATTTCTCGCCTGATTTCGGAGCTCGTCGTTGTTGTATCGAACCCAAAATGTGTCGTACTCTGCTTGCAGGGTAGGGCCATGAACCAAAGGTAGTAGCGGGCGAACACCGAGAAGAAAAGACCGGAGTAAAACATCGCATAGTTTCTTGGAAGGGAGACTTTGTAGGAGCTTTACAAATCCAGCCCTACTACCGTCGCCGAATTCCTTGGAATAAAGCCGGGCTTGCTGTGCTTCCAGGAGGCGGTCACAGTCTGGTACCTTCTCCAATATCAATTATTTGTTCCTTTTGCAACTGCCATATCGTCGACACTCTGTTCGCACTCTTCGCATGTAACATAGTTTAAACACGTTAGTGGATATAGATGTGAACTTACTCGAGTATTAGAGAGCGCCCAGAAGCTACTGCCAACATATCGATGTGAGGGACCTTGTCCTGTGCTCAAGCACCAGGGCAGCCCGAAACCTTCTTCCTTGCTATTTTCCTTCTCGGGCATCTGCTTCAGAGCTCTTAACAGCTCGGATGTGTTATCCAAAGGGTCGTCAAGAGACCATTTATTGATAACTTTGGCCTTATCAGGCCTGTTTTGGCTAAACTCTATGGCAGGCGCCCCTTGAAGGCTTCTAGTTGGAGATTCGTAAGAGTGGGTTGGTAAATACATAGCAGATGAAGCACTGCTGAATGGAAAGTGGCCTTGAGATGAGGCAGACGGATAGGTGTAGTGGGATGAGGTAGATAGCGGGCCGACGTCCATGTTGGACGTACTTGTAATAATATCATCATAGTCATTGAACAAGTACGAGAGGTTCTGGTCTTCTATGAGGAAAGGGACCTCGGCTGTGGTATCTTTATCCCACTCTACTTCATCGCGAGGCCCCTGCACTGCCCCAGGAAAATCCGCCTGGCTATTTTTTGAGCGTGGAAGAGAGCGCAGAGGTGGATCGTCCATGACTTCATTGGTCCTATTCTGTGCGTTCTCCGACGTAATCCTCCGTCTCTTCTGGCCCTGCTGAGTATTGGTAGGTTGTGGAGGGAAGGGTTCATAGACGCATTTCTCATTAAATCGTTTGCAGTGAAAGCAAGCTGGCCGCTGCTTCTCACACTTGATCTTGTCCCAAGCATTAGATCAGAGTAGTGCAGGCTGGGATGGGAGGAAGGTTGGGAGGTGCTCGCTAGCCTCCGGCGGCATTTCTGGCTGGAGGGAGGCTCACCTTTCTTCGCTTGCAAGGTAGACAATTCAGCGACGGACGTGAGCGGGTGATAACGCGACTTTCGGCGCCCATGGTCAGATATTAGGAAGAAAAAAAGGGCAATTGCCACCAAATATACGGCAGAACCGCGGAAAAGGAGCAGAACGCAAACTTCTATATAGCTAGTAATTATGAACTACGTCATAGTTAGTCGATTGACTCCATGAATGCGTGGGTGTTAGTGCTCTTGAATAAGAGAGAAAGAAACATGGAAGGAAGTGGAATGAAGTTGAAACCTATTAGCGGATTTGTCAGATTAGGCGCTCAAAACCCACGTGGTCAGGCTTACATAATAGGCCTAAAACCTCCCTATATGCAGCCCCTTTTATCACTTAGATTCCTGTATAATTAAGTTTGTTTTTTAAAAGACCCTTTTTAACTGCAACAATTGCTGAAGTCTTAGTAGCTAAGACAAGGATTCGTATGTAAAATAAGGTTGTTCTGTACTAGAACAAGGTTGTTCTGTGCTAGGAATCACGATGACTGTAGAACATCACGTTTTTATGACTAAACATACCACGAAGTGTCACGTGTATCTATATTGTAAGTTATGTAATCTTGCTCCATGCCATGAGTGCTTTAGGGTGCCTCGTCCTTTGTAGAGTAAAGTATACCCCAGGAAACTGAGTAATTAGTGGTAGGACGGCAATATAACGAAAAGTGACTAGAACCTCGGGAAATACATTATCAAGGTAGTGAAGTGCACCTTCGACTTTTAGGGCGAAACCACTGTCAGAAGAATCAGTAGTAATCTCCTTTATAGACTGACTTTTAGTATACCTCCCGCATAAACAACTTATATTATATAAAGGCTTGATAATTGCTTAATAGCATTGGAAAGACGGTATCTTCTGCGTATATCTCGACGCCAATATAGTCGCTATAAGACCTTTACAAGGACTGGGATATTTTGTATTTCGTCCTTATTTCGATACTTATACTTAGTTGGCCTGTATGGGATCTTTTGTCGTAGCACACAAAGTTGCTTCTATGCCCCAAAGCCACCATGCTATTGAATCCTTGACTTGCACGTAGAACGGTGCAAGATTCGGTCTCTCCTAGTAGAACTCATCTCGACCAAAGGTGCTATCATACCTTTCATCGCATAGATGTCTGTTGAGTAAGGTATCGCTAGATTAATGCTTAGAGAGGCAGCTGGAATCAGCATCATCCCCATCTGGGGTCTGCGCGCTCTGAGCCGAATCTATTCGTTCATGAAAGGCTTTGTTGGGATTAGTCAGTTAAGGAGCAGTCTTCCTAGGTGCCTTCTTATCATACTTCTTCGTAACACCATACTGAGTTGTCTACTTTGACGTTTCTTACGCCACGTAAAAACAGCACTGATAACGCTAAGATCAACACCAAATTATAGCTAAACAGGTCTGAATTCTCTTCAGCGGTCTCTTTATCTTTTTATACTTTAGGCTAGGGGTGTAGACGCTGGAAACATCCACCACGCACAACCAGTCCTTGGGTATCAGCGGCCTTTAATTCGGCGGGCGAATTATTCAGGCGAGTATTAAGCTCGGCCTATATTTGATAAGTACCTCGCTGGCCGAGCATCTGTTGACACGAGTTTGTCCTGCCTGGACCTAGGGGGATGAGAAAGGTAGGCTTACAAGAGAAGTGCGGGGCGCAGGTAGTATTACTATCGTTCCAACTACCTAAGCGTTCTGGCGGGAGACATAGGATCGGGGGCTCCGTTGTAGAGGGGTGGTTATTTTCGTCGATATATACTAAGTTACGTTTTCTGGCTGGCTCACGCTTTCACTTTGATTAAGTTATTTCGTCGATGAGAATGAAGTACATAAGTCGTGTTCGTATGAAGCTGAAGAGGCTAGCGCACGGGCCAGAGAAACTATTTTTTGGGCTGTCTGTAGGACAGACGCGAGATTGATCAGCACTCGGCCGAGAGCTACGGTCGCTAACTTATAGTATCTTCTCGGCCGATAGATCCAATAGTCCCACTTCGGTCATACTCTAGCTTCTCCTGGGGCAAAATGTACGCTATTTGATTACAGTAACGGTGAATATGCGGCAACCTCTGCTCTTGGGCTGAAGCACGGACTGTAGTTCTATAGAAACTGCTCACATATGATCCCTCGGTTTCTCGCCAACTGGCTTACTGATGGACGGGATAACGGATTCACTGAATAGCTGACTCTACGCTTACCTATTTCTTCCTGTATGTTATGCCCCAGCTATCATGTCTTCTAATAATGTTACATATCCCTATTTAACCTACTGACTTACTTTAGCTGGCAAGCCGCCTGCTCCCTTACATGCAACTCACTCAGTCAACCTACTTCTACGCTACTGATCTTTGACTAGTTGTCTCTTTCATTATATATATTCTTCCGCTTGTTAGTTGGAAGACCTCATATTCAAAGATGGGACAGCCTCAAATCCCTCCTACCCCCCCGGGCACCAGCCTGGCTGGAAAGACTATAATCATCACTGGCGGCAATGCTGGTCTGGGTTTCGAGGCTGCTCGCCAATTCCTCATATTGAAAGCATCTAGGGTCATCATCGCCGTTCGCTCTAAGTCTAAGGGCCAAGAGGCTGTGTCGGCTCTCAGAGCCAACCTCGAGGTCAAGAAAGCCAACCCCCACGCCACAATCCAAGCCTTCGAGCTCGATCTCGACGACTACGAGTCAGGATTGCTGTTCGCCGAGAAAGTCAAGACAGAGGTCAAGGAGCTAGATGTTCTCCTATGCAATGGGGGGGTGAACCTCATGGATTATCAAAAAAGCAAGAGTGGCCACGAACGCGTCATGCAAGGTATGAATCTACAGTATCCTGATGAGTCTGGTTTCGAAAGACCGCCTTCACCAAGCTTTCTTATATAAGGATGTTTCTAAACTTCACCCACAGTAAATTGCTATACCCACTTCCTTATAGCCCTTGAGCTCCTGCCCCTTCTTCAAGCTACTGCCGCCATTCGAGGTACTCCGTCGCACCTCACAATCGTCGGCTCTGCTACTCAGACCACGCACACATTGACCAAGAAGCCTGTCATTGCATCAGGGACGGTGTTTGACCACTTTGATAATCAGAAGACCTACAGCGGCGTCACCCGCTACAGTGATAGTAAATTAACCGCCAATGCCTTCGTTCGTGCCCTTTTCAGGCATGTCCCCACTTCCGACGTCATTGTGAACAATCTTTGCCCTGGGTTAGTCGCTACCGGCTTCGATAAACACCTTTCTGGCTGGTTAAAGCCAATTATGTTTGTCTACCGCAAGGTAGCAGCTAGGAATGTCGAGGAGGGTGGTCGTACTCTGGTCTACGCGGCCACCTTGGCGGGATCCGAGACTCACGGGCAATTTCTCCAGCACAACAAGATTGACCAGTAAATCCCCCACTCTTACATTGAGACTGCATTGTTGCTAAACTTGATACTTAGGGGCGCATCATTTTTAGACCAGGAAGCTGGTTCAAACTTTATCGAAAAGCTCTGGGCTGAGATGGTTGGAGAGGCTACTAAGATCGATCCTAAGCTAAAAAAATATGTCTACCCTCGGCAAGCTGTCATCTAATAAAATTTTGAGATTATTTAAGCGCAAGATTGATTTCTATAGAAGTAATAGTTGATATTTTGTTTGTTAAAACATCGAGTTACTCTAGACTTACTATATGTAGAATATAAAAAAAGTTGACTAAAATACTAGCGACAATTAATTCGCTTTCTACTTAATATAGATATTTGTAGGTAATATCTATTTCCTCGGGCGTATAACTAGTATATCCTACTATGAAGCGATTTCGACTTGATGTAAATATATACGAACTAGCTCTCCTAATTGCACATCCTCAGAGGATATTCGCGAGTAGATACTATAAAAGGAAAGAAACGTATTTAAGAGCTAGCTTTTCCCAATCCTTACTACTTATATAGACAGAAGATACAAATCACTAACGTAGTAGATCTTATTAGATCACATATAACTGAGTAAGTTTTCGATACTTCCCCAACCTCGAAAGTCGGATTCGAAATTAGCACTTACGTCAATAGCGATGTCCAAATGAGATCTTTCCAGCCGAGTCGTATCTTGTTCGGCTGAGGCAAGTACTATAGACACTAAGTTGTAGATAACTTTCAAGTTAGGCAACATGTTAACTATTGGTCTATAGGTATCTGTATCTAATATACAAACACTTCTTAGAGACTACTCTAATATACGAGTTATTATTGATACTATTCCCGAGTACTTCCTATTTTATTATACTAATTACTTTCTAAAACTAATTAAAAAAGAGAGTCTTTCTATTATAATAAAGAAAAGTATATTATAAGATATATTAATTAAGTTTATAGATTTATATAAATAGAATATTTTTATATAGTAGTAAATAAAGCTATATCTATTATTAGAACTTAACTAATACTAATAGTTTCTATCTTTTTATAAGATATTAAACTTAATAATATATTCGTAGATTATAATAAAAAAAGAAGAAATAAAGAGATTAAAGGGAATAATAGTAGAAGGAGAGAATAAATAAAAATAGGAGTAGAGAAAGAAGTAAGACGTAGCTTTTTAGTAAGTACACTTAAATAATTTGCCTGAGTACACGTACTTTAGACGACAAAACTAATTAACATCTTACTAGTAATATAGCGGGTGAGGAGCAAAGTTTGAAGTAAAAAGTCTAAATGATTTAAAGACTTAGAATACTTTTTACAACTCTAAATCAAGTAAAACGACTCTATCCAATAAAGCTATTGACTTATCCCAAATATTAAATCCTCCTGTCAGTCTATTCCCATGTGTGACCCCTAAAAACCACTTACAACCCCTCTAAGAAGCTCAAGACAACAGGGTAAACCGTCTTGACAGCGTCCTTGGCCCAAGTAAAGTCCATATGAGCATACCCCGGGAACGTCTGAGTAGAAACAAGGTTCCCATTCTCCTGCAAACCCGGGTTCAAGTATTCTACAACATCAGTCTCAGTAGCAAGGAAGTCGTTCGCACCGACAAAGGTCGCGACCTTGACGGTATTGGCCGGGATACTAGTCAAGTCGTATATCTTCGCAGGGGCAGTGCCCTCCTGGTAGTGCTGGAAGAGTCCAGTGCGAGCAGATTGGATCCAGTGGGCAAGGTTACGGCCGCTAGTAGGGGCAGGGAAGTGGCCGGCAAAGTTGCTGTCAGCGAGATGTTTCGAGGGACCGAAGATGAATTGATAGAGGACATCGTAAGAGACGTCGAGGTCTCCGAAGGCGCTGTTGAAGAATTGGAGGGTTGGGACGAAGATTTTGCTTGGGATGCGCTTGGTAACTTCGTCGGTGTGGAGTTTGGCGAGGGCGGCGAAGAGCTTGGAGCGTTGGTTGGTAAGTTGGGCGGGGGGTCCAAGGAGAGCTACACCGGAGAGTTGGCTGGGTGGTAGGTTGCCATCTGCGAGACTGGCAACGATTTCAACGGCGCCTGAAGGATTATTAAAATGCGCCAATTATAAAGGGTATTTAGACGTAGAACGGGATATGAATTACCTTGAGAGTGACCGATTAGGGAAAGCTTGTTGGCCTTTGTCTGCTTCAAAACGTACGAGACAAATGCCGGGAGATCGAATTGGGCCATCTCATCCCACGAAAACTTGTCATTAGTGGTCGGGCTGTACTGGTTACCGCGAGAGTTACCCATCCAAACATCGTATCCTTGATTGGCAAGAACATAGGCAAGACTGTTTTCGGGGCCGTTGAGAAGCCATGTGTCGCTGGAGTCAAACAGTCCATGCTGAAGATACACGATTTTGTTGGGCTGGGGTGTGCCAGCAAAACCACTGACAAGGCGCTGAAGGTTCAATTGGTAGCCATCAGAGGTGGTAACAGTATGATTGACGAAGTCCTCGTGGCGAACGAGAGAGACAGGACCAATGGCAGCAGCAGAAGCCAAGAGCGGGAGCAGAAAGGTTGGGAGAAAGGTAGTGGAGCGCATTGTGAGTGTTGGAAATGAATATTTATCAAAAGAGTGACTGAATATTATTAAAAATGCAGAACAAATTGTTCGTCAGCGCAAAAGAAAATGACGACAGCTTCCGAACAGGATAGTATGAGCGAATGAATAAGCCGGAGAGCGTGGTGAAGAACGAAGATAGACGGGTTCCTCTTGACCTTATATACTGGTGATAACTATCGTCGTACAAAGTACTCCTCGGTCTGTCCGGCTGACTACTCGAAGCACGAGCTTGCGGAAGACTACCGAGCGATGGTCCCAGTACCGTGAAACACGCCATCTGATCGCCGCTATGAATTAAGCTCTTTCCCGAAGGAGACGCTGCCTAAAGATCTCCCGGGATCCACGCAATCTGAGACATCTCCGAATGTGAAAATTATGCCAACCCAAACGAGAAGGAGGACACCTAATGAGGAACTGATTCTCTATAATAAGATACCTGATAAGTAGCTGGCCGCCAGCCCTATACTCGCCAACAATATACATCGATCTCGAAGCGTAGACCTCTACCGCGAGGGCTCCCCTTTCGGGCCGTTCCATCGTCGGACTTTTAATCGATACGGGAATCCCGATTGGACGGGTCTATCTCGTCGATATATATATTATGGGTACGCAAGCGTTTAGTACTCTAGGTGTTAAATAGGTCGGATGTGGAGGATATAGCGGCTGGAAGCAATTCCTATACAATTACAGTGGCAGTTGCTGATCAAGAGCACAAGCAGGGATAATACGAACGAACGTACAGCGACGATTTATGAATAGCTTCAATTTGCGACCGGATGGAATTGGTATTATTATTACACTATGCGCCGGGGATCTGGATTATATAGGGAATTGTAGATACAGAGGCGATACCGGAGGTATAATTGGATAATGGCCTTTGGTTGCCCTAAAAGTAATTTCGCTCCAAATACGCCTAATAATACGCTATACCTCCGGCTCTATTATAGGTATAGCACGCTTATAGCCCACGAGCTTACGAGCTGCAGTAGTGCGATTCTCTGATTAACGCTCGTATTCTTACATCAACGTCGGCTCTTACTTCTCTGCTTTATTATTGAACGATATAGAAAACTATGATCTCTACACTTCGACTAGTATCTCGACTTAGAACTTCCAGCGGTTGTTTCGTGTGTCGAAAGCGCCGGAAGAAATGCGACGAGAGTACACCACGGTGTGCAGGCTGTGTCCGGAACAACTTCAAATGCGTGTGGCCTGCGCCAGAGAGCGTTGGAGTAAAGGATGCTTCGTCGACAGCTACTATTACTATTAGCCCAAGCCCAGCCGACTCCAACTCGCCCTTTGCAGACGACTCTAGCAAAGTTGGGCGAGTGCGCTCCCCGATGTATGGCCTACCATGGATCAGAACATCTATGGATCATTATCTGTCAATTTACTTCAGGGATAGATTCATGACAGGTGTTTTTAGACCGAATGCCCACCCCGCTTTTCAGGATCCAGGGTATTTGATCTTGGTTAGCGCACAAATGAGTACGACCATGGGCGCTTTTTTAGCTACGGCGGCGATGCATGCATCATGGGCAAATCCAAAGTTCAGGCGACCTGCGATAAGGTACTACAATTCTGTACTTGCAGGTTTACGAAAGTCTATTGCAGAAGGAGCAGCAAAAGGAGGCGAAGATTGGCTGCTTTTGGCAACTAACCTTTTGGTATTATTTGAGGTATGTCGATAATAAAAACCCTCTGCGAGTATATTGGCTCACAGAAGCACGCTTGGCCATTTCAGATAAATAAAGGATGGAATACCGGTCACAATCCTTTAGGAGCCGCCCCACATCTTGACGGCCTGGCGCACATTCTAAAGATCAGAATTGGCGAAGAATCCAAGAAGCCCCAGGAATTTGTTCATCTCCAGAACAAAATATCCGCAGAATCATTCGTGTTGTGGTCCTCGTTCCTCTCTCTTTTCTATTCGGAAATTGATCGTGTTGGTGATACTATCAATTGGAATGACTTGAATATCTACCTCGATCGTGATGTATTCCCCGATGCTTCGATATCTTCCAACTCGCCTCTTCTCGTGTTAGACTGGAAATTACATGGAACGATCTTCGAGATCAGCCGACTCAGCCATAAAGTGCCTTTAGAAACCTCGAGTTATGTTCGTGGGAGGGAGCTGGAGACGGAGCTTATTCGTCGAGAGAAGGATGTTCGCTTCGAGATACCGAATTACGCATCTCCGGGACAAACTCAGGATGTGCTACAGCAAATACTTCTCTATATCTTGGCCACTCAGATCTTGGTTTTCAAAACCTTGAGACCCGAGACTCGTACATGTAATCCGAGAATCCGGGAAATTGTTACCGAGGCCATGGCGGCAATAAGCCGTATCGAAATCGAAGCTAAAACTAATTGTGGTCCTTATTTCTGCTGGCCACTAGCTATTCTCTCTTGTGCAGTAGAGTCAAAGGCGAATATATCGTCGCTGAGAGACGCGCTGAAGAAGGTATGGCTCGTATCGTACTGTGGCGAAGTGCAGCGGGTCAGAAATGCGACAGAAGTCTTTTGGCAGAAGGTCGACGTAGAAAAAGGAGAGGATGATTTTAACCTGCTAGATATATTGATTTATCAGGGTGGGATGTTCAAACATCCATCTATGGTGACGGAATGGGGGAAGTCGCTGTACGATCGAAACTGTTGATCAGTCACAGCGGGACCAAGAAGCGAAGTGCGAGCTTGACTTCCGGCCGACCTCACCAATGCAGTATGAAGTTTCCCGCAATCGTTGCTACTTCTTTGCTGGGAATATTGGAACTAGAGATAGTGGTCAGAAGTAATATTTGGGTATTAGAAAAGCCAAATTCAGCCTGGTTCCGACAACATCTAGTTCCGTAGGAGGCCAAAACGGAAGGTCGTCGTATAAAAATGCCGTTCTGAAATTTGTCTCAGGGACAGTATGAGTGTAGAGCCACAATAGCATTCTAGTATGATTTCTGTAGAACATGCCGGCCGGATAAGAGGAAGAAAGAAAGCAATATAACAAAAGGTACTCCCGATTGATGTACGAACTCGAGGGGAACTGACATCCTACGAAGTCGAGGTTGGGAACTTGGGGGACACTGAAACCTTTTTTCCGCACCTGCCATTTACACCGCTCGTGAACAACAAACCAGATGGCGATGCGCGCTGCAGGGATCTAATACTACTGTAACGGTAATAAGGTTGTCTGAGGTATTCGGGGCGGAGAAAGCAGCCAATCAACGAACGATGCGCGCTCATGGCTGGCGCTGGCCAAATGGCAACAAGGACGCCTAACCGCAACTGGCGGTTATACCCTGACGACCACATCGATATATTTCCCAATGGCTGGATTTTAACAGCATATACTGCCTGTTCATTTTCCTAGTTGTCTTTACTACAACAATATTGGAATAGCGAAAGTCTACATGTAAGTACCCCGCGCCAGTTCCAACCACAACGCACTATTGACTCGTAGCGAGTAACTGTAATAGCGACGAGTATATATCGAAGGGCGCAGATACATATAAATGCCACCCTTCCAAGTGGCTAAGATGCAGGTTAGACTATATTTGTAATGATTGCTAGTATGAGGTTTCTAGCGGTAGAAAAAACATTATCGGCTAGATACATGACTTGTGATCAGATAATGGGATCTCAACTACACCGTCGTCTGCAGATAGCTTTTGGCTAGTGTGATATTGCCTTTTATTGTCTTGTATAAAGTAAGTGACAGTAATGCACATGATAATACGCTTCAAAAAAGATTGTCATATAGGTAAATATCTCGGGAAAATAGGTATTCGTAGAGAAAGGCACAGGACTATCTTAGGTGAGTCCCGTGTCTACGTCCCGAGTAGCTTACTACTCTCCCCCCTCTCTCGTCTATTGCCGACTTGACTATCCGTGGCTTATTCAACAGTGGAATCCCCTCTTTTAATATGGATATAAGCGTTAGACGCCGCAAGTTTCAAATTTCTTTAATTGTAACTTTGATCTAATTTGTCTATTAGAACCAGGGTGTTTTGGTTGCTAAGTTTGTTCAGTACGAGACATAAAGTCTACAGAAACTATGAACAATGAGTGGAGTATCTTATACTACTCCTCGCGGATAATTTACCTATAAGTATAGGATCTCGTGGGATTTCCAGGTTTCAACTCCTTATCTCCCACAACGCTGCGCCTTGACCTCCATCTACACTTCAGTTTGCCACAATGCCTTCCCTATTTACTCTAGTCCGGGCCCTAATCGGCATCACTGCACTGTCGTCTAGACCTTCTGCAGCTTCTCTCCAGACAGTCACGAACTGGGGCGAAAATCCATCTGACATCTCCACGATGCAGATATATGTCCCTGACAAGCTTGCCGCCAACCCTCCCATCATCCTTGGCGTAAGTTCATGACTTAATTATTTCGGACTATCTAACACACATGGCAGTTACACCCTTGCGGAGGCACCGGCCAAATGTATTATGGCATGACGAAGCTGCCAAAATACGCCGACTCCATAGGTTTTATTCTGATCTACCCAACAACCACCAAAGAGACAAATTGCCGGGACTGTCACTCCAACAAGACCCTAACACACGAAGGTGGCGGAGACTCTCAGGGCCTCGTCAACATGGTTAAATACGCCCTGAACAAGTATAACGGTGACCCAACCAAAGTGTTCGCCGTCGGCGGATCATCAGGGGCAATGATGACCAATGTACTCGCTGCAACCTATCCCGATGTCTTCAACGCGGGTGCATCATGGTCTGGCGGCCCCGGCCGCCTGTTGGTACGGCTTACCGATTTCAACACCAGCCTCATCTGATTTAAGCTGTCCCATGGGGCGCAAGACGTACAATGCGTAGCAATGGGGCGATATTGCGCGAGGCTGCTACCCCGGGTATAGCGGTAATCGTACCCGTATGATTATTGCACATGGGACTGCGGATCCTGCGGTCCTGTATTCGCTCCTTGGGATGCAATTGGCGCAGTGGAGTAATGTGCTTGGAGTCAGCTTCTCGAAGAATATGACAAACACTCCGGCGCAGGGCTGGACAGAGATGATTTACGGAGATGGGAGTAAGTTGGTGGGCCTTAGTCTTCAGGGTGGAGGTCATATTCCTCGGTTTCAGGAAGAGAAAGTGCTTAAGTTCTTCGGGCTTATGTAGGAGGGGCAGCTGAGGGTGCTCCTAGATGAGAATGTTCAATGTTGTGATTATTCTCTAGGTAACCCTTACAAGTGACCATGGTAAATTCTTTCGACTTACAAGGATGGAAAGGCAGATTTGATTAGTTGTAGTTAAATATTTGGAATTAACATGAATGCTGGACTGGATATTATGATAAAACACCTTCAAATTTACGAAATGTTCAGTCGCTTATTAAAACGCTTCACGGTCTCTCCAATCACTGTGCCCTTATACTTGCTCTATATCCCTATACATTCGGGATTAAGGCGCTAATCGCCGGTACTAATCGCCGCGTTAACCCCATCACCCAGACGTTATTTCTACACCGAATTGTATATTATTATACTATCCTCGCACTGCTTTTGCTGACATCTGTTGTTTATCTTAATCAAACGTCTTATAGTTTATTAAGACCGTTGGGACGCAGAACACTTGCAAGTGACAGCACATATCCATTAAGTACATACCATTATACAATGGCTCGCCCACCACCACCTCCACCAAAGAGTCTCCTTGGCAGACACCGTCTGCTGTCTCCAACAGCTTCCGTTCGTGTGAGCCCACTATGTCTAGGCGGAATGAGTAGGTCACTGCTGCTTTAAATCAAACCCGTACTGTAAAACTAACCCTACTGAAGGTTTGGGCAGCAATTGGAAGGGCACGATGGGCGAATGCAGCAAAGAAACGGTGTTTGAGCTCCTGGATACGTTTTATGACCTAGGCGGTAATTTTATTGATACCGCCAATGTGTATCAAAACGGCCAAAGCGAGGAGTGGATCGGCGAATGGATGCAGAAGTCCGGAAATCGAGACGAGATAGTCATTTCCACTAAATACACCCTTGGTTCCATGGTCGGCAGACCGGTGCAGCAGAGCAATTTTGGCGGAACCGGTACGAAGAGTATGCACTTGAGCATTGAGTCTAGCCTGAAAAGACTCCAGACGGACTATATCGACCTGGTAAGGGGGACATTCCACACCGCAACCACAGTTATAAAGCTAATACACCACAGTATTACGTTCACTACTGGGACTATGCAACCGAGATCCCTGAGCTGATGCAGTCACTCAATACGCTGGTCCAGCAGCGCAAAGTTCTTTATCTCGGGATCAGTGATACACCTGCTTGGGTGGTCGTGAAGGCAAACTGTTACGCTCGAGAACACGGGTTGCGACCGTTCTCCGTTTACCAAGGTCGCCTTTCTGCGCAAGTGCGTGACTTGGAGCGTGATATTATCCCAATGTGCCTAGACGAAGGCATGGCGATCCATCCCTGGGGTGTCATGGGCAGCGGTATATTAATCTACCACTCACAATCATCCGTAACGTTTATTAACTAGATCCAGGATATTTTACGTCGCCTGAATCAGCACCGAAGGAAGGGGGGCGCCAAACTCCATTCATCAAGACTGGCCGTGAGGCTCAAGTCTCTCAAGCGTTGGACAGTGTGGCGAGGCGTCTCAATGTCCCCATCAATTCCGTTGCCATTGCCTACGTGATGCAGAAAGTAAGTTAACCACGCGTCTTCCGTATATGTATGCGTCCGGGCACTAGCGTACTGACTTCCGGTATCAAAGGCGCCATACGTGTATCCAATTCTCGGTGGTCGCAAAGTAGCTCATCTCAAGGCCAATATTGAAGCCCTCAACTTGCAGCTCACTCCAGAGGATGTCGCGGAGATCCAGACGGGCTATGACTTCGACCCAGGCTTCCCTCACAACTTCGTGAACACGGAAGGCAAAGCTCCTCGGGGACCTGAAGACATCAGCTGCCTTGGCTGGCTAGGGTACTTCGACTATGTCCAAGGTCGGCAGCCAATTAAGCCGCATCAGGGAGAGCTTAACGCACCCTGGAGGCCTTAAATACGTAGGAAATCTGGACAAATTACTAGTCGCGGCGAGGCTAAGAACCGGAGGAATTGAATTTATTGAATATTATACATCTTATATAAATTGCATCTCCCCAATGGATTGCGCACACGATATCTAGCATTGATTTCGAAACTACCCGATTACTAGTTAACAGCGCCGTCTCAGAAGTCAGAGAGTCTGTCCGTTGTTCATTGGAATAAGCGAGCCCCTTTTCTACAGCTGTCGACCTCGATCCAATATTAGTGAATCCGTACCGATTAGGTACTCAGTGCTGAACATTTCTCTCTTCCGAGACACCAAGGCATATTTAGCCTTGATTGGTACCTTTGCGACTATGTTTGTGTCTTTTGGCTAGGTGAAATGCACTGCGCTCCTGATGACACGACGGAGCCACCCGAATTATTGCTGCACCCAGAGCTCGGCATGCTAAATAACCATCGGATTCTTTATCCAATTCAAGCCACTACTATCCGGAAGACTATTTGGCAACTATAGTCCATAGCTTCCTATTGACATTGGAACCCCTAAGTATGACTTTAGTCTCACGATGTCTACTATATCCACCGAATATTACCGATTCGTGTTGAACAAGTCTGTCTTCTGGGAATTGGAGTATATCAGATCTCTACGCCTGCCCTGACAGTAATAATTCAGAACTGCCAATGCAAATGAAGCTCCGACTAACTCTACGAGTCTACTGCATCATCGGCCTAGGGCTTACTCGAGTACTTTCGCAAGCGGCCCTCTGCGGGAGGATTGGGGCTCGTCTCTACCTTCCCGATCATGACCGCACATCTAAGTCTAAACATTAGTTATCCCTAGATAATGCACGTATGCGATTTTGCCATTTTCTCAACTCATCCCGGGGCCATCTCCCTGGATTCTTCCTCTAGTTTTCTTGTGCAGTCTTTTTGTTTTCACGACTGTTTGGAGTGTAGCTGGAGAGTATATAGGGCAGATGGGAACAGAAAGCAAATAGTGGCTGTATTGTAGGGCTACCCGTAAATGATATATAAAATTTGATGACGATGGAAGATTGAGCTGCGGGTCAAACCGCGTGACCAGTCAGGTGGCTTACTCGAGTACAAAATCTTTGATAAATTCATATCTTAGCTGAATAAAATATTGGCTAGTATCTACAAGGCAAGCAACGAAGTTTAAATTTTTCTAATCAAGTCTTAGTGGATGCTGGTGGGGCATCCCAGGTTGTGGCCACCGATAGGCCGAATTTTTGACATGTGGATGTTACGAGTACGAGTTGCGGTCGCGACCTTGCGGCCCTGTCGAGGGCGGGGAGTCTACAGTGTGCTATTCCCTAGATCAACCCTTGAATAATATCAACCGACCTTATAATATTTCGCAGCTCTACTCTCTGTCTTTCTTCCGAGGATCGTATCATCATGGCGGCCACTGCGGGCGATGTCATAGACATCGGCAATTTCGCCACAAAGCTGCCTCAATGGAAAGCGTCATCCATAACAAAACCTCTCTACGGCCTCGTAGACATGGGCAGGTAAATACGCCTGTCACAAGAGTCCACTCATCCAGTGCAAGCCATGGTAACTTTTGTTAGCAATGGCATTCGATTCTCCATCTCCGACCTCTCCCCTCCTCGAAGTCGACTCCTCCCCTGTGTATACCGCGAGCGAGCTGCCATTTCCCTCTACGATGCACTCCACGAATCTACACCAAACTCCGAACCTTTCCACTTTTCCAGAGAGACCATAGTGCAAGTCGCGCAGACCCTTGCAAGATTTAAAAGTATCTGCAATATGTACGACGTGCAGAAGGAGAACATCAGTGTATTCGCAACGGAGGCCATGCGCACAGCCAAGAATAAAGATGAGATGCTTTTTGCGATCAAGGAATCGAGTGGATTGGCTGTTGATATCTTGAGTCCTGGCGTGGAAAGTCTGTTCGGGGCAATGGGTGCAAGGAGCGGCTTTCAACGCGTTAATGGACTGTTCATGGATCTTGGCGGCGGCAGCGTCCAAATGACTTATGTCAACTCCACCGCGGAGGAAAACTACGATGTTCTAGCTGCAGATGCTGCAAGAAGCTTGCCGTTTGGAGCTGCGAAGCTCTCTATGGCTTTGGGTAGCCAGAACACTGCGCATGCAGCGAAGGCTGAGTTGCGGGCTAGAATGAGAGAGACTTTCGAGGAGTTAACAACAAGGTTCCCGAAACTGAAAAAAGAGGCAGAGCAGGAGGATGGGATAACAATATACTTCTGTGGAGGTGGCTTCCGAGGATATGGCAGTATGTTGATGCATACTGACCCTATCCAACCCTATCCTATCCCAGTTATCGGTGGATATACTGTTCAAGGGCATCGCTTTATTAAGTGGCGGGAGATGTTACATGCGAACAATCATGAAGGAAAGGTCTTTGGAATGTCGACAAGAAGAAGGGATCAATTCCCGGCCATTGCTACGGTGGTCCAGGCTATTGTTGAAGCCGTGCCGAAAATTAAGCAAGTTGTCTTTTGCAGTGGTGGAAACCGAGAAGGCGTTCTTTATATGAAATTGCCCGTTCAAGTTCGAGAAAGCAACCCACTATCTTTTATCTTAGGGGAAGTTATGTCCGGGAATGATGGCATCGCCAGTGCAGTGTCAATAGTCATATCGTCAGGGTTAGCGAATCCCTATCCGGCTCTCTTCTCCAGCCAGATTCTCCAATATGTGGCGAGTCACACCTGGTTAGATATGGGCAACCCTGATAGTTCCAATTCCGCAAAATCTCTGCATAATCCGATCTCCGGTCTCCTAGCTGGTATTCCTGGCATGACCCACGAGACGCGAGCGATTCTCGCGCTTACCATGTGTGCCAGATGGGGATCTGATCTTGCCCCAGGAGATAAAAAGCTAGCCGACAATCTTCAATCGTTAATTGGGCATGAACTTAGCTGGTGGTGCCGATATATTGGTACGATTGCTAGACTGTTGGCACTTGTAGTGCCTACATGTCCTTCAAGTGAGCAGGCAATAGACAAGGCGCTATCATTACAGGCCTCAGCATCCTCCTGTTTAGGCAAAAAGGGCCACAAGGCTGGCATTCGACTGAGGATCAATATACGCCATGCAGTCTGCCCTGGGCTTAACACGGAAGCAATCGAAGGCCTGTTTGCCAAAGTTGGTAAGAATCTTCAAGTGAACTGGAAAGTGGAGCTAGATGTGGTCGAGTTATGATCGATGGCGCTTTCCGAGGCCCGGACTTAGATAACGAGACTGCGAGGCAAATGTACATATAGGAAAAACGACTCCGAGCAGGACTTTCCGATCAGCATTGGCATGAGTTGGATCTATAGATCAAAACAGTGTCATATTCAATAATAGCCCCGCGAATTTAAAGAGTGCCTTATTACAAGGAATATTATATCAAAACATAGATGAGAACCTATCATGTGGTCATTCGATGTATGTAACATCTGCTAAACCGCAGCATTATCAAATACGCCTACCTACCCAAAACAGGGGAAGAACCGATACAATTCCTTTGACCCGAAACCGTGGCACTAGCTAGAGTAAGTGACACTGTATGCCCTCCAATAAGCGGCATCGCTCGTAATCTGCACTTGCCCATCGCTATCCACCATGACATACTTTCCGTCCTCCTTTTGGAGAGAATAACCCTTACTATGCACGAACTCCAGTGTATATGTCTCCGCTCCTTTTGAGCTACCGATCAACTCGGTATGAACGCCAATATACCTCCCATCCTCTGCACTACTAATGGTAAAACTATTTCCCCCCTGGACAAGGCTATGCACAACCCATCGCTGAGCAATATCCTCATGCTTCACAGTCGCCTTCGTGCCAATAAGGCTGCCCGCCGACTTTCCTGGGTTCGTGAGAGCATAGCCACTGAGCTCGAATACAATGTATCTTCCCTCGGTGACTGACCCACGCATAGCCTTGGCTCCGTCTTCCGAAAGGCTGGAGACCTTACCTGGATCAATCTGGCTGGTATATGGGACGTCTGGCCGGGTAACATTGTATTTATTTTCACAGTAACTCGCACCATCGTAATTTCCAGAAGCATCCTGATGTGGAGCGGGGGCATCTGGAATAAATGGGAGGGAGTAGTCTGGATTGGCAAAATCGAAGGCATTGACGAGGGATGACATATGCTCTCTCCTCCAAGGCACCATTTCGTTTGTCGTGACATTCTTGCCTTTCGCTGAAAGCCACTCTTCGATGAAAATGATTTGAGAATTGTGATCGGCGGCTTCCGTGAATACTGATCCCCCTCGAGTCCAGGGGCTAATAATGTAGAATGGAACACGAAACCCCGGGCCACTATAAGTATATCCTACATTGTTATAAGGATCTTCGACCCATTCCCCGGGCGTATCAAGCGGAGAATGGTATGGGGTCACTTTTCTCATGTCAGCAAGTTGAGTTAGTTCGCAATTGAGATGTCAATGAAAGTGACACATGCTCGAAAACTAGAAGCTCATGCCGGAACGCTCAAGACGCCTCACAGCAAGAGAGTGGTTTCACGAAAAACAATGCATACCGTGATCTCCCCATCCACCTGTCTCATCGTATGAAATTATAAGGGCTGTTTTTGAATACCCAGCCCCTGTTGTGACTGCATCTACGACCTTTTTTTGCAGCCATGCCCCGTCTCGTGGAGCATATGGCGGATGTTCAGATAATTGGGGTGGGCCAACTATAAAGGATATGGCAGGGAGAGTGCCATTTGCTGCCTGGGTATAAAAGTCGTTAAGCGTGCTGCCAACCATCCCTTTATTACTGAGGGGGGATCCCGGTAAGGCATCTTGGAATTGAGCGAACCAGGCAAGCGGGTTGTCGTCAAAATTATCTTCATCCTGATAAACCGACCAAGACACACCAGCATCCTGGTATATCTCAGGTGTTGTCTTCCAAGATAACGGGTAACAATTGAACCCGCCTTCCTCACAGCCGGGTGTTTCATTGTTATCAATATAGGGGTATCCCCCTTGAGACTTAGTTTGCGGAGAGCCGGGGACATTGATCGACCCTGATACCCAGAAGACACGATTAGGGTTTGTTGCAGCTATGACAGATTCCTAGGGTGGATTAGAACGGAGTTCATTGAGAGAGCGGCTTCCACGCCGAGAACTGATCCAAAACCAGTCAAACATTGAAGCACGACTTGCCTGATACATGTCACCAACAGTCCAGCCATCAGCAATAGCGTATTGCACAGGTATGTCACTTCTTCGATAATGGCCCCAGCTCCATGGGGTGTTGTTCGTTGCCCAATGGTTGTTCAAACCCCCATTAAGAGCAGCGTGGTTATCTTGCCAACTATTCTCACCAGCAACCATACATTGGGTTGCCTCCAGATAACTCCCGCCTTGATGATTGAGATACCATGGGAGAAGATAGGGGGCGGAGGTACTTAAATTCGAATTAACCGCTTGTTGCCAAACAGGCTTGCCATCGTTGACTTGGACGTTGGGATCCGAGAATCCTCGAACCCCGGCCATAGTCCCAAAGTAGTGGTCGAAGGCACGATTCTCTGAAGCAAGTTAGGAACACATACACAAATGCTCACGCACAAGGGAATCGAAGAAAATCAGGTTTTCACCTTGCATGAAGAGCACAACGTGCTCAATATCTGTGATAGAGCCCGTCGATGCTGGGGCCACCAATAACGGATGTATTGCTGCAAATGCCCAGACGAACTTTAATTTGACTGTCATGGTGGAATTAGTTGTTGCAGACGACGTCAAGCTCTGCAAAATGCAGAAAAGGGAGCGCACATATATATACACCTATAGCCGCGCATACGCATGCACATGCAAATATATGAATCTTCATGACTCGTTTCACTGGGGACCCCGCAAACATAGTGGTCGTCCGTCAAGGGCATATAGCACAAAGGCTCGCAGATTTAGTTTAGGTTCGCCCCCTTTTCCACAAGGATCGCATATCAACCTCCCCAGGATAGTCGATCGCATCCACAGGTGCTTGGGCAAGATCTCGCTGTCCGTTGGCAGAGGTAGAGCTCCAGTTGGGAATAGCAGGATAGGTGCTACGCTTCGAAATAAGCACCGTACCTTCGGATCGGACTCGGCAAACGATGATGTTTGCAAGTGGCTTGTTTTATATTTCGTGAAGACGCGTTGAGGAGCACCTGCGCGGTACACTTGCCTACCAATTGCGGTTAGCCTAGCCCATGTACCCTCACACGATAAACACGTGCACTGACTAACGAACTAGGTACCTAGGTACCTATCCTGCAACAACACGCCCAGCTTCTATACTCTTGCTGAGCCCGAGCAACAGAACAAACCCATCCTAAGAACTTGGAAGACTTTTAAACCGGATAAGGCGGTGTCCTTAAATTGTATGCGGACGTGCGAAGGAAAAAACTGATGGCTCGGTGCAACGACTAAGAGACTGAGTGGGCAAAACTTGGCCCCCGCCCCCGTATAACACGGCGCAACGGGAGGCACCATGAGAGCTACAGAAAGCCCCCGAAGAAAAAGCTGTGTAATGCTCACATCGTTACCCACAGATGTAAATGAATCTAGAGCTTCAGCGGGGCTTTTGGCGGATGATGAAAGGGATGCCGGTGGCTGCGGGAGTCCGCCCGAAGGAGAGAAACGTGATGAAGGCAGCTGCGGTGATGATGAGGTTAGCAGGAGGTACGGAAACAGGAGCAAATATCTTCGGCTCGTGGGGCTCATCTTTGCCGTCATTCTACTCACTCTCATCAGCATTTCTTCGTATATGAAGTTGCTCCTTTCCACATCCAACATTTCTCCCCTCGATATCCCTGCAGAGCTCGAGGATGGAGATGGAGATAGGGCCAAGAACAGCGTGTTTGGAATTCAGCTCCACCCGGAATATCATGCGGAACGTGTTGCAAAAACCATCACACATCACTGGAGTATCACATCGGATTACCGCTTTCCAGATGGTGTTAAGAAATCGGTTTACCTTGTCAATGGACAATTCCCTGGTCCGACCATCGAGTGTCGCTCAGGTGACCGATTGGTCATCCATATCACCAACGAGCTGTCTACGGATGAAGGGGTCTCAATACATTGGCATGGTCTGCATATGCGGAATTCCAATGCTATGGATGGAGCTGTTGGCTTCACCCAGTGCCCAGTTCCCAAAAGTAGGACTTTTTCTTATGAGTTTGATATTGATCAAGACCAGCACGGGACCTTCTGGTGGCATGCCCATTCTGAAGTTCAAAGGGGTGATGGAATGTACGGAGGGCTCGTGGTCCATAGGCCGTCGGCGGGGAAAACCGAAATGGAGGAATATGGATATGAGCGAGATGTCCTACTTCTTATTGGAGATTGGTATCATCGAACGGCTGGAGAGGTTCTCGATTGGTATACTAGTGTCCGCGGATTTGGCAATGAAGTAAGTTCTGTGCCAAGCTTATCCTCTCTCACTCCTTCTTGTACTAAAACTGGAAAGCCCGTCCCAGACTCATTACTCGTAAACGGTGTGGGAAGATTCATATGTTCGATGGCAGTACCTGCAAGGCCAGTCGAATGTTCCGATATAACAATAGATGGGATTTCTGCACTGCTTGGGTCAAATAAAGACCTCGCGCTAACAAGACTAAGGGTAGTTAATGTCGGGTATATATGCATTGGAATTTTTGTTTTATGAGTACGCTAATCCAGTTCCAGGTCACTTGCGGGCTTTACCCTCGGAATCTCATCAGGAACGTTTACCCCTCTGAAATTGGACGGAGGTAGGCCCATCTCAGGGTCGCCTTCAAATTCTGTTGGAGTACTATATCCTGGAGAACGGGTAGATCTCCTTCTAAAAGTACCCAACCAAGATGCTGTTTCTTCATCGTTACATATTAACTTAGATCCAGAGTAAGTATTTATTTCCCAGTATGCCTATAGTATATAACTCTTACTTTATCTCAGAAATTTCAAGTTCCCAAACCCTGCTCTGCGGCCCAATCAAACATTTTCGCTTATATCTTCCGTCCAAGATATTCCCATCAGCGATAGAAAACGGCATGCTCTAGATAATTCGTCAAATTTTGACCTTGGCTCCGCTATTTCCGCTGAGCCCAATGACTCCAATTCCTCATTTCCAGAGCATCCGCACCAAATCATACTGTTATACATTAGGACCGAGAAACTGGCGAAATTCGCCAATCACCCCATGGGCTTCATCAATCGGACATCATGGTTACTGCAGAACAACCCAGCTCTCCCCCTCATTTCTCTTACAAGGAGCCAGTGGGACTCGAACCAATTCGTTCCATGGGTTCCTACTTCACAAACAACCGAAACTTGGGTTGATATCATCCTCAACAATCTTGACGACGGCGCTCATCCGTTCCATCTCCATGGCCACGATTTCTACGTTCTGGCATCATATCGCTCCGAGCATGGCTGGGGGAGTTATTCCCCTTATGCATCATCGGGGTCATCTGCTTTAAAGCCAAAGCTAAATTTGAAAAATCCACTGCGGAAGGATACGGTTGCCGTTCCCAGAAGGGGTTATGTGGTGCTGAGATTTCGTGCAGATAACCCCGGTATCTGGATGCTCCATTGCCATGTTTTATTTCATCAAGCAAGTGGAATGGCGATGGGGATTTTAGTAGGTGGGAATGATGCCCATGACAATTTGGATTTAGTTCCAAAGGAGTCTTGCCAAAACGTTGATTGAATAGTGGACTCGAGCAACACTAAGAAAAACACCTTACTAAAGGATCTCGGAAGTTTATAGGAATCGTGACTAAAGAAAAGAAATATATCGACCAAGGTCCACAGAACCGTAGACTCTATAATGAATTTCGAAATGACAATGTTGACGGGCAATAGTACTATGTAGCTAGGCAACGAGGCAACTCTGCGGCTAAGCTGTCACTCACCACTCAACTTCAACTTTACCACCACCCGCCAAACTCCTCCTCACCGTCAAAGACCTGAACACCAACTGACTTCACAACAAATTCACGTGACTTATCATGGGACCGCAAAGCCCATTAAAACAGTCCTGAAGTTTTCAAATAACAGTAAGTACACATATCCTTTGACCCATTTATATAGATGCGTCTAGATTTACATTACTTACAAAACTTAGACCCAAGACAGACCAAAGGTGATCGTGTGTGGTTACCCTGTGGCCGACTTCAAAACAAAAGATCCTCAAAGCTTTCAAACCACAGTATGTAGTCCTTTGAGATATACGTATAAAACCGGTTCTATAGACTTACAAATAACTAAGCCTAAGGCTCCAGATTCCTAGTCTGCCTAGAACCCAATCCTCTGAATTCGCTCTTGATTCAAAGCCAACATCCCTCAAGATGTGCAATATATACAAAACTATATTTGCATGCCGCCATAGTAAGGAGTGGCCGGTTATATGTATCTTTGTGCAGCGGAGCTTGGTCAAGAATCCTAAAGATTGTCCCAGGTTCCATCAGACTCAGTTTACAAAGATCGAAATTTGTCCTGCGTGCGAGGAGGAGAGCAATGAAGCTGTTGGCAACATCGCTGTGAAGGCTAGGGTGGTTGCGGGCCACCTGCGGTGCGCTGTTATGTGATTATCATTGGATTCTGCTAGCTGCTAGAGGATAAGTGGGTGGCGCGGTAGCAAATTAATTGCGGACATATGATTCTTAACTTCTCTATCAGTGGCGTTGCCAAGGGTATATTCTAGACGATGGGATAAAGATGAATAATGAATACTTTCTGATCTCAAGATGCTTTGAAGCTAGATGCTTTGAAGATAACGAATGCCAATAGTCCTTTCAAGTGACTTCAGATACTTTTACAATGTGAATTGGTGAGAATGACAATATCTTGTATTGTGCCACGACAATTGAATGGGGAGGATTACTACAGGACACGAAACAGATACACTAGTGTTATGTCAAGGTTCACTCTATCACCGTTCTATACCATTAAAATTCAAGTAGAATCCCGCAATAGAAACCAGTCGCACATCACTTCCCGACTTCAACACATACGTTAGATTCATAGTGTGAAAGGTATATTCTCACTTTACGATGTGATTAGTTCAAGGTTTTTGTTTGGTATTACATGGATTACATGGGTTCAGTTGCAAAGCCTGATTTTCTCTTTCAAGATTAATAAAGCCAATAATAACGTCAACCCATTGTCCAGTACTTCTTCTAACAAAAAGCGAACAATGGCATTGTTCATCTTCAGTTACAGAAGATGTATAAGTACGCAAACCTGGTCCTATTTGATTGAGACATCTAGTCCAACTTGTTCGGTCTGTCGATACTTCACTGAATACTTTGTATTATATACCTCCAAGTAAGTATACCCAACACTCCCCTCTGACGACGTTACCATCCCCTTAGCACAATTCCATCGATTTAAGCGCAGCCAAAATGTGCAAAGAAATCATCGTCCATCACCCTTGCCAGCATACCACCAGAAACATCGCCCATTGCGGCCACCACCTAGGAGCTGCATGGCGCATATGCCCTAACCTCGTGGGACCGGAGGATGAAGACGCAGAGAGGCTTTGCCCCGTGTGCCGGGGCGAGATGAAGAGAAGGATAGCTGAGAAGAACAGGAGAGCGGCAGAGAAGAACGCGGCGAGGGATGGTGAGCCTATGAGCTGGCGGGTTTTAAATTGGGCATGGATATGATCGAGACTGATAAAATAACGAGATTGGGGGCAAGGCAATGTAATCAAGGAGTGAGGTTGACCAAGAATATCCAAATAGAAAATGACCAATGTGCGGGCGGAGGTCAGAAAATAGTTAAAAGTACCGGATACAAGATGGGGAGTAACAGAATAGAAAAGGCGATAAATACATCACGGATTTCAAGTAAAGGACGTAAGATCTTACTTTTCACCCCCTTAATTAATTCCAGATAAAAGGAATCATATCAAAGAAACATGAACTAGCCTAGATATGGGACGTTTAATCTATAGAAAATACTACCCAAAATGTGATCCCGAATATATAACGAGCGCCTGAGAATCTCAACCATGTATATCTTACACATTATACGCTCCATTTCGCTTTTGGACCTCGTAATAATACAACTGGTGTCTAATCTTCCACCAGTAGTTTAACATTGATATTATGCCCCAACTCCCACCCTTCACGCAGCTAGGCGGCAAAATGTGCTCAACGTGGCTCGACCGAACGACCGACCTGGCCGTTAGAAGTTGAACTCTCCCCTCGCTTAAACTTCGAAGGACCCGGGCTAGGTATTATGTCACCGTCAGCCGTAACCATTACCCTCTCCGTTGTATTCCAATCCTCCTCCTCCGAATCTTCACTTTCAGCGTCAGCTTCACTTTCGCTACCTATGCCTTGTGCTATTAAGTGATGTTTATGCGCCTCCAACTGGGCTTCTTCCCTCATCTTTGTGATCTTAATATAATTGTATGCAGCGATGGCGCCGATGGTAACGAAAAGGCCCGATATGTTAATTGGGGTTAGCGTATCCCCAAAAACAATTGCCGCAGCGGAGATTGTGACGACTTCTTTGAATATGCCTGCGATAGAGAGTGTCACGACCGAGGTCCGTTGAAGTAGTGCAAATTCAGACGCAGTCATGCAGAAGGCTATAATTCCAGGGAAAAGCAACAGGCAGGGGCCGAGGATCTGTCCTTTCGTCGCGATGAGGAGCTTGAGTCCTTCCAGTAGCGCGGGAAAGCCCTCGACAGGAATGGCGAGTATAAGAAGCGAGACGAACATGACTGGAGCTAGGAAAAAGATGGAGGAGAATGGATTTGATGTTGCGGGATTGCGTAAGAGTAGGATTTGCGTCAGGCCCCAGCGGAAGCCAGAAAAGAAGGCGGCAGAGATGACTAAAATGAAGCCCAGCGCCGAGAAGTCGACTTCGCCAGCTACCATCATCACTACCCCAATAGTCATCGTGGCAATGATTCCAACAAGGCGCCATGAGGGAATTTCGAGCCGGAATAAGAAGGCAAAGATTAGAACGAATGCCAAAGAGGATGATTTACACATAGCTAGCAATACTTGGTCAGCGCTGAAGTCAGGGTACAAAGAAGAGCGCGGACGTACTATAGAACGTAAGGGTAATGAATTTCAAGCTCGTATTGCCCAATCCAATATCAAGCCCCGTAGCCACGCCGCAAGGCCCTATGCGCGTAAAGTAGAACATTCGAGTCATCAGCGGCTTTTTCGAGTCTGTTTCATGCTGGGCAGGATCCGAATCTTCATTGTGTGTGTTTTCGGGGTTCGAAATAGAGTTGTACCGCGGCCGGAAGCGCGGGAGGAAGTAGAGAACAAGGGACGACAGGGAGAACTGCACCAGCATATGGGTACATGTCGTGAATAGCGGGAAGTGGAAATCGAGATGCTCCTCTGAGAACATCCATTTGTTGTACTGTAGTACGCGGTTAGACGGCCGGTTGGACTCTATCAGGGGGAGGAGATACTCACAATTGATATAGATAACGAAAACACATACCACATGCCAATTAATAAAGCGTTGATCATGCCATTCTTGAACACATATCGGTCTGCCTCTTTCTTCTCCTCCTCGGTGATCTGTACATCGCCAGCAATCCTTTGGTCCAGGAGTGTGTTCCTCCTCTTCCGCCGCCTTCTCCTTCCTCTATGTTTCCCCGTCAAGCCGGTCTCTTCATCATCCTCCAACCCTTCATCTGAGAAGTCATCCAGCTCCAGCTCCTCACTGATGCTCATGGTGTCATCCTCCAGCAGACTGTCCACGGCCTTGGGCTCTTCTTGTATTGGATCTCTCTTAGTGGGCGACAATGAGGTCCGGTTGGGTATCCCAGGGAGGCTACCATCCAACGTATTCATCACACTGCTCCTCCGCCGCCGATGCCCCGAGGGTTCGGGTTCCATGTTTCTGCGACCAAGACGAGGGATGGGGATTCGAGCGACAGCAACGGTGGCAGCGGCATCAAGAGTCCCTATATCGTGGCTAGCACTGGTGCTATTGGCATGCGCTAGGAAGCTGCAGGCTGGGGACTCGCAGGCTGGTGTTCCCCGCAGAAATTGAAGTGGGCCAGAGGATGGAGGCAAAGATTGAATATGGCTGGTGCTGCTTTTGTTACTGTTGTTACTGTTAGTATCGGGCTGGACAGGGTGTTGTGGAGGGTCGTTCGTACATAACCGGAAATCCCCAATGCCGTTTTTTACATCACGGGCTCGTGGCTGGCAGCGCACCTGCACAGAGTCACAGACGGCCTGTCTGCGATGTCGTGAATGGGGCTGGTGGTGTCTTGGGTGTCCTTGGATATCTTGGACCGCAAAGCAAATCGGCCTTGGGTGCAAACGCGCTGGTGATCAAGCGACGTTCTAGATCTAGAATCTGACAGGGAGGTGAGACATGTGGGAGACACAGGAGAAGGAAGTCCGAAGTAGCAAAGCAAACGGCGACGCTTTTTATTTCCTGGTACTAGCTAATCAATTGTTAATCTGGTATTCCTAAGTACTCTCTTTGTAGTAGAATCATTCACAATGTCACAAGAAAGGCAGAATCCTGCGGAGTTTAGAGCTATTCTATTTCCCCCGCTTACTTCTAAGTGAGTGATTGAGGTCAGCTGATGACACCCGCTCGGCAGGTGCGCCATAAATACCTTGGTAGGTATAATAGCAATGTAGCAACGAGTACAGGTATGTAGATTGAACAGCGTATGCCAAAGTGCGCAACCATGAGCATTTATCTTATGTGTATAATGTATTGTATACTAACTCTATGTTGGCACCTAGGTACGAGTACCTATATCTGTGCGATGTTTTCACGGTCTACCCACTGATTACCTAAGCATACTTCTAAGAACGCCCGTGACGATAGCGGTAAATACAAATAGCCAAAACTAATATCTTGAAGGCATCTTAAGGCAGTACGAAGGCAGATCAAGCTCTCCAGCGCAATCCATCCTCTCCCGCTAATAATGATTAGCTACGGCGTTGCAAGTGCAATTGCACATGTCGCTCGAGTTTCGAAGGATAAAGACAGATACAAAGGCAAAGTGGGCCCAAACACGCTTTAGACAGCAAGCATACGGCAGGTAAGCAACTTTAGAGCCTTCATTTTAGCTTGCCGGCTACCTAGATTCTAAGCTGCTCTTACTATTAGTAAGATAGGTAGTTATGCTTAAGGCAGTTAGTTGTCTCTTCTATTCTCTATTCTTTCTTCGTCGTCAACGTCGTGGGCTACGGAGTAGCTCTTCGCCCCGCTACGCCTATGACGTCTACAACTACAGCGAACAGCTACTGTCTTCCCCCTCCGCATCATACCTCTAATCATGCCCGAAGGTTAAATTTTAAGCCTACTCAACTCCCTTTTACCTCCAGCTACCGAAACTATTAAGTAGGAACGTCCAGTGCTACACCAGTTCCAGTTCCGGTTCCAGTCTCATCGGGCTACGAGAGCCAAACTAACTCCAACTACAATTCCAACTCCAGCTACCACTTTCGGAGACCAAGCTTCTCCAATCACAATTACAATTTCGTTTCAGATGCAATCGCGGCTGTAGCAATAATCAATTACACTATATCTCCATCATGGCCACGGTAGGTACAGCTCCAAGCCAAATGCATATCCCCACCCGACGATCTGGGACGGGATACCTCCCCATCGAGAATTATGGTTTGATTGGCAATATGAGGACCTGTGCTCTGGTGGGTATCGATGGTAGCATTGATTTTATGTGTTGGTAAGCTCGCCATCCCTCTTCTTTCCCTGTCCTGTTTCCGGTGGCTCCGGGGCTGCTTCGTCTTTATAATCCTGAGCACCAAGCCGCGACATACATTGACCACCCAGTCTCACAGGCCGGACTTCGACTCCCCTTCCATTTTTTGCAGGCTCCTCGACAAGGACAAAGGCGGATACTTCAGCATTGCACCTCCAGCAGACGTTGTTACTTTCACTACCAAGCAGCAGTACCTGCCATCCACTACCATATTACAGACGCGATACATCCACGAAGATGGAGTTGCCGACCTAATTGACTTCTTCCCCCGTCCCAAGGAGACCCGCGTAGTGGCCAAACTACCCCAGCAAATGCCTTACCGCGAGTCGGTCTCGGTGCAGGATGAGCTGAAGAGATGGCTGGTTCGGAGAGTCGAGTGTATTCGTGGTAAAATTGATATAGGTATTGTCATCTCCCCTTCACCAGAATCGTTCCTGCTAAGAACACTGTGGATAGACGTGGAGATATTTCCAGCCTTTGACTACGCCCGGGCTGAACACGACGTCGAAATTACTATCCCAAACCATACCCGGGGATGTGAAAAGAGCAAGACCGTCACGTTCTCAAGTAATGACATGAAGCTCCAGCTAGACGTTACGATTGATCATGGCGAAGAAGACGCAGAATCTTGTCCTGCGGTAAACTTTAGGAAGGTGAAAAATCCAGGCATGAAGGGAGAGGGCGTTGTGGCACACATCCATCTGCAGGAAGGACAGGCAATATCTTTTGTCCTTAGGGACGATATCCCAAACCATGTCACTCCAAATGTGACGACTGGAGACCTTGATCGGCAGCAGCAGTCCACTCAAACATTTTGGCATAATTGGATTATGAAGAGCAAATACAAAGGGCTTTGGCGGGAGGTTGTTTCAAGGAGTCTCTTGATTCTGAAGCTGCTGACCTATGAACCTACGGGCGCGATCGTGGCAGCTCCAACGTTTTCGATTCCCGAAGATATTGGTGGAACTCGGTGAGTAGTTTGCTTGATGTCTGTCATTTCTTCCCAGTCTTCCGGCGAACCAGGCCCTTCTTGCTGATTTTGATGCTTTAATATCCTATCCGGCCAATGGTAGCCTTGTCCTGTCGTATTTTAGTTATTGAGTTGCATACTCCACGAATCTACTAGCTAACCGGAACAGCAATTGGGATTACCGATATAGTTGGGTGAGGGATTCCAGCTTCACAGTTTATATCCTCCTCCGGATGGGGTTCACCACGGAAGCAGACCATTATATGAACTTCATCAGCGAGCGATTCCGCAAATCCCGATCTGCGGATGGCGCTTTGCCAATCATGTTTACCATCAGGGGTGACACTGATATCCCCGAAATTGATCTCGAGTAAGTTACCCTCACTCCGGCCCTGAACAAAACAATTGATATAATTTAGCCACCTTTCCGGCTACCGCGACAGTAAACCAGTGCGCATTGGTAACGGGGCAGCTTACCACGAACAATATGATATATATGGTGAGCTGATGGATGCCATTTATTTATATAATAAGTACGGTAAGCCGGTCACGTGGGAACAATGGGTGGCTGTAAGGGAAATCCTAGGTATAGCCCTAACTAGATGTAGCAACGCAATTCAAGCTAACTATGTATTAGACTATGTGTTGACTATTATGAATCGTAAGGCTTTCAACCTGTACTACTTTTCCTAGGTTGAAGACAAAAGCATGTTCCATTTTTATGGGTCATTGGGAGAGACTGCAGTAATGCGGAGAATCTTCCGTCCCAATTACTCCTTTCCTAATAGAAGGGGCTCTAGTGCCCACTCCTTCCAGTAGTCATGGAAGGAGTTTTTCTTCTTCCCCTATCCGGTTCAATTTCTTAGCATAGATCACTCACCGAACAATAGAACCGGATATGTCAATTTGGGAGGTCCGCAACAAGAAGCAACACTTCGTGTACTCGAAGATCATGCTGTGGGTCGCATTTGACCGTGGGCTCCGTCTCGCAGAAAAGCGCTGTCTCCCATGCCCAAATCGGAACGCATGGCTAGCAGCAAGAGATGGACTGTATGAGGAGGTTATGCAACGAGGTATGCCTTTTCTACGCTCTGCTTACGCCGACTAATCGTTCCCAGGTTACAGCTCCAACCTCCAATGTTTCATTCAAAGTTATGAAGGTGGTGATCTTCTCGATTCTTCAATTCTTGTTGCCCCTCTCGTCTTCTTTATTTCCCCAAATGACCCGCGATTCCTCCGCACAATCGATCGAATTCTCATGCCACCGGAGAAGGGAGGGTTGACATCCGCGGGTCTCGTATACCGCTATAACACTGAATATTCTCATGATGGTGCTTCCATCCTACCAACTTTTGAAGCTCATCCTGACAGTGGTGTAGGAGTCGGCGGCCGCGAAGGTGCCTTCAGTATGTGCACATTCTGGCTCGTGGAGGCTCTCACACGTGCGGGCGTCTATGAGCCGAAATACCTCGTCCGCGCTACCAATATGTTTGAGAATATGCTCAGCTTCTCGAACCATCTGTGCATGTTCTCTGAGGAGATTGCGAGGTCGGGGGAGCAGCTGGGGAACACACCGCAGGCCTTTAGTCACCTTGCATTGATTTCGGCGGCATTTAACTTGGACCGTGCTACGCAGTTCAACCGTTAAACGGATTGGGTTGGAAGGATGTGGTGGGCTCTCGATTTTGACGGCACGAGTATACATGAATGTATGGGGTAGCGGCGAATTTGGAATAGTGACGGGTTACTTGTATAGTCTAGATATAGTCAATAGATGTATTACTAAAGCGAGTAGACATGAAGCTAGCAACTAGGCAAGTCGACTCGCAAGCGGGGGTCCATTATTATCAGGACAACACATGATCACCTTTCCGTTTTCTGTACTTCGTACTATAGTAGAATCATCAATAAATACAAACAAAGCCCCCAATAAAAATATGAATTCCATCGCTACATACCCCACCAAAAGCTCACCTCCACTTAACGGGGGCTCGTATCCATATACTCGAACAGATGTAATACATAGAAGCATCCTTCCAAAAGCGACAAAAAGCGATGTTTGTTGCACATCGCGATTGGATATCTAAAAATGTCCTCCAACTGTTTTCTCGCCCCGGCGGCACGGATAATATCTCCAAAATCCAGTTACGGGGTGCTGGTTTGTTGTTGCCTGGGCCGAGGAGTATTTTTAGAATCGTGAGCTTCTTCTCATCACATGTGGGGCTGAAGTTGAGGCGTGAAGGTGGTATAGTTTGAGTTGGAAGATAGAAGTGAATGCCTTTATGTTTATTCTCTTTCCTTCTCGATTGGATGAGATGGCGAAGTTCTCTACTATCAGGTTTGCTTATTGGTTTATTACGACTTGGAGGAGGTAGGTTGCTGTATCTCCTCATCGCAGAACCTATGGAGCTTTGGAACCGAGTTCTGGAATTAGGGCACCGCAAACAACGTCCTATTTGGATATCGTTCTATCTACTCGAAATCCCACCTCTAACCCAATACCTTCAAACCACCCTTCGTCTTGCTACCCGCCTTGTGTACACCAGCCCCCGTCCTATCCCTATCCGATTCCCCTCCTTTCCCCTTGTTCCCTCCACCTTTCTGGTTCTTCCCATGCTTCCCATGCTTCGCATCCTTAGGCCTAACAGCCTTAATCTCCGTAGTGCTCCTCCTCAACAGCACGGGATGACTCCCTATATACTTCCCCTGCATCTCCCTCGCGGCCGCAAAGAACTCCTCGCCGTCGCTAAAACTAACAAATCCATACCCCTTGCTCTTCGTCGTCCGCTTGTCGCGTATCACACGCGCCTTCTGGATCGATGGCCACCGGGAGAAAGCTTTGTAGAGGGATTCGTCGGTGACTTCACCTGCAAGATTACCGACGAAGAGGCGGAAATGTGCCGGGTCCCATTCTAGAAGGGAGGAATCTGTCCAGGTTGAGCCGCCGCCTGAGCGGACGACGGTCTTCTGTGAGGGGTCTTTAGAATCGGACACGATGTTTGCAACATCCGAGTCGACGTGCGCGGCGCTGCTCATGGCCGCGGAGCTCATGGATGGCCCGGTCTTCTCCGGTGGTCCAGCTCCCAGTGGTGCTGCATTTGCGGACGTAGCTGCTCCAGCACCTTCCCCGGTGTTTGGATACCGCCGCACCGGCCCCGTGTACCCTGACGTGCCGGTCGGCGTGGTTGTATCTCGAGCGGCGTATGCCGACTGCCACTGTGCGATTTGAGCGGCCATATCAGGATCATCATCGTAACTTCGGGCCCCTCCAGCGGCCGAGGGTGGGGCGAAGGGATTCCGGATCTGGGGCGCGGCACCATAATCTTGTTGAGGCGCGGCGTATCCCCCATATGCTGGTTGCGGAGGCTGGTATGGCGGCTGTGCTTGATATGAATTGTAGGACTGTGGCGGCGCGGCTACCTGCACGCGTCTAGGGGCGAAACCGGCGAAGGCAGGAGTAGCAGCGGGATAGGAAGATGAAGATGACGATGACGAAGGGGCTCGTGAGGTAGCGGCATTGTATGCTGGTGGTGTCGGTCGAGGAGGGATGCTTGAGGGCGGCGGACGCGCGGGGAGTGATGGATGTGGAGAGTGCGAGGAGGAGTTGTTGAGACCTGGAGGTGGGGGATAGGACATGATGAATGGCTGGACGTTGCAACTCGTTTTTTGGTATGAGTGTTAGACGTACCTCTTGCGCCTTGTAACGCAGTTGGGTTGTGTTTCCTTAGGAGTTTGATAGGGCGCGGCTGGTTGAGGGTGGATGGATATAAGTTGATTAGTTTGGGTGTGTTGGAGGGGGGCGAGAGGCGTGATGGGAGTATTAGGGGTTGTATTATGGTTTTACTTCGGGGTGGTGGTGAAGGTGGTGATGGTTGTGATATGCGTTAAACAGTGTTGTTTGGTTCTATCCTGTTATCGTGTGTTGTTGTGTTGAGAATATTAGTATTATTATTCTTAGATACCGAAAAGCTTGGATGCGTAGTTGCTGCCTTAGGAATCTAGATTGATGCCTTATTTGGCGGGGTGGGACGGACGACATCATCACCCGCGTAATTGTAATGCGAGCAATGCGAGCAATTCGCTGTATCATATCCGCGGCGATGAAACAAACAACGAGACGGCGGGTGTAGAGGAATGAATATTGGCAACCGGAATACTGCGTACTATGTACTCCGTACCTAGTCGCTGGACTACGTATTGTACTGTACTTTGTACAGACCAGCAGTGGAAGTAGGAAAATACAGAGTCCTCTGTGCAACGAATAGAGTAGAATAATAGCCGTCTGTCAACTCGCTATCCGCTCTACAAAGGCAGCGGCCGTGGCTGCGCCGATTGCAGCTGTGTATTAATTACCTCATCGCCGTAATCGCCCCATCTAGCATATTTAGCCTGCTGCTTTTGCGCTCGTCCTGCTTCCCTCAACCCCTCCACTCTACGTTAATAAGATATTAGTCTTAGCCTCTCCCAATCCCAATCCCAATCCCCCCCCCCCCACTACTACGAGGACAATTATTAGACTATTACTACTTCTCCTGCCCCACGCCTCCCATTGCGAATTCTTCCCTCCTACATCTACATCTGCAACTGCAACAACTGCAACTACATTATATATCTTCTCGTCACCGGCACACCTGTATCGCCGTCCTCATCTCCATCAATCAGTCCCTCATTGCATCATGAGCGGCCCAACGTGAGTTCACCCCTCATCTCTCATCCCCCCACCCCCCGAAACTGCCCCTCCAGCCCGCTGCTTCTCCTCGTGTAGCTTACGAGTTACTCTTGAATCTGAACCCTCTCCTGAACCGGCCGGGCTGAGCTCAAACGCATCGCCGTGCTGGCCGTGGCCGTGGCCGGGGAGGTTGTGGTGCGATCAAGAAGAAGCATGTCTGTCCCATCCTCGAACCATCCCCATTTATGTCTCCTACCAGAGACAAATGATTGATTCCTTGAGTTGACAATGGATTCTACCTCCCCACCAGCGCTCGCCTTGCCAGCATTAACATCGGTGGCTCCGCGACGGCCATCGCAACTGCTACTGCTGCTGCTGCTGCAAGTGCGCAGGCATATCCATCTCCGTTAAATCGCTGCAGCAGTGCTTCCGCCCCGAATACAAATACTGACAATGGCCCTAGAGGAGATTTTGGCCTCATTGGCTTGGCTGTCATGGGCCAGAACCTGATCCTCAATGCTGCGGATCATGGTGCCACCGTCGTTGCTTTCAACCGGACCGTCTCCAAGGTTGACCACTTCCTCGCGAATGAGGCAAAGGGTAAGTGAAGATGGTACACGTTAACCTTTCCCCTGCAGCCTCCAGCTCCAGTCCCAGCTCCGAAGCCATTACAACCTGATGCTAATTGGGCCATTTACAGGCAAATCCATCATCGGTGCTCACTCCATCGAGGAGTTCGTCAGCAAGCTCAAGAAGCCCCGCCGCATGATGCTCTTGGTCATGGCCGGTAAGCCGGTCGACGACTTTATTGAGACTCTTCTCCCCTTCTGCGAGAAAGGCGATATCATCATTGATGGCGGCAATTCCCATTTCCCCGATACCAACCGCCGCGCCAAGTACCTGGCCACCAAGGGCATCCGGTTTGTCGGCACTGGCGTGTCTGGAGGTGAGGAGGGTGCCAGATATGGCCCTTCGTTGATGCCTGGTGGAAATGAAGAAGCCTGGCCCTACATCAAGGATATCTTCCAGAGCATTGCCGCCAAGAGTGATGGCGAGCCTTGTTGCGAGTGGGTTGGTGATGGCGGTGCGGGCCACTACGTCAAGATGGTGCATAACGGTATTGAGTATGGTGATATGCAATTGATCTGCGAGGTAGGCTGACTATCCTATCACATGGCCTTCGTCCTGCTAACACCGCTAGGCATATGATATCATGAAGCGTGGGTTAGGCATGCCAAACAAGGAGATTGGTGATGTTCTCACAAAATGGAACAAGGGCGTTCTGGATTCGTTCCTGATCGAAATTACCCGCGATATCATGTACTTCAATGACGATGATGGAACGCCTCTCGTGGAAAAGATCCTCGACTCCGCCGGCCAAAAGGGTACCGGCAAATGGACCGCCATCAACGCCCTCGATCTCGGCATGCCCGTCACCTTGATCGCCGAAGCCGTGCTCGCCCGTTGTCTCTCTTCAGTCAAGGGAGAGCGGACAAAGGCCTCCGAGATCCTCACCTATGTCGGTCGGCAAAACAAGTTCGACGGCAACAAGGAGCAATTCCTTGACGACCTAGAGCAGGCTTTGTATGCATCAAAGATTATTTCATACGCACAAGGTTTCATGCTTATGCAAGAGGTAAATCATCCCTTCACCTAGATATGAACAGATTTCTAACGACTCAATTCAAAGGCCGCCAAGGAATACGGATGGAAGCTTAACAAGCCCTCTATTGCCCTCATGTGGCGCGGTGGTTGCATTATCCGTTCTGTCTTCTTGAAGGATATCACAGCCGCCTACCGTGACAACCCAGACCTTGAGAATCTTCTCTTCAGCGAATTCTTTAACAAGGCCATCCACAAGGCCCAGCCTGGATGGAGAGATGTTGTTGCCAAGGCCGCCCTTCTTGGGATACCCACCCCAGCCTTCTCGACCGCCTTGTCATGGTTCGACGGATACCGAACCAAGGACTTGCCAGCTAACCTTCTCCAGGCCCAAAGAGACTATTTCGGTGCCCACACCTTCAAGATCAAGCCCGAGTTTGCCAATGACAAGTACAAGGTTGGTGACAACATCCACGTTAACTGGACTGGACGTGGTGGCAACGTTAGCGCCTCTACATACCAGGCATAAAATGTTTTGTGCTGCCTTGTGTATTTAAATTATGAGATTATTGTGCAATGAAGAAACGAAGGACGACCTTAAGGTGCCTCGAGTGATATAATAGCTAAAGGGCAAGTAGTATAACATCCCCTCGAAATATATAAAATGCCTATCAAGTATTTCAAATCTTAACTTTCTCGAACGAATCGAATTAACTATGAACTTCCCTCCCGTCCACGAGCAAGCCCTATCTGAAATCCTCCTCTATCCTCCCCACTCGACTTTTTACAGAGTATATAAATTATCTCAGAAATAAAACCTATCCCTGTGAAATACGAAGCCCTTTCCTTGGCTAAATATGTAATGGCGGTTAAATCGGGCCGCATCTCCCTCCTATTCCCGCGCGGCCGATAGAGTTGTAGACCCACGCTCAGCGAATGAGTAAGCAACCCTCTTAACTTCTAGACATCCTTCTACTTATCCTGGGGGGGGGGGGGGGGGTTGGAATGGGTATTAAGGTACAAATAGAGAGAAAGAGGCCGGATCACTCGCGATGAATGAACGTCTTGCCACACCGAGGTTCTAAGTTAATCTGTCTATCTAATATATTTTATAAGTGCTACAAAAAGGGATTCTATTGTAATTAATGTCTTTGTTTAGGATAGAGATATGGTGGCCTTGATAAGTTGGGAATCATTCGTTATGTGGATGGGATTGAAAAGCGAAAGTGATGTTTAGACTTGTGGCGAGTTTAATAGGTTCAACTTATAATATTTAGCGTAGAGTTGAAAATTCGTTTGTTATATTCATTAGGGTAGAGTTTCTAATTTCTCGATTTATATTTAAGATAAATTAGAGTTGTGTTAGATTGTCGGCCTGGAATAGAAAATTGGGAAATAAACGGAAATAAATACCTATTGTAATTGGCTAGGTAGTCAGATATATTACATGTATTTACCTTCTGATCCGAGGCAAATTCCTTGTATATCTCTAATTCCTAGCGTCATATAAGCCAAGACAAGACATGAATGAACCGAATTTTGATATTTGGATTATCGTTTATATCTGGAAGGGGTTTGAAATAGTAGGTGCTCTTTAAAGAACGGACTTGATAACTCAGGATCGGGATTTATCGAAGGCTATTTATTATTCAAGTCCCAAGTTAATTTGAGGAATCCCTATTGTTGTGATACAGATTTTATCTCGTGGTTTCGAATTACTTATTCTATTTAAGACATTAATGACTACGATTCAGTACAGTTCTAGAAGGAACTCGCCATTTTTCCCTTTAGTATATTTTGCAGTCGCAGGGGCAAGGAGTAGAATACGCCTCCGCGGAAATATCAATTGGTATTGTTGTAATATAAAGTAGTTGAAATGGTTGATGTGTGGACTTAACAGGAGTCTTGCTTTTATTAAAATTCACTATCTGGCATAACAATAGCTACAATACAAGCGCCTAATCGAATTGCCATCACGCTCGCTAGCTACAGTCTCGACGTTGCAGCTATAAGTTTCTACACCGACTTCACTTTTCGAACTTTCCACTCTCCTCCTCCGCCGTTCCCCTTGATTTGAATTATCGCCCTTCGTCTCAATTTAAGTCGCAGCTACTGACCCTAATCGAACCCTCTTGCCCCCCAATCTCTCCAATACTTCGAGACGAGTTAACAATGGCTTCTAAAGGCTTTATCCCAAGGAAAGCTCCTGCCAATCCACTCGTCGCGCGAAAGGCCCCGCGGTAGATGCCACCGAAGGCCCAACCTGCCCTAGGCAACACGAACCTCGCAAGGGGATTGGGTCTTTTTGCGCCGTCGACTCAACGGAAACCAGACCTGAAGCTTGTAGATCTTCTTGCCTCTCCACCGCAAGGCACTAGCCTTCCCCAGGTCTTGTCCGCTCCTGGCAAACCCATCGCCCCAGCGGCTCCCAAACCCATCGCCCCAGCGACTCCCAGGGCCAGCAGGCCAGCGACCAAAGAGTTACCAAGTCCTCATGGCACCTCCTCCGCCACCGCAACTACCAGCGCCTCTTCCGAATTCTCCATTTCCCCCACATCGATCTCGCCGCGTTTCCAGGTAGCTCCCGAGAATCATATAGTTGAGGCAGCTCCTGGCAAATCTACAGTTCCGGAGACTCCCAGGGACAGCGAATCAGAGGACAAAGAGACTCCAAGTACCAGTACCATCTCGCTCTTCTCTTCCACGTCCTCCGCGACCACCGCCGCCAGCTCCACTTCGACTCCCTCTACCCTTCCCCGCCCTTCGCCCTCTCCACTTTCCCGGGACACACCCGAGGACCGTATAGTTGACCAGGCCGCTCCTGGCACACCATCATGGGTTTACCCGTCAATGCAGTTTTGGGGTCCCCAGTTTAGCGAATACCGAGACAGCAATACTGATATCTCGGACGACGACGACGATGCCGAATTCTCGTCCCTTCTCTCCGGTTCGCTGGGTCGCGCCCAGTGTCCTATAGTTGACCCGGTCGCTCCGGGCACGCTTCCATCTCCCGACGACGAAGGATGGATGAACTTCATCGCAAACTTCGAGGCAAAGCTTTCTATCGGCACTCCCAATCAATCTCCAAACCTTCTCCCAACGATGATGGAATGCGATTGGATTACGAAAGAGTTCGAGTCAGATTTGGACTACCACGCAGTATTGGTGGACTGGGAAGAGGAGCAGTTGGCTCGAGGGGAGGAAGGGATGCTGTGGGAATTAGATGGCGAGTATGCCCTCGGGGAGAACCTACTCACTGACGTGAGGCAAGATCGTAGGTACTCCCTTTTGGATATCTCTAACTACATGAGGCATTCGGAAACGCGACTGACTTGAATGAAATAGGAGGGAAGCCATGCCAACCATTCACCCTGAAGCAGTTCGCCGTTTGTGGCCCGGTGCTTCCAAGGCGTAAGTTATACTTGCTCCCTGACTGACAGTTATTGGATCGCTGACCTGCCTGGCAGTTGATATACCCTTTTGCCCGTCAGAATTTATGTGGCCGCCTACTAGCTACTACTACAGCCCGGCAGTGGACGGCTGAGGTAGCTGATGGCTAGTGATCTGAGGGTATGAGGATATAACTCGTACTAAATGCTAACATCGACGTTCAATCCTGCTGCCTCACGTGACGCCCATAAGCGAGCTTGGGCTTCCTGACATTGCGATACGTCGCGTCGTCGCGACAATTATTCTTTCCATCTCCATCTCTCCTCCTCCAACCTTCGCCCACTATCTTCGCCATTGTCTTCAAGATGCAGGACCCGAGTCACGGCATCCATCGCGATCTGGTAATTCCAACTCCCCACCCAACCCTGAAAACTGCATGAATCTGTGTGCTGACCCTAATTCTCCAGCAAGCTCATGTCCACCTCCTGTCAACCTATCGTTTCCCCCAGCTCCTCTCCCTTCATCCAGACAAGGCAGCAGAATGGCTCCTTAATGCGCCAAAGATTGCGCGAGACCAAGCCCCATTCTACTGGACGTATCTTGACCGACCCATCGATGGCACAATTCTACTGGTCTGGCAGTCCCTGTCCCTAGGCGCAGAGTTCCCTAGCGACGGCTACATTTGGACTCCGCAGGAACAAGTCTTCTCATTGGAAGTGAATGGCGGATATGTATGTGCCATTTGTCCCTATCTGTAACATATAAAGGTTAGAAAGCGCTTGCTAACTTGTGGCGACAGACACTTGAAATTTACCAACAGAAGACCGGCTACTCGCCCCCCGAACCTATGGCAACCCATTCTCGGCGTCGTTATCGCCTTCTCCCTCCGAAATTTTCGAAACCTGGAGTTCCAAACCCAGACCCATCGCTCTGGATCGTCCACTATGGCCAAGCCGACCCTCAAGATCGACTTCCTTCGAGCGTCATCCCGGTCGACATGCGGATCCAGAACATAATGAGCGCCAGAGCCTATCTACATGCCCAAGGCCAGATTGTCCAGAAGGAATTCATGCTTCATGATCGTACAAATTGGCCACAAATCGCATTTCCCAGAAATCCTCCTCGAGGCGCCCCAATGTATGGAACCAATGCTCCACCAGCCAGAGTTCCGCAGACGATGGCATATCCCCCACAGCATGCAGTTGCAGGTCCGCCGGCGAAACGTGTCCGAACTCAGGCAAATGTTAGCCAAGCAGCTGCTAGTAGCGCTGTTGCATCACTGGACGTTGACGACGAAGAAGATACATCCCGTGGCGATCTTTTTGACCACACAACACCTCGTGAAATCAGCATGAGTAGATACAAGCAAAACCATGAGTGGATGGAGGAGATTTTGTCATCTCCTTACGCCATCAACCAAATTATCCCCGCGGATCTCGGCCTAGGTGTACGTGGGGAGCTGGCTAGCCTCACTGAAGGCATTTTTGATGCGCCTTTCAATCCAGATAAAGATGTTGTGAATAATTCTTACGTTGGTCGGCTGGATGCTGGAAAGGCTGACCAATTCCGCAAGAGGGCCCATGAGCGAGTTGGGCAGATCAGCAAGGAGATGGAAAAAATGAAGGCCAAACATGACAAACGGTTGGCCAAATTCCAGAGCGGCTCGCTCATTAGTGCAGCCGAGAAGCAACTTCGTACTGCCGTGCATGATCCCTCTGATACCGGTCCTGAGTATTGGCGCCTTGAAGGCAAGATCGATATGGAAGACGACGAGGATACTAAACCAGCCGCGCCCACCCCTTCCAAGGTGTCTGACATCCTCGCTCAAGTTGAAGCTTCACTGTCCCGCCATGTAGCGACAATGCAGGAGATGGTTCGCATTCAAGATGGCGGATATGAGGAACAAACTTCTGCCCCAAGCCCACAAGTCCCTACGGTACCAAGCCCAAGAGCGTCGCCACCTCGTTCTCGCAATGGTTCGCAACATAGTGGTGTTTTGGTTGGGGATGCCGACATGGATATGGGCGGTTCCGTAGCTGGACTTCTTGATCAATTCCACACCGGAATATCGTCCAATGCAACCCCCGGGAGCAATTTTCCCACACCTCAGCCACACCTACAAGGTCATTCCTCTGTCGGAACTCCAACTAATCTTGCGACTGCTTCTCCTCAGCCATCTGCGCAAATATCCGCAGAGCAACCGATACAGAGCGACGTCAACATGTCTGATAACGGGACGTCGAATCAGCAACCAGCAGCTGATACCGGAGAATGGGTGGTTGTTCCTCCAGGCGGTGTATCCCCGACAAATAACTCTGCCCAGGCTCCACCATCTACAACATCTCAACCGCCAGAAATCACAGCTCCCACGGCTCACACAGTCTCAACGCCTTCTGCGCCTCTGACAACGAATCCATCTCCACTTCCGACAGCTTCGTCAAACCAGACCCCGCTGCCTGATTTTCATACCTCACCCAATGACTTTGCCGATCTTGCCGATCTTGATACTGCTGGAGATGCGCTCGCAAGCTATGGCGAGGGTCTTGGTGGTGGAGATGGGGGCCTTGGAGACCTTTCGATGGATATGGACGGAGCGATGGATGACTCTGCGTTTGGGGACGCATTTCACGGCGTTGACGAGAGAACAGAGGGCGATGGCCAGGGTGACGGCTTGCCATAGAAAGGGCATTTAGTAATGGATTGCAAACCAGAGATATCTAGTCTGTATTAGTATTATAAACCCGAATAGCTTGCGGTTGCCACTCCCTTTCTTTGAACTATTTGATTTGCTGGTAGCTTGGGCTTCACGTCCAACTTAATCCTGCCCTATCACACTCCGTCGACCATCTGCTTGGCCCATGGCTCGTTACACCGACTAACATTTAATTCTTAGCCGGTGGGCCGGGTCGGGCCTACTTTGTACCCTACCCGCGCCGTTGCTCCTCATCTCAACTCGATGTGGCCATCAGACATTTCTCAGAGCGATATTCAGATTTACTCTTTACAAAGGCGCCGTTCTTAGAGCGGCAATTAATCTGTTGAGTAGCTGCACATACGCAGTTCTACCAAACCCATTGGTTTGCAGCATGTTGTGGGACGAGATAGACTTTTATATCTCCAAACGCCGCGCAGACCTTGATTGGGAAGCCGACGTCGCGGCCCAACTTCACAGCCTTGCTCCTCTTCACTCCTACAACTTCAACTTCAACGACGCCTTTACGTTCAACTTCAACTCCCCTCTCCATTTCCTGTTCCCCTCCATATCTACGAATTCGACAAAGTCAATCGACGCCCCGCCCTTGGTTTGTTGAAAGCCTAAGATGTCTTTGAAGCCCCCCACCGGGATGGAGGTGCACGTTGCCAATGTTCCCCCCCAGAGCAACGAGAAGGCGTTGCGCAACTTCCTCAAGCCATACCTTGCCAGTCTAAATATCACCAATTTTCATTGTCGGAAGATCAGAGATAAGCCGTTTGCTTCATTGACGTTTCTCAACATCGATGAAGGCCAGCGGTTCTTGGCTCGTCATGCCCAAACTCGGTCTGCTGTCCGACAGAAACCCCCACTCACCTTCTATGGACGTCAAATTTATTTCAGCAAGAGTTATCGTGACCCCGATCAATTTCTGCTTAGGACTCTTGCTTGGGAGGCTCAAAAGCGCGACACCCATGCTTTCTCTAGTTACCCTGAGCGTCCGCCGCCCAGCCAGTTCACTCCTTTCGAATTGCAATGCCTGAATGTTTTATGCGGTGTCTGGAGCCCAGAGGGAACCGAGGTTGGCTTTGTGCCACAATTGGGGTGGAACGAGGATGCAGTCGCTGTTTTTGGGGAGAGAGTTATGATTTTGAAGCTAAGCTCTGGGTTGCGTATTGACTTTCGATATTCCAGCACGCTAGAGATCACCACAGAAGACGGAAGTGTCCCTGCTATTACCTTCACGATGTATGAAGCCCCACGGTTCTTTGAAAACATCCAGGATCCAGTTGCAGAGCTCCTTTCCAAGCTTGACCTGTCATCACACACAGCTCGCCCCCCCGTTAGCCGAAGGCATGGCCCAACCCGCCATCGGCTGCCGTCCCTCAATAGTGAACACAGGACCATCGTGGGGAACTGTCTTGTCTACCGCATCATACTCAGGCGGCATCAATATACACCCTTTGGGTTGATGATGAATGTCGGTGAATCGATGCAGGCACTCGCAAACGCTCCTGGAATATTCATACCTGTTATTCATCAGCGAACGCCCGTTCGTAGGCCATTGGAGGGCTACGTGGTAGGGCTCAAACGATTGCATACTGCGCTATCAGCTTTGAGTTGCGAGCTTCCTTTTGTGCTGAAGTTTCAAGTCCAAAAGCTTGCACAGGACGGCTATTTATCTCCGTTCTTGGTTCTGGATCTTTTACCTGAGTTTACCAATATGGCCCGCCGTTCCACTCCGACAGTATGTGTGCATACTCTACGCAAATTTATGAATCGAATTCATTTTGTTCGGCCTGAGACCGATATAGCTGACTTCCATCTTGATACCCTGATCGGCCTGTTACAAGAAATCGAGGAGCAATCCAAGAAAGAAGTAAAGTTCGGCTATGAGGAATCCAAAACGTCTGAGAACGTGGCAATTATCCACCGCGCCAAGGTCACGCCTACCAGTGTCCAATTATCTGGACCAGAGCCTGAAAGCAACAATCGGGTGCTTCGCAAGTATCTGAACTACCACCAGTATTTCCTTCGAGTTCAGTTTTGCGACGAAGACTCTCAACCAGTTCGCTTCAATTCCCGAATCTCCAATGAAAAGATCTTACATGGCAGGTTTAAGGAAGTTCTCGACACGGGAATCGTTATTGCTGATCGTGTATATAAATTTCTCGGATTCTCCCATTCTTCTCTTCGAGCCCAGTCCTGCTGGTTCGTGGCACCCTTTTACTATGAGGGCAGCCTTCTCTATGACCGGATGATCATTGATGACCTTGGCAACTTTTCGGCAATTCGTTGCCCTGCAAAGTGTGCCGCAAGAATTGGACAGGCATTCTCAGACACTAGGACTGCTGTCAAGATTGATGCAGATGCTTTGCAAATCCAACTGGATACGGAGAGGAATGGGCGTATATTTAGTGATGGAGTCGGCACAATGTCTACCTCGATGATGGAAAAAATCTGGGAACAGCTCCCCAAAAAGAATCTCCCAAAGCCAACATGTCTTCAAATTCGGTTTCAAGGTACGTTGACGTATTTTACTTATTTTTCCTGGGCTATAACCGGAACAACCTCACGTGTGGCCTAAATACTTCAGCAAGTCTTTCGAGCCACATTTGACCCTAATTGAAAGTTGTTGCTAACATGTTCTGAACAGGAGCTAAGGGTATGATATCCCTTGACCCCCGTCTCCCACCAGGAGACGCACTGGTGCTCCGCCCATCGATGATTAAGTTCGAAGGCTCGGATTCGATGGACATTGAAATTTGTGAAGCAGCTTATAAACCGCTGCCTATGTATCTCAACCGACAATTTATTAAGATATTAGAGGACATGGGAGTTGAAGATGATTTCTTCCTTGACCTCCAAGAAAAAGAAGTTCAGCGTCTCCGAATTATTACGGACAATCCTTTGAACGCAGAAAAGTTCTTGAGCTGCCAGTCAATTGGCGAGACTGTCCACCTGCCATGGTTCATTGCTGAGCTGGCTATGCTGGACTTGGATTTTCGAAGCGACCGTTTTCTCCGCGATACGGCGGAATTGGCGATATTAATTGAGCTTCGGAAGCTGAAGCACAAGACTAGGATACCTGTTGAGAAGGGATATCACCTTCACGGGCTGATGGATGAAACAGGATTCCTAGAAGAAGGGCAGGTATTTTGCGTCGTGACTGAAGATGAAACTCCTAAGTACATCACGGGAGCGAATTTAATTGTCTCGCGCGCTCCGGCATTGCACCCTGGAGATGTTCAACTGGTGGAGGGTATCATGCCGCCTAAGGATTCGGCGCTGATGAGTCTCACTAATTGCATTTGCTTCAGCCAAAAAGGTTCTCGTGATTTACCTAGCCAGCTTAGTGGAGGTGATTTGGATGGAGACCGCTATTACATCATGTGGGATGAAAGAGCCAAACCGAAAACACGATATACACCTGCCGATTATCCAAGACAAAGCCCAGTTAACATTGACCGGACGGTTAATCGGTCGGATATGACGGAATTCTTTATTCAGTTTATGGAGACCGATCAGCTTGGCCGGATCGCGGTCATGCATCGAGTACTCGCAGATCAAAAACCAGAGGGCACACGAGAACCGAATTGCATCATCCTAGCCGAAATGCATTCGACCGCCGTTGACTTCTCGAAAACAGGCATGCCGGTATGACCTATTTCAAACGCACTGCTCCTCTTTGCTGACTTACAGACAAAAGGTGGATATGAGTCGATTACCGTGGTGCAGCCCATGGCGCCCTGATTTTGAAGCACCGGGACCACATGTTTCGATCGAGAAAGCCGATGGTATCTCGTTTGAACCTACCGGTTTCCGAGATCCACTAGAGGAAGAGGACAATGATGATGAGTACGCCAGGTATCGATATTATGAGAGCCATAAGATACTTGGGAAGCTGTATCGGGCAATCGACGAGCGGGAGATCTTCGACCAGATTCAAAAACGCGCTCAACCCCAGGGTACCGACAGTCGGCCTTCTCTCATGGACGAAGTTTGGAAATATGTCCAGAACAAAGTCCGAAACATTCAATGGGAATACCTGAAGGTCTGGGCTTCGGATATTCGTGATATGTGAGTACATTACATGGCCATAATAAGCCACTGCTTGCTGATATTCCACTTAATAGGTATGAAGATTGTGTCATGAGCATCATGGTTGAATATGGCCAGCACCCATCACGTCCTCTCTCTGAGCTTGAAGTTTTTGTCGGCGATATTCTCGGCAAGACCGGCGTACAGAACCGGCACCAACGCGAGCAATCCAAAACTATGAAGGAGCGATTTGAGGAGGACACCACCTTCATTGTCAACTGCATCTTGAGAGATGGAGAGGAATGGTCTGACGAGGCTTTGGCGAGAAGCATTGCATGTCTGGCTGTGAGCTTGACAGACACCGGCTCCTCCAAGAGACGCGAAAACCTTTTGAGCTTCAAGTATGTCGCTGCAGCAATCTGTCTGAGAGAGGTGCAAAAATTGCCTGGATGGGAAGCCTTACCTTTGCTCGACATATTTGAGGATCACCGCCGCCTGCGCGAATAAGGCACTGGCCTGATAGACAATAATGAAGGAGTACCTGGGTGCCATCGCATGGGCTTTGGGGGTTATTTAGTGTGTACGGGAGATATTGGGAAAGTCAGCTTATGAATATTATGAAATTATGACACTGGCGATTCCAAAAGCTGGTGCTTTTGTCTCTAGCATGGAGCTTGTATTGTCTACGTTGCTTGTCTTATTATCCGGTAGAGAATCAAAAAGAGCCTTTGGCCTGCTTCGACGGTGTATTGCATTAGGCGCCCGCTATGTGAGCCCACTTTCGCTTCCTTCCTCCTCAATTTGGCCCCGCCTCGCACACTTCCTTCACCACCACCACACTTAAAGCCTCCCTGGACACCCGTCCATGACACTCCTTGGCAACGTGCTTAGACCCTATTCCGAGTTGCCGCTCAAATTTTTGCTCTTGGTCTTGGACTATAAAAAGCTTTAATGAAAAAAGAGCAACAAGGGGGAGGTTCAGGTTATCCTTAATCATGCTAGGAGAGGCTGTTATTGCTGTTGTTATTGTTATGTAGTTGTAGTTATGCTTAAGCCCCTTTCTTTTTACCCCTTTTACCCTTTCCGTGGTCTCGACGCGAGAATACGCTAAGTCTCATTAGGCGCCCTAATGCAACCACTATACTCTGTACGCGTTTCCAGGACGCGTCGGGTCGCGATTTCGCGACTTCACTTTTTCATCTACACCAACATCCCTCCATCTTTAATCTCTCCTCAGCAACACAACGAAGTATCACTCCACGATGTCTTCTCCTTCGCATCGACGACAGAGGAGCTCTCAATCTGCTACACCTAGACGATCATCTCAGCGCAATGCGATTCCAAGCAGTCCACCAGATCCTGCAGCCGCTCAGCTCCAAAGTGAAGCTGCCTCGTCCCAAGGCAATGACAATGGCAATGGCAATGGCACCCCCCGGCGCGCTCCCCTAACCTCATCACCCATGATATATCGATCATCGCCTGCGGATATGGCGCGAGCAAATGCGAATCGAGAACGCGATATCAGCTCTCCGCTACGGCAGATGTCCAATACGCAGACGACGCAGCAAGATGGAGATCGAACGCCACGAGCAGGCGGCCTTGCTAGGGGTTAGTAACGCCATAAAAGAGACGAACTAGTTCAAGTGATCAGCACCTAACTCTCGGGTAGATTCTTCTCCCATAAGATATGCGTCAAGCTCAAGCCCCGGCGGCGGCTTTGCCAGCAGACAGCAGTCGATGCAGCCAGACCTCCGTAGTGAGAGTAGCGGACTTTTCGTACGCTCATCACGTTCAGCAGCCCCTACTTCCTCAGCTAGACGTGCTATTGGCTCCGAGAATAACAATACCCCCCGACCTCGCCGCCGAATATTCATAAATGAAGATGGGAAAGTCGTCCGAGATGTTGCGGCTTCCGATGCACCAACGTTTTCAAATATCGACCCCACTACCTCTGATGCCCAGGCCATGGGAGGTAATTCTACGCTTTGCATCTGGGGAACTAATATCTCGGTTCAGGATACACTCGCGACTCTCAGAATGTTCCTTCGAGAATTTACCAGGAAATATCGGATGTGGGCCGATGGCATGTCAGAGGAAGAAACGTCAGCCGATGAGGTCGCTGAGACGAAACATTACGCGGTAATGATGCAAAACATGCTGACTCTGGGTCTTACCAACCTCAACCTTGATATGCGAGACCTAAAAGCGTTTCCTCCCACCAAAAAGCTTTGGCAACAAACTCAAGACTACCCTGTTGAGATCATCAACCTCATGGACCAATCTATTAGGGACGCTATGTACCAATTAGCTCAAGAGGAAGACTCGGGGCAGAACCCGTCTCACAGGTCGACTGGACAGGCCTCTCAGCGCACCAGGATTGTGAGCTCTGAACCTCCTGTACCGAGCTCGGAACGCAGCGAAGGAGACGCCGAGACACCACGACCACAGGAATCAAATGATAAATCATGGACTCAAGAAGTCGCGCAGAACAATTACCGCGTGCGACTCTACGGCCTGGACTCTACAGTAAATATGAGAGATCTGAATCCATCCGGTTTGCTTCCCATTCATCCATGCTCAATACGTTGCTAATACGACTGTAGATGTCGATAAACTTGTTGCTGTAAAAGGCCTCGTCATCCGCACCACTCCTATCCTCCCGGACATGAAATTTGCATTTTTCCGATGCCAGGTTTGTAATCACACAGTTCAGGTTGAGGTCGACAATGGCAAAATCGCTGAGCCCACGAAATGCCCGCGTCCCATCTGTGACTCCCTCAATTCCATGCAGATTGTACATAACCGTTCGGGATTTGCGGATATGCAGGTTATCAAATTGCAGGAGACGCCAGATTCGGTCCCGGCTGGCCAAACACCACATTCAGTCTCGTTATGTGCGTACAATGATCTGGTGGATCTATGCAAAGCTGGTGACCGGGTTGAAATCACTGGTATTTTTAGAGCTAGCCCCGTCCGAGTCAATCCTCGACAACGTACTCTTAAGAGTATCTACAAGACATATGTTGAAGTCGTGCATATTCAAAAGGTTGATAAGAAGCGCATGGGAATTGATGTTAGCACTGTCGAAGAAGGACTCTCCGAGGAGTTTGCGTGTCCAGTGGAGGAGACGCGAAAGCTGACGGAGGAGGAGGAAGAAAAGATCAAGGCAACCGCGGCCAGACCGGATATCTATGAACTTTTGTCTCGGTCTCTTGCACCCAGCATCTTTGAGATGGACGATGTCAAGAAAGGAATCCTTCTCCAATTGTTCGGAGGCACAAATAAGTCCTTCGAAAAAGGCGGTAACCCGAGGTATAGAGGTGATATCAACGTTCTACTCTGCGGCGACCCTTCAACTTCCAAGTCACAGCTATTGCAATACGTCCACAAGATTGCTCCCCGCGGTGTTTATACAAGTGGTAAAGGGTCTTCCGCTGTTGGTTTAACCGCATACGTGACTCGGGATCCAGAAACTCGCCAACTGGTCCTCGAATCTGGCGCTCTAGTATTGTCCGACGGCGGTGTATGCTGCATCGACGAATTTGACAAGATGTCGGATGCGACTAGGTCTGTGCTGCATGAAGTTATGGAGCAGCAGACTGTGTCAATCGCAAAAGCTGGTATTATCACAACACTGAATGCTCGAACTAGCATCCTCGCCTCTGCCAATCCTATTGGCAGCAAGTATAATCCTAATTTACCTGTTCCTCAAAACATAGATCTACCACCTACATTGTTGTCGAGGTTCGATCTTGTCTATCTGATCTTAGATCGAATTGACGAGACAAATGACCGACGCCTGGCAAGACACTTGCTTAGCATGTACTTGGATGACAAGCCGCAAAGCGCAGCTGGAGGAATGGAAATTCTGGTATGAATCACCATTCCAATCATTATTATTTCCACACCGCTAACAATCAATCGACAGCCGATTGAATTCCTCACCTCATACATTTCTTACGCACGTACCAAATGCCAACCCCGCATCAGTGCTGAGGCATCCAAAGAACTTGTCGACTCCTATGTTGAGATGCGGAAGCTAGGCGAAGATGTCCGCGCCGCCGAACGCCGCATCACAGCTACGACCAGGCAACTTGAGTCGATGATCCGTCTATCTGAGGCCCACGCCAGAATGCGGCTCTCGGAGACGGTAACACGTGAAGATGTCCAAGAAGCTGTTCGTCTCATCAAGAGCGCATTGAAACAGGCTGCTACCGATGCAAGAACAGGTCTCATCGACATGAGTTTGTTGGCTGAGGGCACGAGTGCCAGCGAGCGGAGAAGGAAGCTTGATCTTAAGAACGCTGTTTTGTCTTTGCTGGATGATATGACGAGACAGGGCCAGGCTGCCAGGTACGCGGAAGTAGTAAGACGATTAGGGGAGCAGAGTAGTATGCAGATCGAGGCGCCAGAATTTGCGGAGGCTGTCAGGGCTCTGGAGCAAGAAGGCGCTGTTATGGTTGTTGGTGAGGGTCCTAGGAAGGCTATTAGGAGGGTTACGGGTGTTGCTTAAATTGGGAGAGGGGTGGGCTCTGATACCATGACGATTTTTTGGCGTTAATTGTGAAACGTATTTTCTTCCATGCTGGGGGATGGAACGAGGATAACTAATGATAGATGTGCTAGGACAGGTGTAGTTATGAATGAACATGAGACTCTCCTGCCCTTGCGTTCGCTCCAATGCATTTGAAATACTACTTGTGCTGCTAGGCTATTATTTGTTTTGGGATACTCATAGTTTAACGTTTCCAGGCCCCGAAAGTATATCCTAACATACGGTTGTAGGTATCCATCACTCGCTCCAGCCCTCCGGGTTCTTTCGAAGGTATACGTACACTGCCGTCTCAGCCACAATATTATCACTATTGCCCCAAGCTGTCGATCGACAAGCTAGAACTGTTTTTTATTTGGTTCATGACCCTCAGAACCCGAAGTACGCTGGGATGACCTGCTGCCACGTCTTCAGCAGTTCGACCTCCCTCCCTAGGATCATGACCCTATAGAATTACAACTGATGGCACCATCTACGTGTGGGGAAATGCGCGGTTCGTTATTGTATCCGTTTAGTTCAGACTCTTAGCCATCTCTCTTCCAGCCGTTCAAAGATAGAAACACCCCCAAAGCCGCACACTCCCTGGATCTATATTCTGGAGTGCAGCATCGGCTTCACCATACTAGTATCACCTAATATACTCATCCCCCCAGTATGCGATTTGCCCATTGAAAATGCGCTCACGAATAATTACTCCGCTCCGCACCTGTGCACCTTAGGAGTAGGTACTGTAGAGTACGTACACCAGAATTGTCTGTGCCGCAGATTACCCGAGCTGACGACCCCCTACTTCGTTGAAGTTCGAGACGAACTCATCCCTGCTTGTACAACGAAGAATCACTGCTTGTACGTAGCACTATATCATGTACTATGGAGTACAGTACATGCCAATTACTACAAGGATTACGTCCGATGACTCCGATCGTCGTGACGACTAGTGCCCGGAGAGAGAATACCTTCCGGTTGTAATTCCTTTGCTGTAATGAAACACCAACTGTCCGACGAACACCGCGGTCGTCCCAATTCGTGGTTCAATGCGTTGTTTGATCACCCGCTGGCCATTGCACTGAACCGGGGCAGTTGATCCATCGGTTCTCCAAAGTTGGGACGAAGGCCCAAGTGGTGGTAATGTACATATAATTCGGTGTCTTCCTTTCGCTGTTCCCGTTGGATTTAGAGTCATTTGCTATCATTTGCCAGGTTTCAATGTTTCTCAAATGCCTCATTTTGATGGGTGGAGCTGCTGTTGCAGTCGCGAAAGTTCAATTTATAGTCAGTATTATCCAATCTTTTTTCCGAGCCTGAATAAGATGTGGGTTAACACGTCTTTAGGGAATGAACATCGCCGGCTTTGAGTTCGGCTGCCAAATCAATGTACGTACAGTACCACAACTAATACTAGAGACCTGATATTGTTTCCAGGACTGGACTAACAAATTAACCAGGGATCTTGCCCAATATCTTCCGCCACCCCTCCACTAAGTTCGTTGGGTACCGCAGATGGAGCTGGCCAAATGCAGCACTTTGTCGAGGACGATCAGATGAATATATTTAGACTACGTAGAGTTTGGTCTTAGCACACCCTTCCGTCACCTGCTAATTCAATCTAGCTGTCTCCTGGCAATACCTCGTCAATAATAAACTCGGCGACGCACTTGACAGTACGAACTTCGGCAAATACGACCAGCTGATGCAAGCATGTCTTGCTACGGATGCATACTGTGCCATAGACATACACAACTTTGCACGCTTCAATGGAAAAATAATCGGCCAAAGCTCAGGCGGTCCTACAGATACTCAATTCGCCGATCTGTGGGCACAGCTGGCCGCTAAATACAGGAGCAATGGTAAGGTCATTTTCGGACTCATGAACGAACCTCATGATGTCGATATCACGGCCTGGGCCAACACAGTCCAAACCGCGGTGACGGCGATCAGGAATGCCGGAGCATCAACCCAGATGATCTTGTTACCAGGCAACAACTTTACGAGTGCGGGCACTTTCGTCGGTAATGGGTCGGGTACGGCGCTAGTAAAAGTCAAAAACCCGGACGGTACTACTACTGGACTGGTACTTGATGTCCATAAGTACCTCGATGTCGATAATTCTGGAAACCATGCAGAATGTACAACGGATAATATTGCGGACGCATTCGCAATTGTCGCTCAGTTCTTAAGGGAGAATGGCCGGCAAGCTATCGTTAGTGAAACCGGTGCCGGAAGCACTTCATCAGTACGTTTCGTCTTCAACCCACCTAGATATTTGAACTTATATATGTCAAAGTGCTACACCGATTTTTGCGCCCAAAACACGTTCTTAAACCAGAATTCGGATGTCTTTCTAGGATACATTGCTTGGGCTGCTGGTAGCTTTGCAACATCTTACACTCTGAGTCTGACTCCCTCGAAACAGAACGGCAAGCTTGTTGATAATGCTCTAGCATCTCAATGTGTTATCTTACCTTGGCTCAATGCCGCCACTGCAGCTATAACCTCAGCCGCTTCTTTTAGTACTAGTACACCGGTGACCACAGGCGTACCTGGGGATAACCGTTCCACAACGTCGTATACGAAATCTGCCTCTGCTACAATGAACACCGGGGCGGATATGAATCGATTGTCAGCCACAACGGCAGCAACAGCTATTGCCACTGCCAAGTTCTCGACTGCCGGATCAAGAACCTCCTCAGCCGTCTTCTCTGGCTCTCCAGTGACGACAGCGCAGCAGGTACAGCCTACAAATGCCGCGAATAAAGCTAAAATTCATGGGGGGCTAATTGCCAGTGCCGCGGCGGCTTTTGCTGCTGCATTTTTGTACCAGAATAACCGAGTTTTTGAAATAGCTCGAACTATAGATTGGTATTCTAAATATGGAAATTTCATATCAGTGTGGTAAATTTACTTACTAGAACTCTCCTAAGTAACAATACACCTTACCAATGTCCCGCTTCTAAGACCTTCCTTGCTAATTGCCTAGGTAGTTTCAGCGAAGGATGACTTCAATCACTGTGAAAACAGTCAAAGAATTCGGGTGACAGCGATCATACAGCCAACGAAGGCCCCAATGCCCTTGGGGTAGGCTTTGCCAAACAGTCAAGTGGTAGCTGCTAGACGTTCGTCCTCGGCAGTAGAATTGCAGGCAAACTCTCTGGTGGAAAAGGAGTCAATAAAGGGGTACTTAGCGTGTTTGTTTTCGCTCCTCAGTAGGTACCTTAGGTATCTCTTGTTCGAACTCCACTCATAAAATGGGTCGAGAGTATTATTTTTAAATGATATATGCCATTGTAGAGATCAATGGTAGTAGAGTTTAACTTCAAGTATGATCTACGAGTTCATATGGTCCCTGAGAAAACCAGCCATGCATATTTCACGTTTGATGCGCCAGATGGAACACACCAATCTACTTTTAAATGCGATTCTATTCACACTACAAACGCATAGTCTAACAATTCGTAGCTCCAGTCGTTGCCACAGGCGTAGTGTACGCTCCACCAGCATCGCCCAAGCACTCAGCAACCGTCACCATTTTCAAGCCCTTTTGCTTGGCCCAGTTGAGAACCCACGGAAGGAGTGTTTGCGAAGTCGTTGGAATGGTTTCATGCATTAACGGGATATGAGATCCTGCGCCGGTCGAAGAAAACTTTTGTTCGGAATACTGGGGTGTCTGATGGTTCCAGTCCTCGGAGTCGATATCCCACGTCACAATTCGGTAACCCAGCTGCTGCATGACAGACTTCATCTGTCCGCCAGTGTTCCCATTGGGGGGGCGCATGTATGTTGGTTTCACGCCGAGGATGTTCGCAAATGCCGTCTCGAGTTTCGTCATCTCGGTCTTCACATCTGCAGCGGACTTGGTTGACAGATCGGCATGGGTCCAGGTGTGAGAGGCGATCTGATGACCGGCTGCGTATGTTGCCTTTAATTGACTTGCTTGAGAATAGATGCAGTTGTAGAGCGTTCCTGTAACAAAGAACGTTCCTTTGGCACCGGCGGCATTCAAGGCTTGGACGATGGCACCTTCATATTGATACGGACCGTCGTCGAACGTGAGCGCGATCGTATTGGGCTGGGTACACGATGTGATGACGCTGCCTGCGGCCGGGCCGGCGCGAGCGTTAAGCAAGGCGAGGGGGTTTGGAGCTGGCACAGCAGAGACGACGGGGAGCAGGAGTGCAAGGTAGGCAAGTGGAGAATGCATCTTGAAGGTATCCCAAGCTTGGGGAGTATTCTGAATTGCAAAGGCCCAGGAAATGTCTCTCGAGGATAACAAGAAAGAAGGATGCGCTGACGTACCGTACTTATTATACCTCTCCCTCTAAGAATGCTCTGTTTTGGTGCTCCATAGAAACCCATTAATCCGAGATGGCTCCAATTTAGCCGTTGAAGAACAATTATCCTTTATGAAGTAGTTTCCATCAATATGATCAGCGTTATGGTACCAAGAGAGCTTTTAGGCTTAAGTGTGGCTGTGCCAAGCCCCTTTCCACTGCTATGTTGCTGGAGTCATTTTGAGGCTGTAGGCAAAATCGAAGTGGATAATCGAAAGCGAATAGTAGTGGACTTGTGGAGAAGGGGCCTCAATGGCGGCGCCTTTGCGAATGCGTATGCGAACTAATTTTCATGGCTTGGCCATAATGCGGGGATGGGCCGGGGCGGCAGCATGACAATCGGATATGAGCAAACGACTATGTAGGACTAGACAGTTCTGAAAGCGGGGGATGTTAATTAATAATAAAAAAATGAAAGCCATAAATAATTAATAATAAATAGCGCTTTTTCACATGGCCTGCGTGGCGGCCTTGAGCAGCCGTTCGCGAGTTGTGCTGCGGCAACTTGTACTTGTAGTTTCGGAATATTTGGTGTCAGAGGAAACAGCGGTAAGGCAATTACGTATAGAAGAGACAATATAGAGAGATGGACCTTTTTCCTACCCACGAGAAGCGCTCTGAATAGAGTACCAAGGGAGCTGCAGCGTTTTGTATCTCGTCTCGTGCTCGTGCTCGTACCCAGGGGTGGGACCACCCGAGTCACGTGCAATGCAGGCCAGGAGGCTGTCGAGGTACCGAGGTACCTCGCTGCTCTCGCCTCTCACTTCGCCGTCCTCCGTCCTCCGTCCTTTGTCCTTTGTCCTTTGTCCTTTTATGCTTCACCAAAGTACCAGAATGCATCCATATATATATCTCTCCAGGTCCACGCGGCCCAAGAGCCCGCGTTTCGCTGTCTGGATCATTTATCATTTATCATTTCTATTCCCATTCTTTTACCCTGCAAAGTACTGCCGCGCACAAACCCTCACGGTATCGTTCCCCAAAACAAACCTACATGCAAGCGCCTCCGTCGATACCGAGAACCTTTCCATTGATCCATTCACCATCCTGGCTTGCAAGGAAGCACACCACACGCGCAACATCGATCGGCAATCCAACGCGGTGTAATGGGCTCCATGTTGCTGCGTACTGTTGGGAACTTTAGCTCATTTGGCCATCTTTTAAGCTCGCTGAATTTACTTACCTCGTCGGTTTGCTCATTGTTGAAGTCCGCCCCGCCGGGAATGTACTCTCGGCATACGGCGTGATACATGTCTGTTTTGATACCGCCTGGAGCAATGCAGTTAACGGTAATCTTCTTGTCGCCCATGTCTACACCCTGTTAGTGCAGATTCTCAGTAAAGACGAGGTCGTGGAATGTTCTCACCAATCGCCATGCATCGAACGAAAGTCTCGATTGCGCCTTTGCTACCTATATCATATCTTAGCAAGATGGAGCTACGAATACACGCCTCCCCGTTGCCGCATACCAGAATATAAGGTGTGTTTGGGAACGCCTTTGGCTTGACCAGTGATACTACCCATCATGATCAGACGCCCACCAACAGACAAATGCTTATAGGCCTCTCGGGCCACAAAGAATTGCCCACGGGTGTTGGTGTTCATCACTCGGTCATATTCTTCCTCGGTAACATCCCCAATGTGTCCAAAGGACACAACTCCTGAGTTCGAGCAGACAATATTGAGTTCGCCGAAGTGCGCAACCGCCTGTGCGAAAAGAGATATAATATCTTTCACGACGGAAACATTGGCCTGAATGGCAATCGCATCGCTTCCATTCTTCTTGATCTCTGCCACGACTTCGTGAGCCGCATCAGAGCTGTTGGCGTAGTTGACGACAACGTTTGCGCCTCTCCGTCCCAGCTCAAGAGCCATCTCTCGTCCAATACCCCTTCCTACAGAGGTCCTATTTAGAATGGAATCTTTCAATAAAGCTGGGGCCCTACCTGAACCAGTCACTAGTGCAATCTTTCCTTTAAGACTAGCAGCTTCCATGCCCAGTGGTCCAACAACATCTGCGACGCCTCTGGCCGGGGCAGCATGGCCATTGGCATTGCTATCCTCTGCTCCTTCTGAGGCCGCCATTTTATAAATACCAGCTTCAGTGTTATGAGTTAAACGTCGACTTGGCCGTCACCAAACCTTGACTTATTATCAAGGATATCCAGGATGTTCTGATGTGGAGAAAAGCGATGGGGAGACCACATACTTATATCTATTGGCCTTCCAGTTATCACATTCCGGTCTTCGGATCTCTGGAAAGCAATTGCACGACGAATTTAGCCACAACCGCGGACTTGGGATGGAATTCCCAGCTGGTTGTCCGTCTTTGGTTCTCGGGAGGTTTCAAGGTACCGCTTTTAGTTTCGCAGCAATAACCCTACACCTACGAGCATCCCGTGCGACATCGAACCAGACCGGGAATCCTAAAATGGCCATTCCATCGGAATTTCATCACTCCCAATCAGTCTCTACAGGGATTCAATCATTGAGTATGCCTGTTGGCCTTTGGGCCCAAAAATACCCTTAGCTATCGCGGTACTCCAAGTGTGGTATGCGAACTTCCCCACCCCGGACGTCCGTGGTGTGCGTTTCCCAGCGCAACTCCGATTCCCATAACATATTTCGCTTCGTTGTATCTAACCCGCGTATTCAACGTAGGACAACGCAAACAACCTCCGGTCAGGAGATAGTTTTAGCTGTCATGGATGTGAGTCCCGGACAATAGGGACCCTCTCGGGAGTCCGCAATCTTTTAGGGTATCGCAGATTTAGCAACTTCTGGTAACCCTCGACTTCGTATGAGCTTATAATCGTCGAGTGAAAAGAATTGCAAGGAATCCCTATAGCGTGCAATTTAAACAAGTCTAATATAAGTCATGGCTAGGTTATAAGTGAGTCACCCGACCCCTTTCCCGACAGCATCAAAGGACTAAAAGTATAAAGGGATTTTGGCTTGCGGTGTATGCTAGACTATATTCATAGGCATCCCAATGCTCTTCGGGGCTGACTAGAAACTAGTCATGTTCGCCGCGGCAGTTGACCTTTGGGTATTTTCATCCCCAATCCTTAACCTAGGTTCTGTGGCAACGAATTTATAATGCGGATTCAACTTTTTACACACGATCGGCTAGTATGTGATGAATGTCAGAAATTAAAGCTTACGATTCTCTCCCAAGTCCTAACACTATCTGTGAGCTAACACCGCATAGGAGTGCTTCTGCTTCCCCTGGATAGGTGTCGTTCAGGGTAACCGCTATTGGAAAAATTCTAGGAATTAAAAAATGAAGCAGGCGGTGGCGCATCGATAACGGGGATACGGCGCGTGTTCACGCTCTCTGTCACCAACAGGGCTAGCGGGAGATTGGATTTTAAGCTCCTGAATGTGTCTCATATATCAGCATCGGTGGCTTGACCATTAGATTACTTGATGGTAGCGCTGACGAAAGGCCAATCTTGTCCAAAAGAGCTACCTAGCGACATGGTCAAGACCTGATATTATGTGTTAATGTTCATCCGAGAGCACCGAGCAGCCCATCAGTTCGGACACCATTCACGTTATAGAGATGGGCATTGTGATTTGGAACAGAAGTGATATCAGGATATTGATGAGACCTTTCCCAACAAAGTGAAAAGGCAGGGTAGGTAAGCAGACATATATCAACTCAAATGCCAGCCGAGAACACACTACCAAGATCCGTTAATTTATTCGTTCACAGTCAATTGATGACTATTCCTCCAAAATATTAAGCACCCTTAGATGATACTAAAGTGCAGTCTAACCGAAAGCTAGTGTACAGTATTAGCAGAGCGAACAAGCCCGCCCTACGGGTCTGCCATAGATTTGTAGATCGGATTCATGAATTTTTCATATGTCGTGGAAACCTGATTGCCCACTTGGTGCCTAATAGAAGATTGGGGCCAACTATTAGTGCTAATATTTGGAAGCAAAAGTTGTGGACCGGATGGGCGTAGTAAATATGTCACTATATGTGTCATACCAACGAAATTGAGGGAATTCGGTCTGGAGGATTTGCTCACAGCTCATAATCGAATCTTGCGGGATCGTCTAGAAAATGCAATGTTTGCGGCGAGGATTCTTCTCCGTCAGTAAGGTGACACTAGTGCGGCGGTGTTCTTGCCGTGGCGATTATTGCTACGTTGGGATTTTCAAGTCTCTTTTTGCTGGTTCGATATGGATTAATGCGCCGAAAGGCAAGCACGCCGGTTGGATCATTCGGAATAACGCTGAGCCATCCCCTCTCGGAAGTTTGGCTGCCTTATCGTAAGCATCTAGTAAGGACCAGAGCCCAGTCTAGCTATTGTGTCTAGGCTTCCAATACGAAAACCTGGAAATACGATGGCGGTGGGCTTATTTTCCTCTTAGCTCGATATCTATTCCTAATCGTGAGATTCTTAACCCCTTTTTTAACTCTTGGCAATAACCATGTAGGCTGGTGTATTTCTTGCCAATTGATTAATATATACCTAATCTAGGACCTGGCTATCTGCCGATAGTTGAGTCATAACTAGCGTTCGAAGCGCTATATCCCACTCCTAACAACTACTTTCCCAAAGCGAGCAAAATGAATACTGCGGAAAATTTCGTATTAGCGATCTAAGGTCTTGTAGCCACTGGCACGGCGAGCCATCTAGGCTATCCTGCGAGGTCTTTTCTTTTGGCGTTGCCAAAAATGATTAGTATAGATCCATCATCCTAGCTCAGATGGATCCACATACTCCGGTCTATTCAAAATAAAAGCCCCCCGAAAGAAGGCAGCAGCGATCGACAATAACGAGGGGAAACCGGTGTTAGAAGGAGGTTCTGCGTAGCGGTGCTCATGCAATGCTGGGGCGGGGCATCAAGATGATGAATAGAAATACCAAGTATATATCCACAGGACGAAGTGGATGAGAGCAAGAAGTGGCTTTACGCCGCAAAGGGTGGGGAATTAGACGCTAATAACCCTGCTAACCCACCTATGACAGGGCATAAATAGACATCGTCGGAACACGCGACCAGTACGCCAATGGCGTACTGTACTTCTCCACAAATTCACAATGCGCTCTACTGTCTACGGAGCAAGCAAGTAGTTTACTATCACTATTCTTAGATAGCCTTGGTTCGATGAGGTTAGTTGCTAACACAGTACACCACAGCAGTAGCTCTGTGGCTAACTCTGATGGTGAAACAGGATTGCAACGCCTCTTCTGTGCCTCAATCTGCCTCTCTGTTTCTATTGTGGCCTGCTTGGCAACAGGGCAGCGCCCACGCTGATCGTTGAGTCGTTGAGTCGGTGACGTCTATTCCTCAGATCGTTCCACAAACCCTCCGATCTCCAAAGACCGAGACAGGTACACCGCTTACACGGCGCATGTCTGCCACTGCCACATGGCAACCCCAATACTCTTGGGTCGTGGGGTTGCGGGGTGCTGCCCCGATAGTGATGATCTCCCAGGAGGCGATCACTGCAGTATGGAAGAGCTGGGGCAGTGAGTGCACGTCCAAGAGCAAGTCCAGGTATGCAAGTGAGCTCAAGTAAAATCAAAGGATTGCAAGTGACTGCAAGTGGTTGCAGTTAAGTCTTTTATTATAAATAGAGCATATCTATACCGCCGTTCTTACCTCTCTTATCCCGTACCTCGTTTTCACTTTCTTCCCTTCGTTCCTGAATCCTGCCAAGGACCTCGCTGTCGCCCTAGTCACTCCCATATCATACTATATAGCTACTACTTGTATGTCATCACATTGGGAAGTCCCATCGGAAGTCCCATCGCCATGTTTTCGTCAAGCCCAAGGGTAAAGTTGTGGAACTCCCCAGTTGCCTGTCTCCTGGTCATCGCCGCACTATTCAGTCAAGTCGATGGGATTCTTACGCTTCCCGCCATGCAGCCAACGGCTTGCACATCTTCCACATTCCCATATAAGACTACGGTTACGGTCGACGTCGATTCGTTCGGGGTTGAGTTTCCTGAACTCAGGCCTGGGTCAAAATGGAAGTTTACTGCTGAATCAGGTATCCAGATCCTTGCTATAACTGCCGGCGGAGGGCGATCGGCGACCAGAGGTGTACAGAATTCGGACGGCTCGTTTACACTTACGACGAATGGGGATACTGGTAGGGCTGTAACAACTTCAACATCATGCCAAACACACTAACGAGATATAGGGTCCCCACCCGTGATGGGTAGTGCAAAGACACTCCCCAACCACGCACTCACTAAATTCAAGCTAACCATTGCGAATGGTGCTGTTCCGTGCATCTTGCCCATCATCCAAGACTGCTCCGTCACAGGGAAGATAGATGTCAACCCATCCCAGTGGGCAGCTTACCGTGTAAGTTTGGGCTCTTGTGTTTTGAGAATTGTTCTTCGTCCCACCCCTTGGTCAGATTAAACTAACCAGTTATCTCCTGAGCGTTTAGGTTGATGAGTTCCTTGAATCCTACGTAAAAAATTGGACAGCAAAGGGCGGCAAAAATTTCATGCAAGACTACTTCCAAGAGTTTCTAGGAAACAGCCGGCAGTATTCATGCAAAGTAGATGATGAATCCCGTAAGTAACACGTCCATCTGGGGGGGGGGGAGGATAATAGCTAATTCTTTGCCAACTCAGAATGCAACTTTCCATTTCGGTGCGATGACATAGTCCCAGGCCCATATCGAAACCAAGCCTATCTTGCTTTAGGTGGATTGGAAAGTAGGTCACCAAAACATTTTTATTTCTGTATAAGAGCCATTGCTAATATGTTTCAAGACCTCAGCCGTTTACTACACCTTACCTGGGCAGGCTTCAACAAAGCCGGCGACGATGTCTCGCACATTCTCCCAACTTTTTCGAAGGTAAGTGACCAAAGTCTTCGATATATATATTTCTCAATAATATATAAAGGATTTTACTATGTTATAGTAGTTGGCTAACATAGCCTTGAAAAAGGTATGGACAGATCTTCCAAAGGGCACAGCAAGTTGGCAAATGATTCTTGCAATATTTGTAAGAGCATCATCTACATTCTAGAAAATTATAGCAAGGCGTTACTAACACTAATAACAGTCTAGTATATTAAGTTAGTGACTCTATAAGTTTGAGAGTGAGTGCCGCTAATGTAGAATTGTTTTTACAGCGGCGTTTGCCCTTCCATTCATTGGTATCCCTAGTATAATAGGAGGCGAGGTGAGTAATTACACGCAATTCCAGTGCCAGGGCTCTAATATACATGCAGGTAATGGTCGCTAGTTTCATTGGAGGGAGTACAGCTTTCGGTCTTTCGGGTAATGTCGGGAATGCAGCGGCAGCATCACAAAATGCAGCTTCAAAAGAATTCCGGTTTGACAAGTAAGTATTCCTTTAGATACGGGGGAACCCTAGCGCTGATATTTCTCGTGAAGTTACGCGGACCAAGAACTAGCTTTAGGGCAATATGTACACACAGCGCAGGAGGTCCTATACGCTACTCACGACGCCTTCTTCCAGTCCGGGACAAACTTAACGAAAATACTCTCCGGTGGGAAACTCGTCCAGACTGAACTAGTTGATAAATCTCTCCTCAATAACGCCGGAGAGTCATCCGCTCCTAGTGCCACGGCCGTTTACTTGGAACATGTCTTTATCACAAGACTGTTGAATGAAATTTTCCTTCAGAAGGGTGTTTTTATTAAGTTGGTAAGTTTTATAGGGAGAAGTCTTAAATATCTCTACTAACCGTTACCAAAGATTCCTTATGGGCTAGTGACAGCTCTCGATGGTCAGAAACAACTGTTTACAAAGCAAGAATGCGAGAATGATTGGGCAGGCGATAAAAATTGGTCCAAGGATCTAATTATCACTTGCAACGCCGGGGTAAATAGACAGAACGGGGTTCCTGCTGGCATGGCTTTTATGAGCGGAGGGTGAGTAGATCCATTAAATTCATGGAGCAAACTCTAGCTAATCAAATGCGATATAGTTACGACAGTTTTGGGTAAGCGAACTTATCAATAAATTACTAGGACAGTTCAGCTAAACTGGCTGATATAGGAACCCGACGCGCCCCGATTGGTACAAAAGGGATTTCACTTTCAATAACTATAAGTATGATATTATGGATGTAATCCACTCGTCTGTGTCATCGTTCACAGGGCATGGCTTCAAGTAAATTTTGCGGATCCCATTTTCCTGCATAATATGGCGGCTTATTATGATATAGGTACAATGCGACAGATGATGCGGCAAAGAAAATTGCAGCTGGCCAACATGTTGCTGACCTTCAAGATTGGGCCCCGTCTGATGCCGGTACATTCAACCTGCCAGTCTGTTCGGTTGCTGACCTCGGTGTCATTCCATACTGCGATAAAAAGGTCAATGTGTATCAACATCTCGAATGGTGTATGAGGCTTAAAAAGTCCGAACATTGCGATTGTCTTACTGGTAATAGCCCGACACTCCCGCTCTTTTTAGACCTTATTACTGACTTTATTATAGATTCTGTTACTGGCAAGCTTGGAGACAAAACTATTTTCTTTAGAGATGCACTAACCGAACCAAACCTGAAGAGGTATAAGGAGTTTTGTCACTTAAATCAGGAGTGAGTCGTTCCAAACCAAGCTTAATATTCTACCCCTAACAGTAATACTTGATAGCGCATAATATTGGACAATAGCTGTAATATGTTTAGCTAAACAGTTCGTTTTAACCGCTCTTTGAAGGGGTATATTATACTGGGTTCAATTGTACTGTATTGGCAGTTGCAAGAGTTAGGGCACAATCATAATAATTGTGTCGAATTTCCATAGTTGCCAAAACGCAGTTTTTTTCAAATACTTCGATTAGTTATTTACCTTACTTTCTATATAACTGTTTACCAACTAGCAAGTTCTATACCTGTACTAATAAGCACTAGCTCATATTATTTATACTTCCCCTCTCAAGGGAGATAAGCACCTTCGGCGCTCCGCATTATACAATTTACACTAATTATCCCCTGTAACGTTCTAGTAACTCTACGTAGACTCCTACTAGAGTAACCTTTTAGAAATTCTAGTGCAGCTGAATTGTTTACAATTGCCTTTTTACTAGAAAAGAATGTACTAGTAGCGAATTTTTAATTTTCTTCTATTATTAATCTATTATAAATACAAAATATAGTTTATATAGTGTTAGCGCACGGTTAGAGCTCGAGTATAGGTAATCGGGGGTTTTATTAATGAAAGCAGAGTAGGCAAACCCGCTGTTGCCTAAGATATCTGGTCTTAGGCCCCTACTGGTATACCTTGTTACCATGATAGGGTCTAGCGATTAGATACAGGGCAATGTCTCTTCCAGCCTATAATTAAAATAAATAGAAACCCCCGACTTTAGTAATAAATAAAACTAGCTAGATATCGTTCTTTTTCTACCTAGGTAACTAAATAGAGAATGTTTGAAATAGGAGAGAGAGACAAGGAACGGATATTGAATTATTCTACCAGCGAACGCACGGAAAATCTAATGATTGAGAGCAAGATGTATAATTGAATATAGATGTAGGGTAGCACCTTATCGCTATCTAATTCTACATCACCCCTCTACAAGTAATCCTCGCTTAAGCTTTTGTAAATAGGTAGGTACAGACTGGAACGCCTGTTCAAAGTAGTCCCAGTGGCGCGTACACTTCGCCTACTCACGTACTGACCGAATTTATCGTTGTGCGTAGGTGAAAGATTGGTGTAGAAAATAGTCCAGTCCCTTTATTAAACAGATATATCAGGCGTGAGGAATATACATATAACGACATCTGATGGAGTTTTAATATCATTTGGTGGTGTAATAGAGTTGCGTAAGAACCTAAAGAGGTAATTTTCTATTTATTTCGCAGCGCGCCCAATATCCATTAGAATTTATCAACCCATAATACCGTAGTCAATTAACCATGATAGGGCCTGCTCGTGGAGTCAAAATTCCATTCATGCCTTAACAAGTGACCTTGCTCTCATCCTCTCGTCTTCACTTAATACCCACGCCATTTCCTCCTCACCTTCGCCCGCAGCTTCATGGAGAGCATCCCATTCTTCCTCTTCCATGTTGACTAGCATACATATCTGATTAACGCTCGCAAAGATATCTCGAATACCATATCTTCCACCCCTCGCGACAACCCCAACAATACCACTGAAATCTCGCTCCATTCTACCTGCGCCAAGAACGTTCATCTTCCCAGCATAGCTCCAGATTCGCTTCTCGAGCACCCTGGCAAGGTGCTTTGCTGTTTGGTCTAATAGCATTTCGAAGCATTTCGCAGTCATGATCCTCTGAATCGGTTTCATCAATGAATCCCATGCATGCTCAAATCTCCGTGCAACTAGGTCGGCCATGAGCTCGATATCTTGATCGGTGTCGGTATGTCTTGCGATTTCAGCAAGATCGTCTTCGCTCAGCGAGTAGTCGACGTCACGAAATGTGTCGCTTAGGACGGGGCGCAACCGCGGCTTGACAATTTGGTTGAACATGACGTGCAGACCACCTGTAATCAGCTCTGACGTCTGGGATGCTAATGTCATGTTTAGGGTCTCCAATGAGTGGGCCACGAAGGTCGCATCGTGGTCGAAAGGGAAAAGGTTAGAAAGCCCGTCGGGAGCGGTTGAGCTATTGATGTGTTCGGGTAGTTGTAAGCGAGAGGTGACGATGCGACTGATATATTCATTTGCGACGTCGAGGGAGTTGATGAGGACAATGAAGGATATAATTTTATCCTCGGGAGGGAAACCGCCTTGGATGGCGGATTTTGGGTACGACTCGTCTCGCATTTTCCGCTGGATCATTCCAACGAAGTCGGAGCCGAGTACGCGGCCAATAGTAGGTAAGACAGAGGCTATCACGTCTCGCTGGGATGTGGAGAGTGCGCGTTGCAGGACTGTATTCACGATATACATTACATCGTCAACTGGTGTAATGATAAAAGGTGGGTTTCCATCTACCGGCTTCGATGGGTTGAGAGATAATCCAGTGGGGGACTCGTCCAATTGGAAGGCTTTCTCCACGGATCTTCGGAAGAAGAAGGTAGTTAGGACGTTAAAAGGATCGGTGAGCCTCGCTGATACTTTCCTAGTCAATGCTGACTTGAGTAGTAATTCTGGCATGACCAAGGGTTCGTCAGAGCTGACCCTGGGATCCTGGGATATCTTAGAAATAGCTTGAAGGAGAATTCCTGGAGGCGGACTTACCCTGCACTTGCCGGCTAAGAACCGTGAAAACGATGACCACCGGCCTAGCATCATAGCTGTTTCGTTCAGTAAACCATCGACCTCTTTCATGTCAACACCTTCATCTTCACTGATCCTACCGTTGGTGCCTCCAACAGCTGGAGAATTTGTCCTCGATATCCCAGAAGATTTCTGAGTAGGCAGAAAGCTCTGCACTAAGAAAGAAAACGGGTAGCTCTTAACGTCTGTCAACCTGCGATCGACGCTACGCTCATCACCCCACGTATCCAATATAATGCCACCCTGAACATCTGCCTCAACCTGGAGCCTCTCAATCACCTTCACCATCCTCCCTTGGCCATAATGCCTCTCCACCAGGGTCCCATGGTGCTCCACAATCTGCGCAATATGCTCAAAAAGCTTTGTGATAGCGTTCGCATAAAAGAATCCTTCCTTGCCGTCCCTCCCCTTTGTGCCTTCCTTCAAGTTGCCCCTCGCCCGCTGCGCAACTCCTTGACAGACGTATCGTCCGTAGACATCCAATCCAGTCTCCTCCCTCCCAATTAGAGGGAACAACTTGAAGAACCTCGTAATCTTCGGATTATCCCCTTCCTCCGCCGCCTTCTCAAATTCCCTCAAGAATAGGCTACAGAGACTCTCCTTCGCATTCTCAATAGTGACCGCGGGATCATCCGGAACCTCCACACTCGGCACAATCCGTGCAGCGAATTTTCCCTCGATAACATGTTTGGGCACCTTCGACGCTCGCGCAATATACCCGGCAGCCGCTTCCCAATCTTGGGGTGCGCCCATGGACCCAACAACTCCCTGGACACATGCTTTCAGTTCCGCTACCTGCTCCACCACCCCCAATGTCTCCTCAACACGTTTCTTCTCTAAATCTAGCGCTTTGACTTTCGAGGAAAGATGAGAGGCGGTTGAGGACGCTGAATCAAGCATGCCATTGCTGATATCACGAGTATGTATTACTTGGGTCCCAAGATGGGCACGTAGAAGGTCAAGACGGCCGAGTTCGCGGGAGAGGTCTGCTTGGGAGGATACAAGGGCTTGTAGGCGCAAAGTGATGGTGGCATCGTGGGTGTGAAGGGCTGACAACGAGGCGCGGATAGATTCTAAGGTTGAGGATCCGGAAATGTTTGGGGGAGCTGCTGGCGACTTCGACTCCGCAAGTTGAGAATGAATACCGGCAGTGACAGTGACGGCGCCATTTGGGAGGCCGGTGGGAGGCATTGGTTTAGGTTCGGCATGGAGGAAGCAGTTTTGGCGTTGCTATGGAGGGAGGTAGAATGGTATGTAAGCTCCGAGGTGGCATTACAGTTTTGGGGTTGTGGGGTTAAGCGAGGGGAGAAGTATAATAGTCGAACTTGAGTCATGAACCACTTGGAGATAGGACCAGCGTAGTCCCAATATTTGCTAATGCAATTAGAATTTGAACGATAACATAAGGTCTCTCTCTGCCTAGGTATTCAAGATATTTGTATTTATACAAGTGTTCCTCATCTTTCTTAGTATTTGCTGGATCGTAGCTAACTATACCACCTGGCTATACCCACTCCCAAGTCTCCTTCTACCTTTTGACTTCCAATACTTCCTTGCCTCGTCCGCCCAAAATACAGTGCTTGCCAGCATAACCAGGCCCACCAAATCAAAGAATCCCAGCGCCTCTGTCTGGAATACTTCTTGAAGCCACGGGAAATAGATAACCAAAATTTGGCCTCCCAGGCTCAATGATACAGCCCAATTGAAGAGGGTATTGCTAAACAATCCAACCTCTCCTCTTAACACGGATTTCGATTCGGAACGGCAATTCAAAGCGTTGAACATATCAAACAGCACGAAACAGGTGAATGTCATGGTTGTATCTCGCTTTGTCACCTCTCCATCCGTAAGCATTTCGTGTGTATAGACAGCCATGGTGCCCATCATGATGATTGATGCCGAGGTCATAACTCTAGTAATAAGTGGCCAGGTCAACACGGGGGCATTGCGTTTCCGGGGCGGTCTAGTCATCACGTCAGGGTCCACGGGCTCGACACCCAAGGACTGGGCCGGGGGACCATCCATAATAATATCTAGACGAGGTTAGGAATGCTTAGTATTTTTGACGGAGGAACTCACTGATCCAGAGAATTTGCATCGCATTTAGAGGGTTCTTGAACCCCAAACACGTGCAGAAGAATACCAATGCCAGGGCAGCAGCACTCGTGCTCAGTTGAAATGTAAGGAAGTTTTGGATATTGCTAAAGATCCCCTTGCCTTCCTCGATGGCGTGAAGAATGGTTGAAAAATCATCATCCGTTAAGATCATATCAGCAGCTTCTTTAGCGACATCCGTGCCTTGGAGGCCCATCGATATACCGATATCTGCCTTCTTCAGAGCTGGCGCATCGTTGACACCGTCACCAGTCATTGCAACAATATCCCCACGGGCCTGTAGCGCCCGAATTATTTTCATTTTATGATCGGGACTTGTTCTTGCGAAAATCGAAGTGTTGGCAATCGCAGCTTCCAATTCCTGGTCGGACATGTGTTCAATCTCATCGCCTCGCAGAACCGATTTAACCGCGACAGAGCCCGCTGTATGCTCCCGGGGGGCTGCAATAGTCATCCCAAGCTTTTGGGCAATAGCAACAGCCGTTGTTTCAGCGTCACCAGTAATCATAATAACCTTCACACCGCCGCGCATAAGTCGTCTGATAGATCGTTGCACCCCGGGCCTGGGGGGGTCACTCATCCCAACGAGCCCAGCGAATGTAAGGCCTTTATACACATCTTCGTTATGAGAGACCAAGGGCTCCGCAGTTGCCATGGTAGGAGTGCCTCCGCGGCTCAACGGTTGTGTCAGAGACTTAGCATGCCTAGGAACCGGACCGCTTGCAAACCCCAGGACTCGGAGGCCCTCCATTGCCATTTTCTCTGCGGCATCTAACACAGCTTGCTTCCTGGTCGAGTCCAACACCACCTCGCGACCATCTTTAGTTAGGTATGTGTCGCACCTTGCTAAAACACGGTCAATGGCACCTTTGATATACGCCACCTCTTTTGCATGAGAGCTTCCGTCCATTCCGGTATCTCCAACAGTGACACCCATCCACTTCCTTTCCGAGCTAAAAGGCGTTTCACCTAAACGATGGCCGAGATTCTCCCGCACATCGTGCTCCTTGAACCGATCAAGCATGTCCAGCATGGCAACATCAGTGGGTTGCCCGACCCATCTGCTTCTGAGGCCCTGGCTGGCGGAACGTCCTGCCGTCGAGGACAAGACCGCGATTGACGACGCCGATTGGGCGTGTGTGTTTAAACGACTCAAACGAGCGTTGTTGGCGATATTACCAATGCGAAGGATGCGGAGAGTCACAGCATCAGGTTTTGCCTCGGTGGCTTCATCTCCTACATCGATGGGAATTGGCTCATCAGCATCCACATGCCACATTTTTGCCGTTGACATATGATTCATCGTCAAGGTTCCTGAACTTGTCAGCAACGATTCAAGACATTTGGACTCACACATACCTGTTTTATCACTGCACACCACATTGACGGACCCAAGAGTTTCTACACTGGGCATTTTTCGTACAATGGCATGATGGCGAGCCATACGGTGGACTCCCAAAGCCAAAGTAACGGTAACAATGATAGGAAGACCTTCCGGAATGGCTGCTACTGCCAGGGAGATGGATATTGTAAAAATTTCCAGCAGGCCTTTGCCTTGAAACCATCCCACCAGTGAGATTATTCCAATAATGACGAACGAAGCTTGACTAAGTTGCGATCCCAGTGAGTCCATTGAGAGTTGAAGGGGGGTTCGAGGGCTTTCCGTCTCGGTAACACTTGCGGCAATTGTGCCAAAGTGAGTGTTGCCTCCTGTTGCATAAACGATTCCTTGGCCATGTCCAGATCTGACCAGCGTTCCCATAAAGGCAATATTATTGTTACTGTTAAGCTGAGTATCCACGCCGACTGTCCCAGTGCCAGCAGAAGCGTAGACTGGTGATCCTGGCGGTTCTAAAGTATTGGCTGTAGACCTCGAGGGATATGGTGCTCTTGTCCTAGCTTGAGCAGTGATTCTTACGGGTTCATTTTCTCCAGTAAGATTCGACTCGTCAATCGTGAGGTCCGCGGCTTTCGTCACACGAATATCGGCTGGTATCCGGTCTCCAGTCGTAAATAAAACCAAGTCGCCAGGAACGAGTTGCGCAGCCATGACTTTGGTAGACGCGGCCTCCAATTTTGCTTCTACATCAGCGGCGGACGTGGAATCTAGTAACCCTTCCAACTCTGGAGGTTCGCTTGTACTCGGTGGCCATGTTGGTGTTCGCTGACTCGAGGTCCTCACCTCCCCGCGGATTAGATGTGCATGATTGGGAACCAAGTGGCTCAACGCCTCAATTGACTTTTCTGACCGATACTCCTGTATGAATCCTACAGAAACCACAATTGTCACCGCCACGGCAATACTCAAAGCGTCATCCTTGTTCCCGACAACAATTGACGCTCCAGCAGAACAGAGCAAAAGAAGGATCAGCGGCTCCTTGAATTGCTTCAAAAACCGCAACCACAACGGTTCGGGCTCGTCATGGGGAAGTTCGTTTGGCCCTTGGTCGTGTAATCTCGACAGTGCCTCAGCAGGCGAGAGGCCGGTTGTAAGGGAAGTAAGAAGACGCTGGGCGGTTTCTGTCGGACTGAGAGCTGAGTATTCGTCTGCGATTGACTATGGGCAACATCAGCTACAAGGCAACATCATGCCTGCCGGCCTGCCTTGGGCCACTAACCTTTGCAACAGACGAGGTAGACCGACCATGTCTGGGTGTTGATATCGAACTATCCCTGGACCTGGACCGTGGGCGGGAGGGCGGCTCCGAACTGCAATTGGGAGCTCGAATTGTTGGCAGATTCGACATTGGTAGTAGTGTTCCTCGTGGACTGGCGGAACGCGATGCTCGAGTCCACGCCATCGCGGCTGGCCGTCCCCTAATGCGCGCGCACTATGGGTATAGCACGCAGCAGATCCGGCTATCGCTGCCGGACTTGTCACTATCGCTGAGGCATACGAAGATTGGAATCGGATTTGCGGGCACTTCGTCGAGCGTGGGCTGGATCAGGGGGGCGCAAGCCGAAGACACGATGAGACGGCTTAGAGGGCGCGACAAGGGCGCGGCGCTCAACTACAGAAGCTGGGGGCGATTGTATGAAAACAGGAGGAAGTTGGATCAGGTCCAAGGATGCCATGTACCATAAGCAGATACGAATGCGTGGTGTTTGGCAGTATGTGGGATGCGTGCAATGTGCGATGTAGGTGAGGTTTTAAAACCCCCAGTTCCTTAACAAGTACGTATGTATCAAGGGGATCAACTCCACAATATCCGCTACCCCTGTTCTGGGAGAGACGGAGTGGCTACTGGCTACTTGTACTTTTGCTTACCTCTGGATGCTAATAATAACAATTGCCTACCCATAGGCAGGGAACTTGTGGGAAATACATATTGCATACGGAGTACCTAGGGAGGCACTTGGTTGTATAATACTTCGTACGAAGTACATTGCCTTGTTATCAGGTAATGGAGCAGGAGGTGGGTAATTCCCTAATAAACGTAGTACCTAAGCTAGGCACATACACACGAGCAATTCCACTCAAGCAGCCAGCAGGTCCATAGCTACCTGATCTAGGGATATAAAACCAAGAGATCCAGTCCGTCGTACGAAGACGAAGCATTATTGGATCTGATCTGGCCAGAACATCAACTTCCAACATTGGGGGCACGTGCTCTTTTCTCCATGCCTGGAGTTCCAGGCCGTCATCAGGTAAGCCTTACATAATCCCAGCCATCTTTTCGCCCGCTGCTTCTCACATCGCAGCAGCAGCATCCTCCCCACCAAGAGAGATCAACCATCATCCACTCATCCTCGCCCAGCTTGCATTGTATTGCTCTGCTTTGCCTTGCTTTGTTGCTGCCCTCGCACGCTCGCACGACTATCGCCACGCTCCTTTCACATCCCACCATAGCGTGTTCGCTCCCCCGCCAGCGCAGAGGGGTTTGCGACCCGTTGGAATCCCGACAAGCTCCAAGCGCGCGCAACGCTATCAACAACGAAAAACACCACAACAACAACGCGCTCCCACACGCTCGCAACCACAACCAACCCCTTTCAGCACCTCTCCTTGCTTAGCAAACGTCCAATGCCATAGTCTTTGCTTTGCTTTACTCTACTTTGCTTTACTTTGCCATCCGACCAAAACATGTTCTATTCCGAGACTCTCCTTTCGAAGACGGGCCCCTTGGCCCGGGTCTGGCTGTCCGCCAATCTCGAGCGCAAGTTATCCAAGAATCACATTTTGCAAGCTAGTGTGAAGGACAGCGTCGATGCGATTGTCACCCCAGACCAAGCCCCGATGGCTTTGCGACTGAGTGGCCAGCTTCTGTTAGGTGTTGTTAGGATCTATAGCCGTAAAGCGCGTTATTTACTCGACGACTGCAATGAAGCTCTTCTGAAAATAAAAATGGTATGCGCGCATCTCTGCCCTTCATTGCCCATCCGTCTAGTGCTAATATCAATGTCAACTTGATAGGCGTTTCGCGTATCCGGAAATAATGATATCCCCTCTGGCCTGCACATGCCCTCTCGGGACGCGCTCATGCTCCCTGATGTATTGACCGAGGGCGATAACCTGGAAATGCCACCGATGCCGGACGCGTCATTCCTTCTTTCGCAGATGGACGATGACTCTCACCTGGGCCGGAGGCGGCGAGCCGGGAGTCGCGATATCAACCTACAGGAGGACTACAATGGCAGCCAATTCTTGCAGAATAGCATCGAGAATCAAACCGAGGAAGATTTCGCCCCCCTTGACGATCTAGACCTTGGCTTGGATTTTGGACTTGACCTTCCGGATCTTAATCTCAAAAATGACCGGAGTGTTGAAATTGGACGAGACGCGCCCACTGCGCGTGCAGCAGAGGATGATCTTTTGAGTGAGCTCGACATTCAACTACTAGCGAAGGACACGGTCAATGCTGGAGAGGAGCATGACACGTCCTTAAACCTTGGTTTCGATGACGACAACGATGCCGTTCGCATAGACGAAGAAGGAAATATTGAAATGTTTGATGCGTTCGATCAGCCGGATGTCTCTACTCTCCCGGGTGCCCCACTGATCCGACCCGAACGGATCTCCGAGTCTCCCCTTTCAGATATCGACGAGACCGTCGTTGAGCAAATAGAGGCCGAACGACGCAACAACCTCAGCTTGTACGAGCCTGGAGATGTAACTGAGGAGCCACTCGTTCGCAACCCGGCTCAGCGCGCCAGAAAACAAAAACTCCTACAGCCAGACCCCCAAACCACCATCTCCAACGCACAGATTAAGGACCAACAGCAAAATCGTGAGAAGATCCTCCGGCCTCAATCGTTTCTCCCTCGGGATACCGAACTACTGGCGCTGATGGAAATGCAAAAGAGTGGAGGCTTCGTGTCAAATATCATCGGCGATGGTCGAAGCATGGCTTGGGCTCCCGAGCTCCGAGGCATGCTATCACTCAATGCGGTACGCAGGACGGGCGAGCTTAAGCGGAAGCGTGACAGTGGAATTGCAGACATGGATGGCGATGAAGGCCCGCAAAAGTCCCCACGTCTTGATCTTCGCGAAGAAGAGGACGAGCTCGTTGGCGGACTACATGATGCTGGCTTGGGTCATCCAAGAAGTTCGATTGCGCCAGATGGCACGATCATTGAGATGGCTGGCGATGAAGGCTTCGTGCCGAACATGGAGGACGATGAACACAATGCAACTGCCGGCCTGGACCCAGAATCTCCAGGTGCCAATTTTGACGAGACCACCGCACCTCTAGTCCACCCAGCCGATAGTGGCCCTGTGTCGCTAGGCACAAAACATGCAGTCCATCTACTCCGAGACCGGTTTGGGTCGGAGGCAGCTAGTAGCCCCGACAAGCGAAAGAAAGCCAGTGTTCTATTTCAAGATCTCTTACCAGAAAGAACGACGAGTCGCGCCGATGCTACAAAGATGTTCTTTGAAGTTCTGGTATTGGCAACTAAGGACGCGGTGAAAGTTGAGCAAGCCGAGTCTCAGCTTGGCGGACCTATTAGAGTGAGGGGGAAGAGGGGGTTATGGGGAGATTGGGCAGAGACAGGAGCCGGTGGTGAGATTGCCGAAGAAGAGGCCGCGAGTCCTTCGCACGGCCGTCTGGAGTATTCAACCGCTCTGGCCGTTTCCGCATAGGAAAATCTCTTTGGAGGAATAAATTCTTCTGGTTGTGTATGTATAGTTTTTGTCGATGCGTACTGGGCGAAGACAATGGTTATGGAACGAGGCGTTACCTGGATTCACTTCTTGGGTGGATAGGGGAAGCTCAAATTGGCGTATGTGGAGTTCCTTGATATCCCATATTCGTTTCCATAGGCTGGATATGGTGGATGGCTGTGAAAGTCTGCTTTAATGACAAAAAATATTATTGTGAGCATGGAAGCATATATGTTTGTGCCGCAGATGTATGTGAAACTGCTGTTTGTTCTTTCTTCTTAATATTAGGCAAGTGCCTAACTTAGAGGTTTAGAGGTGAACTGATCTCGCAGGGCATCGCGAGCTACCTAGGTAGTCCTAGAACCCCCTTATTTCAATGTTCATCACCCTTGGTTATGTTATGCGTTGCTCGTCCCCTAGGCTCGCTGGCCTGTATTTATTTCTAAATCACGCGGTGGCCCCCCTTTTCCGTGCGTTCGGACCACTCGACTTAATCAAGCTGTACGCCAGTGGTACGCTGCACGGGACCTTTTCGTTGTTATACGTGCGTAATCTAACGAATACCTAAGTTTTTCAGCCAAGAATTAGCGCTAGCAATTCATCGAACGCGTTTCTAGGTTTCAGTAGGGAGATATTACCCCTACGGGTCAAGCCTCACCACCAGAGGATGCTTCGCGGTCATTAGCCTCTCCATCCTTTGGTCTCCCAGCGTTCCTTTGGCTTTGCTTTAGCTGGGAGCGTAAATGGCATACCCTATGTTTGTCAAGTCCGGAATAGTGGGTTGCAGTGTATTCATGTACTCAGGCTAGCTACATACCAGATAACTTATGGGTACGAGCGGAAGCCACTGTTAACAACTACCGAAATCTCTATCCTCCGCAACCCATTGATGATATGCGCTAGCGTGGGGAACGCCAGCTCCAACTTGGCCCCCTGCAGCTTTGTGAAGCTGATGTTAGCCTTGCCTGCAACCCAGCGCTTCTCAACGGCTCCCTCAACATGTATCGGCTGTGAGGCCGTGGTGCACTGTGCCTCTAAAACTCCCAGCTCCATGTGGGCCTCTACAGTCTTCAATTGGGAATATAGGCGGTCTCACGGCTACAGGGCCAGGCTCTTGCGCAGTAAGCCCATCTAGTCTGAGTCCGCAGAACTCGGTGCCTTCCCAGCCGGCACTCAGGTTGTAGCTGTCGTCTGTCCGCTGGGCTTCCAGGGTCGCGAAGATACTGGGGAATCCGAGCTCCTGACACATGATGATCGGGTCTGCCATATTCTCGAATCGCACTACCAGCAAGTCACCACGCTTCTCGAGCTTCTCCTGCTGATGCTGCGTGTAAACGACGTCATGGACGTACAGGTCGAAATGGCTGTAGCCCCGGCCGCCCAGCCATGCAAGGTTGCTGAGCTTGGTGATAGAAAAAGTCGCAGTAGCCCATCCATTCCCCGTGTCAATACGGAACTCCTTGGTTGGCATTAGTATCTGCAGATAGGATTTCCTACTTTTGAACGTCATATACGTGGTATGATACGTGATGGATCGATCTATACCGAGAGGCCCTCCACCAAAATCGTTTCCTAGTCCAGGGCCCGGTCCAAAGCCGAGCGGCATGCGGTGAAAGGTCGCACGGGACTCAAAATGCAGTTTTAAGACGCCGCAGGCAAAATCATGGGCGTCATGATCGAAGTTGAAGGCCACAAATCTTAGGGAATTTGTGGTCTCCCTATGGCCGAGGTTGCTATGGCCGAGCTTCAACGTAGGTGCTCGCGTGTACTCCTGGATCATGGTTGCTCGCTCTGAGCGGCACTCGAAGTATAGTTTCAATCGGTCCTCTACATCCGATGTCAGTGTTCCTGGCGGAAAGAGTGCACCTAATGCCGCTCCATCTTCCACTGCTTGAGCACCGCCTTGGCCTTGGTAAGGGAGGAATGGGCGCCCCTTGATCCACTATAATTACACACATCAGCCATATTATTCTCATAAGTTCAGGATGGGGTATTACTGTTGGAAGTGTGGGGTGGTCAAGCAATCTCCACACTGTCACGCCGTCCAGATTAGCCTTTTCTAGCAAAGTCTTCACATCATCTGAAAACCCATCGAAGGATTTGAGAAGCGTGTCCTTGGAGCTGGACTGGTTCCAGCCCCCGCCATGTGTATTACTCTCGTTGTCAGGATGCATGGCAACGAAATTCCACTCCGTATTGCCTCTACACGGATATATTATAATGCGGTGCTCCTCCCCAGACAGAATCCTCGCCTCCCCGTCCCGCTCTACAAAGTGTTCTGTCTTTGGATCTGCTTTTATTGCAGCGCTGGAGATTAAAAAGCGGAATGCACTCGACCCAGATGGATGTGCCTTGGTGTCCTAGCCCGTTACATATCTTCGAAGTACAGACTGGATATCATTAGCAAAGACTATCTGCAAGGTAATATCTACTGAGCTCACGTGAACACCGTCCGCACCCAATATCAGATCGCCTGTCACTCTGGTTCCATCGTGCAGGGTGATTGACGGCTCCTCGACATCTGCACCAACCACTCTGCTCTGAAGATGAATAATAACTGGAAACCCAATATTTGTCGTGCTGGTCGCAGTTGTTTTCAGGGCACTATGGAAATCCACGCGGTGACAGAGCTGCCAGGGTTACTCCTTCGTCGTCAACACTGCACTCATCTCGCAATCTCAAAGTAGTTCATCACCCCATATACATACGTACGGATAGGTAGACCTCGGCCCCCTTAAATCCTACGATAAAACTTTATCTCGTGGCGCCTTTATATTCAGATATCCATTCACATGTGTTCGCACCGTGGTCTTCCGGAAACTATACCAGCTCTCCTGAGCAAGCCGTTAATGTTCGGTAGAAGGAAAATAGCCGCGCCAGTGTCCCGAGCGAATCTAGAGGATTCGTATATCTAGATTCTCGTTACATTTCTAAATATTCCTCTTGCGATGTTTTATTCAGATATTTTCCGCACATACCTCGACCCGATGCCCCGCTCGACGGAGGCATATCGCCGCGAATAACCCCCCTATCCCAGCACCGACAATTACAATCTTCAATGGCTTGGGCGCCGACATGTTTCGACACTTTTCAGGTTCCATTGCCTCATTACGCTAGTGGGGATGTCAAGATATGCGGACAACCTAGCACGTAAAATATATAATTGCGATACTAATCAACCCGGACAGAACAGCGCTGTGGGTATTTCAGTCTGGTCCGGTTGATATCATTAGGCGTTACAAGGAAAGTTAACATTATCGCTTTGGTGGGGTTTCTATCTCACGCCCTATTAAAACCATTTCCTCGCCACAAATCCGGAGTATGCTGTGAATCCCACAGGTCTTCAGTTCTCGATAATCTGTACCGGTTTCCATTATCATCGTTAGTTCCCGCAATTCTAGCGACAAAACCTGCGGGCATATAATCATTATCCGTTGCTTGGGCATCATCACCAACATATTGTTAACCCTTTCCGTACATAGACCGGGCTACTATCCCGGGTGATGTTGATATGTTGTTAAATCGTGTGAGGGTGGTGACCGGAAGTCCGCTGTCGCAACACTCAGCTACGTACAGTACAGCACCCACACCGGGTGCTGCCTGCCTTTGTTGTGTAGCGTGGATATTAATTTGGGACTGAATTAAATTACATATCTCTTACTACTGGCTTGCATAGCAAATATTAAACTAGGACATGGAAGAATTCGTTGACTGGGAAATAGTGGCATAAATAGTGGCGCAAGCGAGCAGAAAGGGGCATAAACGGACCTGCTACGCAACGGCGAACGATGGCAACGACCAATGCTGCAAGGGAGTTGCTAGAGATCTCCAGTACAGCGCGAAATATACTTCTTCGAAATGGGTATTTCCATTCCGAAGGGTTAGGCCGTTTCCATTCCATGCAATGGACCTAGCCCATCTCTGACAAGAGTCGTTAACCCCGGTCCTCGGTCGACTAGAACTGAGGATTGGAAGGGAAACACTGGGACCCGGGACGAAAGCGGCGAGCATAATAAAGGAGCATCATAAAGGGGTGGATTATATCAGGTGCCACGGCGGTATCTAGAATTATAAGTATTTGTATGCAATCGAAGTCTTGTACGTTTTCGAGCTCGAGTGCTTAAGTCCTTTAGAAAGAGTCAATTGCGGGATCGTTTTCCAACACCTTCCCCGATAACAAGCAAGACCTGCGCCAGTCAACCCACAACTAATCATTTTAAAAGCCCGAATAAAAACTAAAATCGGGCATTTCCATGATGCAACAACAAATCTTGCAACGGGGAATGGCATGCTCTCCATCCTGTCCAGGATCGCGCAACCTCTGCTTGTCGCATACCCAGCAAACCCATACCCCTGATTGCGCCCAGCCTACAGGCGGTTCCATTCGCAAGTGACACTTGACGCAGCGCGGGATTCTACCTCCTACTTGGAGGGGATGCGTGGATTGGTTGCATATATGGCAGATCCAGAGGCGGGTTAGTTGGAGCGGGGAGGAACGCATGGTGACTTGGATTAGACGCTGGAGTTGAAAGTGCGGGACTGTGCAGGAATTGAGAATGAATTGCGAGGACGAACTTTGGAATGTCTTTAACTTCATCCCTTTCAAAGGTTGAAAGGTCAAATTTGCTGATCTGCAAACGGAACGGGCAATTGCAGGAATGGCACACGTGGAAGGCTAGGAACGAGGAGCTGAGTGATGAGGCTCTCCCGGATGCAACACCTAGCTAAGATTGCATTCTTTACAAAACCCAAGCCGCCGTGCGAGTGCCTTTGCATCTCGTAAGGGATAGGGAGTCGTCAACTCGTAGGGTATGATGTATCGCCAGCGTGCGTGGCTCTTCAGCGGGCCTGAACCGAGATGTTGCTTCGGTGTGTTTGTTCCCTTCTCTTCGTCTCTCGGACTGTCGGAAACACATCCGCGACTGGGACTATGTTCAGTCTGTAGATTCGTGGGCTTTGGCTTTGGCTTTGGCTTCGGACAACCCCAAATCAATCCCCGCCGAGTAGACCTGAACCGTTCTGGAGCGCTGGAGCGCTGGAGAACTGGGGAGCTGGAGCTGGAGCTGGAGCTGGAGCCTGGACGGGAGCGCATGTGGCAAGTAACAGGGTCGCCAGGTGGTGGTCGTCGTCTATGCTGTCATCAATCCTTCGCACCGGTACGAAAGTATATCATCACCATCGCCATCGCCATCGCCATCGACTTCTGGTGCTTATGTTGCATCCAATGGAGCCCTGTGTGACGGCGAGCAGCTCGTACCACAGCAGCTCAGCACCACTCAACCTCGGCCCCGACCTGCCATGCGACTCAGCACGTCAATACGGTACTCGACTCGTAATTCCCCCCGCCATGCCGGGGCAGGTTTCCCCCCTGAAATAGAAATGATGATGAGCATTTGCCACGTTCTTTACTGGTACCGGATCGAGGGACTTCGCACAGGATCCGTTGCTCGGGATCCTTGTGCTCTCCCCACAATCAATCCCCGGATGTTCCTGGTCGTGTGCTACTAAAAACGAAGTAAGTACTGGAGTAGTACAGCATCATCATCATCATCATCATCATTATTTTCCCTCGTGATGATGATTACGATCCGGCGGAGGCGCTTGGCTTGGCTTGGGGGGCGGACTGCCAGTGCAGCGTGTGCGAGGAGGGTGAGATGAGATGAGATGGTGTGGCACGCTGTACGAGCATCCATTGCGGATGATATAAACCCGCCGGACGGAAAGCTCGAACATACATTCCTGCTCACATCGCATCACATATCTCGTTCGCATTCTCCAGTCCAGTGTGTGTGTGTGTCTCCTGCAGGTCCAATGATAATAACATACTGTAACAATAAAAATCACAACAAAAATAATCCTCCGTTCCGCACCGTTGACTTGGGTTCATCGTTCGTCAGGGAGGCGGGCGCTGCAGCAGCGCCCCGAGGCACCACACAAGGATCCGATGCTGCCGGCGCTGCTGCTGCTGCTGCTGCTGGTGGCCGGGCCTTGACCTTGACCTTGACCTTGATTGGCCGCGCTGCGGACCTTGGGCTGGGGAGTTGCTGCTATTGGTGTCTCGGTGGTCCCCTACAAGACGGTACCGGTAAGTAAGAATTATTTATGAGTAAGTTAGTTTGATGTTATGCGCACCGGCGAGTTGTTAACTTGTTGGGAACCCCAGGGGTCGAGTCGGTGCCGCGCCGGAGCATTCAAGGCCCAGTCCATGTCCGTTCCCCGAAGCATAGCATAAGTAGCATAGCATAGCGTAGCAGAGGGCAACTGGTACTAGTACTAGTACCTGACAGAGGTCGGTCCTAGGCACTCCAGCAATTTGCGCTGATGGTTATTGTTGAGCCTGCGATGCCGACTTGTTGAACTTCTTCTCTCTTCCCTCTTCCCTCTTACCACTTCCCACTTCCCACCACCTTCGTTCGACGCTCGCAGTTGCGAATACCTTCCTCTTCTCTTCAATCCCCCCCCCCCTTCTCCCCCGGCGCGATCCTTCTGGACGTGGTGCACCCTCTCCATCCTGCCGAAGCCCCTTTTATTAATTTATTAAGGCTGGACCATCCACACGTGACCCCTTGCGCTCCAGTGAAGCTTTCTTTACCAAGTACCTCAGTACTCCCTCCGTACATCCTGCCTGCTCACCCGGCGCGCTCCCCCAAGACGTCCTGATGGTTCAAAATGGACGACATGCGCCCTCAGGATGTCCACTTTGCCTGGGACGACATCATGGCGTACAAAGCTTCCACGGCTCCAAAGACGAGTCGGACGCCTCACCACCTGTCCGTCTCTGGATATACGCCATCCCGCCAAGAAAAAGACCCGAGAGAAGATGGCTACCTATACGATAGCGACGTCGATGCCTCCCAATGGAGTGAAACGGAAACTAGCTTGAGCACTGGCCCATTTAGTATCGATTCCCGCTCGACACACACCTCCGGCTCCCTCAGCGGCCTCGAATGTTGTTTTGGCGACGACGAAGATGAAATCGAGTTTCCCTCGTATCATGATGCTCCCGCCTGTGCTCGCGGAAGGATGCCCGAGTTGTGCAACCCGTTCCCTCCGTTGGCCTCGTCACAACCAGGGCTACCGGAAACCATTCAACATGCCGACGACGATTCAGCAGTCCAAACGCAACCCTCCCGACACGTAGATTATTTATCTCATGACTGGCGTGAGGAAGACGTCGCGGCAACATGGAGGTATCTCCGATCAACCCGGACAGTATATACCAACAGAGAACGGTTAGAGAACGCATCATGGCGCATATGGATAAAAACACGGCATGACTTGGGAACAACTGAGCCCCAGACAATCAACTGGTAGAATATGATGCGAGATCCAATCCTTTAAACCCATGCTAACCTTTTGAATAGGATGAAAGATCGCGATGTTACTTGGCTGTACGGCCCGCTTCAGTTGGGAGAGGAATTGGACGGTGAATCCGCTCCACCTCCTGTCCCATCAGAGACCCCGTCGCCCCCGGTGAGGCCAATTCTCAAGAAGCCAACCTTATCGGAGACGTTGCTCCGAAGATCACTCTCTGTGTCTTGTCTCGTCAAGGTACCATCGACAGCTTCTATCCAAACGCAAAGGTCCGCCGAATTTAAGAATGATTCCTCCACTCACCCGCTCCCAGCGTTCCGCCGGCCCAAACCAAAAGTAACCTTCAGCTTTGATTCTATCAGTGATTGGTCTCGCCGTTCTCCCACTCCCACCAAGAATGTTCGATTCCATGACGAAATTGAACAGCACAGCGATTTCGGACCAATTGACTTTGACGAGGGTGACATTGAGGTCTCTGCGCTTGTGAATCACCGCCATGCGAATGCGACTGAGCTGCGGCGTGCTCTAATCGTTGGGGGAATACCATTAGCCGTCACGTCCGAACCTATCGCCCTAGCTGACGATCTAGAGCGCGGGGATGATAATCTAGAAACCGATTCCAATATATCAATGGAATCTGATAGTGAAAGTGCCGAGTCAGAGCACTCACATGATGATTCTGAGGACGATTATTTTGGGACCGCAGTGAATTTTAGCAGGGCAGAGATATCCCACATGGGGTCCCTGCTGGGTCCGGTTAGAGATGAATTGGTTGAGCTAGTAATGTCTGAATTCTGGACGCTTTTTAATCGGGAATGGGACTCAAGCTTCACCGAATGTGCTGGTAACTCTCCAAGATCACCAAAGGAGAGTCGGTCTGGCCCTCATACAACACCCTCTACGTCAGGGATCCAAGCTCAGCGCAAGCGTCAAAGGATGGATGATGGCGACAATCGTGACGACAATAGTGGCAGAAAGCCTCGGCAGCCACCTCAACTCCCCGTGCCAGGATCGGAAGGCAAAGATAGCCCCAAGTTTGCCTGTCCATTTCGCAAATGCGACGCAAATACGTACAACATCTATAGCTATAGAGTATGCGCATTGTCTCACTGGAAGACCATTGCACGAGTTAAGTATGTGTACCATTTCCGCATCCGAAAAAGTTACCCCTTGCTTATCCATCTAGGGAACATTTATACCGATGCCATCAAGTGGCTCCTCACTGCAAGAGGTGCTGGCAAACTTTCAAGAACCAACAGCAACTGGACACTCATCTCACCGTCGCCGCTCAGGAGATATGTGAAATCCGGCCCGGAAATTCCCCCGAAGGTATTACACCGGAAATTGAGAGGCGGCTGAGAAGTAGGAAGAAGTCACACCCAAACCAAACAGACGAGGAGAGGTGGAAGGACATTTACAAGCTGTTGTTTCCTAATGCAACAGTGCCTTCGCCATGTAGGTTTTCATTTTGCATGAGAATGCCACCTCCGAGATGTCTTCCAGGATGCTTACCGGGTTTTAGATTTTGAAATTGTCCAAGATGAGCCTCCCTCCTCGCCCGATTCCCGCGAGCTAGCAAACTATGAAGGCTATCTCCGTCGCGAGCTTCCGCGGCTTGTCCGGAGTAATATAGAAGAGGTGGTCCGTCGAGAGACACAGCCATTAGAAGCAGTGCTGGTCGGAAGCCTGGTTGGAATCATCCAGGACTGCCAGGATAGGGTCTTTCGTGCATACCGAGAGACACAGGGCTTTGATCCTAGTATCTCCACTCCGTCAATCGCGACTCTTACATCCACGCCACTTCCAGAAGCCATCTGCACCGAAGATACCCAGGCTCGCGCGGAATCCGACTTTCTCGACGCTGCCTTTCAAGCACCTGTCCCTACCCCAGAACAACGCGCTCCATATATCCAACCGTTCGAATTGTCGGACTACAAGGTATTTTCCGATTCTGGATATTCTAGTGAGCCTATTTGCAGTTGTCGAAGTCTTTGCAGTTGCACCCGGTCAACCTTTAATACACAATTGCAGGACGATCCTTTCTCTGTATCCCAGGATAACAGTAATATCAGCCGGCCGTGGGCCCAACGACCGACAAATTCGCTCTCTTACCCTTCTTGGCAACATGTTGAATTGACGGAAGATGAAGCGGATTGGTGGATGAATATATGATTTATGACATATACCTCATTGCATTTTTGTTGCATTTGCGTTGCAGCGCATAGAAACCTTTGGCGGAAACTGATCGGTATACCCCTTTTGCAGGAGTTTTAGTCTGGGCTTAATGTTTGGAATTAGAGGTAACATTGACATGTATGTTTTGGATTGTGCTATAGACGGGTAGATAGTTTTAGTCCTAACGATTCCGTGCCAAGACTCGCAAATTCTATTGCAGCAGCAGCTTTCGGTCAACGAGTATGGCTGGTATACTGTTCCTGCCATGGCAGGTCACTGTTGCAACAAAAGCAGTTCTCAGCGCGTCGCTAGATATGTTTTTGCACTACTTCTTAATTCTTCACCCTTATAGATACATGCGCCTAATAGATGATAAGCGTCACCGACTACTTCACTTTTTCTCATATTGTTCACACAATTGCTAGGCTTGGCACTGTCGTTAATTCCATGGTGACTTGGTCTTTGCCGCTAAACACAATTTCTTCTTTGCACTGGTCAATATTCAAATCTAAGAAAACATGTTAAGGTTGCACTATATTTAATAAAAGTACATCAATGCCCTATGCAAAAACATCTGACGCATACCGATTACTTTTAATATCCTGGAACCAACTCTCGATCTCTTCGTCCGTTTTCGACTTCCCTCTAGCTTCAGTTGCCTCCTCGTATATTTTCTTTATCATCACCCCGATACCCTCGCCCACGGTGTTTGATCCGCACACGTACAATTTTGCACCTTGGTCAAAAACCTCCCTCATACGCTCCCTCTCTTCCCAAACACGATCCTGAACATAGCGACAGCCCTTACTCTGCTCTTTCGCCTTCGAAAATGCATAAAATACCTCGACCACACCATCCTTTTCCCATTGCCGCAGTTCATTGCTGAAGAGGACGTCTTTCTGTGGGTGCTGGCATCCGATGAATAGGTATGCCGCTGCTAGTTTCCGTCCTCCTTTGATCTGCATCGCACGTTCCTGGGCGAATCCCCGGAACGGGGCTAATCCAGTGCCAGCACAGATCATGATGACAGGCGTATTTTCGATATCTTTCGGGGGGTGGAAGTGACCGTGGCTCGGCTTAACCGCAACATGCATGCGGTCTCCTTCCTCGAGACTCGACAGGTAATTCGAGGCCACACCGAGGAACCTTTTCGACGAGGCGGCCTTGGAAGGGGTATCGAGAACCGACCAGGTGATGGTCGCCGTTGTTGGATCTGCAAGTGGCGAGGACGAGATTGAGTATTGTCGAATGCGCATCGGAGGTAGCATAGCGAGGAAGTCTCCAAGTGGAAGGCCAGCTGCAGAGGGATACTCTTCCAGCAAGTCTAAAGGAGATCGGCGCTTGAGCATAACCTCCCTCTCGAAGTCATCACCTGCGAGCTTCATAATTTCCGCCCGCTTCTTCTCATCTGTGCAGCTGGAGGCGATTTTTATGATATTCTATGGATACTATTAGCATCCTATATATCACCAATTTTCCGACGCATACCTTTCGAGTAGCTGGCTGGCCAAGCTCAACATAAGCACCCAGCACATCCACAGCTGAAATTGGATGACCCGTAGGCAGTGTTGTATTCGAACCGCTCTTGATGGTCAACGTTGCATCATGAGGCAAACTCGCCCACTTCAGCACGCGCCTAACGTTCTTGGTATCGTTCAAAGGAAGAACGGCGAGATAGTCGCCGACCTTATACTCCATCCCTGTAGGCAATTTCAACGCGATGTGTCTCTTCTCGGGCTCCCCTTCAGTCGTTAACAACTCATTGCTCAAGACGATTGCCTCTTTGACATCCTGGCGTAATCGGGACCGCCGGGAGCTTGTGTCGACTTCCACATCGATGCCTGCTTCCTGCTCGTCTGCGTTACCTCCAAGCGCCTTCCACAGGTTTTCATCTTGCCATTTGTCGAAATCACCGAAAATGTCGCCTCCTGCAACGTCCCCGAGACCGATATCTGCAATTTTCTCTGCTCCACTTTCTTCAAATCCCGATTGAAGCAGAAGCGGTACCTTGTGGAATGTCGACGCCCAGTCACCTATAAATGATTAGTATCCTGCCTTTAAAATTAAGCTTTTGGAACATACGGTTTCCGCACCCAAAAACAGCATACTTGACACCTAACATTTTCGAGCCTTTTAAATTCTGAAGCCATTCGACAAAATGGGCAGCATTATCGGGAGGCTGGCCTTCGTAACTTGAACAGATTAGTATCACGGGCTGATCGCTGGGAACCTTGTTGACAGCTGAGTCAAGAACATTGACGTGGGGTTCGTATCCACGACTAGACGCAGTTCTAGCAAGGCTTTGGGCCAGAGCTTCGCAGGTGCCTGCATTGGAACCGTAAAAGATCGACATGGGTTTCTTAGTCCCACCGGTTGTCGTAACGGCCTTGTCATTCAAGTGCTTATTTGTAGCTTTAGAGTCCTTGGATGGGGCTACATAAAGCGTTTTCTCTAAGTAATCTGGGTCGATGTGAGCCCGGACATTTGCGCGCATGTAGAAATCCTTGGGTTTAAGAGTCAATGTTGTCTTGATTTCAAGCTGGTAACTGGGATCCTCCATGCGGAAATCAAAGTTCTGGAAGAGCATAGCAACAGCTAATATGGCCTCTTGCCATGCAAACGGCCTTCCAATACACGCGCGGGAACCGTTTCCAAACGGTTTCCAGCTGTTGGGTGGAAGCTTGCTAAATGCTTCGGGTAGCATTCTCTCGGGCTTGAACTCGTCGGCATCTGGTCCATAGACCAAAGGATCCCTATGAATCTTCGGAAGAAGCACGGTCATAGGCTGGCCCTTTTTAACTTCGTATCGCCCACCGCCGATAAAGGTAGACTCTTCAGTTGAGTCGGGCCGGATCGAGACAGAAAATGCTGGGGCGGTTGGTGTCAGTCTCAGCGTTTCACGCAGGCAGGCATCAATGTATGGAAGTTTCGACATGTGCTCAATAGTTATTGGATTGTTGCCAATAACATCGTCGACTTCACGCTGCACAGCTTGGTAGCTGGCTGGGCTCTTGAGTAGGTTGTAAAACAAGAAGGAGAGAAGACCGGATGTAGTCTCGTGTCCTCGTTCAAGTTAGCTAATCTCAATTGTTTTTAGTGTTGGCATGCATACCTGCAATCAGAAACGTGATCATATTATTTTTTATGCTGTCCTCTGTGAGGGCTTGCCCTGTTTTTGGATCCCGTCCGTGAAGCATAGCATTAAGTAGGTCTTTTTTGTCTGTAGGATTTGCCCTTCGTTCAGCGATGAGATCTGTAGCTACCTTCTTCATCAAAGCAATATCGGCATCGTACTTTTGCTGTGCTGTACGCCTGAAATAGTTAGCCAGAGGCAGCCGTCCTGCCCTCTGCCCGGACTCAACCAAGAAGTCCACCATCGCAGCAACAAAAGGATGCATTTCATCATGATAGAAACTGTTGAATCTGGTGCCCATAGCACACCTGCATGCCGTTAACGTCTTTCCAACCGAGCGATAGTGGGGGGGCAAACAATGCAATGGAATCCAATGTTAGCCTGGTAAAGTCATCCGTCACATTGATCTTCTCGTTTGGCCCAAATCGCGCCCACTTAACAACCAGCTGGCAAGCAATCCCGTGCATCTCATCGAACATCGACTGAATTGGAAGGGGGCCAAACGCTAGTCGAAATCAGTAATGGACAAGAATCCAATTGATCAAGAGAGGCTCACCTGGCATTAAAGTTCGATGAGCGATTGCCCATGCTTCTTCGCCCGGCCGAGCTGTAAAAAGTCCATCTGCCACTCCAGTTCTGACCTGCTCTAAAGGGCCGTGGACGATTTTTGCAAATCTCTTCTCATCGCAGATTTCGTTCATCAGCTCAACGCTCCCGATGTACAGTTTCTCCCTACCTGCCAGAGTAAGCTTGAATATTGGGCCTAAAGAAGTCAGTAGATGTTGACATGTTGTCATATTTAATCGTTCGATATACCGTATGTATCCGTCAGCAGCCCAAGACTCATGATAGCATTCGCCGGGTCAACGTCCATGGCATTACCAAGTATGGGTAGGCCGGGTGGACCTGGGATTGTTTCTGTCATAATAGCGTTTTAACAGTAGCACGAGTTTTGTGAAGGGCGATTTGCAAATCAATTGAAGTAGTTTGCACCACGGTCTGAGGAAAAGAGAATAGGGCACCCCCAACTCTATATGTACATAGTTGATTGGAGGGGTTCATGTTAGACAGCTGACATGGATTGATACTGGGCGATGACGAAAGGTGGTGCTGTTATTGCTATGGTTCAAGGTTCTATGCTGACACAGTATGTTAGAGGGGCTTGGACTACGTAACCCGCAGCGGTGACGAATAATAAGTATGATAAAGGGGCAGTAAGTACGCTATAGTCACATCTATCAGTGCTCTTACCCGTCCGGCGTCCGCTTTTACGGAGTAGGCCCATTAATACATTGTGGGTAAGGAGCATTCTCGGCATAAACCAACACGCCTTCATGAAACAAACAAGCAGATCCGTAGCATTCCACCGCTTGGTCAATGTCAAATCCGTGGTTGGTCAGTTCGTACTACGTCTCGGTATTGTACGCCGTGCTCCTTGCATTTCTCTTATTATTAGTACGGAGGTGAGATACAGCGAGATAACCTACAGGGCCAATCTAATAAGCTCTGGCCTTGGCCGGACACCCGACTCTCACATATACGCTACAATTACTTTGGACCGGAGCTATATTACTAGATCCACCTCTTCAGCATATGCCGAGGTTGTACGACGTGTGGAGTATCTCCCCATATTTCCCCAGGGTTCATGCGCCCTAGACCGTTGGCATGTGCAACTTACAATACGCCGTTAGTGGTAGTCACGCATCGCATGCATTCATCCATCAATGCTATAAAGAGTGTCTCGTAACCTAAGGTACGTCGACCCGAACTCCAATTCTTGCCAATATCCAAACATTCCTCAAATCCAAAGGTAAAATTGTATGTACAAGCATGATCGAAGGGCACCGCAACTTCACAATCACTACCTAGGTAGGCGCTCCCTATTCACCTGGCATGCCGTTCTTCATGTTATCATACTTGCTCCCAGAATAGGTCAGGCAGTTTTGACTCTGCTCCAAATTACCAAATTTCCCAGCAATCGTCCCGATCAGACTCTGCGACCCGTCCCTATCCGCACTGGTCTCCCAGAACATCGCACCTCCCAATCCTTTGTTTTGGATATAGGCGGCCTTGAGCTGAGCTACCGCGACGTTGTCATAGCTGATGAGCTCCCTCGAGCTGCTGTCGTAGCTGTACGACGCGCCGGTGATCGAATCGGTATACTCCACAGCCCCCGCTTTGGGTAGATTCTTATAATCCCAGACCCCATTCTCCCAACTTCCTGACCCGACGCCAGTGAACGTTTGGCCAAGCCCGCTGGTTGCTTGGAATGACCGACCATAAATTGGGATGCCCATGACTATCTTGTTGGCAGGAACCCCAGCAGCAATATAATCGGTGATCGCCCTTTGGGTGGAATATGGGGTACTTTTTGGGTTCGAAGTGCTTGCATATAGGTTGGCATCATGCCCAGCAACAGTGTCCCAAGATCCTGCATTATGGTTAGGCGAGTGGACTAAGGTACCGACCGCGATGAGAGGTCATGCTCAAGGAGACTTACCACTATAATCGTACGCCATCAAATGCCAAGCATCAAGGTATTGATCCATGTCCTTCATGTGCAGGATTTCATAGTTGCTAGGACCGGCGGGACATGCGATGGTGATGAGGAACTTGCTTGACGAGGCATACTGTTGGGCATAGGAGTTGAGAGCCGACCGGACCGCCGCCAGAAGCAGGACGAAATTCGCTGCCTCGGTGTCGTTGACCGGATACTCCCAATCGATATCAACGCCATCCAACCCCAGATCTTTCACAAACCCTACAGCAGTTGAAGCAAATTGAGCTCGTGTTGCGGCGGTACTAGCTGCAGCTGCAAAGTTGCTGGAGTATGTCCAGCCCCCAATGCTCAGCAGAACCTTCATTTGACGATTCTTCTTCTTGAGAAGGTAGAGTTGTTTGATGCAGCCGTAAACGTTGTTCCCAACATCGTTCCAGGAGTCTGTCGGGTAATGTTTTTGCAAGTCCGCATACTCATCTGAAAGGTATCTTCAAGGCATTAGTTCAGTCATGGAAGAATATAAGGAAGTCTCCTTACACGGTACCGTCAGCCCGGACATTGGCGAATGAGTACAGAACATGTGTCAGTTGGGACGCCGGGAGTTGTTGGGGTTGGTAGTTCCTCCCATAAATCGCCCTATTCGATGTGAGCCCAATGTCAGATGGATTTCACTTGTGAAAATTTACCAGTTAACGAAATACGCCGCGTTCTTCAAGCCGCCAGCAGCCACAGCTTGTGGTGCAAAGCTCTCTAGTTCTGCTAAGGAGTTTCCATTTTTGGGAGCGGCTTGTGCAAGTGGTACTTGTACAAATACTGCTGCCGCGGCAAGAAGTGAAGGAATGAGGCGGGAAAACATCTGGACAAGTAGTACAAGAAATTGCGAGCCTTCGAGCGCCTGCGATGGAGTTGCAGGAAATTTGAAGGCATATCGACCTCTTGATATAGCCCAGTGTTACTGATTGATTGAAACAATATAAGCCTCAATTTCCACCACCTGCCGGATTTTCACGAATCTTGAATGGCTTCTCAATCGGAGACATCCACGCGATGGAGACTGAAGTTCCAACCAACGTTACAATCCTCTGCGTGATGTTTGTAGAGGAACATATTCCATTTATCAACCACGACATGCCAGACAGAGAAGCGTCTCCGAGATTAGAGCCGTATAATTGGTGGTGGAAGCTATCCGCCCTGACGATCTGGAATGAGGATCTGCAATCTAGAGCCCAGTTCCTGAAAATCCGGGCCTCGGAACAACGTATCATCTGGATCCTCTGCGGCCTGGCCATTGGTCTTCCACAAAGACCATCACCGCCTGAGCATGTCTGTCGCCATGCCGCCATGGCTTGGTGAACTCGTGAGCGCGACCTTGGAGTCCTCTTTCCGGTTCCCAGCTATGGAGACTGTCCCCGTGGGCCGTGTACCCCCGTCCCTCCGGATCTACTTCGCGGCCGTTCATCCTGAGGCTTCGCGGGCGATTTAAGAATGGTATACTTTATGACGTTTCGGCCATGGATTTTGGAATACACACACGGTTTCAGCCGTAAGTTCCACGCGGGTGGAGATTGAAATGTTCCGGCCGCACGGGAGGTACAGAGGACGTGGAATACTAAACAGTTGCCTCCGGCATTATCTCGCCGCAATAAACCCCACGCGCGGGAATTGGCGCGGATGGAGCGATACCAATCGAGATATGATATTCGGATTGTAACAATTGGCTGGAAAAACATCCCTGTCTCCGAGAAACATACCTCTTGTGTTCGTCGACCTTCCTAATCTGTTCCGTCGTCCACAACACCAAGGCTATCGACTATCTTATTTCTACTTGGTACACCAGATGACTTGTTCTTTTACCACGAGATGTGGCCTTGATCGTGGAGGAGATGTCCACCGGCGTAACGTTACCGAATCATCTAATGTTTAGTTCCGGCGCCAGTCACGGCCAGTGCCCCTGAGGGCTTCACAAGGTCTCGTGATAGTTTGCAATGGCTTCACCGCGGCCGGTTTTATTAGCACGCAGTCAGTTCAGGTGCATTGCTATGATTTGTCCGAGCTCCTTGCGGTTCTCTGACTTGATGTATGGTCACTACCTGGAGGCTCCTGCTGATAACTGGTCTTGAGGTAGCAGTTCCCACTAGCCAAAACATAATCTTACCTTCCACCTAATGGTGTTATTTTGACATATCAAGGCCTGTTTTCAAATACATAACTCTGATGCTCTGGCTATGGAGAGAGAGATTGTCATGGCGTCAAGATTAACAGTCTTTAAAGATGACATGTTATTTTAGGACAAGCTGCTGTATAGTATATTAGATATTATCTTTGTATAATATTTCAATTTATTATAACAAGCTAGCGTCTATTCCTACTGAAGTATTTCAAAGTGCTTGCGTTTGTAAAAACATGATACTTACTTACGTGTTGCTTCTTGTGTTCTTTCAGATTGGTCGAGGACATGAAAGGTAAGGGCCAAGTTATTTCAATTTAACACTGGCAACATTCGTCTATAGAGCAACCAAAGCCATGCAACGTTATATTCCCCCGAGTAAGTGAGTGCGCATGGGTTATTATCTTGCTCCCATGCTCAACAGTCAAGAAGCTTGGCCCTACGAACTATCTATTAATACCAACCAATCTAGAGCTATAACTTACAATATAAATGGAAAAGAGATGTTTCAAATTCTAGGCACGGCGGCTACATTTAAAATCTGCAAACCCCTCCTAATCACGTTATCCCCCTAATCTATATTGTAACGAGAACGCATATCGATAGTCCTATAACTGGTGATAGTTGATGGATGAGCCTAGCTCTAATCGACCAGGCTAGTCATGGGCTCATGGAGGTAGCTACCCTATGCACGAACTGAATTGTAACGTCACAACCCTAAGGACAGAAAGGATAGCATAGACTTAGAGAAGAGAGACCGCGCATAACAAAAAATTAATAATATAATAAAGTGTTTTAAATAATATATTAACCACTTAACCTTATTCTGGAGCACCCACTTTGAAATGGTCGGGTTGAGAGTCATAGCCGGGCAGAACGTGATCGATGCTCTCGCATCTTTCAATCCTTCGCACCTAGCCCGCTGGTTTGTAATTGATCGGCGGCAGGAAAAGGTCTAGTTGCCGGATTCGAGAGCGTAGTAGCATTTTGCATCTATACCATAAACGCCTCCTGGCAAGGCGTTAGCGAAGATAGAGGGATAAATATCGTCTGCAATTCCTCGGAGTACGAGAACACCGAGATAATCCATAATCCATGCGCTATATTACTTAAATATGGTTTGCACTGGGAAGGATACATTTCAAAGCGATGACGGAAACGTGTCGCTCTCGAATATTGTAAGATACGGACTCTCGAGTCAGGACTGATATATTGGTCCAGAAGAGTGGAATGAAGATACCGGAGGCTGAACATATATTATCCATCCCAAAACACTAGGGGGAGAGCACGATGAATCTATTATCTATGAACGAGAGCAGATATGTGTATAATATCACCAACCGAGGATACTCTGCATTCTTTAACGGATATCGAAGGTCGACATAGAGACAAAAGGGTGCTGTATTTGGGATAGTCCAAAGGACATACACCTAGTGAGGCAATATTTGTACCGCATACAAAGGCAACGACGAAGATGACAGTGTGTTATTGTGGTATTAGATAGGCTTAACAGGGCGAGTTACCTAATATGTCTAGATGGGAAGTCAATTAAGGAGCTGGGCAGAGCTGAGTGCCGATGGGCTATTAGACTTAGATTCCAGGACATCCATGTTGGTAAGTGCACGGGGTGGGCAATGAAGTTGGAGCGAGCTAAGGAACTTGCAAAGCCGGTGAACCAGCCCAGTCGGGCAATCAGTTAATAGCAAAATTTGTCCTCCCTTCAAGTCAAGAACTTTTTATAGGAAATAGGGTTTTAAATAGGGTGATGACGCACGATAAATCGAATCTCAAACTTAGCGCAACCGTATACTTGCGAGACGCTTGGCACGAAGCCTTCTTTTATAATGTATCATTTGCTTATATAAATACTTATTAGATAGAATCGTCTATTCTGTCTTCTGAATCTTTTCGTACTTTTTAAACCTCCTCGCCAGTCTCCGTATCGTCGCAGCAAATTTTAATCTGATGGCCCTGACGTCCCATTGATCTGCCTCATCCATGGCAACGAACCTGCGCACCAACAAGTTGAAAATAAATCCAAAGGACAACGCCATTACTGTGCTTGTAAGAATAATCACATTATATGGCATGCTAAAATCAGGGGTCGGGAGAGGCAACAGCAGAGATGTTGTGCGTATCGAGACATCTCCAATAGTAATGACGGCTGGTGCGATGTCAAAACCGCGGTTCGCGTCTGGCGGATACTCGGTGTATCGCAAAATCGCCTTTTCGAAATCATAAGTCAGGACCAGTGTTGAGTTAGCAGGTATTAGAATTCGGACTTCGAGCTGGGTACCGCGTTTCCGGTCCAGAGCTGGACGATAGTACATCTCTTTGATAGTATCTTTGTCTTGGCCGTTGATCTTAGCTTTCAGGGTATGGAGATAGAGTTTCATAAACCAAGGGAGGGATTCCATGTAGACGAAGTCGACCGCATCGGTCGGGGATGGGTTTGTGAGAATGGCTTGGACACCTCCTCGTTCCTGGCCATATCCAATAAAGGACCGCTCAGCGTATAAGAGGGGTTGTGCCAAAGGTGCCTTCTCCGAAATTTCCTGCTGGGGCAGAACCATGTCGAAGTCTTTATCCGGGGAAAGCTGGAAACATCTCATGTACCCAGAAGAATCTTTTTCTTCTCGCGCCCCTTCAGAAGCATAGACCTCTCGCGCATGGGGCACGTTGATGCATACAGAGGGAGCGCCGTCATTCGCCAAGGGACAAGTTCCTCTGAGCGAATGACCGAAGATGTGAGAGAGGCTAAATTCCTCTTCTTGAGAAGCAGCATCAAGTGGAAAGCAGGTGTCGTCGGAATGGTAGGGTTTTGATGTATCGCACTTAAGCTCTTCCTGAGGGACGGGACGTGGAATTGGGTTATCTGTCATTAGTTAGCAAGCTTCGATTGACCCGTCAGCACCATTAAACCGACCTCTTGGGCGTTTAGATCGTTGGAGGTCTAGCACCATGTCGATTGTCTGGGTGATCTGGAGTTGGCAGTCATCCGCGCCAGGTGAGCAAATAGGGCGCACATCTATAGACATGCTTTGCCATGATGCATCGAACAGTTTATGGCCATCTAAGAGACTGGATATGCCGGCCTTCCCCTTACACGGTAGCAACTTTAAGAAAGGCGTCAAGTTCTCAGTGCAAACCACTTCCCTCGGGAGCGTCCCGTGAAGGAGATGGAGGTTCGAGAGTGTGGAATTCGAGTGATTTCCGCTGGGATGGAAGGACACAACAGGCCGCGTAGTTCTTGTAGAGTCGATGAAGTTCAGCGAGGCACAGAAGAGACCGGAAAGAGCATTTGTCAATGTCAGCCATCGTTGGTCGGCCCTGGAGGAGAGCGTATTAGCTACGTATCAATTTGTTCGTCGTGTCATGACACCTACTCGTCGTCCGTCTCCGCCTCTACCCACGCCCACAATTCCACGCCCGTTCCCCCTTCCCGTGCGCCGCCCCACGGCCGCGCTCCCCAATTCTCAGCATCCCATCTTCCCAGGCTAAATCTCAAATGCAATTCCCGTGTATTTGCATGCTGCAGAATCTGGCCCAACGACCTTGGGAAATATCTGAAGTTTTGCTGGTTAAAGGACGTCAAGCTAGTGTTGCTCTGGAAGTTGAACGAGGCGAGGAGGAGGGAAGGATGGAGAGGGCGAAGGAGGAGTTGCTCGTGGTAGTCGGAATGGGAATCGGCGAGCGCGGATATGGCGATGGTGGTGGCCAAGCTGCCAATGAGGAACAGTAGGGACAGTAGCATATCAAAAACCAGCAGGTTGGCGATGTTGATTGTGTGTTTCCGCTAGGCCTGTAATTGACGCGTGCCAGCCAGCGCCAGATTGTGGTCGTGCTATAAGGAGCGCATTAAAGAGGATAGTGTTATTAGTGCTGGCATCGCTGTTGTTGTCGTCAATGGAGGTTGGAGATATGCAGGACAGGGGTGACTGATAAATATTGGCCTCACAGCCTTACAGTACGAGTACAGCCTTACAGGCGCAATACTTTCACAGTTACAAGTTTACCTACCACCATCACCACTACTACAAACCACAACCTCTCCGCCTCCTCCACTCCCCAAACCACCAACCATGGCCGCAGAACAGAGGAAGCTGTTAGAACAGCTAATGGGTGCCGGAGCTTCCTCACGCGCCGCGCAACTCTCTATCACAGATCCCAAAGTCTGCCGCTCATTCCTGGTCGGGACATGTCCCCACGATCTCTTTACAAACACTAAGCAAGATCTTGGCCCCTGCCCAAAAGTGCATTCCGAACCTCTTAAGACTGAATACGACTCCGCGCCCCAAGCCGACAAGCAGAAATGGGGCTTTGAATACGATTATATGCGCGATCTTCAGAAATACATCGACGAGTGCAACCGCCGAATCGACGTAGCGCAACGGAGGCTAGAAAAGACGCCCGATGAGATACGGCAGACGAACGCCCTTCTAAAGCAAATTTCAGACCTCTCGAAGAGTATTGAGACTGGCTTAATGGAGATACAGGTCTTGGGGGAGCAGTCGGAAGTCTCCCGCGCATACGAGGAATTCTTTCGCATACGGCAGGCTATGCAAACAAAAGGGGACAAGGAACGCGAACTAAAGGCACTGTCAGATACTAGTGGGCCAAGTGGACATCAGAAACTCCAGGTGTGTGATGTATGTGGCGCATATCTAAGCCGACTGGACAATGATAGACGGCTGGCGGATCATTTCTATGGGAAGATGCATTTGGGCTATGCGCAAATGAGAAAGACATATGAGGCTTTTCCCAAGGAGCTTCGGGGAAGGAGCAGGCCGATGCTAGATGAAGGAGACCATAGCCCAGCTATCAGAGGTGGTTATGATGCCGGATATGATGGTGGCTTTGGAGGGCGAGGATTTGGTGGAAGGGGAGGTGCGAGAGGTGGTGGTTTTAGGGGAAGAGGAAGAGGGTTTAGGGGGGGGTGGTAAGGGCAAAGGTTCGGCGTTTACGGAAATCTTTAGAGGAGTTTATTGTATAGTAGGTACGCGGTTCTAAGTCAAACTGGAGGCGCCAACATATGGCTACAGAGTATTTTACGTACTATAATAAAAACTACATCACACCGTTCTAGCGTGGCTTGGAGCACTATTTCCACATCTATTGTGGTTTAGACGAACAGGTGGTAAGAACGGACCGAGGGGGGGATATGACAATAGAAAAGCTGTCGAGCTCTGCTACAAGGAACATGCCATGTTGAAAGAGACAATATTGCTGACGGAAGTTGTCGTTCAGGGACGGTCGGGGCTGTTCAAAAGGACAAGAGAAGGGGATGGAAAATAGGTCGCCTGCTGTACAGGTACATGTACAACGATTCGACTTCGGAAGATACACAACAATATTAGGAGGGTGGGCAGTGTCCCTTTAATGTAAATCGAGACTTAAAGAGCCGAAAGAAGCTGTACAAAGTACTTAGGTACGTAAGGTACCTATGTAGTCGGTAAGATGTACGAAGTAATATGATGACAGAGCAATCAGCAGTACTTCGTATACGCAATACTTTCTGTTCGTCTGGGCATTACACCTGGAACACGTGACTTTGTTTGTCGCACTCGTACTCGCAAAGTATAAAGCAGTTGCGTCCTCTCTCTCCCTCCCCACACCTTATAAAGTACGAAGTATATAGAATAGAAAGGCACCGTGTGCGACAACACACTCCTCCAGGCCAATCTGCGAATGGTGCATGAAAACATCCTCCCTGGCCATGGCGGCTCCTGAAGGAACGTCCTTTCAGCAACCTGTCTCACGCCAACTCTGTCGGTTAAGGCAACTCAAGTGCGACAACTGAGACCCTTGCTTTAATTGCTCGTCGCCGAGCTCCGAGGATATCCAGGGTGTCAATAGTTCAGGTGGGCATCGTCATGCACTTGACTACCTTCTATACTATGTGGGCAGCTTGAAGACTAATATTTTCCTGTAGATTAGAAGCAGTCCTAATTACCTCTCCGTACATGTGGTAGTGAACTGCTCACTCGTTAGACATTCCTGTGGACGGTCATTACTACACATCTTTAAATCAAGTAGAAACCCCGTTGTAACTGACTTTCACTTCTAGAGATCGCGTGAGAGTTGCTCAAAGGATCCGGCGACTAGTCTCAGCTGTTTTATATACCAAAAATCAGAAACTACCTACTACAGGCCTCTAGCATACATATGACTCCGACAACAATTCAGAATTCGCTGTTCCTCAACCAAGGCAAGGCGGACTAGGTGATGTCAGGGTCTATTTATGCAGTCCGCCCTGCTAGCACCTCAAATACCTCTAGTCCTAGTAGTATTATTGGAACTATTGGCATCTTTATCCTGCCAGGTCTCGATATGGTCAAGTCAGTGAGGATTCATCAATTGGATACACCTAGCGGAGTGGCGGAAGTGCGGTTCTCATATGATACACATTGAAGCCCAATATCGAAATTTTGGTGGCGGATGGTTGCTTCCGACTGGTTGGTATCTTGCAATTCGTATCAGCGTTGCGTAGCAATCTAACAAACATGGCAGATTTCTGTCCACGGTGGCCGGTCTCAATTAAGTGACTCAAATCCTCGTCTCTAGCAGATGGAAACATTTCGCCCAAGCAACGTGGATGACGGTAATAGTCTACCAGGCATTACAAATGCCGCGAAAGAATCTACGGCTTACCTCTCAACACTCTCCAACCTCTATCATCTATATCGTACTTTCTCTACCATACTCCAACACTACCCTAGCTCGGGAGGTAGGTGACTATCTAGTACCGTTGTACCCTATCCTAACCCGCACGGATGTAATTAGGTATATAACAATATCAATCTTTCTAATCAGAAATACTAGCGATCTATAAAGTCGCTATTATATATTTATAGCTAACTATCTATTAGGACTCAATTTGTTATCAGCCTCTCATAAAAGAGATGCTGTATACATAATAGCAGCGTTATCTTATGAATTTTAGGACCAACACATATCTAGCTTGGCTACATCTATTATTCCTCTTAATTCGGCACTCTACACAACAAGGGTTTCCGTGCTCGCACATGCAATTAATTCGATCTCCTGAGACGGCACTGGAGCTCTGGACTCTTAGGGTTAAAAATCAAGGTATCTGTGGGTTCACCTACATCTTAGTGCACCTTTTAATGGCCGCAGTCATCTTTGCTACAGAAGTATGTTTCAATCCCGACGAGACTTAAGTGTCGTAGCGTTGGTGAGCAAAACGTATTGCGAGCTTATCACGCGTTGGAAGAAGAGACGAATGCTAAACTAGCACCACTCAGTAGAGCAGAACATGAGAGCTACTCAAGGGGTTAGGATCTACTCAAGTTATTTTATACGGTAGTTCAGAGCTGACAATTTCACCAAGGCAGCCCGTTTTTGAGGCAAAGATGAAAGCAATCCTAATCGCGGTTGGATTCTTGTACTAGTTTCAAAGTAATTCTGAAGTCAAATCCGAGCAATTCACGTGAGAGTTTATCACTGATGTCGGCATCGAATTTTGTTGAGAGTTGATGGAATATATATAGACATGAAATTTTCGAATATATGCACAAAAGCTCTCGAGTTGTAGAGAAGTAAATGAAAGAAATGTGCTAGCCACTCCAAGCACTTGTCCAATATCGCAACTCAGCGCCTCGTCTCCAAACAATTCCTATCCCATTCTGTTGCTGTAGCCCTTTCCCCTCCCTGGCTAACGATACAACCATACCTTCTTACATTCCTAATCTATGTGAGTGTAGGTGTTGTCCAGCTAATATAGTTACTAGCCTTGACGTTCTGATCACTCTTATCAACAGATGTAGCATCGTTTCCTCCTTTCAAGAACTTGTTGATGAAGGCAGTTAGCTCTGGCTGTTGGGAGGACGGGAATTGACAATGGTTGTGGCCAGGAGTTTCGGAGAATCCCATTGCATCTGAACCAAATGCCTTGTAGATCTCTAGGCCGGCTCTCATGCATCCAGTGGTGGAAACTGGGCCGAGCCAGTCAATGTTATTCTCGATCACAAGGAGACCCCGTGGGACGGTCATGGCAGCAAGCATGTGGTGGTCGTGTGGCAGACTGGATGTCTTGGTGGCCCACTGGTCAAAGAGTGGAGAGAACCACGCATTCTCACCAATGATCTCGCCGGCGGTCTGGATGTTCTTTCCTGCGTTATGCTCCGAGTCGGAAATTCTCCAGCATGCTGCTCCACCTGAGCCTGATTCCTGGGGAATGGTGAGAGCGATACGGTCATCGAAAGCACCAACAATGAACGCTCCCTTTCCATTTCGGGAACAACCTGTCACCCCGATCCTCTTGATATCGATCTTGTTGGTAGTGTCCGCCTCGATGATATCCAAGATACGACTCACACCCCAAGCCCATGCAATGAGAGCGCCTGCATTGTGGTCCTTGCCATACAAATCAAAGAACATGCCCGTGCCATGACTGCCCTTGTTCTGTTGCGCCGCCATCTGATCGTTGTTGAAGTTGATGGTTGCGACACCTGCTGGAATCGGGATACTGGATCCTCCAATGGTGATAATGGCAGGTACTGCACCAGAAGCTCCACTGGGCATCTTCACGCTTGCCGAGAAAGAGATTGATTTCCCTGCATTCTTGACTGAGACGGAGATAGAGCTCGTGGAAACCGATCCTGTGACGCTTTCCGGCTTGCCTGGCAAAGTACCAAGCTCGTATTTTTGGAACATATCACTGATTTCTTTCTTTCGGCATGCCCAGTCTGCTTTTGTTGTGACCTTGGAACCGGCAGCAGTGGTAAATGGATCGGGGAGCTTTCCATCGGACGCGAAGGAGAACCCACTAGGCAGACCCGGACATGTTGCTTGACGCTCGAGGAGAGAATCAGACGATGTTGGAAACGCAAGGACAGGTGCCACGAGCAACAACGAGGAAAGAATGTACTTCATGATTACTAACTGGAAGATGAATGATGCCGGACTATTCGTTGTTCCTGAAGTAGGTTCCCCAGCCGTTCTTATATAGATATTTAAGCCATAAGAAGTATCTAAGTTCCAGGATCCATTACAACCAGGCCCCACAAAGATTGCCCTGTGGAGCCCTTCCGCGGAAGGATACAAGGAATTAAACGTCGTCTTCAGAATATTTTCCAGAACATAGCCTTTGCTCGGGCCAGTCATTTGGACATCGCACAAATTGCTTGCAGGGATGTGCATACCAATTCATCCCACAGGTTGATCCTCACTCGCTACTTTGTTCGGTAACATAAGGATATTATGGTAAATATAGATTGCCTCGATTGATTATTACTTACGTATTGCGACGCCAGGAGGCTTTTTCAGCGCATGTGGGCAACCGAATGTTTAATTCATCCCCGCATACATTTCTGGAAAATTTCCCGGCCAGAATACAACCTACTCTCACTATTGTACCTTGACGGCACTTCACGCGAAGAGGCTGTGCTGTCCCGGCTAACCTCTTGAAATATATATAGTCTTGGCCACCGCCCAGCCTTTCCTCTCTACAGCTGATTGACGGATTGATAATTGCGGGTGCAACATTTATTTAACCTTCAATCATAACGGAAATACATCATGGAGAACGCGCACGAGAGAGATAGGTGCCAAACACAGGCGTGTTAGTAGTGGTGGTGGAATGATCCACTTTAAAAATGTGAAGCACGATGTTACATTTAAAAGTTGAAGAATAATATATTGCGTGCGTACTCCGTAAGTTGCTGAGATGAGAAGGCTGGGGAAGCGGCTCCTTCCTTCAGTACGCCACCTTGCGAGTTAAGGGGAGTGCCCTACCTATCAAAAACGGGCTATAGTACAAGGAAACTACACAAGCTCCATGTTTGTCTACTGCATACTAACCCAAATGCTGTCCGTTACGCACAGTCAAGCCATCATGCCATTAATCCGCTGCGTTAAGTCCCCGGCTAAATTGCTAATAACCCCTTCAGGCAATACCCTTGTATATTTTATACTTTTGGTTCCGTCCGGCTACAGACGATATGACGAATGTGAGACCCGAGATACTATAAGCTCCTTTCCGAGCCGAATCTATTGATCCGGCTTAATCGATGTCACGATTAGCAGCGCTGGGGCTGTCTCTGCAATCTCTATGTACTTGAGACGCAACCCCCTCATCCTCAGTCGCGCTTCCCCGAGCGCACTGTGAAGATAATCCACGAATGAATACCGCTGTGTAGTTTTGTACTTTTGCCAGATTTGGCACTGTAGCCACCCACTTCTAATTTGATATAGAATCATAATGATAGTTTCATAGTCACGCGATCTACGCAACTCCTGACACTGTACTTGCTCTTTATCACTTCACTATTAAAATTACGCTACACTACGAAGTACTTCGTCGCCGCACTTGCATCTATGCTTCCATTTCGAGATCTAAATATTGTGGGTATTTGTTTAGTTTGTTATATTGTCCCTGTGACTAGCTCAAGTTATACTAGCAGGAAACCTTGGGAATCAATTTGCAATTTCCTAACTTTCTCAACTGGTATTATCCTACCGCGTTTTGACTCTAAAAGAGTATAGCAAGACAAAGCTCTAGCTATGGAAGTTGCTGATTTATCGATTCTGATTGGTTCTAACCTATCAAGTGAAGGCATATATAAACTTGAATTTGAGATCTCGTCCTGATGATAGACAAACTAGAAAGTTATGTGTCTAGGAAAGCCCGTCTATTGTTCTTCTTGCAACTGTCTGCCTATGTAACTGTGGCCTTGTTTATGTACCTCTCATCTCTTAATGGTTGTACTTTTTACTTGCTGATATTATGAAGGATTGCTATTATATGCGAGATATTTAACAGAAAGCGGCAACCTTCGTCATGAGACGGATAAGTATTGCATCTCCTCTTTCTTTCACGTAGCTTCCAGTTGATGCTGATATGAGTGCAACTTTGTTTCTTGATATTAGCTTTGGAGGGGAAAGTCCCCATCCCGCCGTAAACTTTACAAAGGCCACCAGTCATATAGCAGGCAGTGAGGAAAATTCACACGCGTCTTTTCTATACAGGTGACAGTATCCACCCTTCCTTTTTACCCGCAGCACTGGTACCAATTTTGGAAGGGCATCTCTATCCGGATCGGACGGTTATCGAGACAGCTCAATCCGTCCGCTGGATTTCTTGCTTTGCCGGTTACAACTTATAGCATGCTGGAACTGGTAAATGCTGCGCCTGCGTATTATTTCTTGCCACGATCACTGGAGAATGTAGGTAGTGGCCGAGAGCCGCGGCATATGTCCGGGCCGAAATTTTCTTCGAGAATAGGACGATGCCCTACGCTACGTACTCAAAAGCTCAAATTAGATCGGCGCATGATAAGGTACCGCATATGGCTGGTATCCAGGGCGTATATAGTCTGATCTAGAACCTCCTTGCCAAGAATCAACAGAACTTTCTATCGGTCGCATTCACGATCCAGTGTTGCCAAATGTCTGCATTCCAGCTATTCATTTCGGACATTTTATCTCCGCTCACAGGAGTTTCCCACTTGCACACTCTGCCTGTGGATATTGATATTATCCTAATACTCACAGGCTAGGCCCAGCACGCAAACCATCCAGTACTGGCTCCATTAGATTATTTCCCTGTGCAGGGGGGTGTTGCGAACGAATGGCGGGGTCGGATCTGGGGTAATTTATCCCCCCAGGTGTTCCAAGTACCCGCGATCGCCAGATAAAGGACTGCTCTTGAGTGTTTTCCCCGGAGAAACTTAGAAACAGGCTTGTAAGTGCTGGAGAAGGGTCTGGTGGGCGGTGTAATGGTCATTCTTTCATAGGGGTTAACGCGCGTAATAAGGCGTGGGATGCAGCCTTAAATCGTGGAATTGAGGTCCCACTACCGGCTCAGTTAGTTACCCCAATATGTGAGTTTATAAATACTTTCGGTTTCGCGGGCAACCCCAATACGCCGTTGTTGCTTATAACCTTACCACAGGCATTTTTTAAAGGAACCTAAGGAAGCCTAATTGTAAGGAATTATTTATTTTGGTGGAAATCTTTTAGAAAGGACTTATGTACTGAGGCTTGCTACAGTTAGGGCGTTGTGTTATAATAGGTAGGAACAATATTTTGTATAGGGTGGCTTCATAGCTGTGACCTATCTCTAGTGGACAAGATATGAGCTATTTCATGGGGAATTAAGGCAGTGACTGCTATACAAAGAGGTGATTTCGAAGAGCTCATACTTCATACTTCATGTAACATTGTGATCAAAGGTAGGCTTCGTCAGAAAATGAATTGGAAACTTGTCAAGTTGTAGTATGGCTTTGCTATAATTAAAAGGCTATTTTTCAAGATGGGAGAATTTATCAAAACGGTATATCACACATTAAACACCCGCAATGCTATCTATCGCCCTCATACTCCAAATCCTATGCTATTATTCTTAGGCTTCCTCTATATGCACCATGTAATTAGCCTGGAATCGTTAACTAATTATTATATCTTTGCAAATAAACCCTTTCCCGTTACGTGCTTTGTAACAGCGATACCGACTGCACCAAGAATAACCGCCGTGCCGCTAAAAATCGATGCTTCATGGAAACCTCCATATTTGGTGACAAGTGCACCATTGATGGGAGGTCCGATAAGTGCTGCAATTGAACAAACAGTCATTCCCATGCCGTAATAAGTTCCAATATTTTGCGGATTTGGAGCAAGTTGAACGAGGCAGACGGCCATGAGGGAGACTATTGCTCCTGAGCAGAAGCCATACAATGCCGCGAATACAATGAGCTCCGCATTTGTCTTCATCGATGGCCAGCAGAATATTAAGATACCAGTACTGAGAGCTGAGGCACAGAGCATGTTGAATCGGCCGAATTTGTCGGCCAGAATTCCCGGGATGGCCCGTCCGAAGAAGGAGGCGCCGTTTAAGATTGAAACAAGATAGGATGCAAGCTGAACGCTCATTCCCTCTCCAATGGCGAATGTTGGGAGGTAGAAGAACGGGATAAACATGCCCAGAAGCATTAGAAATACTGAAGCGATGGTAGTGTCGTACGGAACATCCTTGAAAGCTTCCGGCATGAAGAATTTTCCTTTCTTTGGCGGGAGTCTGGCTTTGATGGCAATGCAAGCCAGAGCCAAGACAGCTGCCATTATGAAGCCGCAGATGCGCACCGCCCAGCCAAATCCTATATGAGGTATCTGGAACATCCTACTAAGGGCTATTGGGAAGATGACTGCACCGACGGAGGATCCTGCAACTGAGATTCCCATTGCAGCACCGCGCTTCTTATTGAAGTACTGCCCCGTCGCTGCCATTGAGGGGCCGAGCACCATACCCATCGAAAGCCCTCCCAAGATCCCTTGGGCGAGCATAAATTGCCATAACTCTTTACAGATACTTGTCATCATGACAGAGAAGACATATAAAACCGCCGATGGCCACAGTACCTACAAGTGACAGGTTAGCCTCTATTCACAAATGCCGGTCATCGACGCCAAAACGGGAAGGGGGTTCGTACTTTTTCGCCATATCGATCGAACAACGGCCCGCTGAAAATACCAGTGGCAAAGAGAAAGAATAGCTGGATTGAGCCAATCCAGGAGACTGTGGAAGGACTCTCGTGGGAGAGCTGGTGGGTCATGTAATACTCTTGGAAAACGCCAAAGGCGTTTGCCATGCCGAATGTACTGAAGAGCGCGGCGGCAGCACCTAGGGCGACAGCCCAGCCTCTGCCCCCGCCTTCTGGGTAGGTTATCGCATCAGGGGGGGTTAATTCCAGAGAAGATTTTTCCACATCGCTCTCTAGCTCTGGGAAGGAATGAGTTTCAGGCTCCCTATGACTTGGGGACTGAGATGCCCGCGAACCCATGTCAGGTGATATGAAGGCGTAAACGATGGAATAGGCAGTTGAAAGCAATCCAAATTAGAGGAAACAGAAAGTCTTTTCGACGATGGGCCCAAAGCAGAGAAGGTGCAAGAAGCTGATAACGTTTGAAATGAAGAAAGGACTCTGGAAATGATATGGCTAGATTGGGGGTACAACTTGTTTATGTACAGTATATAAGGTAGGTATACGAAATCTCATATCTCGGGCGGCATTTCCACTTCCAAGCGTCAGGCGCAGTATGGGAGACGAGGAGGCTCATCATGGCCAAAGTGCAGGGCAAGTGACGCCGCAAAGGGGATTTGAAGAAAGGTTGTCGCAGTGCGAGGTATGAAAGGCCGGATTGTGGTACCGGTAGGTTGTTGTCGCTGCGTCTTATCACACCGACTGCGAAGGGCTACGTACTCGAGTAAGTCGCCCCTGAATCGAATTCGCCGAATTCGCCGAATTCACCGGACGGAGATAAGAAAACTCTTAACATCATATCCACGCGTGGCACAAGAAGCGACAATGATGCCTAGTTCCCTCATCACCCTTTAAAACCGAAGGGCTCCCAACAGTCCGTGGACATCTCCGGTGTACTCGGGTTATTCTTCATTCTCTCGTGTTTTAGACGTCTTGTGCCGAAGTTCTCCTTATCTCCTGGTCCGGGTAATCCTCGGCTTAGGCATTTTCGGTCGTGATGGACGTCAATAATGATACGAGTCAACGGCTTGACAACAACAACAACACCCCTCCTATCCCTCTTCCTGCCCCCGAAACTGTGCCCACGCTAGCAGCAACGAATCCGACGCGAAAACGGCGTAGACCTGCTTTATCTTGTGCGGAGTGTCGTCGCCGCAAGATCAAATGTGACCGCAATATCCCTTGCGGCCAATGTACGCAATCTAAAAGTGCTACTTGCACATACAGCCCGGAAAGCTTCACAGCAAGAAATGCTCCGAACGCTAAACTGGGCGCCGCAGCGTCTTCATCCGGGGTAGTTGCGGGCCCCTCCGTGGTAGAAGGGACGGCGGACATTCAAACCCACAGAGTATCTAAAAATGCGAGTCCCCCGCCTCAGCCTAGTCCAGCCGTCTCAGATAATCTCCCCGACGACCATTCGTGCATCTCGCAGTTGAAGAATCCGGGTGCGAGTAATCAAGCCGGACAAAACTCCGGCCATGTTGAAGAACTCGTTCAACGTGTCCAAAAGCTGGAGCAATTGTTAGCGTCTACGTCAATCGTAGGCCATGGCGATGGGTCGCCAAGTGTGTCTCGAGTCCCGGCAAAGGATCTTCGAGGGAACATGTCAAAGACTCGCTTTTATGGGCAGAGCCATTGGATGCACGCCTTCGCTCAGGTATTTTGTCCAACGGACTAGAAGCTGTTCAAGTTGCTGACCTATATAGGCCAGGAAAATCATGTGTTTTGAATTCAATCTTGCAGGTAATGGCAGTATAAACCTGGCAGACAAAGCGGCTGATATTGAGCTAAACGCGCTCATTAACAAATCCAAGGTAATAGCCAGAAAGATAAAAGCAGCACAGGAGCCCCAGTGGCCTCTATGGGGCTCAGATTATAAACAATTTATGCCGCCCCGGGAGCTCGCTGATAGATTGGTACATATGTACTTGCGGACTTATGAGTCTATTCACAGGATCTTGCACGTACCGTCTTTCCATAAAGAATATGCCCAATATTGGAAGTCGCCCCAAACGGCGCCAATAAGCTCAACTATCAAAATATTTCTAGTTCTAGCTATTGGTACTTGTTTCTATCGGGGAGGTGATTTTGAAGATTTGCGTCGCCAGGCACAACAATGGATATACGCTGCCCAGTCATGGTTATCAGCGCCAAATGAAAAAGGGCGGTTGAATACCTCTACAATCCAAGTCCAGTGTCTGCTATTACTGGCTCGCCCTATATATAATATTGGCGGCGATATGATCTGGATCACAGCTGGTTCAGTCATGAGGGCAGCCATCAACATGGGCTTTCATCGAGATCCGAAACACTTCCCTCGAATCTCGATGTTACATGGTGAGGTACGACGAAGACTATGGGCAACTATTCTGGAGATAAATATCATTTCTTCTCTGGATTCGGGGATGCCGCCACTGATCTCACTACAAGACTTTGACACCGAAGCTCCTGCCAATATTGACGATGAAGATATTTCTGAGTCAAGCGTTACTCGTCCGACATCAAAGCCCTGGGGTGTTTTCACGCAGACTTCGATTCAACTTGCTGCCTTAAGTTCTCTGCCTACAAGACTTGAGGTCACTCGCCTAACCAACGATTTCCGCTACGAGCCGACGTATGATGAAGTGATCCGTCTTGGTGGGGAGTTGATGAAAACTTATAAAGAAAATCACCGATTCATGTGCCAAGCATCACAGGCAGCAAATCAAGGTCATCAAATGGCAACACAGCTACGTCGTAAACTCCTAGACCTCACAACCCAGCGTCTGATACTGGCATTACATCGCCCCTTTGCCATGAAAGCAAAAACGGATCCCCGGTTTTACTATTCCCATAAAACGTATCTCGATTGCGCAATGGCTGTCCTCGCCCACCCAGAACTCGACTCAAGTACTCCTCCAGCCACCCCCGATAACGGGGAATTGCAGGATGATTACACTCGACTTCGTCTTGTGAGCGGTGGTTTCCTCAAAGAAATCATCATCCACGCCGCAATCGTCATCTACCTCGAAGTAATCCAGCCCCTCGAAGAAGATCCCTCCCTCTCCTTCAGCCATGAGCGCAAACTATACCGCGCACCCTTTCGTCGTCTCCTGGAAGAAGTTCTCGAGCTCTCAGGGCAGCGCATACAGCTCGGAGAAACGAACGCCAAAGGCCATCTCATGTTTTCCATAGCCCTAGCGCATATCGATGCGATGGAAACGGGACAGCCTTCTGAGGAAGCTATTATTCAGGCGGCAAGAAAAAGCATCACGCTATGCTGCAAGTGGTTGGAGGCTAGAATGCCGCCCTTGGAGGATGATGGAAAGGGAAACGTAAAACAGCAGGAATACGGCACTGCTGCCGAATCCACCAATTCCGCAGAGTGGCCGGCTGATGATATGGATTTTACGATGCAGGATTGGTCTATGATGGATTTTAGTGCGCCCGACACTTGGTTATTCCCTGCGTGGGTTGATGAGAGCAATAGTTGGGAGTGAACACATGTATCATCTAAGTATGTATAATTACGGCTTGGGCCCTATACATAGAACTACACTTTCCGCTTACATTACAGGCTGCGGTATCTGGCCGAATTATTGGGGGTTTGCTTGAATATTCCTTGTAGTTAATGTGGATATCTCTGCTCACAAACTAGCACAAACATGATTGTCTACACCTCAATGCTGTTTCGCTGCCGAAATTTAATCTCTCACGTCGCATTCAGGACATTACATACGCCTGGCATAGTTTGGCATTTTTTATATTTTGGTTTAGTATTCGAGGGTGGCTTTGTGTGTTGGCTATCTCATGCCGTTAGATCTGCCAGCGATCCAAAACCGGTCAACATTTTGTACGTCAGAATAATTTCCCTTGGTCCACCCAATCCCACGCTCCAAAGCGTCATCACCATTACTCTTCCTACTTATTTTGCCGCTTCCTTGAGCCAGTGTAACATGTGCCAACAATCGCCATCTGTGTGCTCCCCAGGTCGAGTCCGAGCCGTTGTGTATAAACTTGTGCTGGTGCTGGTGCTGGTGGAATACGTAGTAATGACGCTCGGGAAGGCCATATAGATAATGGCGGTATCACGGGATATCAGTCCGATAGTCGGTCTCGGCCTGTACTGTTGTCACGATAAGTATATTAGGAATGATCAATATATGCTCGAACCTTTGATGTAAAGAACCATACACTCCCCCTTTTGTGTATATTGAAGAAGCCTTTCCTTTGGCAGTAAGACTATAGCAACCTGGCCTCAACCACTGTAGGGATCGTCTGTCACGGTCCGTGGCGCCGAAGAAGCTGCCATTTTGAAAAGGAGAGTCGGACTTTTGGTTCAGTGCAGACCTGATAACGTGTTTTAAAGCTCTATAACTGTCTCAACTACTCAGCCTAAGGAAAAGTTTAAACATATCGGGCAAGTCAGACTTTCGATTGCACTCTCCTAGTTGTTCGACTTTTTGGTTGGTGATATGTTGACATTTAGTTGCAACATAGATTAGTGAAAGTAGATATTCCATCCCAATCACTCTTTAGAGCGCAACTGAAACTATAGCTTGCTCGAATACTTTGTTGTACCAACCAAACCCTAACCTCGTCCAGTATGAGCGAATATCTCCAACATGGTTGACCCCTCGTAACTAATAATAAAGGAGGAGGGGGAATTAACTAAGGCTCAAAGGTTAAGATGATGTGAACAAAAGATTGCTTATTAGATACATACAGCTCGTAAGAAGATGAAACCATGAAGGGGGGGGAAAGGGGGGTTATTAGGCGTGACGTATGTGGTCTGCAAACAGACTAGTAGAGTACTGTAATTTATGTTCCTTACACCTTATTGGCCTACCTATATACTTATTGTGACATTGATCCCATTGAGGCTACCATTAAGCTTTAGCCTCTGGGGTCGTCTATACCAGTGCCGACCCTGTCAGGTCTTCATTGGATTATGCTGTGGCCAGCTAATAATGGGCAAACCATTAAAACCCTAGAAGAATATATTCCGGCAAACCAAAACGATCTGCCTACGTTAAGGAAGGTAGACGCTTCTATCATGGCGCGCTTATAGAGGAATAAGTGGGAGTCCCACGTCCGGACAAGGTTGATTTACTGAAATTGAAGTTAAATAAGGGAATGGAAAGCTGCGCAATGTAATTCTTCATATTGATATTGATGATGCCTAACTTCACAAATTTAATGGCAGATGGACAAATATTCGAGTTGATGTAGAGTTTATAGAACTATTAGAGAGCGACGAGCAAGTAGTTGGGAGCCTTCCCTGTTTCTTAAAGTCTAATATGGAGTATGAGAGTAGGTTGCTTCTAAGTTTCGAGTTTATAGTCATTTATTAACCTAAATGACTTGGATTTTATTACACTTTGGGATAGCTTATTTGAAATGGGATATCGTTGGGTATTGAATTTAAGGTTCCGTTGTACATAGGTGTTAATCACACAGAGGCATCAAAGCCCAAAATGTCATTTGCCCTGCTGAGCATCTTCCTCTCTCCTTTACCCTGTAGCTTCTCATCTCCCTGCCAGCTTTTAAAACCCATCGCTTGCAGTCCCGTGTTGTCCGATACCTTCTTAATGTAGGTGGCGTCTGGCCGACCAACATGCTCGCTTTCCCCACGACCGCCAGGGAAATCAGGGCCAGGAGATCCTTGCATAAATGCATCACGTTGCCGACTGAGATAGCGGGCATTGCTCTCAGTAAGGGGGCAAGTTGGGATGTAAAGCACACTTGAATCAGATTTCCCATTGTGAACTTTATCCACTGCGTGAATAGCTGGATTTAAGTTGTGGTTAGCGCGTGGTTGGAGCTAGCGATCTCCGAGGAATATGAGGATTTGGTGAGACTTACTGTCACAATGCCAGACGACATAATCACCTGGCTCAATATCTGGAACGTGAATCATGGATTTTGACAATTGCAGGTGCGGGTGCAGCTCCTCGTTCAGTTCCTGGCTGTGGCCCGGATTCGCACCTTGGAGAGTGGCGGTGTATTGGGGTTCGAGCTCCCAGTTAGCCGCGTCAAGATATTCTCTTGTAGGTTTTCCGGAGCCATCAACTTCAAATGGCCGGATTGATCGGAAGAAAGGTCGCAATAAGGTATAAGCCGTCGTCAACTTGACCATCGGGTTGACTTGAAGAGTCCCTTCTCCGGGCCTAGTTCGAGACATACTAAGCCAGCCTTGGAACATCCTGAGCATACTACATGCCCCAGCACCTTCGTAAAGGTCTGAGACGACGGGAAGTCTGCTGCTGGATTCCCAGGGGTCGTAATTCTCCCAGTCGCCTTCCCAAACCTTGTCATACAGATCGGAAAGGCCATAGCCACTTTTTTCCCAGCGCTCCACACTACCACCATCGATATGGGGGCCAAGTGCAAATCCAGCATCGCCAGGCTGGCGAATCCTCAGCCGATCAGCGTAACTAACTGGAGAGGATGTGGAAATTAGTGCGTCAGGGTCTTTTGAGTGCCACGCATTCATGAGGAGCCGCTGCGTCCTAAGAAGGTTTGGATGTGCCCGAGCCCGTACTTGAGGAGCTGACCAATACAGTTCAAAGACCTGGGGATCATCTTGGGGAAATGCTGTGGAAGATGATTAGAAAATCAGCTTTTGTGGGGAAGGGGACGACCTTAAATGTGGCAATTACCTTTTGTGGAGGGATTAGCCTTCACATATCTTTCAATTTCTTCTTTATATGCTCGCGCCTCCGACTGGGGCACAACGTTTCTGATCACGGCAGCTCCCCGCTTCTTCAAATCTGCTTGGAAATCTGGAAGATTCGCATCCAACTCCTCATACTTGATCGTTGGGATGATCGCTGGTCCCCTGGTGGAGATCGTCTCCACCTCCTGCTCGAGCGCTTTGAGGAGTCGTCGCCAACTGGCCGATATTTTCCCTTCACGACCACCTACTAATTGTCTCTTGACGTCTGCAAACCGCTCAGGTAGAGGCTCGACGGCGCCCGAGGATAAAGAGACGAAGACAGATGAAATATCCCCTTCCTTTTTGGATTTGAATTGCGACTGGGTGGATGTGGTGACATGTCGGTGATGGAGCAGGGCACGGGTTAAACGAGGAATATTAGTGGAAAGACGTGTGCGAGATATTGATTCCATGATTGATGTGATATTGAGGAATGAAGGAATAAATTGAATAGAGCATTTTACGGCAATGGCAAGAGACATTGGGGGGAGACACCTTGGGGCATATATACAGACTTACAGCCCGCCGCATCTGGCGACTCCGACCGCGGCTCCGACGGGATCGAGAAGATTGGGCCGCCGCCATGGGATCACCATGGGCACTGTAGCTACTAAGCTACTAAGCCTTTTAATTCTCCAATGTTTTGAAAGCTGGTATAAGAGCAGTCGACAGAGATGGCGAATGAGGATTGCTGTTGTGGTGGCAAAGCGGCGCGGGTGGCGGCGGGGATGTCGTCGGAGCGCTTGTCGGATGCGGAGATACTAGATACGGAAACTCCGCATCCTGGTCACTACTGTACCAGTACCCCACACCTAAGGATTAGTAAGCGGCAGATTGAAGATACCAGAGATATCAGATAATCAGATATCGCGAACCTAGGGCCATAACATTCGCGCAACATTCATAATATTCATCTTTACAGCGCAATCCTCCAATATTGCATTGCCGACTCCCTGCGCCGCCATGTGCCGAACCCCATGGCAGTCTCTCTGCCCGTGCTGTACGAAGTAGATAGAGTATGAACGAGATGAACCTCCGACGAACGAGAAGTCCCCGTCATAAACAAGCGGCCCACTGCGTACCGTCCCAGCTTTCCGCAACCACGATCACCTAGCGTCGCTGGGCACAAACATCTTGCGTCAGAGCGTGCGACCTCAAGAAAGGTACGATTCGAAATACAGAGCGTTACTAGTAGCACTCGCTCTAATAACTACCGCCAGTAGAACATGTAGTCGGCAATGGAGGTCCGCTTTGTGCCCCAGCAGCCGGAACGTTCGTCGAAGCGTAAGCAGTTCAACACGGCATGCGAGATATGCAGGAGAAGAAAGGTAAGACAGTTGGACTATTCCAGCTGGTGTAGCCGCCAGTCGAGGGAATGAGGTAGAAGCTGAGGTTGGCAGAAACGATGCGTCCACAGCGATTCCGTTCCCACTCGAAGTCCTTTGGACGGCTACAACCCGCCTGTTCCCCAGTCGTCCAGCCCTCCGGTGACTGGAAGAGACATACATCCAGATAGCGACCTTTTGCGACACCGGCCTAGCACTGCTACACGGCATGGCAAAACATCGCCCTTTCACACCCCCGATCGCAATCCTCCTGATGAGGTGGAGATGTCATCTGGCAGGGCTGGCTCCACCACAAATGCGCTGGCAGGCGATGCTCCACATGCCCCATTTGCTGTCCCAAAGCGCTTCGTTGGGGATCTCAATCCAGAGGCATTGTTTTTAAATAGTGCTACAGCCAACCGCGGTTCTCCGCGTTCGCCACATGAGATAGGTGTTTGGCTGGAAGGGGGTGGTTGGGACACGGTGCTACGAGAGAAGGAGAAACAGAAAGGAAGAGATCCTCCTCATCCCGCCACAATTCGCCCTGCGTTTACAAATCCTGGCAATGATCGAGCTTCCCAGTGTGCTTTGGACTATAGTGCTTGTACCTGTAACCGGCCAAATTCATATATTCTTGCGGGGTTAGATTGGGATCCGCTGCTCGATATTTATTTTTCGAGAATCAATTTGCTGCTCCCAATAATTGATGAGATGGCTTCCGACACGGCCTACTGGCTTCGAAATTGCCTGATGCTCTTGTTCAAGCGGTGTTTTTGGCAGTCTCGAGAGATTCCCTGGCGAAGCCCCATCTCCAACACTATCCCGGTACCTCGTTAGTCATTGGACCACGTGAATTTTCCAAGGCGGTGTATGCATCGATCCTTAAGGGAATTAGAGATGGTACGCAATACGATAAGGTCACCTTGATCCGCATTCTTGCCTTGCTATCTTTGCATAGCGCCGGCCCTGACGGTGCCGAAGAGGCATCATTGCATCTGGCGCAAGCAATACATCATGCCCAAACCATTGGATTACATCTCGGTCGTGGAGGCCATTCTAAGCACTACGACTCTAGAAAGAAGTTATTCTGGTGCTTGTGGAGCCTGGACAAGCTCAATGCCGCTATAAATGGAAGGCCAGTGATGATCAGCGACCATGATCTTAGTATTGAACCTTACTCAAGCTCGCATGGAGACTCAGGGTTCGAAATATGGTTGAGATTAGCAACAATGCTACGGGATATGATCGGCCTTTATCGCCCGTCAGCACCGGACTCGGCCACCGGTTGGGAGGATGAATTTCCAGGATTTGAGGATATAGTAGAGCAATATAGGGGATGGTCTCTCAGCTCCTCATCACTAGGTACGTTCTCCACACCCCTCGAAGGTACGCTATCTAATTTTAAGTCAGTAACGTTGCATTTATTCTATCTCAGTGTTGCTATATTGTCTTCGCGGTCAAGATCAACTAACAGCACTTACTGCTCGACGCCTTCCTCCGTCAGACAGAGTCCGTCTGCTACCTATGTTACAACCCTCATTTGCGGGACCGAGCCCTCGGATCTTTCGGATATTCTTCCCCTACCCCTTGTGCCTGACGGTATCTCGCTTGCTCTTGCTATCGCATATAGGAAGTTGCGTCAGAGCAGGCTCCCTCATCTGAAAAGACAGGCAGAACAGGAGTTTGAGAGATGCTATTGGGCTCTCGAAGGCCTTCGACATACATGGTGGTCAGCTGATATTATGGCGACGCTTGCCCGCACTGTACTTCGCGAGATCCATAAAAGCTCAAATATGTCGAATCGAGGGTCCCGGTCGCATCCGAGCTTGAACGCCGCCGGCACTCGACTTGAACCCTCCCTTCCATCGCCATCGAGCCCTGCTCAGATGTCACAAAACAGGCCAGGGGGACATGGTCACACTGAAGGCCAAATAAGAAGCCCTTTCGAACCCCGCAACCAGGCCGCCAATGTAAACGACGGCCAACAAACAAACGAGCTGGATCTCCTGAGACAGGGAGGTTTTGGGGTACAGGACCCATTTGACGATATCGATCATATATTCGGAACCTACCTTGACCCCAATTTTCCTGTTAACTATGACGACTTTCTCAAGATAGATGATCTGGGACAGTTCGGATTGAACAATGGCCGAGTCCACAATGTCTCGTGACTTCCGAGACTTGTGGAATCTGAGCTAGAATTATAGCTCTTAAAACGTGAGACTTCAGTAGCGCTCTCATAGCAAGGAACATACAATTCGATTCAATAGACTAAATATAAATTACACAAGTATCTTCCTCCCCTAGCAATGTATTAATGCTTGTGATACAGTAGTATATATTCATTTTCTGCCAGGCTCCACCGCCCCGCCATGGTCCAAAGTGGCTGCCCCGCCAAAATTTCGCTCCATCATTCCACGTTTTCGAGAGAGGCTCTTACCTACAACCAACATATATAAAATTACATCATGGATGACTCCGCCTTTAGCACGTCCGAAGTCGACATAAACACGCAAACGATCCTCCTCTACGCATCGAACCATGATCTCGGCTCTCTAAAACCACTCTTACGAATCCCTGGAAACGCAACTGTCCAAGATCCAGAGACGGGGTATACGCCTTTACATGCGGCTATCGCTGCCTGTGGGCCGACATCCACTTCTTCCAATGCTGCCAGTACAGTAACAGGGGACGTGGAAAGATCGCCGAGAGAGGGGGGAGCTGTAGGGGAGGCAGATGCGGAAGCTGTCGATATCCAAAAGGCCGCTGCGGTAGTAAAGGAAATATTCATATCAGGCGCAATATGGAATGACCTGGATGCGAATAATGAGACGCCAGGGTGTCTCGCGTGGAGGCTAGGTAGGAAAGAGTTATATGAAATGTGTGTTGAGGCTGGAGTTAGGGCTGAGATATTACTTGGGTTGATGGGGAAGTATGAGGCATTAGGTTCTGATTCTGAAGAAGATGAAGAGGGCGAGGAAGAAGAAGCCGCTGAAGAAACCAAGGAAATTGACAAGGGAGCAGAAGCAAATCGAACTATTAATGACTGCGATGCGGAAAAAGAACGGGAGAAAAGGGATGTGAATTCAGAAGACTACCTGCGCTCAACCCTTACCTTCGACGACGACAAACTCCTGGACGCGGATAGAAATGGCATAATGATGGCCTGGGAAACCGATATAATGCGGCGCTCTGTCGACGCCCTCCTCCCTCCCCCTTCCTCCCCGGGAAATCGAATCCTCAACATCGGCTTTGGAATGGGAATCATCGACCGCATGCTAGCCTCTACAAAACCACTCACACACCACATAATCGAAGCCCATCCCGCCGTACTATCAAAACTCCAGTCTGCCGCTTCGGATTTTGGGCCAACCTGGGAATCGTCCGCCCCAGAGGGAGGAAGCTATAAAGTTCATGCAGGGAAGTGGCAGGATATACTTCCGACCTTGCTTACGGATGGTTTGGTCTTTGATGCAATTTATTTCGATACCTTTGGTGAGGATTACAGTGCACTGAAAGACTTTTTTACGGAGTATGTCCCAGGACTATTGGATTCCGAGGGTAGATTTGGGTTTTTTAATGGGCTTGGAGCGGATCGGCGGGTTTGTTATGATGTTTATACAAGGGTTGTAGAGTGTGATTTGGCGGACGCGGGATTGGATGTTGAGTGGGAGGCTATCGATGTACCGGCCTTAGGGGGTGAAGGCGAGGGCGAGTGGGAGGGGGTTAGGAGACGTTATTGGACGCTAGATCGTTATCAACTGCCTGTTTGCAAGTTTTTGTGATGATGCATAGGGATGGATCGAGGCTAGGGTGGAAAGGGAGACGGCCTGATAAGCCATTTTGCTATAAAGGTGGGAAATATTTTCGATACATACGAGTAGATACCCCATTAAATAGATAAGGATAAGGACGACCAAACCTTGTATTCCTCCACAACAAAAATTATAAACACTGGAAATTCAGGTACAGTATCCATATAGCTTGATAAACAGTTGCCCAATACAGGTGCTCCAGTAGAGATATAAGCTTAGAAGTATTTCTTTAAGAATCCAAATTAGGGCTTAAAGGGGACAGGGAACGAAAGGAGAAAACAATTGAATAAGGAAAGGTTGGGTAGGTGGTTTATTGGGACTAGGGGTAGTGCGACGGTACTGGATATGTTCGTAGCTGCATATAGGAGGAATATCTAAGAGAAAGTAGACACCTGGAAGCAGCCTCTTTACCGGCACAGCCAACGCAAGCAGGTCCATTGGAATGGTGGCCTTCATATATGATATAATACCATAATGATCGGGCTTGTGAAATGCAGTGGGAAACTGATGGGAAGTAGCTAGCACAACTACCACTATAACGGGACATACGCAAAGCAAGGCAGTCAAGTCTATATCACCTCGTTTTCTTTATCCACTAACCAGCCTTCATTTATATCTAGCCCAAAACCACCAAGCAATCCCTTTAAGGTGGCAACGGAAATGAAACCACAAAAGGGTTGAAGCGCGTTTCCTAGAAGGAACTCAGACACCACGGCCCCATCTACTTCTTGAAGGTCTCCGGGGCCATGACACCAGCGCCGTTTCCTGCCTTGACCCGCTCGAGCGTCAGTGCTGCAATCAACGCCGCGCCTACACCTGAGCCATCCTCGGCGGCCAGAATCTCGATTGGGTCTTCGTCTTTAGGGTTCTTCTTCTCTGGCCAGTCGAGGATCTCCCGCAGAGCATCTGCCCCGCGCTGCTTGAAGTGCGGGTATTTATTGAAGACAGAACCATCCGCGCCGACGTGGCATGTCTCGTAGCCTTTCTTCTTGCAAATTGCGGCAACACCACAAGAAGCAAGGCGAGCTGCACGTGTGCCGATCAACTCCGCAAGGCGACGGATCAATTCGAGTTCTGGATGAGTCGCAGAAAGTAGAAGCTTGGTTTGGAAGAGGTCCTTTGTTTCCGACAGATTCTCCCAGGGGTCCCTGTTTTAGTCAGTAATAGAAAATGGACAGAGAAAGTGATCTTACTCCTCGATCATAGAGAGAAAGGAAGAGTCCAAAGTATATGCCTTTCGGAGCTTGTCAATGTTCTGGCCCTCGAAGATGTGGACATTCTTGTTATCGTGTAGATCGACTAAGACGAGTCGGAATATCTCGCCCAGATAGAGACCAGCAATCATCTTCTCGAACGCCTGCTGGCCCGGACGCGGAGAGTCCTGGTCGACGATAACATCGTATGGAGTTTTTGGTAAAATCTTCCCTTCATTATCGAAAGCACCCCACTCACAGTTGATGGCCATGGGAGTTTCAGGGGGCAGATTCATGTGAGCTAGCTTCGGAATCGAGCCGCAATCCTCCATATAAGCGGCATTACAACCAGTACCGAAGATACAGCCAATCTTCATTCTAGTGTCTGTATATGCAGATGCAATCAAAGTGCCAGTTGTGTCATTGACCAGAGCAGTAAGGTGGATGGGGACTCCCTGATCGACATTAGTGAAGGCTGATTGGGAAAAAGGGTACACACGCACTCTCTTGGCAATGGCTGCCTCAAACATGGGAACCACGTCCTCACCCTCGACGCCCTTTATGTCAAACCCCTTTGTCCAGCGCTGAAGAATACCATGGTTGATATAGTTTTGAGTAGCCGGGTAAGAGAATGTAAAACCAAGATGCAATGTGTCCATTTCATCAGTTAATTTGTGAGTCTCGATAAATTGTTGAACGCAGTCAGCAACATATTCCCAAAGTTCGTCAGCATCCCCAGACTTGAGTTCCTCGGGCATGCGGTATTTTGACTGAAGAATCTCAAACTCGGACTTTTCGTCGGTCAGAGTAATTTCGCAGACTCGTAGGTTGGTTCCGCCCATATCAAGAGCCAAGAACCTTCCAGTCTCAAACCCTGTTGGAAAGGACATGCACCATGTCGGATTCATAGGCTGTTGCAGTATTAGTATGCGAACGGCAAGCGCTACCAAGGTGGCCATTTGACTCACGATTGAACCCCCTTCCTTGCTCAAGCCTAACCATGGTTCAGTGGAGGGTAACTTTCTAAATAAAGGAGATTCACTCACCTTTTGCAAGCTCGGAGACGAAATGGTCGGTAATCTTCTTCAGCTTGGCCTTGTCAACGGTGAACAAGTCCTCGAGTCTCTTGATCTCCTGCAGCAGGTCCCTTGGCACGTCGGCCATGGATCCTGTATTCCCAAGTTAGCGCATATCGCCATCTCCGAGCCCAGTTTATTAATCGTTTGTTCAACAATAGGAAATAAGCCACAGACGAAAACACACACAAGCCTTTATTTAGCATGTGACAGGGAGAAGTTGGCTCAGCTCAACTTTAGCTTCAGCGCAGCTTTTCCGGACCCACGACTAAAAGACAAGCAACAATCGGCCAATTCCGCCTACAGGATGGCTACAATATTTGGAAGGACGGTCTGGAAGAGTTAACCACCCGTTGAGGGCTTAGGAACGCCCCGCCAACTACATGCCAACGGACGCCAAGGAGATATCAGATCGACAACAGAGAAACGGTGAACAGGTCACACCAGGATCGGGTTCGCTCTCTGCGCGGGAGAAGGGGTTGGTAGCCATACCGTGCATTGAGACTGACAAGGAGAATTGGATTGCGCGACATGGTAGGTGGTGGCAAAGGTTGAAGCCTTGGTTGCTGGTCACCAGCGATTTGATGACAATCTCTCGCAACTCGCGAGGCAGGATGAAGAAGTGAACACTCCATAATCACGACTGAGGCCTTAGGACAAGGAGACAAGGCCGTAGCTGGTATCAGAATTTTGACGCGGCGCGATAAAAGCACGATAAGAGGAACGAGCATACCTTTCCGCGAGGGAGGCTTCCTTGGACCGAGCCCCACCATCTTGAGATATGACCTAAGTTCTTTGTTTTGGGGCGGGATAGGTTGGGCTGTAATATATCTGATAACAGAAGGAGACAACAGAGTGAGAGTGAGAGTGAGAGTGAGAGTGAGAGTGAAAGTGAAAGTGGGATTGAGATTGAGAGCAGGAAGTAAGAGTTATACTCCGTAGAAGGTGCAGGCGGAGGTGGATATAGTGAAAAGGCTAGCTTAATAAGGACGCATGGGAAGAAGACATATCTCGGCTTAGTCATCGACCCGCAGCCGACCCCGCTGTTGAAGCAGCACTGAAGTGCGAACGATGGAAACAGAGTACTCGTACTAAATAATATTAAGATTAATATTGATATTGATATTAATACTGTATAGCTACAGTGATGTGCTGTAGTCATATGTACTATGTGCAGAACAGCTTACGTGGTACGTGGTACATGTCGTGAAGCCTGCCTTACCAGAGAACGTAGTCAAACAACCTCACATTCAAGCTTCAGCAGCTGGAGTCACAAGCATGAGCCACATGTGTAAGCCACAGCACACCACGCGCACCAGCCACACCCGTCCAAAGCCCAAAGGACACCTTCGAGCTCCCAGCGGCTTCAGGCCAATATCTCCATATCTATATCTCGATCTCTTCACGACCACAACCGCACTCACCACCACCGCATAAGGCCCTGAATTTCCTCTCGAGTTCAATTCGGCTCTTTGGCTCGGCTGCGACTTTCAACCCTCAAAATGAGGCCATTGGCGATTGCCACCGCCTTGCTCTCCGCCGCGTCGACTGCCTTGGCCACTGGGGATGGCAACGCAACAAAACCGCTTATCTCCAGAGTGAACCTACCTTCGACATTCGCGCCGCCCCAGAACTTTAAGAACCTCAATCTTGTACATTATATCAACCTCGAAAAAAGCTATCCTAGGGAATCCATCAATGTTGTCATTGAAAACATTGCAAGCAGTGCCCAGGATGAGTACTACTTGCCGTTCACGTCTAGACAGATGGACACGATTGGAGCGTTAGAGGTGAAGGACAGGAAAGATCCAGAAGCAGGGTTATTTGGGGTGGGAATTGTTGAATTTGACCCACAAAGGTAAACAATATTTTCGTGTTTGTGGTTACTGTTTGGTGATGGTTGCTAATTAACTCTCCATCAGTGATACTCAATTCTACCGCATCCGTCTCCCAAAATCTCTCGCACCGAAAGCACAACAAACTTTAGGAATTTCTTTCTCCTATCTCTCCGCATTACATCCCCTTCCAGCGAGCATCGCCCAACAAGACAAGCAACATCTTGTCTACGCCTTCTCCGCATATTGCCCATCTGCATATGTTACGTTGAAGCAGAAGACGGAGGTCAAATTCCCAAGCGTACATGTGCCAGAGTACACAATTGTACCTGGGGCAAATGGCCAACCGGAATCACCACAGGTACAAGGCTCGAAATTCACTTATGGGCCATATGGGGAGGTGCCGGCCGGTGCAACAGAGCCAGTTAAGGCTCGGTACGAATTCACTAAGCCATTGATCCACGTGGCACGTATGGAGAGAGATATTGAGGTAAGCCACTGGGGCGGGAATATTGCTTTCGAAGAACGCTATACTATGACCAACCGAGCGGCGAACCTTTCCAAACACTTTTCGCGGGTTGAATGGGCTTCTCAGCAATATTACAACCCCCCAAGCACGGCTGTCAAGGAGCTCAAATTTCCTTTGAAGGTCGGCAGCATCGATCCGTACTTTACGGATGTAATTGGAAATGTCTCCACGTCGAGGTTCAGGAGCAACAAGCGCGAGGCCTATCTCGAGATCAAGCCCAGATACCCTGTCTTTGGAGGATGGAATTACCCCTTTCTTGTGGGGTGGAATGCGGATCTAAAGAAGAACCTGCGCAAAATAGGCACCGGGAATGGTTATGTTCTCAACGTGCCATTCCTAGAGGGCCCAAAGCAACCTGAGGGGGTGGAATACGAGCATGTTGAAATCCGCGTTATCCTGCCAGAAGGGGCTGAGTAAGTCCTCACCATACCCGTTTCTCTTACACTTACTAAAACATCACAGGAATGTTCAATACAGCACCAACGTCCCACTCGTCGGCTCGTCCATCTCTCTACACAAGACATTCATGGATACCAAGGGTCGCACAGCTCTCACTCTCACTAGCGTCAATATCGTCGACGATTTGCGAGACCGCGAGTTAATTGTCACGTATGATTATCCTTTCCTAGCCGCTTTCCGGAAACCACTTGCAGTTTTTGTCGGCTTTTTCAGTATTTTCGTTGCGGCGTGGGGTATTGGAACTATTGATACTAGCATTCGCGGGAAGCGATCATGAAGATTAAGAGCATTTTCCTGTACTGCTAGCTATGTAGAAATATAAAGTTTATTTTCCAGGCCGGGCTCTAGGAGCGATTACTACCAATTAGCTCCGTTGCTAAAGCCTATTTATTACCTTTGCTACGTCGATATATAGCGCTAATATTGGCTGGCACTCTTCGTCTTGAACTTACTAGGATTACCTACCTAGGTAGGTAATGGTTTGTCTCTAGACCAGCTCACTGCCATACTTCACATCCCTCCACAACCGCACTCACACCGTGGCCCTCGTCTTGTATCACGTCGCCCTTCATCTCATTCGCCACACCTATTTCCTTCCATCCCAATATGTCCAAGACTTTCTTCGCAAGTAAAGTTCCAAGTCTTTCATATCCCTTGGCTGTAAAATGTAGGCCATCATCCCATATCCCCTTCCTTTCAACTGCATCCATGGAATGATACGGGATTGCCTTGTGAAGGTCGAACACGAAGCTATTGCGAGAGATTATTATCAGTCGTTGCTCTTAAAGTAGCCTGGGGGATGTTGGCCGCATTTTTTAAGACCCCAGGAAGGAGAGTGCGCGGCAGCCATATTAGAAATCAAGAAAAACACCTTACACATTTTCATCCTCCTCTGCCCTCTTTTTCATCATCCCATTCAATACGTCTCTCCGCTCATTTAACCAGCCCACCTTGGCAGCACATTCTGGAATTGTCAAAAGCACAACTCTAGCACCTTGGTTTAACGGGATCGCGACGATCTTCTCAATATCGGCGAAGATGTCATCGGGGAGCCGCATACGGCCTAAGTCGTTCGTGCCGCCAAGGAATAGTAGCAGATCGTACGGCTCTTGGATGGTGGTAGGATCAGCATCTGTTCCGCTTGTTAGTTTGGGAGGGGCGGCTGACAGGATACGTGGAGGTAACAATAGCTGAGAGCACTGAGAGAGACATGGAGGGCCATATAGTAGATCCTAGCTCTAAATATGAAATACGCACGCAAAGAAAATCGAATAGAATAGGTATTTAGATGAAATCTAACAATGTCAAAACGGGAATGGAAATAGAAAACACATGGTTTTTCTAGAACGTATCTTCGTTGCTCTGCCTCCCTACTATTTAAATTATCGTCCCTCAAAACCCCCGCCCCTTTTGATCTTCCATTAAAATAACAAAATTTTCTCCTTCCTCGGCACCGAAACTAAAAGGCCAACTCGAGTGCAAGAAGGAATGGAATGGAAAAGGTCGGGAGGAGAAAGAAAATGAAAGCATGATTTCACTTACAAATACCCCTCATTCTCTTCTCCATCTCCAAGACCATCTCACCACTAACGCCTTCCGTGTCAATACTAACATTCCACCTCTGCCTCTGCTTCTCCTCATTCCTATGCTTGTCTACGTCACTATCCTCCACATTGTTTCCCTTACTTTCCCCACTTCTTTCCCCTTCAGCAGTATTCAACTTCTGTCCCAAAACCCTGGCCATCGCCCCCGAATAAGGTTTAAACTCAGTTCCATGCTTCGTATAGCCTTCTGTCAGGGAAGCGCCAAAACAGAGCACCTTGAGATCCAGGGATGGATCCATTTCCGGATTTAATTTCTCCGTCAAGATCGGTTCCATCGTTGCTGAATAAGGGTGGAATTCGAGTCCGTATAGAGTATATCCCTCTGTTAGTGAGTCGCCAAAACAGAGGATCCTGAGAGCTTGGGATGGGGCCATTTATCGTGCGGTTACTTGGTGTAGAGGCGCAATGTTAAGATATTTTGAGCGAAGGGGAATACAGAGAGAACTATTTCGAAGCTGCGGTGAGTGGTTCGTTCAAAATATATGTGAGTTTAGCTGGAGACTGGACTGTGTAGTAGAGTAAAGAACGGTGGAGGTTGAGACGAGGCTATGTTGTAGCCTAGAAATGCATAGGACCCTGCCAAGGCCAGGCATTTGGGTCACGCAGATTTTATGTGCCTTCCTTACAATAGAAATAAGCGGGAGGTGATAACATTCTACGTGTAGTTTTTTAAAGTGTAGCTGCCCTAGTCTTCTTGTTTTGCTTGGCTTGTTCTGTACAATCTAACTAGCCAAAAATGCAACGCATCGAAGGCTATTAAGCGGATCCCACACTCCCTACATAGGTATACAATGTTCTCTCCGTTCCGCAACCACACTTGCTGCCAATTCCCTTACCTCTCTCTATATACATATATACCTTTGCTACGTCCCAATACTATATATACCCCCTTTCCTTCAGCTCAAAACCCAGGTTCAAGACAACAGCTACAAATAGGGCTCCACAAAGGGTGCTCGGGCCAATACTATCATGATATTTAATAACTTGCCTCGTTCTGATCGCGCGACTTCTATAAAGATAGATAACAACCGAATATAGCAGCGCTAAAACTGCTACGGCGGAGAACGATCCTGCAGCAAGGAAGGACATGCCAGAGGATTTCGCACCAAAGTTAAGCAGTGTTGTTGCGATTGTGCTTAGGTAGATAGAGAACTCGAGCTGCAGATATCCATTAGTGTTATAGTTTTCAGAAGAAACAGAGTTACGTACCCAAGACAGGAAAGTTCTTTCTGCGGCGAAGTACACTTTTGGCTCTACTCTGACCGGCACATGGATCTTCTTTCCCTTTGGCGCCCTGAAACGTTTATTTTCGATCCTACCAGTCACGGCCAAGGCCGCTTGCCGGTCGTCTATGGGGACAGCGGAGGGATTTGGTGTCGGTTGAATTGCATGCAGAGCTGTCAGTACCCGCTGACCAGCTAATCTTGCATGTTTCTTCAAGAGCTTCGAATAATACGGCCAGCCTCCCACACGGCGTGCCTCTTCAATCACATCCGACTCATCGTCATCAATATCCGAATCATAAAGGGGGTACGGGTCTTCGAGTGGCTCCGCTCCAACGCGTTCTTCAATATCGAGATCGTTTCCGGGAGGTCGATGTTGAAGATCGCCAAAAAAGTCGCGGCGCATCTCGCGCCGGGGGTGAGAGTTTCCCTCAGAGGTATCACTAACGATAGTCGACCCCTGCGAGACTTCCCCAGGGTCATCGTCAGAATCCATATCATCGTCATCATCGCTCGTTGAGCTTTGTGTCATGTGGTCAGTACGCTGAATACCGAAATTTTGAGTAGCGGGTTTCCGGATATCAATATCCATTTGCGGCATCCAGTATGGAAGTAAATTAATGCGAGTAGGGAAGAGCGTTGCTGTGCCATGGATAAACTTTGAAAATTTAGGCACGGCCTCGACGAGATGACTTGCAATAAGTTCACGGACCCATGACGGTGGTTCTTGGCCTGCTTGAGTCTGCAGTTTTACTTCAAGGATAGCGTATGGGAATCGTTCGACATCCTCTGGAGGTAGCTGGGAGAAAGGATAGTCGATACCGATATCCATTCTCCTCCAGTTATCGCCCGATCTAGTGCGGCCGTCGAGGTTGTCTTCTCGGACCATTGTAAGCTCGGTATCGAGAGAAATGCGAACTCGAGCGTCCGCTGGCAATTGAAAAGCGGTCCGGTTGTAGAAGGATCGGCAAACGGGTTTGTATCCGTTCTTCAGGACAGAGTATTGGATTTCTTTAGCCAGCCTTTCCTCCTCATCAATGACCTTGGCAGGTTTCTTGCCATCCTTTCGCGCCTTCTCAAAGATAGCTTCCGGAAGCAAGTACCCGCCCAGGTATGCGTTGATGTTCTTCTCTTTCATGGCAAACCTAGCTTTTACAGACTTTTCGCCAGTCCAATCTTCACGGTGGGTTTTTCTTTCCACGAATATCGTCTCATTATTCATCGCGCCATACCATCTCAAGCGGATAGCTTCGGCACCTTCTGTCTTCTTCAATCGACCTTCGTAAAGATCGAATCTTTCGGGATTATCGAAGTAGATGGAGGTGATAGCCGAGTCTTTGGCTTCGAATTCTTTATTTGGATTGAAAACGAGGACAGGTAAATGCTGCAACCGGTTATCTTAAGGTTTCTCCATTAGGCGCTGCGATACATACCTTCATGATTATCAGCTTCACCTCCGTGACATTATCTGGATGGACCCAGTATTTTGTCGTCTGGCGAATGAAACTACCCTGGCTTCCGCCAGCTGCACTGTCCCCTTTTACAGGATTCCCTCTCGTTCTCACAATATCCCATAATTTAGACAGCTTAACAATATCCGCATCGTAATTGTCTTTGAAAAATGGTTTGGCCTTTAGTCTTGTTGCGAACACCGGTTTGAGAATCCAGCCCGTTTGTTTCTACTACCGTCAGCACAAATTCTCCAGCCCCAGTGTAGACACACCCACATCATGCTTCTTGATGATCTTCTGAAAGCCGGTGTAATTCAATTGGACAAATTTAGCCAGATCGTTGACATCGGCGGTTACCTCGTTCAAATCCTCCTCCAGCATCATAAACTCTTCTTCCGTGGGTGCGTCATCGTCATTCCTTCCAGCCGAGTCTCTCCCCACCGGGCCCCGACTATCCAGTCTGGCAACTATGTCATTAACCTCGCGCTCGGTAGCCTGTATGCGTCTCGAAATCTCGATCACCTTGAGCTTCTGTTTCGAGTAGACCTTGTCCAATTCCTGCTCAATGCGTGAGATAAACCTGCTCTCGTCCTCCTCGGTCCACTCCTGCCTTTTCGGCCGCGGGGTCTTCGTTGTCGGAGGGGAGACATAGTCTTTCTTCATCAGCTCCTTGAGCTCATCATATGCGATATAGTACCACTGGTACTCTTTGATGGTGCTAGAACGGAGCTGCTCGCCGAATTTCATGATGACGAGGCCGGGCTTGACGCGCACCCGGGGAACGGAGTCGTCTAATTGTAGATATCGAGCGTTGGTCCTAAGATCTTGGATAATTAGCATCGACAAGACATGCAGACAGTTTGTGCCCGAATCGAGGGGTGGAGGTTGGGCGTGTCGAAGAGGGGGGGTGGAGTGAAGCTGTCGACGCCGGGGCTGGACAGGTATCCGGGAAAGAAAAGTAGAGAAGCAATCCAATTACCTGATCGGGCATATCAGAGGTATGTTGCAGAGCGAGGAAGCAACAGGGACTTCCAAGACAATTGAAGCTGGATGCTGCCTCTCGCCACACACACATCATTCCACGATCGGAGTGCTAATAAGCTATACTCTATCTCAGCCCGTGATTCCGTATGGGACCCACGTGGGGTGATTTGTTGGACAGCCGTGGTCACGCATTATTGCGCTAAGAGATCCCCGTTGGCGAGGAGCACGAAGTACGAGTACTCCAGTACTGTAGCACTCCGTAACAGGAAAAGACAAAAAAGATAAAAGGCCGCTTTCGGACTCTCCTTAGGTGTGGTATTAATAAACATTATTCACATTTAGCCAATCATCAATTACGCTTCGGGCCGCTCCGTGTTTGAACATCGCCTAAAGCGTCAATAAATCTGAAGCTATCGCCCTGGCTCGTCGCAATCGCCTGGAGCATCTCAAACGCTAGGGACATTGACAGCCTGTGGGCCTGGAGCTGCCGTTTCGAAAATAAACTGTGAATTATAAAGCTTTGGAAGTGTTGATGTCTAGGGTGGAGAATAAATAACCAGTGGGAGGCAGTTTGCCTTCTATTTAAATATTTGGCTGCCTGCAAGACTGGCTTGCCTCCACCGGCATCACCGAGTATTAATACAGCACTACGTACTTCGTAGCTATAGGTACTCAACGCCAGTTCTCCCATCTCACTCAACTGTGCTATGTACATACCGCAGCGTTGACGACCAGCCCTACAGAGCCGCTACAGGTACCTAATCCCATCTGATTTGTGTGCGAAAGCCCAGCTTTTCTGCTGGGCTGTCATACGACCAGCTAAATACCCGAGGTTCTTGATCTCAGGATCTTCCATCCGTGAGACTCGTTTCTATTTGTTTCGTAATATCTCCGTTGACATAAGGCCTGCATGTAAGATTTTCCTAGGCCAATTCACCCGGACTGTGTATCCCCTGGACCGTTGTTGCTATTGCGCTTCGCCTTAGGGAACGTCCGATGTTAACGTTTGGAGAATATTCTGAGATAGCATATAGCTAGAGGAAATGGCCTTGTAGCCAGTAGCAGATTATCAGCTTGTCGAAGCAAAACAGCTAGGAAACGAATGCCGTGAAAGGGTAGTGGGAAATACGGCGAACACCGCGCCCCCGCTCATTTCGTACTATTTGTAAATTTGCCGTCTTATTTAGGGGGTTTCTACGGAATGGAATTTGACGTCTTGCTTTTCAATATTCCAACTCTGATGGCAAAATATTGCGTGTAGAAGGCAGGATCGCAATTATGATATTGAATATCTCATTATGGGGCCATCTTAGCTGTGGGGAGCTCCGTACGTTAGAATATTTCAGAGGATTGACAAGGAATATTGGGGGATGGCTTTAGCCAAGAGCTATCATTTGCCACTTCGCTTTACTGTTATCCCAGCTATTTCACTAGCGGGGGTTGGTCGAGTTCTTTCTCCATATAGGCGTAGCAAGCCGGCCACTTTGCGAATTAGACAACAGACGCAGTATGTAGTAGTAGTTTTTTTTCGCGATATAGAGGCAATTGGTAAAATATCAGTGGAAGAAACCCCGTTCTATCTTGATACCATGACGGAGGATATGTATCGCCGACAACGTTGTACATGAGCTTGCTGCATGAGCCAGACTCAGCCAGGGCTGCAACGAAATCCGAAATGTTTTCCTCAAGCATTTTTCATGACGTGATACTTGCTATTATCCATGGTGGTGACATAGAATTTGTCATATCCCCGCATTCCCGATATACCAGGTAAACTCATCCTGCATCCTATCGGCTAAGGCCCCGAATGTCCTGCATATCAAATTGGTGTTAATCTGGCTGATGTCGGTATTCCAACAGCGATTGGGCCAGTCGTCGAGCTTGATCTGGGGTGCATAACTCGCGCTCATGCACCGCGCTTGTGAATAGCAATCAAGACCTAGGACCTTGACAAGCGATGGGATAAATTGTATAAATGCAAATACAACCTGTAGGCACCTGGTTCGGAGCCAAAGAGACCTGCCAAACATGGCTTCCGGCTCCGATTTCCAATGATACTATGTTTATTAAATCGATCCGGGTAAGTCATCCCAATCCAGCCTCGGACAACTCCGCGACCCCGCGCCAACTTGGGAAGGCGCAGAGGAGCAGGCGGTGTTATCCCCTGTGTAGAAAGTAGAAATTGGCGAATTTCATATATAAACACACGCGCTTCCTGAAGCTCCACAATGTAATTCTCAAGTTGAAGCATCTTCCAACTTCCTGAAGCCTTTACATTAGTTAACACTGCCATCATGAAATCGACTTTTACTCTTGTGACACTTATGTGTCTGTCCCTTCCGATTACCGCCAGTCCCGTTGCCAGATATAAGGCAGAAAAGAGAGTACTCTCAGACATAGGGTGCTATCTATGTAAACCAGGACCTTGGTCAGTTGCCCCAGGTAAGTTGAAGATTCTCCATTGCGAGAAGGGGTCTCGGCAGAAATCAAAATCCGTGGGTACAGCTAACTTAATAAAGACTGTACCGCCAGTAATAGTGCCCTGATCAGCAGTTTCAACAACCCGTAAGATCCCCGGGGGAATATTGCCCTGAGCCTACTAGAATCTGACATTTATGCAGCCCCAAAACTATAAAATTCGACCCGTCTGATTTCTGCTCTCATTTCCTGCAGCCTTACACCTACAAAATATCCCCCCAGATTATAACTGGGGTCTTCACAGATGTTTCAAGAGTAACGGTACAGGCAACAACGACAACCACGGATGTCTCGTAAGTAGCAAGGACAATAATATATATTCATATGATATACTGATAGCTAGTGTGCAGCCAACCAACAGTCACTATTTACTGCCCGATCAAAAATGATGATGCAACTTGTGGAATCAGCGCAGATACTATAGATCCCACGGCCATGCAAGAGGATTGGGCGTCCAGTCCACCAGTAAACGATCCGAAAGATTGCCACCAGACGTGTCTTTCACTTCCTCATTGCAAGAGCTACCGGGTTTCCGAATTCATAGATCCTAAAGGATCGTGGAACTGTGATATCTTCCGCATTGCCTTAGGAAAGGACGGAAAGAATGTGCCTGGTGGCAGGCCAGGTGATCAGTTTTTTGACCGGGACTGTCCAGAGCACGTGCCAGTATGTTGCAGCTTCCCCCCAAGATATATCAAATCAGAAACGGATTCAGTATTGACATGGGAATGTAGTCACAGTGTGGACCACAAAAGAGAGCCTTTGATAAGGATATTCATAGCCCAGCAGCGGCGGTCAAAGCTCCAGCAGTGGCGGTTATAACTCCAGCAGCGGCGGTCATAACTCCAGCTCCAGTGCCTCGGGATGCCGCAGCACAGCTGCAGGGTCGAGATTGGACCCTGCCAGACTACCTGTCATCCACTTGGGGGTTCGACATTGGCCCATATTGGATCTATCAAGCTTGTTCTTGTGTTATATCGTCCCCACTACCGATGCTTTCCCTCCCGTCTAAGGCGACTTACTATTCCTACACGGCTACAGTGGTACGTTGCCGCTATATAGGAGGACCTTTCACGAAACTGACATGATAAATAGAAAACAACAACTACAACAACACAGACAAAAACTATATATACCGAGGTCCATCACACCACGGTATATACGAGCATCGCATAAGTACCACGAACTCCTATGACTGGTTGACGCCGAAACTTTATGTAAATGAAACGCGGTGTTAATAGAAAATCCCCGTCTCTATTCCCTGCAAGAGGCTTCTGAGGCAGTTCGGGGGGGAGGGAGGGCTAAATTAGCTCTTACTGTCTACATCTAGTGGAACCGCGGCTGGTTCATAACTGAGAAGCCAGCAAAAATATACGCAAAATATTTACAAGCCCATCCACCAAATAATTTAGAGCTGCCTTCTTGCAATACGTGCACGCAGGGCTTTCTAGCTTATGATTAAACAAATAACCACGCGATAGGGGAGTTTAGAGCACATGGCTCTGGGCACTCCAGAAACCAGACGCTGGGCGGAGAAGTAGAGGCCGTCCTCCGGATATGACAGAGATGCCAGTGAAATTAAGTGTGGCTGTCAGACTAGACTCACTGGAGTTGTATGAAGTTAAAATCTGCAAGTTGACAAGGGTTTCAACCTGTTTCCACAACTCCACCTGACGAGAAGTTGCCAACACAAGTTTGGCCTACTTCGTATTGCTCAGGGCATGTGGTAAGAGTACCTACCTAAGTAGGTAGTCTGGTTGATAGGGTAGGGGCCGTGTGGTTTCTGTGACATCCGGTGATATCTCTGGCGCGCCTGTTATAAATTGGACTGTGGGAAAGCCAGTCGGATAGTTGAATCGAATTCGGCCAGGAGATATGAGGCAGGCACTGTAAGGATACGAGTAGCGGGTAAGCCTTAACTTGAAATGCTTGACAGAGAGGAAGCAACTCGCATTCGTGTTGTTGGTCGCTCGGTTAGCGCGAGTCGAGGGAGTCGTGGACATATGACCTACCAGTAATAATAATGATAAGATTACATGCCTGAGGCAACAGTTACGCGCTAGTACTTCTGCTCCGTACAAAACACACCACGGCCTACACAGCCTTCTCTACACAGCCTTCCTCACCAGGCAGCGGCTGATAGCGGTCTTCTAATAAATCAGGGAACACATCGTTCAAAATATGGAGATGCCGTTACTATGAAGCGTTCAAGAAGATATTCTTTGCATAGAGGTTGGTTTATGTTCTCGTCGCCTCGTCGTCTCACACATTAGTCCTCCCATACTGTGCCAAACAGACCGATCCCCTAACTCCCCACTTCACGATGAAGCTTTCACCTCCCGAAACCCCAGCCAAAGATGAGATACCTTCATACTCTGAGGCTGCACCATCATATACAGCTTTCCGCACGAGCTTTGCATCGGTATCCCTTCACCGCAGCGATCGCATACGGCTCCTTCAGTTTCCCTCCTCAGAAATCCCCGCCATCCGCGACATCATCAAATACAGCTGGCCATTTGGGATCCAGAGCGAGCGGCCATATGCTGCTTCTTTCGAATTTAAGCTACGTGGGAACCCTTGGAGGGGACAAGGCTCCGAGGCCATCCCAGCGAGGATATTGATGCGCGAGATCTTCGCCCATCTATTCCGCCTGGGGTGGATTTTGCATGTCAGCACGGATGCGAGTAAGAAGGAGTTCGACAAAGACACGATGATTTTTAGGAAGCAGCAGCATCCTCCGCCTGATAGTGATTGGATATCTATTAGCTTCAATATGACGGACAGAATGAGATTGATCGGGGCCTCGCAGGATCTAATTGCCGATGTGAGGGTTCTTTTGCAACAAATGAATCTGCTGCAGTCAGAATCCTGGAAGGAGCAGCGTCTCCAGGCCTGGGAATTCAAGATCCATGGTCGCCCCTGGCGGGCCATGGGAGAAGAGACAATGACCACTCGGTTACTGTTGCTCAAGTTGCTGGAGACTTTGGAGGCTAAAGGATGGAGCTTGTATGCAAGCGTAGACCAGAGCATGGCAGCCGGAGACCATGTCAGCGAGACTGATAGTTGGTATTGCGTTCGGGACAAGTCATGGGTGCAAGGGAGCGCAGTGTTCCATCGATAGGATACCTCCGGCTCTTGCTTCAAGCGGAGTGGTGGGCATAATCATTTATTTCTTCAGCTTCAGAGGTGTTCTCTCCCTTCAGATTTTACGCGGTTTTCGCCCCTGATTTAGCAAGATATGCGCTCTAGTCGTTGTAATCAGTGTCATATTACAGTACCCAGTTATACAAGACTTGAGACAGGAAAACAAAAGAAGGCAAGACTTTGCAGCGCTTCCATAGCAGATATACCCTTAATCACAAACGCACGACGATTAGTTTATAACTTCACTCCCAAGGGTAAGTCCTAATGCAGTTCAGACCAGCCTTTTGTATTCTTCCTCGTTACTAGTCTCTCGTTATTTCTATCAACCGATGTCAGCCCCATTAAGGCACTGTTATTGATGAGGTGACTTCCTCTATGTATGTGTCATATGGTAGATAGTAAAGAGCATTATTTTCGTGGAAGGCCTTAGTCTTGGAGAAAATGACTACAGTTGCTAGAGCGACGTCTCGGCTCAAGGATCCCTCCCAGGAGCTCACATTCCGCCATGTCAAATCTAACTTGCTCGCCCGTACTACATCGTCTTCAAACCACATATATGCGTTGCAGAAACTATTGGCTGTAGCTAAGACATGTTGCGGCATTTGTATTAATCGCCGTGACGCGCTTGGGTGGTGCAATTTGATCTAGGCTGATCAATACACCGCAATGCCCGCACTGGGAAATGCCCGGTCATGTTGATATTTCTTAATGCTTGATCTAGGTTTTGCTAGTATTTATATAGCTGGTAGGTATAGAGGGTACTCTCGTAGCTTATGCGTAGGAAAAGCTGAGTGCATCAATCCAAACTGAAGTCGTTGATGCAAATCCCGTATTATACGGTATCATTCTTGTCACTTGAAGGAAAAGCTTCGCTGTAGGACGATTACGAGATATGGCTTGAGAGAAACACTGGCATTGTATGGAGCTTGGGCCTTTTCTTGGTTCTTAGATATCTTGGCATATATCTTCATTCGTATTGGCGTTAGAAGGGGACTTGCATTTCGATTGATGGCAGCTCAGCGCACAAGGCTATTTCTTGACTTCTGATATGAATTCCTCCAGATCAAACAAATTACTTGTATCAATTCCCGCTGGGGAATGTTGCGAGTACCCGATCCGTGGTTTTGCCGCCGCAGCCGACGCGCTAAATCCGAAAGAGGAATCGCTCGTCCGACACCTCATCTTCAGTTTCTTGATACAGTGATCTGCAATCTATAATCTACCACCCCTCCGATACCTCCAATATCCATCTCGCCGCCTTATTCTCCCCTTCTTCAACAAACAACTACGATCCTCCACAGCCGGTAGCCAAGCTATGAGTCGAGGCGGCAAACTTGCACCCGAGGTCAATCGGTACGTTCTGCGCTGCACTTCCCTGGAGATACAAAGCTAACGGTTTGTGCTACAGAATACTGTTCGTTAAGAATCTAAGGTTCGTTCATGCTCTTCGAAATTTAGAACCATCCCGAATTAGGGAGATGCTTGATCGAAATGAATCACATGTTGACTTAGTATAGCTACAACGTCACGCCGGAAGAGTTGTTCGACCTGTTCGGAAAGTTTGGTCCAATCCGGTATGTGGCGACCATATCTATCACTTGCGGTAAACAATGCATCGTGTGCTAACTAGGCTGCAGCCAAATCCGCCAGGGCATCGCAAACAATACCAAGGGAACCGCTTATGTCGTGTTCGAGGACGTGATGGATGCAAAGCAGGCATGCGATAAGTTAAACGGGTTCAATTTCCAAAACCGTTATCTCGTCGGTACGTGTGCCATCTTTCCATCCACTTCATCCTGCCTGCTCTTACCGTCACCTTAGTACTATACCACCAACCAGACAAGATGGCCCGATCGAAAGAGGACATGGAAGCGCGCAAGGAGAATTTAGAGCAGCTCAAAAAACAGCACGGAATCGAATAACAAGTAGACGGGTCTGCGGAGCGAACCACAGAAGCATTGCCGATTCGAAGCGCTTCTGTACATCGATCAAGCACCATCAAGAAGGCTCATGTGGGCCCGTCATTACGCGCGTCTCCTGGAAGGCAGAGGCAAAGGAGTTTGGCGAAACCGGCACGGCATCAATATCCTCAAAGTCCCGCAAATTCTGCGAACACGGGCTCTTTCTTTTCTTTTATGCGTGGACTCATTCGTGCTCGGCGTTGATGGTATGGGGTTCTCAGGATTTAGTTACTTGGGCTATGGAAAATCGCTCTTTTGCTTTGTATCCTCAGGACTGGACTGGTTTTGGTGGGCGTGTATTGGTTTGTCCGTAGGGTCTTTCTGCGTTGAAGGAGATTCATTAAATAAGGACTCACTGCCGCGCTAAGCGCAGACAGATACTTGCAAAAATTATTGCTTCCTCAACTCCAGCCCTAGCCTCGTCCCTTGATCTCCCCACTCTTGCAATTATCACTTGGTGTACCAGTAAACCGCGGATCAATGTAGCGCCGCCCAAAGGCTTGACCATCGCCCACGAGACCTTTCCATCCCACGTGCCGGATATCGATTGGCCTATCTGCCGTTTTATATTGCCTGTTTCGTACTGGGCTGCATTCACTCCCTGTGCAGTGGTGTGATGACTTGCAGCTCCCCACGTCCATAGGTTCCAGCTCTTATTATTAATACCTTATCTCTCCAACCCGGAGTTCCCCTCCTCAACTGTGACCTTGACCTCAACCACAACACCACACATCACATACAGCACGACCTCATCACAAACAAACAAACTCCAGCAACGAAGCAAGTTTCAAAGCCCCCTCAAAGCAATAACGACACCCTAGAAAGTCCCTTAACGCCAAAACTTCAGCCGCAAATATGCACGGCGCGGATTGTCCCAAGTGCGGCACTGCCAGTGATGGAACTAAGACCTGCGGATCTTGCGGTGCTGTAAGCTTTTATTTTCTTGTTCACATTACCTGTCTTATCACCCCCTACCGCACACTCCTCCTGTCTTTATTGCTCTCCCTCAACACAGCATGTCTTGGGAGCCATTCCTCTCTCAAGTACACAAAGCTGACGAAAGACAGTCCTGCCCCAACTAAGTCTCCTCAAGTACCCCTTTAGCCAACCAATCTTGTCAACTTCACCCGGTTCTACCTCGATACGGCATGATGAGGAGTCTTGCGTAATGAAATGGAGATGGGTGGACTTGGGACTTGGGAGTTGGGGGAGGGCTTGGGCTAGGAATGCATTGAGGGGTGTCATTTGATGCTGGTTGCTATTGCAGAGTGCTGACCTTTCGTCGGAATATCACCTTTGCAGCGTTGCTTTACTTCGAGAGATATCAAGACGAGAGATGAGCTATGACCATAAATTGATACTCTGCGTTCTCTAGCGCTGCAATTTCACACTGCTCGCTCCTTCTGTGTCACATCTCCTCTCGTACCAGTAAGATAATGGACTATCCCTGGGCTTCATTCCAGCTGCTTTCACTCAACCTTTCCCCTCTAGCATTGGTTGCCCGTCACGTAAACTTGCGAAAGAGTAAACTTTCGAAAGAGTAGACTCGATGATTATTCGAGTCTTGTCATTAATAGATACCAGTATATGAGAAGTTTGTTTAACAAGGTTTTGGAAATGATCCAAGCACACGAGTTTTGGTATGTTCTTGATGGTTGGATATCTATCTAAAGACGAAAGGAAAAGCTATCACACAACCCAAGTATTTCCTCTTAGTCACGTAACCAAGCTCAGTTGGTACTCAGTACTTTGCAAACCCCCCTTCTCGAGTCTTTAACGTAAGCTTCCAACCTCTTTTGGACCCCCTCGTCGCTCGCTGCTAATATCCTCGCAGCATGTACAGCTGCAGTAGTGCCATTGTCACCGTGGAGAGGAGAGTGAACGGGATGTTGGCGTTTGAGAAGCAGGTATTGGTGCCGGAAGATATTTTCGTTCGGCGCGGATGCTGTCGGCCGTGGCAATGAGTCGTGCTATAAACGCTTCTACCTGAGACATGCAGTTCCGATTATGGTTATATGGCCAATCTTGCGGCCTGGCTTGTATTATTTTCCGTATATGTAAAGTACGGCTGTTGGGATCGAGATGGCCTAATTCATGAGTCCGTTGTGCGAACCTTTCGAGGCGCCACCGAGGATATTGAGCATTACTGCTATAGCAGACATACCGGTTATAGTGGAGTTTTGGAAATGTTGGCAAGGTACCGAGGATGGAGAGGAGCTGGGACTTGTATTGTGAGAGTGTGGGGCAAGCCTCGATTGTGTAATGTCCCCCCGAGCTGTGAGGTCGGGGTGCGATTTATTGACGGTCAGTTGGCCATCGCCCATCAGGGAGAGTTCAACGCCGAACACGCCCTTTCCCCACAGGTTCCCCACAGCTTTACGTGCGAGCTGCTGTGCTCGTTGCTGAATATCTTGGGAATCATTTCGCGGAGGAGCATAAACTAGCTTGCAAACGCTATCTTCATGGATGGTTTCGACTGCCGAATACGCAATTCTTCCTTTGCCTCCTTCTGACGGTGTATTCTCGGTCTTCACAACCATTACTGCAAGTTCCATAAAGTTTGCCCACTTCTCAGCATACCAGGACCTTCCTTTCAAAGCTTCCAGAGCATCACCGATATCCGAAGCAGACATGACCGGGTAGATCCCTCGGCCATCGTAAGCATACGTCCTTGCTTTGATCATAAAACGGGCATCATAACTCCCGACCAACGTCTTGCAAGTCACCATTCTCAACACCTCTCGAAGGTTCAGTGGGGACATAATTCCGCCCAAGGTGTTCTTTCTGTGAATATTTATCTTGGATCGTCCGGATTGTTTTCCAGCTGGGTTGGACCCCAACCGTCTTCCTCCACTTGCTGCCATTAGCATCCTTGCCGGCGACTTCAGCCCCTTTCTGCGCTCTCCCTTCTAGCACATGCGCATCTACATGTTCGATTTCCACAGTTATGATGTCGACCTGTCGGGCTAATTCCCGAATCTTCTCTGGGTGGATAAAAGAGTTGGTGATGTGCGAGCTTTTTGCATTGACTTGTTTAGCAGGGAGTCTTCGGCGTCGAGAATGATAACCTTGATAGGTCAATCGTCCGGTCCATTATTATGTGTGAAGAGGTGCCTGTGTCCCAAAATCTCCGAGACGTATGCTGTAGGTTCATGGTTGGTCTTGTATAAAAAAAAACTAAGTACTTAGATCTACTAGGAGAGGTTTACTGACTAGTTTTGCTTATATCAGAACGATGGAAAGTCCTACACGTGACTAGCACTCCCTCCCTTTAATTACATGACTAAGGGTACGATATAGAAACTGCGCTAGTCCACAAATGGGAGTGGGTGGCGGGCCACAGCCTCGATGAATCCACAGGTGACAGACTTCCAAGTGCGAAGTACTATGTAGGCGTACTGGATATTGTACGGAGTATCATACCTGTCGCTCTGGTCTATTATTGAGCGTCTTTGGACATTGTTTCACCAAAGGGCCTTGAATTATAACTTGCCCCCGTATCCGAAGTAACTTGTTTCGAACTTGCACCCTGACTGATTCAGGCAGTGGACTACGAATTACCACCACAGTTCCAGGCCGTCACTTGAACATCACCGCCACGATCGTCATCGCCATCACCACGGCCATCGACCACAAATGCTCTACGAAGGATTTCAGTCGCTCTAATACAAAGGCCCCTCCTTCATTTTGTAATCGACTCGCACGCCTAGCTCATGCTACCTCCACCGGGTCTGGAGCCCTCACTCGCCTCCCTCCTCCAAAATGTTGCCCCGACGGGCATCCTCTCGTCCATAGTTGCGACAGCATCCTCTGCCCTCTCTACCGCCGTTGAAATGCCACCCTCAACCTCTACGATAGTTGCTGCCATCGCGACAGCCACGGCCACTGCAGCTAGCGGGTCACACGATGATCGGCCTGCGCATCCACCTCCAAATGGGGAATGCCGTCTTCTTGGGCCCTTTGCAATATTCGTACAAGGTGCTTTGGGTTGTCTGGCACTGTTAGCGTTAGTCTATAAGAGATGGAGGGAGAGACCACAACGGCCGATGAAGATATGGTCTTTTGATGTCTCAAAACAGGTTGTTGGTGGCGTGCTAGTTCATACTGCAAACTTGCTTATGAGTATGCTATCTTCAGGCCAGTTCAGCATAAAGGTGGATCCCAATAATGCTAGGAAACGTTCGGTTGATGAGAACGGGAATTACCAGCCAAACCCGTGCTCGTTCTACCTCCTGAATTTGGCTATTGATGTGAGTCCATACCTTGCCTTCGCGCGATACTTGCAATGACCAGCACTGAGATGTTTATAATATAGACTACGATTGGTATACCCATCCTTATCTTCCTCCTGCGAATTTTCACAGCGCTCTTCGCGATGACCCCTTTCGGCAAGCCTTACGAGTCGATTGAGTCCGGTAACTATGGCAATCCACCAAGGGCCTGGTGGTGGTGCAAACAGTCTATGATCTACTTCCTCGGCCTCATGGGGATGAAATTCTGCGTCCTCATAATCTTCCTGGTTCTCCCTTGGATATCCCGCATTGGAGATTGGGCATTGCGGTGGACCGAAGGGGACGAGGCGCTCCAAGTCATTTTCGTGATGTTGGTGTTCCCGGTTATCATGAATGCTACGCAGTATTATATCATTGATTCCTTCATCAAGGGCCAAGTTCTAGAGCATGCCCACGAGCGGATACCAGATGAAGATGAGGATTCCGTTGACGGGCGCGGAACCTACCCGTACGAACATCCAGCGAGGAGCAGTCATGAGATGCATTCGGAGGACGAAGATGATCCCGAAGTGCTTGCTAAGGCGGACTTGGATAGCAAAATCTCACTGAAGAACAAAAGTAAGACAGCATCGAGCGGGAGCGGAAGGTCGACAGGACGTCATGAGCGCAGAAGTTCCCGTAGCCTCCAGACCGGCAAGGACTATGACCCTATTTTCGATGGGGAGTCTAGCCCCACCATGATTGGGAGTGCCAGCACCACTGAGAGACAAGATCTAGTTGCGGAGGCGGGACAGCGGGCTGATGAAGACCACGCGAAGACACCCGTCGGATAGAAGGGGATCCCACGCAAAGTCACCGTGTTTATATATCCTGTCTAAACTTTATACCTGCGTGTCTGGTTGTAATATCTTATACCATATGTTCCGAATGCACGGCGCTGGGGCGTTGGTCAAGGCATCCGCGTACTTGCATAGCGATCCATTTGAATAACACACAAGCATTATTTTCCCTTAACGGCCCAGCTTACTCCGGCACGCCCTCACGGCCTTCCTACTTTCAAATGAAGTATGTTTCTCCAGTGAGTTCTAAGATACCCGTACTTCGGTTAGACAATATTTCCTTTTCCCTAGAACCATACAACAATTGTACTGTACAGTAGTTAGCTACCTTATTCCAACCAGCCTCGCTGTATACAATATAGCCAGCTTATAAAGGTATAGGACCTAGATGGCAATATTCTAGGTGTGGGAAGGATCCACCCTTACAGCTCCCGAATTTTAGAAATATATTCTTCTCGGATGGTTGAATTGAGTAAAGAGGCTCTCGATAGTTGTTTCGAGCACTTGAGACATGATCACGAAAATATTTGAAGTCCTGGCATTTTCTGTCTACAGCAAGATAACCACACATCACTACTACTGAATGCTTTGGTGAACGCAGACTTTCTCTTGGTTCGTTCTTCTTTTGAAGATGCTGACATCTGAACCTCGCTGAATCTTTCAGCCGCTAAAGATGCAGGACACCATAGGTATCGGTGCGCATCCCCTGCCCGACAAACCTCTAGAAGTAACTGTGGCTGCAGAGAAATATGTCAACTTCCACTCCCCTGTCAATGCGACTTCCTATGGCAGTTTCTAATATCAAATACAGGATCTCCCCAAGGAAGAAATCCGGCTCTTGGGAAATCTCCTTTTGCCCACTACTTCTACTCAAACCACCCTATTGTACGGACTCTGTCATAAAGCGTGGAGATCCGGGAAAGAAAACAGGCATCTTTACCAGCGGTACCCAAGCCTGGGACACGCTTTTGGAAATACTTCGCTAGTTAAACCAAATTATTGGATTGGGATACTAGGCATGGTATCTATTAGCTCAATTGAATTTATATTAACAAAAGCAACCCAGTACGACGGTCATTTTAAGTTACCTCTAGGGGTGGTGTTAGCCAGCACCGAGACAGAGTCATCGTCCAGCCCTGCCACAAACTTCCGAGGCACGGGAGAACAAGCTAGTAATTCACGCATAAAAGCTATTGATTCAGATACTAGTAGTTTTATCGTAATATTTCGACGTTCCCAGTATACATTATCCAAGACACTACGAAGTCCAACTCCTCGTATTAAGGCTGCGAGAGATATACGGGGGGTTTACTGCGTAAGGGGTATGTGGCTGCTGTGGCTAAGCTAGCCCGTGCGCAATAAACTTATTGTCAACAACCTCCCAAGTCACAACTCTCATTCACCACCTGCCTCTATATTTCCGAATTTCTGAGCTGTAGCAATATAAGCTTGATGAGGCCAGCATTGTCATGTTCTCTCATCAGGCGCTTTCGATCCGCAGTTCCGATACCCATCCAGCGCAGGCATCTTTTGACGCTCGCAATTGAGACGTCGTGCGACGATACCAGTGTTGCTGTGCTCGAGAAACATGGCAACGGCTCGGCCACCCTCCATTTCCATTCGAAGATAACTTCCGACAACCGATCATATGGTGGAGTATATCCCATCGTGGCCCACGAGTCGCACCAGAAGAATCTTGCCGCCCTCGTGAACGACGCCTTGCAGAGTCTTCCCTTGGCCAAAGATGAACAGTTAAGATCGGATAATACTGTGGCCGTCACAGGTGACAAGGGCAGATCCGTTCGGAAGAAGCCAGACTTTATTACAGCGACTCGAGGTCCAGGCATGCGAGCTTCTTTGATAACTGGCACGGATACTGCGAAGGGACTTGCAGTGGGATGGCAGGTGCCTTTCTTGGGGGTCAACCATATGCAAGCTCACGCTCTTACCCCTCGACTCATTGCAGCAATCGATACACCAGATCTGGGCAATGCTAGATCACTGGAAACCAACCCCGGGTTTCCATTCCTCACACTGCTGGTTTCAGGCGGACATACCATGCTTGTCCACTCGAAGGGCCTTTGTGTACACCATATCCTTGCCGACACTACCGATATCGCCATCGGGGACATGATCGATAAGTGTGCCCGTGATATCCTCCCTCCCTCGCTGTTGCAAACTGCGCCTGATGTAATGTATGGGCCATTACTCGAGAAGTTCGCCTTTCCAAGCAGAGTACCGGAAAATAGCCATCAGGTTGGGAAGGCTGCTGATTCCTCACGGAGTGATGGCGGACGAATAATTTCAAAAGCTATCCGAGATTGGAAAATCAGCACGCCTTACGCAAGATCAGGCTCCGAAGGAGCACTGTCGCATGCCGATTCTTTCTCCTTCTCGGGCATTGGAAGTGCTGCGAAACGGGTTGTGGAACAGAAGCCCGATATTGGGGAGATAGAGCGACGACAGCTGGCTCAGGAGGTAATGAGAGTAGCTTTTGAACATCTTGCCTCTCGTGTACTTCTTGCTCTTGGTGGTCCAGAGGCTAAGGATACCAATACGTTAGTTGTTTCAGGGGGCGTGGCGAGCAATCAGTACCTTAAACGTGTCCTGAGGGGCTCTTTGGATGAAAAGGGACATAGGAAGCTCAGGTTGATCTTTCCCCCGCCAAGGTACTGTACAGATAATGCGGCCATGATTGCCTGGACTGGGATAGAGATGTATGAGGCTGGATGGCGGACCGACCTCAGTGCTATGGCTGTTAGGAAATGGGCCATTGATCCAAAAGCAGAAGATGGCGGCATCCTAGGGATTGGTGGCTGGAGAAATGTCGCCCCTCTATAAATACTTCACAGTTTCAGATACTGTCAACTCATTTATCCACTCGTTCAAATGACGCCTGTCGTCTGGTTGCGAACTTGTGTTTGATCTAGCAAGACTATAGGCCGTGTGCTTGCAACTTCCCTGATACTTTCCTGCTGCATCCGAAATACTTATAGGGGCTTGCCGCCTTGAAATTATTTGGCGGTCTTAACAAGGCTTCCTGTCTGTTTGTTTGCTTCCAGGATGGAGGGTATTTTGTACGAAAATACCATTGGGTTTAGGTGTATAAACGGCATATAACGGTTGTAATATGCGCGAATTATAGATTATTGTTTCTAGACGCCCTCCCAGTGGAGTTTAGGGTGAACGCCCAGTTGCAGAGTAGAACTCCCAGATACTCTCATCGCCAGTTCTATGATATGGCTCGGATGGTCTAAAGATCTCGTCGTGGTTACTATTTATACTCGCACTACTCCCTAGATTGGGGGTCAGAGTGTTATCCGTGTCCCTTCTTGAAGCTACTCCCTCGCAGCCTATTCCATTGTCGAAAACATTACGTGTCATATCTAGCGTGGCATGTCCACAATAGCTGTATGGAATGGATATTGATTCACGAGCCTTCGGGCCACGTAACAATGCCGCACTTCGCTGCTCCCTCCTTGGCTCGCTACTCAAGCTTCTATCCACATCACCCATACCCGCTTTTCACGTTAAGATTTTGCCTCCGCTACTTTCCACTGTGATCACTATTCCGGGCTAATATCAATAACCATCTCCCAAACTTTGTTATCTTGGATCCAGTGCAGTAAGTAGCATGCCTCCTCTTACATGCTAGAGTGCTCTCTAGGATTCACGTCCAAAACTAACCACCGTAGCAGAGCTCATTTGCAGCAAAGTCAATCGCAATTCTGCACACATCCTCAAGCGCACTTGTCTGCACCGAGGGTGAACTTATACAAGGCCACTTCCGCTTGAGGATACAATCCCCTCATGCCACTGCAGCCCCTCACGACTCTGCCACCACCATCAATGGCTCCTCTAGTTTTATTTCGTCAGTAGTTCTGTTTGTGTATCATGCTCTCGATAGCGCTGCCAGCTCTCTAGATTCGGATTTGACGCCATCTACGTCCGCTGAATTCCCTAGTTTCAACACCGGTGTTGCCAAAACCGAGCAGCACACATCATGATAACAACAGTACGCTTTTATCTGATTTCTCAATCATATACGGCGAATTTGGAAAGCACAGATATGATGAAAACTCAGAGTACACTAAAGCTATTCCCGCTACAAGTTATCCTGATGGAAAGACGTTCTCGTTGTCGGCGATTAGCCACGAGAACTCATCGTCGGAAAGGATTGAAACGGTGGCGGGTAGCTCTAGCTAACGATATGAACTTTATATTGGAGGAAGACAGGATGTTTCCCGCGACTTGTGACATTTTCACAGCCAGAAAAACAGAACATGTCTGACTTCCGCCAATCCATCCACCGAACCACATATTAGTACCCTTGCGAATAGGGGATGGATGTATGCTATCGGCTCATTGGAAATTAGACCTAGCTAAGTATATATCGATAGCAAGAAACGAAGGTTACAGATTCAACCAGCAGCAAAGCTATTGAGCAGGGCTGATGCAACAGCTGTACTACCACTCGGATCGGGAGTCCGTTTGGTAAGTTGTGCTGTGCGGAGTCTGGCTGGGCCCGACCAACTCAAAGATGGGCGAGGATATCCCAAAGATCCCCCCATCTAGGAGGTTATTTTGCCGAGCATCTTACGAAAGATCCGCATTCCAACTAGCTAGTTGGAGTAGATAGGGTATATAGCTTCTTCTCGCCAATTACCTTAACATCGAATCTTGGACGCTATGTTATCTCTAGTAGTAGGTGACATAACAGAGCTAGATTAGATAGTTTGATCGTTTTTATCCTAAAACGCCAATCAATAGTATAGCTTAGTTCTTGTTTCTCATACACTGTTCTCGTTCTTAAAGCTAGTGCCTAGCCTTTATAGCCTTGCGTTTCACGAACGGAAATTTGATTCTTTTGCATTGCTATATTTATATGTACTTTTTATCTGTAAACATGTATTCTTAAGTTGAGATACATGTTCTTGTAGGTTAAGATATGATTCCATCCCCCGTGAGCTCTTGTTAGTATGACATCTTAATAAATAATTCAGAGCATATATTTTGTAGCGCATTTACTACCTTAATCATGTTGCTATCTTTCCTATAGGCTATATGGCACGGTAGTATTGTCACCTCGGTGATCTTCATAATAAATTCAATCCGGATAGTTTTAGTTTCTGCTCTCCTACATAATCGTTTTCAGATTGCTACAGTGCTCGAGGCCTTTATCGCCTAGGTAACATTTATTATCGCCCCCATAGCTGAGTTATTCATAAGTGTAAAATCGTCAGCTTTGATCCTCATGAGGTGCCTCTTTTGCTCACTACGCCTACCCTTCAGCCTCTCGTCCAACTCACTTCAAACCTGAACTTCTGGGGTCTTTCTTGTCCCCAAACCTCGACATTCTCACAATCCCAACACCATATAACACACAACGCGCAAGCTACAACCTTGTCTTGATCTGTTCTCTCACGTTTTCAATGCTCGCTTTGACAGTTACAGCAGTCAACATGTCGCAATGTAAGAGCACCATTGGTGCTACAAATGCGCGAATTATTGGCATTGTTAGAGCGCTATCCCCAAGGGATGAAATTCATGTGTTGCAGTCGGATCAGTCGATCCTACCAGGAGCACTCAAAGCGACGCCCAAAGAAGCGTTCAAACAGGGCGGTTCCCCAGATGGCACAGGCTTGCCACGGATTGGGGATAGAGCCACGAGTTTATACAACAGGCTCACTCAAGGACATGACTCTAACATATCAACTGTGGGACTTGGTGAAGACCCACATACCTCACGAGGGAAGGATGGATATAACAGTCTTCAACATATTCTAAAGTCAAAGAAAGAGGATCTTACAACTCTTCGTGTTGAATTGGAAGAGAACCAATATACCCACCTCACCAGAAGTCAGCTCCAACTCATACGCCATCAGTCGACAGCACACAATGTTAAGACAACTGTCCGATCATCTAGGATCAAGACGACCAACGGCCCGGCGTACAACCAAGATAACAAGAAATTTGTTACACGGGAACGTAGCATTAATACTACTTTACCTTCCACCCCATCCGTGAGACGCAGCTCAAGTATTCGGAAAGCACAAGACGAGGATAAGTTGGATCCTTCCCAACCAGCTCCTTCCAAACTATCCCAACATACGCGAAAACGTCCTGCAGCTACCCAGATTTCAGAGCAATTGTCCTTGCAATTAGAAACCCCTGTGGCAAAGAGACCCCTCACGGAATCAATTTCCACCTCATCGTTGCCCACGCCGCCAACCTCACCTCCGAACCCAATGTCCACACAACAGAAGAAATCCGGAGGGAATCGCAAAGACAAAGGAAATTGTGGAGACATTCAGGCCCCTTCAATTTCCACTTTAACCTCTACATCTAAATTTCTCATGGAACCCTCCTCGTCCTTCACTACCATCGCGCGGAAGCGGTTCGTCATCGAGAATAACACCAGCAGGGGGCCTACTAATAATAGGAACTCTAGCAAGAGACAATCCAAGAGCATTGCCGAAAGAATCGCCTATGCTTTTGTTGAGGATCCTTTCACTCCCAGCACAATGACCACGCCGCAGGAAATATGGGAGCGCAGATACAATACTCCTGCTCAAGCCGCTGAACGAGGAATGGCTCGCACTGCCCCAGCCGCCAACCTAGGCCCTCCAGCTCACTTTGCGGCTCATCAAACTCCCAGCTCTGGAGCTTCAATTGCCAACTTTCCTACTCTAGCTCCCAGTCTTGCAGCTTCAGCTCTTACTACTGCGGCGTCAGCTATGGTATCCAAGCAGAAGGAAATGAAAGGACTTCAGCAGATAATTCGGCAGTAGCTTATCACGGATCGACAGCTACTGGGAGGAGTTCAGCAGCGAATCAGGACACTTCGACATGAGATTGCCATTCTAGAAACCGACGATATGGCTGGCATCTCTACTTCTAAGGGGGGGTAATAGTTGCTATGAGTTGTAGCATGGAGATTAGCTACTCTAATAGAGTTTACTTCTAGCATCGTACAATGATATGCAATGAGTTTAAAATACAACCAAGCTTTACACAAAAGGTCTATAAAGTCACCCGCCTTTCTTCTTCGTGTTAGAACTTAATATAACGTGACTGGGAAACAAAAGTCAAATGCTCCCTTAATAATGTTTGATGTGTATATTAAATGCTGAGGGTGTGCCCCATTTAGCTATACTTATTTTATTTAGCCAATCCAGCTGATTTTACGTTTCCCCTTTTAAAATAATATTGGCTCTCTAGAGAGGATTGCATTTATATACTCGATTCCTTAGTGAGCCCTTCGTAATTGCCCATAACATCCAAGATATCTGGGACATTTGCTAGGTCAGGTTTTCTAGAATGTAGAATTCGTATAAATTGAGTGGCTGTTGCTTTGACATCTTCACTTCCTGTTCACACTGTCTATATAGGTGGCGCGGATTAATGCCCTTGACCCTTAGTTAGAAGTGTTCAAGTGCCTAAAGGCACAACGGATAATAAACCCTCCAAGCAACCTAGAGAGCTACTGAAGGACCTTCCATTGTCGTATTTCCTCTTTCCGCTTTCTACCTCGTGAATTTCCAGTGAGGCACATTAAATTTCAGCTTAGAGAATATCTAGGCGTTTAGTGTTCCTGACCGTGAATAATGCTCACCAAATAGATAGACGAATAGTGAGGCAAGTAATTTATTGACCACCCATCTTAATTTACATTATAAAAGAATAGACTTCGGAGGGAGAGGAACTGGAAATAAAAGATCAATGGGAGATAATAGAAAACTATTCATATGCACTGCTCAAGGGTTGGACTGCACGTAGGTAAGACAATAAAAGCACGGAAGCTAGGCGGATTACACTTGAGAAAGAAGATAAATCCCCCGAGGATTCAAAGTCCTAATTTTTAAAAAGTCTGGCTTGAGGTATGCTTTAGTCATAAGCAAAAATTCACAGGTTCCCGGGCGGTGAAGCTATCAAGATAACCTACTGCTATACTTTATCGCGGTGTCACGCGTTACCTGTCTGCGACCTTCGTTAGACATTGTTTTGATTTCAACAAACATCGATTCACAATCCACAATCTCCCCCCCACCAACTCCGAGACCCAAAATTTCGGGAGTGATATTTGTACAACGGTATCCTCGCACCATTGTTGCGGGCACTTCGAGGCAATGGCAACTCCTCCATCACAACTTCCACGGCCACAATGCCAAGAAACTCAATCCTCTTCGGCCCAGGAAAAGGCTAAAGGCGAGATCGATAACAAAAGCCACAAACAAAAATTGGAGACCTGCGAAAGAGCCCCAGAGAGCAAAGGAAAAGCGGAAGGAAAGGAGCTTTCAAGACTCCGTAGGAAATACAATATTGAAAAAACGCAACACCAGATCACCCAGTTAAGAGCATCTCAGCTAGACTGCACAAGCTCAAGTATACGGACTGAGTTGCAAGCTGCGCAGAGTCGATGTAACGATCTTGTTGCGGAAAACTCCAAGTTGGGAGCCAGCATCCAAGATTGTAAAAGTCACAAACTGGAGCTAATCCGAACTATTGAAGAGCTCAGAAAATCCAGTACAACTCACGTAAGTAGAGAACCCCAAAGAAACATTTTGTTGGGGCTAACTATAAAGACCGAATCATCTCAATCCGAAATTCGACAAATAAATAGATGTAACCAGAGCAAAGAAGACGGCCTGAGAGCTCGAATAAGGGGGTTAGAAGCTGATCTAGCTCTCCAAGGAGATATCTATAGTGGGCTACAGGACGATACACAGCGATTGGTCCGCGCGAGTGAGGAACTCAAGGCCACTCACACGTCCCTGGTAAGAAACGAGGGTGGAAGAGAACATTTTACTGAGGCTAACGATAAAGATTCAATCCTCAAATGAAGAAATACGACAGACAAAGCAACTGAAAAAGAGCGAAACCGATGACCTGAACAGACAAATTATCGAATTAAAGAAGAAACTAGCTGAACTAGTCACGGACAACACTCTGATCCAGCGTTTAAAACGAAAAGTTGAAGAGCTGGAATTTGGACACACTTTGAAACTCGATCTCATTAAGAAGATTATCAAACACAATGGTGAGCTTATTGAGGAGAGACAGGTCTTCAGAGAGAGAAATGCCAATCTCTACGCCGAGATAAGCCGCTTGACAGATCACAATATTGCCCTGGAAAGCGAGATAGCACTTCTATACAGGATGTCGGTAGAGTTAACAAGCCCGAAGGCTGGTGACAGACAGGGTTTGGAGGATCCGTTTAACAACGAGGACACTGATGGTACTGTAGAGCTAGAAGATAGAGGATCCGAAAACCCGACAAGAAGTGGACACTATGTCGAAGAGGAACGAGCCGACGACCCAGCTGATCATACTACTAGCGCTAAAGCACCTGGCAAAGCCCCAAGAAATCGGGGTAAGCCACCAATCAACAGAAGTCTCCTGGGTGGGAAGTCTGAAATGCCCCGGCCAGAGCCTCGTCCAGAATTAAGGCCTTGGGCTAGACCGGGATGGACCTGGGTCGCTGGTGTTAGCCTGTCCTTCCCACAGTATAGAATTAGACTAACAGACTATGGCAGTTTTGGCGCAGATATCCTGTCCACTGGATGAAGAAAGATGCCGGTATTAATGAAGTTGGTTCCGGAGGTGTCGGCACTGAGACTGCTGAGGCTGCAAATATCAAAGATGCTTGGGATGCTTCAGGTGAAGACACTGTAGCACGAGATGCTAAGGGTGAAGTTACGAATGGTTCCGTAGATGACCCTCCGGATGCTGATATGGAGTATGAGCTTGCTGAGAATGCCTTTTCGGATGATGACCTCTATGGTGCTTAGTGATGGTCTCGATAGCGCTGCGGCTCTAGCTCCTTGATTCGTGCTCTAGCAATTGGTGGGTAATGAGGAAATTTGATTCAGGTGTTGTGAGATTAGAGGAAAGCATGTTTGGGATATTATGGAAATGCGTGTTTATTCATAAGAACATCGACGGGATTGTTAGTCATGAGTCTTACTTCTGTATAAGGACAGTTGGGCAAGAAATGTCTATTAACAAGAACCCACTGTAAAGATAAGACTTATAAGCTAGTCAAAATAAAGAAACACAACTCAAGGAGCATAACCAAGACGTTCACATATAGAGTAGGTAGACCTGTGGAGTTAGAACTCTCTAGAGCCAAATTATTGATGGAGTACAGGAATTTGCTAGGCCCTATCAAAGCACGCGTAGTCTAAGAATAGTGGAGTGAGGGATTTCGGGAGGTTTAAGATAGCAATGGGTCGAATTAGTTTAGTCATTGGGGACATTGTAGTAAGACGTTCCATTTTTACATATCTTGAATAACCTACGTCGCCCAACTTACGATGGAGCAAGGTGTATCATTATATTGCAACCAATGTGGCCCCTGGCAGATAAAGCTTCTCTGGGCACCCACTACCAACCTCCCCCTACCCGAGCAGAAGACTGACGCAAGGGCTCAAGTACGTGTGCACACACTGGATAGTACAAGGCAGCGAAATATACAAGCTTGGCGGAATAAGAGGATAAAGTAATGTAATAATCGCTCGGAAAAAAGAAGATGCAGGTGCAGCACTTGCCAGCTATTAAGAATATGGTTCTAGGACAATTGCTTAAAATCAAAGATGTTGATAACTCGCGAACGAATAGAACATATTACAATATTGGAAGAGCGCCACAGTGAAATGATCCAAAGTAGTAGTATACCGAGCTACCCCCGGTGCCAACCCACCCGCGCCATGCTTGCTATTAAGACTGGTAAAAAGTCTTCCGGCTATTCTTCTATCTTCTATCAGTTAGCTCGTAATGTTTGGGAATCCACCCTTCTCCAACTTGGTCTTCCAGAACGTCAGATTCGTATCGTTGAGCCAGTTCTTGGTCGACCCGTCTTCCTTCACATGGTGCAGGGTAGCATAACCATCCGAGAAAGCGTTCCTATGCGTCGTAGCCAAGATGCTCCTGGTTTCTAACTCCAACGCCTCTTGTTCTGTTAGTTCATATTTATATTCCGCGTCCAGCACGCCATATATAAATGTCTGACTGGATCCAACACAAAACACATCACCACCAAAGTCGATTTAATAGAGACCCGGGCGAGTAGCTCCTGCACACATAATCCCATGGACAGCCCCATCCTTTTATATGAATAGACGAGGTTAGCTAGGATTTTTGAGGCAGCGGCAACTGAGATTTGGCGTTTGTGACGGAGTTTGTCAGTCGACATTACATTGCCAAGTATGCGAGCCAGTATCCACAACTACTAAGCACGCAATTAGAATGGGGTCCTGCCAATTCTGGGGTGTCTGTAGAAGCGGAGGCTATTGATGACTCGGCTCACTACAGCAGTGCCACCAGCCACTGTACCAAGTAAACAGCTGTTAATCTCGATGGCCTATTTCACTGTTTGACTAGCTATCTAGTTGCCTGCTGCAGCACTAGGTTCTGCTGCCATGATAATTCCACCTTGAAATCCGAATGCTAATGCCGTGGTACCGTGTGCGATTGACATAGGAAAGTTAGGATTAGCATTATCGCCTGTTATCGAGCGGAGGAAATATGAAGGCTGTATACATAGGAACACTAGGCCAGCAGGGCAAACTTCCATGTTTAGAAATCGGAAGCTCCAGATAAGACATAGGATAAGAGCTAGATACATACCGGCACTTGAGCTATCGGGGTATGGCGAACTTGGGGGATAAGGCCGGTGCTGGTTGGTAGAGCTCAATTTGATCAGCTTCGCAATGATGCTGCTTTTCAAACAAAGGCCTACTCGTACTATATCGTGCGACGAGTAAGTCATTTTCCAGAATTACAAGAGTCGCTGTCAATGGAGCGTTAGGCAGCTTGGACTTCGTCCAGGTCAGGTCCAGGTCAGGAACACGGCGATCAATGTAGAGGGTCCCACTTCGGTTAGTTGATCATCTCATGTGATATATTTCTGAACAATGCTGACATTCCTTTCAGCCTCGCACTAAAATTAGGGTGCAGCCTCGCCAGAAATTTCTGCCCATTCAGTCATCCAAAGCACAACTCGCATTTTGAACACAAGTTAATAGCGTTCTATTTTCCGCCGCCGCTAATGTGTCGATATCGATAGCATATAGCAAAACGGATCATATCATACGAAGCATGTTTAACACATTTCAAGCGCCTTTTGCCGGATCGTATAAACGCAGGACTCGGAGAATGCGGAGGTAGATAATCAGTCATCGACCATCCTTCATGCTGGCCTTCTGCAACCGCCGGAGTATAAGTATTACATCACAGCTTTTTAGAACCGGATTCTTGGCAAAACCAGCGAAAATGGATACGGCACAGGCAGCTGAAGCCGTTTTCAAGACGCGCATCTTGCCCGTCAAAACCACAAACCTAGGGGATTTCGATCAATTGACTAGGCTCGAAAAGTGGGAGTTGCCTCGGGACCAGGATATCATTCAGCCTTTACAACAAGCAGCGGAACTTCTCAAGAAGAGTAACATACCTGTCGGATTCCCTACCGAGACTGTTTATGGCCTTGGGGCAGACGCAACGAGGAGTGATGCTGTCAAGGGGATTTACAAAGCCAAGGGTCGACCGTTAGATAACCCCCTCATTGTCCATGTCTGCGACCTCAGTATGTTGCGCGAGCTCCTTGCACCTGCAGGCCAGACAAATGGGCATTCAGCATCCGCTCCGAATCCGAATCCGAATCCAATTCCGCAGATCTACTGGCCTCTCATAATGAAGTTCTGGCCCGGCCCTTTGACGATTCTTCTCCCGAACCCGAGACCAAGCAAGTTGGCACCGGAAGTTACAGCAGGACTCCCAACATTTGGAGCTCGCATGCCACAGTCCCCACTAGCCCTATCCCTTATAAAACTGGCTGGTGTCCCACTTGCTGCGCCCTCCGCGAATGCATCCACCAAACCCTCCCCAACGACTGCCGAACATGTCCTCCACGATCTCGATGGGAGGATCGAGATAATCTTGGATGGTGGGACTTGCCAGGTTGGCGTTGAAAGCACGGTGGTGGACGGACTCTGCAACCCACCTATTGTGCTTCGGCCGGGAGGTGTTAGTATTGATCAGCTCAGGGAGTGTGAAGGTTGGGAATGCGTCGTAAAAGGATATAAAGATGCGAGTGAGTTGGGCTCAACCACCCCAAGAGCGCCAGGCATGAAATATAAGCATTACAGCCCGAAAGCAAAGGTGGTTTTATTTGAAGCTACTCTGCAGCCAGCCACAAAACCCGCAACCTCCTTAGGAGCTGGACCGCTTTCGACCAGTGATGGGCAGGTGCCGCATATAGATTTGGAGCTTTTAGGTCGGCCCGCGAGGATTGGCATCGTGAGGACACGGCATTGGGACAAGTGGGCTGGGTTCCATCATGCCCCTGATGAGACCCAGGATCGAAGTACCACCACTCATGTAACTTCATCACATGATTACCCCCAAAACACCTCTTCTCAGCTGAGAATGGGCAAGCTCTGGCAAAGTGGGTCGCGGAAGACTGGCTCGCAATCGACTGAGGGCCGCCACCTAGCGGATATAATTGAGATCTCGTTAGGGAGCGAGACGAAAGATATTGCCCATGGGCTCTTCTCAGTCCTCAGGGAACTAGACCAGAGGAACGTGGATGTGATTTATGTTGAAGGTATCGAGGACGAGGGGGATATCGCTGCGGCGGTCATGAATAGGCTACGTAAAGCTGCTTCTATCGTCGAGGACTAATTATAGAACGGATGATACGGAGTAGAGGTTTCGAGTTCTCCATAGTTGAGCGCTCATCGATGTATACCCAATTTTCAGGGAGTGAATGACGACCACTAAGGTATTCTGAAAGCCCTTAATTTTTATTAGAGCTTGCTCTATACCACAAACCCAATCAAGAAGCGCTGTGCAATAAATACCGTAACTCCGAATCTATCTTTCTCCTAGTTTTGGATTTCCCCCCTCAGCCTTTGGCCTTTTTCCTTGCCCTCCCTCCCTCCCTCAAGCGTTTATTTGACGGGAGAATATATCCTACTCCCATAATCCGTCAACACTTATCCGCCAGCTCCACAAGCTCACAACCCCTGCCTCAACCAATCCCCCAACTTCGCCTTTCCGAACTGCGCCAGATTATTCATTCCTTGCTCACTTAGGTCAATGCCCTTAAGCTGCGTCACGTCCTGCGTAGGCGCCTTGCTGACGCGTTGCACAATGATGGTGGGGTCCGTCTCCAGAATGATACCGTCGTCGACCATCTCGTCAATAGCGAGGGAGACGAGGTCGTAGTTTTCGATTATGGTGCGTTTATCTACTGACTGTCTTTCCCCACGCAAAATAGTCAGTTACTAATCCACACCCCAGGGGAACATTAAACAGTCCGGAGGAACTAAAAGAGAATATCGCCCAGGTTCTGAACGGAATAACGTACTTGAACAATAGATGCAAGCTGTCCCTCATGCACAACACCACATTATATAGCATGATTTCATTCTCGTCCACGCCTCCTACTACGTACATCATCACATCACTCTCACTCTTATATAGCACAATTCTATTGTCGTATTGAATGATATCTGCCGTTTGCTTGGCGGTTTTCTCGAGGAGCCCTTTCTCGAATGCCTTTTGGGATTTGACGTCGGGGTATGCGGCTGTGGGGTGGTGTTGGGCATCTATTCGCAAGCAACGAAGAGTATATTAGCTTTGGGCTTATATCTAATTTAGTTGCGTAGGGGTGCTATGCGGAGGAGGGTCGCAAGAAAGTTAAGGAGGGGCCATACTGCCAGATGGTGCGTGATGCGGCGCATTGTAGTATTTTGCAAAGATCCGCGACCCGTCTTCTGAGTTCAGAATTATGATCGCGTTCACCGAGAAGAGGGACATGCTGGGCGCCATGGCTGAGGCTTAGCTGTGGGCTGCGAAATTATAAGATTGGGTCGAGGGTCTTGAATTTCGATGTCGATATCGATGTGTACCTACAGCACGGAACTCGCGAGGTGGTCGTTCGAGGCGCTTGCGGCCTGAGGTTACAGGCGCTAATAATATCCCTATTGTTTTTCCGGAATAACCTCACTTCGTGTACATCTCAATTCTCTATATCAACAAACACCCTACATCATACTTGAGCCTAGTAACGATAATGGGCCATGCCATAGCGTCAACGGAAACCGTATTTTTTTCTTATTTTTTTTTCTTTTGGTAGTACTTGAGTACTACGAGATATACCAAGTTCAATAAACTGAGGACTCATGGCCGCCTTATAGGCAATCCAAAGCGACGCTCAACGCCCACAGGGTGGATTTGAACACTGTCAGTGCCTAGGCAGGCACCCTATTGTCGCCATACAATCCAGGGGCAGCTGCATTAAATCAATGCAAGAGCAAGGAAGCTCTATGGGAACTAGCCTAGGCTCTGTTTGTCTATAAAATTTGCTCCATCTACCACTCCAATGACATAGCCATCAACTGAATATATCTTGTTCAAATAATCCATGGTAATGGAACTCTCCCATCTCCCGTTTCACCTCTCCAAGCCAAACAACAAGAAGTTTCCCCTTCAGCGTACCGCCGGAACCAATGAAGAAATCAACTGCGGCTGCCTCCGCGCCATCCAACAAAACCCGAAAACCTCGCCGCAAGGAATTCGATGACTATTTCGGGAGCGTTGACGACCTGGATAACTGGCAGGGGTTCTGTGAGAACCTAGGTCTTGAGGGGGGTCTGGGTAGTAAAACAAAATGCCGAAGGGTGGGTTACTATTGACTCGTTCTATTTCATATTTTTTCAGTGCTACTGCTATAAATGCACTTTATTTTCTGCCCCCTCCTCCCACCTCTGTGGGCCATCCTATTCCCGTCAAACCCCCCTACGGTTTAACACGAGAATACATGTTGACTTCTATGGGGTGCCACAGGCGCTTAGAAGCGTATGGGTAAATATTTACGACTTCCTCGATGCTCAAAGGCAGGGGGTGGTGGTCAAGAAGTTTGGGAGTGAGAAGGCACTTGCAAACTACACGAAAAAGAACTCTCTATTCTATCCAAGGGCGAAGGCAAAGGAAGGGGGCCCAGTTCGAGCCTTATTGGCCCATGTTGCTTAATGAGGTGGGGCAATACTAAATGGATGGCCCCGTCGCGATGGAAGTTTAGGGGGAGGCAAGAATTGATGTCAACAGCGCTACGTTGTAGGACCAACTAGCACCTCCACGGCCAAATTCTTATGCCTCGACCGAATCCAGGCCCATCTTCGCACTTGGTAGCTACCGATTTGGTCCCAATACCCTATGTTCTTGTTGTCGTATTCTCAAAGGTGCTACTTGTCCAAGCACTAGTAGGTGTGTGCCTGCTACAGCCTATACCGCGATCCCTGTTAGCCGATCAGATATTCCTTTATAAATGGCCTTGAGTTGACGATGAGAGTCCCCAGTGAGATGAAGCGTGCTCATATACAATCCTGGAATGGCTGGATTCGGTTTGGATCCCGCAATTAGGGACCGTAGTGCCTGGTGCCTGTGATGCTCCAACACGCTATCGTCTGCGCCCCGCAGCTTCGAGGCGGGTGATATTAGGCGGACTATTATTAAAATAGTCAACTAACTTACTAAACTATATTTTAGTACCATTCCGTCTATATTATTTCTTTACACTTGCCTTCGTTCTTAAACTGGATAGTCTCACAATCATCGCCTTAGCAAGTTTGATTTTCTCTCTTCCCATCCCATACTATGATAGATTTCGCGCTTGTTTAGAGTTCAAATGTTAGCATTGGTATAATGTTTCTATTCGCGTATACAAGCCATCTAGCTAGGTGCAGCCCACAAAGGGAGATATGTCCACACCAGCTAAGATCAGCTTCAATATATGCTCATTCCACCTTGCAATAATATCATATAGGTGGTCAGCGTTACACATGTACAATTTGTTCTGCAGTTTACTATTATCAACGCTTATTAAATGAGAGGGAAGAAATGCTTAAGACGGAAGTACTAGGTTTTCCCCTGGTATTAGAGTTAGTTAGGTAGGAGGATGGGTCTTTTTGTTTGAGCACGGGAACATCTTGGACTCACGATTTACTTGCACGTTTGACTCCATAGACTACCTAGGTGTGGGATTATATCATGGACTCATCGCGTTTAGAGCAATATCACTACCTTAAACAGCTCCAACTTGACCAAGGTAAAAGCTATTTCCCCTCTCTCCCTTCCCTCCAAATGTGTGTAGGTTCTCGGTTGTAGAATCTGTTAATCACTATATTTAAATAATACCACTCGCGGAATATGCGCAAAATACCTGTGCTGCTTTGTTATAGATTCCTGCAAATTTCGCTGATCCCATACATTACCTGAAAGTGAGACTGATGCCAGCCAATTTATGTCAGCTGAGTATCAAACTCTCTAATCCACCCCTTTCGTACCCAGGACTCCGAAGATTCCTCTACACTCTCCATTAACGAACCGCACCATGACCCTGTCCTTAATTACTCTGTGAATGTCCTCCTGCTTAATATGGTAGGGGCTTCGGAATTGCATGAATTCTGGTATTAGCGGTATCTTCCAGACACTAGTATATAAGTCGCTCGTCATGGGTAGCATCATCAAAACCCATATATAGATCCTCACCTCTCATTAGTTGAAAGGGCCTAAAGATGCGTCTTTAGTGCTAGTATTCGACCTTTTTGCATGTGACTCGAATATACGACGACTCGAGTAGTCTCAGCAACCCACCATCCCTATTTAAACTTCGGTATAGAGCCCATGCCCTAGCGAGAGAGCGGATAGATCCTACCGGGGGCTATCGGCTAAACGGAGATGCGGTTATAGGAATATAGGAACTTAACTTACTAGCTTTGCTCTCCTCGCTGTCGGTTGCCTCATCTCCTTTTACTTTGTAGGAGTCTGTCGAAGCTTGTTCTAACTGTGTAGCAATGCTGTGGGATCTCGCTAGGACACTCATCTACTGTATCTTGCTATATAATAAGGGGGGAAAAGCACACTTAATTTTGTTCTCTATTTTGGTCTATTTTGGTTTATTAGCTTTGAAGTCTTGCAAATATTCAGTTACCCGAGTCTAAGTAACCACGTGATTCCCCCCCCCCCCCCCCCCCTTTTCCTTCAATATTAAGGCCTATGTCAATTTATCGGTAATTTCATTAGCATATCTTTTGAGTGGGTTTATTGCCAAGTCAGCGTTTACATGGTTCTAGAAGGGTAGTAAGTGCCCTGTGTGCTGTCTAACACTATGTACAACAAACAGCTTTGGGAAAGTACAAATTTAATTCTAATGCCGCCAGCTTTAACCACCCGAGATTCGAACGGCCAATCAAGAAGCGGTGAGCGCAGTTTGGGTGCCGGCGGTGTCCACCTTCGAAGCATAATGTGAAAAATCAACAACCCAACAAAATGGATCACCCGTAACACTCGTCACGATCAGCGCCTGCCAGGCATGAGCTTAATTTGGACCTCCTCAAATCTCGACGATATATGAAGGCGTTTCGAGTCCCCGATATGGCTTTCACATAAGCTCGCGAGCTGCGAGTCGGGAAAGGTCGAACCCGACCTCATAGCGGCCGTAATATCAGCTCCAGCGATAGTGAGCAAGTTAGTTTCAACTTCGGGTTTGGGTCTCGCGAGAGCTTGCGGTATAGATGGTAGAACATGCTATTCAATTCCAACGGCCGAGTCGCCCCGACTTGACTTTGGCTTCGGCAGCCCGTTTATGTAAATATGATTCTCAAAAGAATACAAGATAGCATCATACAGTGGACTTCTGAGCCCAACTTGTTCTGGTGGGTTGATCGCGAGAGGGGAATTTCCGTGACCAGGTTCATTCTGGTCAGCCCCAGAGGAAGGAGGCCCCGAGTCTTTTGGCTCTCACAGGTATATTCGACGGTTCGAAGTGGTTATTTGCCATGAATTGGGAAATTCATCCTGATGGAAGGCAGAACTCGAAATCCGATAACCCAATGTGCCAATGGGCATAGACCCTTTTTCCTCTTAAGGCTTGCTTAGTTCCGCTGGGCCTTGCCCAAGCTTACTAACCCCGAACACAGTGTCGTTATAGAGAGAAGTGCAAGAATACAAGGTCAAAAAAAGACTGGAATATGTAAAGTTCGCAGCAGTTATCATTTGATACAACAAAACGTAGGTATGCTAGAAGGGCAAAAAGGATAATGAGCTGGCAAAAGAGATCTCAACTGCTAACTCCGTATTGCGTTGTATACAAAGTATACGAAGTAAGACGAGGAGAAAGTGGGACTTATGTAAGCTAAGTCTAACCTGTTTAGGGTAGCCGTTTCTCGTGTTGACTCAGAACAGATCAAAGAAGTGGTTTTCGACTACTATCAAAAAACACCACAACCCAAAATATCTTCAGGAGATTGGTAACGGGTCACCAGGCCCGTAGAAGACAATTCAATCATCGCCACGCACACAGTCGAAAGCTCCACCATGGCCCGCTACACCACCGTGCGCGTCTGCGCCAGACCAAGTCGATCCGAGGTCGCAGTCAAGCCACCATGGGCAACAGTCTCCGTCGTTTAGATATTCCCATGAATTGCACCTTCAGCATCGCCATATTGGCCCGTCGCCTTCTACGCCGTATCATCTTCAAAATTCGTTCGCCTATTCTCCACCGACCTCGGAAACACTCTTCGTACCAGCATCTTTGAATGATGAAGCCGTGTCAACGTACACCCAGCCAGCAGTGACTGCAGATTCGCCCCAATACCAGGCCACTTCTGTAATTGACTACTGGCCTACCCTCCCGGAAACTACTACTTCTTTTAACAATGTCACATTCAACAATCCCGCACCACCATTGAACTTGCCACTAGCTCAAGTTAACTCAACATACGACACCTTGTTCGACGAATACAGCTGTTTATCAAATTTTACACAGAGTCAGTTTATCGATAAACGGTGCATTTCAACATTGTCTAATATTCCCCTAGGCCATTTCCCGCAATATGGACCAAGCCCCTCTAATCACGCAAACATCCCGTTTGAAGCTTCCCGCATATCCAACAGTCCGTCTCCTCAAGCCTTGACTCCCATGAGCAAACCTCCTCCAAGCTCCTCATCCCGTGTTGAGAAACGCACGAAGAACACTCTCGCTGCCCGGCGTTACCGCCAAAAACGCGTTGACCAGATAAATGACCTCGAAGTGGCCTTAAAGGACACCCAGATGGAGAGAGACGTTCTAAAAGTTCGAGTTGCGAGGTTGGAAGGCGAGGCGGAGGCCCTGAGGCAGATTTTGCGGAACCGTGATCGTGATCAATAGCTGATATGTGGGGTGTTAGCTAGGTAATAACATAGGAATGAGAGTGGTTTGGTGAGGGTGTTGCTGTTGGTTCAGACGATGTCGGTTGGATGATCATGAGCCTGCAAGCTCGAGGCGATCACATCGGCAAATTGTGTTTCTTCATGTGGAGTCTCAGGTGTGATTTCTGTGTGAGAAGCTTACCATGATGTGGATGACGTTCACTTTTTACTCTATTTATCGCCTTTCTTTGATTTACTACATCGCACGCTCATTATATTTATATTGTATTTAGATATGCCTTGAATCTCATCCCATTTCCATAGTCAATCACCAACGGTCATTATGAGTCGAATATACAGATACTCGCTGACCTGGCCCGCAATGAACACCACTACCCGATCAAGCGGATGGTACTTTCGAAACAGAAGGGTCGCAGCGCACAAATTGCTATACGACTGTAACTTGGCCGACTAAGTCGATTTCCAAGCAGACGGATGACCAAGATGCTCCCGAAACCACCAGTAATAGACAATATCACAGAATGACGAGCAATGAGCGAGTATGAGTCATTTCTCGTGACTTTGTCTCAAGATCACCTGACTTTGTATACAAACATGACCTTGTCTACAAGAGCGGTCTGGAACTTGAATTAAAGGCAGCGAGGATTCCTTGTTCCAACAGAAATTTGGGACTAGGTTGATGAATACCTCGTGGTCAGCGACCGCAAGCAATTACGGTAAGTTTGCAAATAGTTCAACGATCACTTTACCGCTTCGCTATTCTGCAATGTGATACTCGAGGAGTATGTCTACAGAAAAGTAGTCCCCACAGGCTGCTAGCAATTGCAAAGAACCATGGCCTCCGTTCTCCGGGTAAACAATTGGCCATTGTGGACGAACACCTCTGGAAATGGGTCCTGACTCCACGTCAATCGATGCTTACATACCTTACGTACATTACCTACCAAGGTACCTCCCTACCTAGGCACCTACTAGGTAGCTAGGTATGCTCTACAACACGGGACGTAATGCGTAACCAACTACCCGAGGTGAAAGTTATGGAATATATGGGCACCGAAGTTCCTGTATAGGAGAAGGGCTGAGTAGTATCAGTGTTAGAAAGTAATATAATTTGCTTTTCTGAAGGTCCTTGGCCTTTGTTATCATTCTGAACCCAATCAAGGGAGGAAATGGTTGATTTGAAAGTGATACAAGCGTCTCTGTCCTGAATCAGTGAAGCCTGGATGTATTGATCTCTTTGGCGGTGGATTTGTCGTATACGCGGCCAGCTCCAAAGCTCTACTTGTCGTGTCGATCATTTTAACACCAAAAGCGGCTCTTCAAACATTCATCCTGTCTCTTTATTCTCCGCTTGTGCTGCCCATCAAGCAGTTGCAGACCAAGGGCGGGCATTCCAGGATCCAGCACAGATGGACATTTGACCTACTTTAGAATCGAGCCTATGCCATAAGTGATTCTTTAATATGAGGCTCTCAGGTAACGGGCCCTTCTCCAACTAAGTTTAACAGCCGCCATTGGCATTGGAATATTCAGCCGTTCTTTCTTGTCAACTTTTGAATTTATTATAACCCAATTTAGCTAGCCGTGGATTTAGTTGGGAATCTGCCTCTTGGCTCGAAGTTGCACATATGCGTGTCTCCTATGAAACTCCAGGAAATAATCATACAACTCCGCATCCCCGGACTCCAATCTCAGTTCCAGCGCCCTCTCTCTCGTGATGAATCTACCTTGAGGTTCGGTTTTGTAACTACCCATATAGCCATGACGATAATATATCCGATTCGGACCCATCCATTCCACCAAAAAGTCAAACTGATACGTTTGGTTTTCGATATCTGGCTAAATCCCTATGCCAAACTCAAAGACAGCATCTGGATTTGGCGCGCTAAGTTTCACCTTCCCGTGGATATCTTGGTGGGTTCGGTACAATGGCTTACAAGTCAGACCGAGACATGTCGAGGAAATTTCCTCAATGTACTCGAATATTTGTAGGAGAATATCGGTGGGGAGTTTAGGCAGTCGCGCACTTAGCGTCAAGTTCCCTAGGACGCGTTAGATTTGTAAAATCTAAGGGGGAATTGGCTTACCAAAGTCGAGAGAATCTGGGGATAGTGTGTCGACTCGCAAGGCCGTCATGGAATGTCCCGCTTCGAGTGTCCGGTGCGAAGACATCTTGGCCCCCCCAAGAACACTTGTGTGACCCTCGTTGGGAACTTTGATACCAACTGGATATTCCTTCACATTGACTGATAGGTGTGGTCTCTCTGTGCCTCCCATATCGGAGACTCTGTGGCTGAAAGCTGGTCGAGCAGGTTGAAATCACATATATGATTAATCCGTTTTTGGAGCCCATTTTAGAGAACCACAGTTTTAGCTATAACATGTCCGCAAAGAATTCATTCACTCTTTCCTTCCCGTGCTCGTTCTACGATTCTGCCTTAGAATAAGCGAGTAAATAGGGGAGCGGTTATAGTCACGTGAGCCCCAAAGCCAGTAAATCTTGCACTCCTCAAATATTTTTCCAAGGCGCCCCTGTAAGTGAAGTCTACGCCGAGGAGATTTAATTATGAAATATTATATTTTGCCGCGTCACTGTCAGTTTATGCCTAACCCAGTGTACTTAGATCACTAAAACGTAGCTCAAAGCCAAACATAATTTTCGAGTTAGGACATGAACTGTACTAACCCTTATGCTTTATTGATATAGTACACCTGTATACAGGTTTATCTAAATCGAAGCCAACAATGTCCAAAGGTGCAATATATTTTCAAATAAGTCTTATCCTCTCATCCTCTATCACAGTTTCGTTCGATATTTCGACCTTGGCCGAAGCAACGTCGATATAAGAACGTTCCGTCGCAGCCAATTATATATCTTGAGGCGAAATCCTCGCCGCTGCATCGAAAAAGAGGTAGCCGAGTTGCCAAAAGTAGCTAGCCACGTCTTCTCATTAGTTGTTAACAGTGAGATAAAAAAAAAGGGGGCTTTAGAAATATCTACGATACAGCCCTTTTTCTCAGGCATTCCTTTTCAACCAGACAACCCTAGAAGGTTTAATACCACTTGTAATTGTGCCTGCTCATTCTACCGTTCAACTCTAGCCCGAATAATGTAAAGGGCTGCAAGGTCATTAAGCGCGGTTCTCAGTTAGCTACGATAGTTCGTTTACCCCTTTAATAGCTATCACTTTGAGGCTTTGAGAATTATACTGGAAGTAGAAAAAGAGCTCCCAATTGGCTTCTTAAAGCCGTTTACTTCACGGATTCCAAGAATGTTATATATACGACGAGGTCTCTTACAAAATTTCCAAATACTAAATTAATATTTGGATTCGCTGCCAAAGCGCGTACTCCCTTTTATAAATTATGCTGCCTGTCATTGATTTTCTCTACTATAATCCTATCCACACTATAGCTACGATATTCCTACTAGAATCAATATTTTGCGCTCTCTCACCACGGCCCCCGAGAGATAGCAGTGCGTTTCGCCTTCTCGTATGCACCCCATACCTGGGAATGCACGGATTCAACGCCAGCTAACCGTCTGACAAACTGGCACTTTTCCCAACAGAATACGAAGTCTCTGCTCTCCATCTACTCCCGAATAAAACCGAGCAAACAACACACCTTGTACACATCCACGGATCCAATCTTAGCCAACACGATAGGCCTAGTACATTTCTAGCGGAGGCGGTAACAGCGCCGATTTGTTAATTCTAAGCTAAGGGATTCAAAAGGGTGGAAGTAGGAGATGGTTTAGATAATAACGTCTGGCGGCAGTTTAGATAGCGGAGATGATATATCGGCGGCGTCTAGACGATGGGATTTTGAATAGTCCATTGCAGCCAACGAGACCAAGATTCCTGGCCACGGGTGCGGGAGCGCAATACCCGACAACAGAACTTCTTCTTCCTTTTGTGTCTCGAGTATTAAGATTGGGGATAGTGGGGGCACATGGCTAAATTTCCTTTGGATACCTTGTTATCGGGATGTGCAACATAGACCCTATTAATATGGGATTGCGGATGCTGAGAAAAATTGGCTACACTTCAAAACGACGAGGTTACAACTACAAGAGTGTTTTCTAGCCGCCCTTATAAGAGGATCTTCCAAATGCCCATAACAATATAGCTACACCTAGTGGATGTACACATCGGTAGCCGACGTCACGATGCACCTTGAGGATTGCTGACGTTGTTGGACTGACAGGTGCACAGATGAACCGACACACTAATTTACATGCCCTAGTAACGCCCGGGCTTCTAAAACGAGACGACTTACTAAACGCCGAAGACAATGTTCAAAGGGCATAGTACCACTCAGATTTAGTCCGTGCCTTGAATATGTTCGATAGTGTCCCAAATAATTAATAAACTTGTAGAAGATCTCCAGGAATGTATGCAATAATCCTCTGTGTTGTTGAATTTCTAGTGCAATACGGACAAAGCAGGTACCAAGGTATATAAACCGGTAGTAGTATACTTTGCAAGTACCATGTACAGAAAATACCCACAGGGCGCTTCCACTTCTCACCGGTTTAAACCATTGAATTCTCCCCTAAGCACCTTCAGCTCCGGGCTCACAGCTTCCCTCGATCTCAGCGTCAATACCGCTGCCTTCTGCGCAAGATCAATCAAAGGCTTATCTAGCCTCGCTCCACTTGCCAACCCCGCAATAATAACACCCAAAAATGTATCACCCACACCGTTAACACTAACCACATCCTGCACTTGCTCAACAGCAGGGAAAAGTCGCATATACACCCCTCCAATTTCCGCACTCCCATTGGCGTTCCGACTGAGGATATATGGTGCAGTATTAGGATCTTTCAACCGCTTATCACCAGGTTTGAGGAGCTCTGTCATCAGCACACCTTCGGGGCCTAATTTCGTGAGTATTATGGGGATGAAAGGTAAAAGCTGGATAGTTTGTAGCGGTATGCCTTCATCAGTCATTTTCTTATTCGTTAGCGCAACAAAGCGCTCGCGAGCACCGGAACTAGGAATCCCGAAGGAATCAATCGCTTTCCACCATTCGTCGGATTCGAAGTATTCGTGTTGCTTGGCAGATGCGTGCATTGCGGCGAGTTCGAATTGATTTGGTGTGGCGAGGTCTACAACGTTATGGGGGAATGGGTGGATGCTTATTCCATCGCCGGTAGAGGTGGTGGGCTGGAACAGCTTGATGGATTTGGGTACTGAGACTGGCTCAAAGGCTATTCTGGCATTGGAGCGGGATCCTTTTAGGGAATCCAAGAGATATTTGATCGAAGAAGGGCTCCAGTTCGCGTCTATGACCGACCACTTGGATCCTTTTGATGTTTGCTGAATCCATCCAGGGAGCATGGTTTGGCGGATTTGGCACGTGTCAAATATGCTCATATCGGCCATTGCAAGGATCAAGTCCTTTTTTCCGTCATTCATTGCCACATATCTAGCTGTGCAATGTGTGGGGTGCTGGTCCTTGGGGTGCTGGTCCTTAGGGCTTATAGAACGAGTGATACTTCTTATGCCTTGTGTATCGAGACCCTTAATCCGTAGTTGGGTAACGACCTCATCCCCGGTCCTAAAACAATATCAGCATGTGCACACTATTTATGGAAAGGGAGGCCCAGGTTTACCTATCTGTAGCAACCAGGCTACATAACCTCACAGTTAACTCGCCCGCTACGAGGTGAGCTGCAAGGGTCACATTGTGACCAACCCCTCCTACGGTTTCGGCAATGGTGCCAATATTTGACGTTTTCATGTGAGGCGCGGCATCAGTCATTGGGCCGGTGGGAACGGATGTCGATTCGTCGATGGTGTTAACAGCACGAGGGATGTAGTCGCAAGAAATATCCATGGCGATGGACCCAAAGACAATGATATCGGCGTTAGGCATGTGCTGATTGATTGCTTCGCCTTGGGTTATTTCGTTACTGTCCTAAATAAAGCGTAAATGGTCAGCGCTTAAGATTTGGCAAGCTCCGAGGTGGGTCTAAGTTGCGACGTTGTAGTGCGTTAATTCACACCTGACCTAAGAGTTCGAGTTCCACATACAGTCTTTATCTTGGAGGGCATCTTCGCTATCTTGGAGGGCGTCTGCTTGATATTAGATGGCGTCTGTCTACTTTGAAAATTAGACACAGCTGGGTTGGTGGTTTCGCCTTTCAATCTAGCGAGCTCTACAGCAACATATGTGGCCATAGTCACATTTGAATGTATCAATGCCCTGTTAGCCACAACGCTGTTGCCCTTTGTAAGTTCCTTAATACGAGAAAGAATGAACGGAGTATTCAAGTGTCCATGATGTCCTTGCTCGGTAGCCTCTTTGACAGCCTTGTCTATGGCTATGTCAATCTCGGTTTTTGGTATCGAGAATTCTTCGGGAAGGGGATTTGCAAACAACATCCCCGATCGATTATTCATGAGTTCTCCGGAGACTATGACAATTAGCACTAAAACTCCACGGGGAAATAGAATTCTAACAAATCATTGCTGCAGCTTCTGCTGCGTTTTGCACAACTAGTGGACTCCTAATGCCACTGTCACGACTGTAGAAGGAAGGGAGATCAATGTCCCCTCTGCGGCCATCTGCAAAGGTGCAGACTGGGACTCCTTGGGTCTCTAGGTACTCCAGGGTCCGGGATAGGTCGAGGAAACTTTTGCAGCCGCTACTTACGACAGCGACAGGTGTACGCCCAAGTTCAGTGAGATCAGCAGAAATATCCAAAGTATCTTGACCACCACGGTGAACGCCTCCCAGCCCACCAGTTCCAAAGACTTTAATGCCGGCTTCCATTGCTATCATCATGGTGCCTGCTACGGTGGTACCCCCATTCAGTTTATGTCCAGCAAGGGCCTATAAAATCGATTAGAATTACTAACAAAATGAAGCATGCATCAAAAACGGAGCCACAATATAAGGCCGTGTGGATGTAAATGGAAGCTACTCACCATACCCGTTATATATGGAGTATCTCTCCTTGAAACCTTCATGGTCTCTGGGTTGCCCGCGGCCGAGGCCAGACGAGTAATCTCCTCTGTGTCGAGCCCTACGCGGATCACACCGTCGAGAACACCAATAGTGGCCGGGATACCGCCATTTTTCCGAACTATTGCCTCAAGCTCCAAGGCAAGTGCAACATTATCCGGGTACGGAAAGCCATGCGTGTAAATCGTCGTCTCCAACGCCACCACAGGTTGATTAGAGGCAACAGCGGCTCTAACCTCCTCTGAGATCCGGAAAACCTTGTGCCGATTAATGCGCCACTCTGTTTTCCGATGTTGACTTATACCCTGAGGGGCGCCGCGCACTTTTGAAATCTTCCTGGTATCTTCATCTTTTGCGCTGCCCGAAGAGTGATTTTCAGAGGGCGATTTGCGGAATCGATCTAGGAACGAAGAAAATCCCCGCGCCTGGCATGGGAGCCGCTTGAGCTGCCGTGCACCGTAAGGGAGCTGTTTGGGGAGAGCAACGCGAATCATAGCTGCCAGCACCCGCAATGAAATCCCTGTACGGTGGTAGTTTGTGGTGGGGGGGGTTAAAGTTAAGGGGCTGATTGTATCATTGGGATGACTAGACTAGAAGACTCGAGTACCGGAGACGCTCATGTTCGCAGGAAGTGGTGGTGCGAACTGGGGGATTTCTGGGTAAATAGTACATGCCCCGTAAGAATGAGCGGGGCGCTGATCTGATCAGTGTGGAATCTGTGTGTACAGAGTACTTCGTCGATGTTGAGGATTATCACGCACTAGGACTACCGCTGTATGAGCGCTGCGGGAGCGCTCCGTGAGTGGTTGTTTGCAAAGTCAAAAGCCATGGTGGGAGCCTGAGGCACTAGATCCTCTCGACGTCTCTGCTCCGTATTGCGGCTTTGTTGCTGCTGCTTGGCATCACGACCACTCTCTCTACCTGCGACACTTCCCACTTCTCAACCAATCCAAGTCTGGCACGAAGTTTGGACGCAGTGCGATATACATCCTTCGTAAGTACTCTCAGATCGAACCGATCAACCTGGGCACACGACAGTACGTACCGTGGTAGGTATGGAGCCCAGCGTGGCCCAAAGCGGATGCGCATTAATAGCTTCTACGCAACGACACAGTTCCGAGACGCGAAGTCAATCTCCCTGCTCATCTCATATATCGCGCTATTATACTGGCGTGCCTTGTTTTCGCAACTTCATCTACATGTCACTCCTTCGTCCCTCGTTTTTCCGTTTCCATTCTTTTAACCCCAATTTATCCCCGCCATGATGGTGCAACTGTTTCCATCCAGTGTTGCTCTTGTCCTGCTGCTGCAGTATGCGAATGCCCAGGCGATTGTTAATGGCCAGATTTACACGCCTGGCATTGCGCTGGTAGATGCGCCGCAGCCAAATACGCCGCTGGGCGGTGGTGAGTTTCGCTTTTGCTGACCTTGCTGAGGTTATATATCCTCTGCTAACATTGGAAGACCATTTGCAAGTAGCACTCGATGTCACCTCAAATGGGCAGCTCCAACTTCCGCCCTACCCCAAGGACCCGGTCTCCGCAATTCACAACATCACTATTTTCCTCTCCAGTTACGCGACCGGCAAGAATTTCACCATTTCGAATGGCACTGCTGGTGCAGGAAATGCGAGCCTCGGGGAGATAATGCAGCAAGAACCAGGCAGCACAGTAAAGCATGTCAACTGGGTGTGGCCGGATTGCTTGGCCGGAGACGGTGATCCCAAAGATCCCAACAGCGCGAGAGGGGCCTATAATGTGTGTTTCGATATTTAATCCACGATGACACGGGGGCTAACGATGGCAGATATCGATACGCCAGAATTTTCGAATGAACGGCACCAGTATGTACACCATTTTCGACCTCCCCATCCGCGTCACAAACAGTATCCCCGTCGCGCCAAACCGGCCTCCGTGTGACATGTTGAACAACCCGATGCTCGATCAAGCCACATTGAACGCGTCGGCGAGTTGGTTCACTCGGATAGCTGGCACGGCGATTGAAACCAAGGGAACTGGAACAGGTATCGGCGGTCAAAAGCCACAAGCCCAGCCGAAGGATGGGCTCGGCGGGGCGGGTTCCTTGGATTGGTGTTCAGGGCTTCATAGTCTGTGGATGGTGGTATTTGTTTTTATGTTTCCGTTCTAATGTGGGGAGTATCGCCTGAGAGTAGTTTTTATTAGTAGTATAGAGTGCCCACTGTAGTATTACATCCAGTACCTAGAGGTATTAGGGACGGGGACCCGTGTCCTGCGCCATCGTATTCTGTTTTGGCCAGCAAGCACGCAGAATAGGTATACTTGGCACACGTACATACGGTACCTACATACGATGTAACCGAATAATGGTATTATTTGCTCTACGCAGAGCCTTTGTGTGTGTTTAGATCCAAGATCATCCTCATCTTCATGTCGTATCTACCCCAGATATACCCCAGATATGCCCCATAAATACCCCATATCTAATACGCCGTAAGCACCGTGCCTCCGTACTCGTACTGGAATATATAATAGTAAGAAGGTACGTGCAATTGGCCAATGGTTGGCTGGGGCTTTGGACTACATGTAGCCGCAACCCCGCGTTTCGTATCACTTATCACCTCGGTCCCCAGCTGCCAACCACAAACCAGATGAAAACATGAAGTGTTGATTGATTGCGCTTTTTAACTTTAAGGAAGCCTTAACTGGCTTTGTACTATAGCAGTCCGCAAAGAGGGTCCATCTAAGTGGGCTATTGCTTCGTACACAGGTACCTACCTACCTGTCACCCGATTGCACGTCTCCCGCTCCATTGCTATATACCACGACGCCCACTCACATCTACAACAGACGTACCAAACGCGTCGTTGGCTTCGTTCTTTTTCTCCATCCATATACCATTTACTCCTAACCTCACTCACTCGAAATGCCGATGCACAACGGCTGGCTGCCGCGCGAGGGTAACTTACCACCCATCTCCTCCCTTTCCGTTTCCCCCGTATATAGCATTTATACTTATCGATACTAACAATACGAATCGTCAGGTCTCACCGCTGATCCCGTTGGCCGCTTCATCAAGAAAACAGCGCTCAATCCAGCCGTCACGTTGGCCATCCTGCTCCTCGCTCGGTACACTAAGAAAGGTTCTGACCTCTCCATCCTACACGAGACCGCTATCTCGCGCGTCCGTAAGCTATTCTACTTCGGCCTTATCCGCTGGGCATCCGCATACCTCGATGCTGGTGTGTTGGATAACTGGACAAAGGATAACTATGATTGGAATAAGGAAATTGTGCTGGTTACTGGAGGAGCGGGAGGTATTGGTGGAAATGTTGTTCAGTTATTATCGGAAAGGGGGATTCAGGTGGTTGTGTTAGATGTGATCCCTATGACCTTCGAAACCGGTATGAGGATTCCGATCCCACCCCTTCTCGCACCCTGAAAGGAAGCTAATATATCTTATCATAGCATCTAATGTCTACTATTACAAATGCGACATCACCTCCACCTCCACCATCGCCACTGTGGCGGCGGAAATACGGAAAGACGTCGGCGAGCCCACCATCCTAATCAATAATGCGGGTGTAGCCCGCGGAAAGAACATCCTCGAGGCCACCGAGAAAGATGTCCGCTTCACCTTCGAAGTCAACACACTAGCCCACTACTGGATTACCAAAGAATTCCTCCCCTCAATGGTAAAGAATAACCACGGCATGGTCGTAACAGTCGCATCACTCGCTGCTTTCATCACGGTACCTAGCATGGTTGATTACGCTTCTTCCAAAGCAGCAGCGCAATCTTTCCACGAGGGCCTTACCGCAGAGTTAAAAACGAGATATAATGCGCCAAAAGTCCGAACGGTTATTATCAATCAAGGTTACACCAAAACCCCGCTGTTTGAGGGGTATAATAATGATTCGCCCTTCCTCGTGCCGTCACTGCAACCCGAGACAGTGGCTGAAGCCATCGTGAAGAAAGTGTTGACCGGGCATAGTGGTCAGGTTATTATTCCAGGATTCGGGGCGACGTTGACATTCTTGAGGGGGTTTCCACATTGGTATCAGAATCGACTGAGGAGTAAGGGGAAGGATATTATGACGAATTGGAAAGGGAGACAGGTTATTGATGTGGATAGGTGGACGGCGGCTGGAGAGAAAGGGGAGGCCGGTGGGGAGGCTACCGAGTAAGTCGCTCCTAGTTTAATTGCCTAACTCGGGTAAGATATTAATAGTTTTTCTGCAGGTCCGCAGTTTTGGTGCAGCCAGGTAGCGAGTGAACGAGCGAAACTCCTACGTGGAACTTGTTAAGGGGTCGCGATTGGCAACTTTCCATAGTGTGGGACATATATATTGTCAGTCCATATGAATTCCGGTCATCATATCATATCTCGCGTTTATGCTTTCGACCTGGAATAGGAGTTCACATTTCTAAACCAATATTCTGATTTCTAATCGCGCTCGCCTTGGTTATCATTATAGCAGTCGTTAATCGTAGGTATAGTCAAAACAATGAAGGGTCACTTGTTATCTATGATAATAAATACCTTGGGCCTTGGCAACTTGTTCCGGGGGGGGCGAGGTATGAAAAGAAAGAATCAGGCGAGGAACACTGTTTAATATCAATTCGAAAGCATGCCTTTGTGATACGAAATGTTTTGGTGCCGAGAATAACGTGATGGCTCCGTCGTTCTTCGCCAGGGTAATGTATTTCTGACCGGATAATTCTGCATGGTTTTGCTAATCAAGATCTCTAATTTAACGGCTATTATAAGGCGATGAGGGGAGGGCGCTAGCATTAAAGGCAAGTGTAGCCAGTTGAATGATTAATGACCGCCAACATTCATTATTCATATCCGGCGCCCCCTTCCTTTGGCCTTCGGACAATCATCCCTTGCCGCCCGACGCAATATTAGATCAGAAATGTCCTCAGAAACAAGCCTCTTCCCTGGAGCCCTTATTTCCCCAAAGATCCAAGAAGTGCTTCCTAAAGGCTACATCTGCCGAGCACTCCAGCGATCTGATTTCAGACACGGTCAGCTAGATGTTCTAGGGGGTCTTACACATGTTGGTGAGATTACAGAGGATCAATGGACTGAGAGGTATGATGCAATGAACAAATGCAACAATACATACTTTGTACTGGTGATTGTAGATACAAATAGGGATGCTGAAAAGATGATTGTTGGGACTGGTACACTGATTGTAGAGCAGAAATTGTGAGTACGATCTGTATGCCATGCGTGTAGCAACAAGCATCGGCCGCTACTTAAGAAACTAGTAAGATGTATCTGCTAATACATTTACGCTAGCTTATATAATCTAGGAATGCAAGGGCACATTGAAGATGTTGCAGTTGCGGCGGATCAGCAGGGAAAGAAGTTGGGGGTGTTGCTCATTGAAGCGCTAGGTCATATTGCAGAACACGTGGGGTGCTACAAGGCATGCATTTCTCTTCTCGTAACAACCAAATATCAGATACTAATGGAAGGCTAGACCATTCTTGACTGCCATCCGGAGAGGGAGGGTTTCTACTTGAAGTGTGGATACGAGAAAAGAGGCTTAGAAATGCACCGCTATCATGATCCTGTGGCTCAAAAGTACAGTGTTTAGTAGTTGAGGGAAGCCAACTTCTGCAGGGTCATAAAAGCTTCTAGTAGCCTCCGTGGGCTGCTATGATGCTTATCTCGAGTGTTTGCGGCCATGGCTGGATAAATCCTAAGACATTGAAGAGACCAAATTAAAGTCTTTAATGTTCATCACTCACATGAGAAAAGTTTGATTGTCACTCTCCTCAATTAATTATGGTTTTAGCTATCAATCTCGGAGAAAACGGTAGAGAAATTTTGGAGCAAGGGCGACATAATATTGAATAAGTGTTATCAATGCATGTTGAGTAGCGTTTCGCCAACGGCCCCCCTGTTAGACCAAATCACTGAAAAAAGCACATAGACGCATTGGCCTGGACTTGCCACAGCCGCAACACCTTAGCCTCATGCGGCATGACTTCAGTCGTATATGGGACATCATAAGTGCCCTCTTTGTGTTTCCACAGGTCGCGCAACCGGTACTGGTCCCATGGCATAGTGAGATCACGACGCGGGCTTATACTCATCTCAGCTGTGAAACTACCACGGTTAAGCAGTGCAACCGCATAACTACCATCCAACATCTCTTTGGCGTAGACTTGCAGGTCGCCACCAGCCTCCTCTCCCACACCCACAGTCTCGGCGGCATTGCCAAGAGGATCTTGGCTAACTTCTATAACTTCCTTATTCGTAAGGGTCTGGAGCGAGTAGGTATCCAGCGTACGGACATCCGAACCGATTAGCAATGGTGAAGCTACCATGGCCCACATGCTAAAATGTGTGCGGTACTCGATGTTAGAGGCTCCTGTGCCAACCAGCTGACTACTATTGCCGTTTAGGCCGACAATAAGCATATCATAATCATTCCAATGACCTGGGCCAGAATATTTCACGAGCTCGTTGCCACGATCTAACATGTCAAGCACATCGAAGTAGTACTTCTCGCGATTCCCAGGGTAGTTGAATTCGTCTGAGATATCTTGGCCAATACGCCATTGATTAGCACCCTCGTCCGCTGCCCATTCCCATATATCGGCCCAGCCACAGTGGCAAGCGTGGTAAACAATAGGATGTGACTGGGCGAGTAAAGCTTTTGACATCTTCAATACAATTTTCTGTACCTCGGACTTAGGGGCGTGCTCGTGCGAGCAACAGCTATCGTATTTCAAGTGATCAATGCCCCAGGATGCAAACATAGCCGCATCCTCATCTTCATGGCCCTCGCTGCCGGTGTAGCCAGCACATGTCGACTGGCCGGGGCCAGAATAAATCCCCAGCTTAAATCCATGTGCGTGGGCGAAATCGGCGAGCGCCTTGATGCCGCTTGGGAACTTGACTGGGTCTGCTTCAAGTGGGTTGGCAGAACGGTTGCCCTTATAGCGCTGCCAACCGTCGTCTAGGTTAACGAAGACATAACCAGCATCCTTGAGGCCATTCGATGCCATTGTCTGAATGGTATCTCTTATGAGTATTTCGTCGATTTGATCGCCGAACTGATTCCAGCTGCTCCACCCCATAGGCGGTGTTAATGCGAGTCCATTACTCAGGTGCGGGTTGGTTGGCAACGCCGGCCCCGTAGGGCATTCGTTGGGGGTAGGCGACGTTATTGTTGGTGAACTGGCTGATGATGATGAGGTGTTCCAGCTTAGTCCCAGTGCAGTGGTAAGGAAGCCGACGAGCGGAAGTCTTTGGAAGTACATAGGCAGTTAATTTTTTGACTTGCAAAAATAAAGGATTCGGGATAACGACAGTTTCTGTAATTCGGGTTAATATATATACCAGTGATAGTCAAAATCTATCATACCTTAAATATAATATGCTTTTCCACATGAGGGTGTCGCACAACCTGTGAAAATATTCGCAAACAATGAGAGGGGAAAATTAGATGCCAAAACTGAAGGACGCATACAAGTATTCGGAAATAATCCCCCCGCTGATCCTAGCATTGGTTTGTTATATGACGTTGCATATGGTAGCAATAAGACACGGTAAATACCCGTCTTCCCCACAGTTTTGTGCAACAGTCAAGCATTCAACCTCCATTTAACAATCTTGTGGCGTGGGCAATAAATGTCACCTAGAAAATAGCAGCGGTGGGTCAGATATTTGCATGCATTGCTACGTCCCGTGTTGTGTCATTACCGTTTGTTCAATAGCTGATAAAAATGGTCAATTAGGGGCTACCTGAAATATGTACTTGTATACAGTATACACGGTGAATCTAGATACATACAACCGGCAGGGCACGTTTGTCTGCCACTGATTGATTCATAGAAAACTTTAAACGGACTTTTCTATAGTATTAGTTACTCAGTGACAAGTATGGTATCTAGCGTCATATCTTGGTACCAAAGCTTCTTCTGGTTTGTTGTATTAGCATGTCAATGGTGGGCTTTTGACGAGAGATTTTAACCTTTAGGCTATAAAGGAACCTTGAGTGGTTCACATATGTATATGCAAGAATAAATGGGCTCACCTGCCAAATTAAGATTCGATTACAATCTCGGTAATTCAACGGCACTTGCCCAACGTGCTACATGTTGTGGCAAAAGTCACAGATCGGTAATCTTCTCCGTAATAAGGTTATCGCATATATCCTATCCATTTCTGCCCCGGGATTTCAGCGATAGCATGAGGCATGATATGCAGTCATAGACTCATATGGTACGCACCAGAAAAATGGATTCGGCTAGGTTCTCTCCACAGCTCTCACTTAACGCGACCTAACTTCATACCACACAACGCATCTCGTCTTTGATCAAGAACGATCTAAAATGGGGAAACTCGAACAACATGCCGACTTCGCGAGCCCTATCGATAATGTTTCTGTCAACAATGTCTCTGTTAAAGAAATCGGAAATGACGCTCGTCTTGCTACTGAGATAGAGCATCAAATGACGTTTATGGAAGGCTTGAGACTGTATCCTGCCAGTATCGGATGGTCAGCGTTTTTCTCTCTAGGAGTTATCATGACTGCATTTGATCCTCAATTACTTGGAAGTTTGTATGCTACGCCCGCCTTTCAAAAGGATTTCGGATACCTCTTTGAAGGCTCTTATATTATTAGTGCTCCATGGCAGACAGGCCTAGGAATGGGAAATCCGATCGGGCAGGTGATTGGAGCTCTTGCTGCAGGTTATCCCATGGAGTGGTATGGTCGTAAATGGGTATGTCGCATTCAATTTATCAAAGTCATTCAAACTGATCGTTCCAGACATTCGCCACTTGTGTTGTTGCCACCGCAGCTTTCATCTTTATGCAATTCTTTGCTCGATCATTAGAGGTCTTAATAGCCGGCGAACTCATCGGTGGCCTTATCCTCGGTACATATACAACCATCGCTCCAACTTATGCTTCTGAAGTTTGTCCTATTGCTCTCCGCGGTCACCTCACCGCTTATATCAACCTCTGTTTTGTAATGGGTCAACTACTTGCCAATGGGGTTATTGCGGGATCGTCTCAGCTGGATAATCACTGGGCTTATAGTACACCATTTGCCATCCAGTGGCTTTGGCCACTCATCATCTTGATTGGCATACCATTTGCCCCAGAATCGCCGTGGTGGCTTGTGAGGAATAATAGGCTTGAGGAGGCAGAAAAGTCGCTAAATCGCCTTTCATCTCATAAGGTTGACAATAAGCTAGTCTTAGCCATGATGATCGAGACCGATAGGCTAGAACTTGAGATGGAGACCGGAACTACATATTGGGACGTCTTCAACAAGGTTAACAGACGTCGGACAGAAATTGCTGTTGCTGTTTTCACTACTCAGGTTTTTAGCGGGATTTATTTAGTTGGTTACGCTGCGTACTTTTTCCAGCGTAAGTCTATAGAACTCCCTGCCATTTATCTTAAACATACTCACGATTTCAGTGGCCGGTCTTGATGGTGCAAAAGCATTCAACATGAGCGTTGGGTATCTTGCTTTGGGCTTCGTGGGAACATGTTTATCATGGATATTGATATCCAAATTCGGTCGCCGGAGGATCTATAACATTGGCCTTGCTGTTCTCACGGTCATTATGTTTATAATAGGTATTCTTGATTGTGCCCCAAATTACGAGAATCGTCCTGCAATAATCTGGGCGCAATCGGCACTGATGGTACGTTGTCAGCCTTCGAGCATGGTTGCAACTATATTACATAAACTATGGTTCTCGTTACTGATGGATATTGCAGATCATCTGGAACGGCGTATTCGACATCTCAATTGGCCCTGTCTGCTACGTAATTTTCTGCGAGGTGTCAGCTACCAAAGTCCGCACTAAGACTATCGCAGTTGCGACAGCTGCACAAGCACTTGTTGGTATTGTAATGACTGTTGCAATTCCATATATGATTAACCCAGATCAAGCGAACATGAGAGGAAAAATGGGATTCTTCTTCGGTAAGCACCTTTCTGTTTAGGTTCTTCTGTCAACCCCTCACCACACTGTATATGAGAAAATGTTAATGGAGTCGAATAAAAAGGTGGACTATCGGTGATATGCCTAGTATGGTGTTGGTTGAGGGTTCCGGAGACAAAGGGGAGGACATATGAGGAGTTGGATTTAATGTTTGCAAGGGGAGTTAAGACAAGGGAGTTTAAGAATTATAGGATTAGTTGAGTTATTTTTAGTGTCACCTTAGATGCAGTTCTGCAACATACCTAGGTACTCTATTGAATCGCATGGATTTGTCACCCCTCGCAGAGGATTCCAGAATGGCTGAATCTAGGAGCTAAGATATGTAGCACTGGAATATCCTATCTGATGGATACGATTAAGAAACCAGGACTCTTCGCTAAAGTACATTGAATGCATAAATGTTCAGAGCACAAGACAGCACACGTTGCAGAATATAACGGCCGGTTACAGGGTCATGAGGCAAGCAAAAGAGGGTCTCTAGGGTACTCCAGTGGCGAGATCGACTTAGATGAGTGCTCCCCAGTGTCCCCACCCGGGGCTCACGAGTTCGCTCAGGCCCGCTATTGATGAATACTAACAGAAAATGAACGAAGAAAGTCTCTTTTAACGGGTCCCCTATTCATTGCCCGAAAATCGTCACTTTGAGCCACGTCGAGCCTATAAGTTTTTACTAAGAGCTTCGTATGAAGTGCTAAATACTCTTTGCCAAATTGTTTACAAAGGGGACTTCACTGTTGCTATGCTTTTATAGTTGTAGTAATTGTGGTACTTTGAACGTAAGTTGGGTTTTGTAGTAGGAAGATATACAAAGCCAGGAACTCGCGCTACCGACCATCTGATTGGCACTCGTCAAAAATGAGATGGTACTGTACTTCATGGGACTCGGTCGGAGTTTGCGGATTTACGTGAAACAGCACGGGTTATTTATCACCGGCGGCCGATATCTTCCCAAGTTCCCAAGAATACACTAGAAACATAGCTTCGTCGGCATAACATTTATACCTTAAAATATAATTCTCGCCGGTGTATCAATCACTCCAGAGGGGATGCAAGATCTCAACTGAACTTTTAGTCCTTAATTCCTGCGTCAAAAAATATGTCCGGAATCACTTGTCCAGACTGTCTTACCGGTTCAGTCAAGCGCGAAATTCCAACTGGTACTGTAACGGCAATTCATGGCTTGCCAGCATATATAGCACGGCCAGAGGGGCCACCCAAAGGGCTAATCGTGATAATTCCAGATGCTTTCGGATGGGAGCTCCCGAATAACCGTTTGCTCGCTGATATATACGCCAAAGAGGGTGGATTCCTGGTCTACCTACCCGATTTCATGAATGGTGAGATGGTGACAGTCAAGATCTGGAGAATTAATGATAATGATTCTTCTTTCAGGCCACATACCCTCAGCAGCGGCTATGCACGCCATGGAGTCATTGCTTACTCCATCGCCATCAATCTTCACCACCATCTTCTACAAACCTGTGTGGCTAGTCAAAGTCTTCGTCGCAATAGTTCCATTTCTTTTAACCAACAAAGAATCGGCCATCAAGCCCAAAATCTTCAAATTTCACGAAGCCTTGCGAAATGATCCCGAGACAAGCAAATTGAAGCTTGGATCTGCTGGCTTCTGCTGGGGGGGCAAGTACACAATTTTGCTCTCCCAGACGGAGGACCTGGTCGATGCGGGATTCACGGCTCATCCGAGCAAGATGAAGTTTCCTAACGATTGGGATAAAGTCCAGAAGCCACTCGCTATTGCGATAGGGGATGTCGACCTGGGAATTAATCTTAAAATGGTGAAGGATATCAAGAAATTGCTCGAGGATATGAAGCCAAAAGAGCAGAATCAGGTCGTGATTTATCCTAGAGCAAGGCACGGGTTTGCGGTCAGGGCAAATCCGGAGGAGGAGGATCAGGTTAAGAGCGCCGTAGAGGCAAAAGATCAGGCTTTGGCTTGGTTTTGGCGGTGGCTTGCGAGGGGAGAAGAGTAGGAAAGCATTTTTGGCTGCCAGCATAGTGGTTTCACGTTGTGTTGTTTGTTTCGTTGCCCTGTTGGGCGAGTCTCCCATTGTAGTAATGATCATGAATCAATTAAGGATGCTCTACAACCATGCTGGGTTATCAAATTAAGGAAGTGCGAAAGAAAACGAGCGGGAGAGATAGACTATTAGTTGTATCATTGTCACCGTCGTTGTCGCTGAAGCACTACCGAAATTGCAGCTTGTGGCGCATGGGCAACACGTGACTTGACTTGTCGCTTCTCCGGATCGGCCCGTGAAAACAAGCTTTGGATTATCTGGGCATCAAAACATCGCCAAGATCGCAACATCACAGTATCTAAACAATTGTCGTAAAGGCAATCCAGTTGTTCAAGCATATCTCACCGGATAGACTGTCTTATAGCGCCATGCACCACCCGCGTCACAGTAAAGCATCTAGTTCGCGTCGCAACGGATCTTGTCATCCGTCTGGCCCCGCGGACTCTGACTATGAGTAGTTCCGATCGGCCGGCTTTAAGGAGTCCACCGTCTTTCAGAGCATCCACCAGCAGGGCTCGACCATAGCTATATCTTTAAGGCTCGATGATCCTCTACGATGGGTTCTTGTCTATACAAATACAAGCTTACGATTAGGCTTGACATATCGCTTCAACTCTGGTCAAGGCTTCAGAGGAATCTCATTCGGAAAAATACGTATTTACCATGCATGATTCGGATAACGCCCAAAGACCCAATGCCTACATCGACGGTATTGTCCCTCCCGCTGAAGGACCTATGACAGATGAGAAACCGAAACAACGAGTTGAATCCGCAGCTCCTCAGCAGAACGCGACGGCCAATCTTGAGCATGGACTTGGTGGAGAGCAACCACCAGAGCAGCCAGTGCAAATAGGAGTTTCGGCAGGCGACGAATACAGTGTATTAACGACAACTCAAAAGAAATGTGTGGTTCTCACAGCATCTTTAGCTTCGGTATTCTCGCCCATGGCTACTTCCATCTATTGTGAGTAACCATGTGGATGTAATCAAGAACCCCACCCGGAAACTAACCTTAATAGACCCATCGCTAGATACGATTGCAAAGGATCTGAACGTGTCAAATGCCAAAATTAATATCACTATCACTCTTTTTCTGGTAAGCTGAAACTTGTTCTGGAATCTATATTGCTAAGTGCTAAGCCGAGTCTTGCAGGTCATCCAAGGAATAGCACCGTCTTTTGTTGCAGATCTCGCCGATAAGACGGGCCGAAGGCCTATGTACATAGTATGCTATATCATTTTTACGGCTGCCAACATAGGCCTAGCCCTACAGAACAGCTATGTTCCACTCCTCATCTTGAGAATGATTCAGAGCTCAGGTTCGTCTGGGACGGTGGCTCTGGCAAACGGAGTCGTTGGAGACATTATCACCTCAGCAGAACGTGGAACTTACATCGCCTTTGCTTCCGTCGGTGGAATTCTGGCTCCGACGATAGCTCCAGTCATAGGTGGACTACTTGGACAGTATGCTGGGTGGCATTTTATTTTCTGGTTCCTGGTCATATTTTCCGCGGCTGTTTTTATCCCGTTGATTCTGTTCCTACCGGAGACGTGCCGGAACGTTGTTGATAACGGCACGATTCCAGCGCCGCTATTGTCGAGAAATATCACAGATACCATACGACACAGGAGGAGAAATAAAGCCGGGCTTACTTTCAACGAAGCTAAGAATGCGGAGCTGAGCAAGAATTATCGATGGCGTGCTCCAAATCCGCTCTCAACGCTGAAGGTGATACTGGACCCTGAGAGTGCTTGCATTCTTGTAACCACCGGGCTCGGGCTTGGATGTTTTTATGCCGTCAGGTAGGTACTAACTACAACAAAGGATAGAGCAGGTGCTAACTACCAATAGTACGGGCGCATCTGATGTTTTTACGAAGGTCTACGGGTTCAACCAGCTCAAGATATCCCTTATGTTCGTCCCCGTTGGCATCGGTAGTCTTATCTCAGTATTCACAACTGGGAAAATTGTAGATTGGAATTACCGACGGCACGCAAAGAAACTAGGAATCCCAGTTGTCAAGAATAGGCGGCAAGATCTCACCAACTTTCCCATTGAAAAAGCTCGTCTACAGATCGCATTCCCCTTCGCCTTCATCGCGGGCGCATTCGTGATCGCATATGGCTGGATCATGGCTCAGAAGCTAACCTTAGCCGCACCGATCATCGCGCTCTTCCTTACCGGCTACTCACTTACTTCCTCCTTCCAAGTACTGAATATCCTGATGGTTGATATTCACCCCAGCAAACCATCTGTTGCTACTGCTGCCAACAACTTTGTGCGCTGCGAAATTGGAGCTGTATTTTCAGCGATCATACTTCCACTTACTGATGCGGTGGGAATTGGGTGGGCTTATACCATCCTTGCATTAATATTCATGGTGTTTAACCCAGTACTTCTGGTTATCATGCGTCAAGGGCCGAAATGGAGGAAAGAGAGGAAAGAAAAAGAGGATAGAGCTAGCGCTGCGAAAAAGGATAAGGCTGATAGACTTGGGGAACGAAGGGCGTAATGAGTATTTGCGCAGCGATGAAATTGATATGATTCGAGGTCAATTCTAGCTCGAGGTCAATTCTAGCTCGAGATAATTCTAGCTCGAGATAATTCTAGCTCGAGACATACTACACCAGATAAATTGATATGATTCGCGGCCAGGCAGGGAGTCGTAGCCGTACTTAGCTACGCTACCTACCTTACCTAAGTATGTATGTATGCTTGACGACAGCCCCCATATATACTCCGTAGCTAAGGAGATGGAAAATGGGTACATGAGGTACATTGCAAGTTAAATTTGGACCAAATATTGAGATACTTGCTTGTGCAAGCCAGCGCAGGGCATTGAGTTCGCTTCAGAAAGACCTGTAAGAATAAATAAATAGTGTGATAGTGTCTATTATGTTCTGTTTTCTATAAAATGGATTAATCTCCAGTCAGTTGCTCTTCATCCCCTCTTGATATATGATCCGACTTGCCCCCGACGACTTCGATATCAATTCGAGTTCTAAGTTTGTCTCAAATCCTCTCAACTCCCCGGTAACATCGTCTAAACCCTTTACCACCAGTACTCTACTTTTCCAAAGGTCTAATTAAAAGAAATTGAATTATTAGCTCCCAGCACCAAACACACACAGTACCTATGGACTAGTCGCACAAGATAACACTATTTTCACAGCAGTACGGCTTGCTACTTCAGGTTGGTAGTCTATTTCTGATTTTTCTTCGGTGTATAGTCATTAATGTTACAGTCTGGGAACCTCTGTATGTATGCAGCTCATTCGCCATAAATTGCGGCATCAACTCTGCCCAGTCAACTACCCAAACTCGGATATTCCAACGCTCCTGTCAACCACACGCAGCCCAACAATATATCGCGCTCGCACCGACGACCAAACCATGCACTGCACACCAATATTGATCAAATATCCAGGCTCAGCCAAGTTTTGACAGATACTCCGTAGATCACCAAAAACCTGGATAAGGCATGGTGGACAATTCCCATTATCGGTGGCAACACACAGCGCAAACAAGCTGGGGGGGTAATACCTCTCGTCCATGCCCGCATAGTCGAAGCCCAAGCAATTAACAGCACAACTCCAAACTTCCATTACCTAACAGAATATCTTGTAAATCTTCTTCCATCTAGGCAGGTTCCTCCGCTCCATGCGATTTGCCTCAGCCACTGCAGCAGTATCAATGTCTCTCTGGCCACTAACCAAGTCCATCTCAGAAGCCCGCAAGATACTGGTCCTGTAATAGAGTTTATACCCAACGTAGCTCAAGATAACGACAGGAGCGGCTAGATACGCCAGGAAGAAATTTTCAACGATTTCAACCTTGGTCATCTCGCCATATCCGACCGGCCAGGCAGCCGTCCAGAATTGCGAGATCAGCACCAAGACGTTCAGGGAGAAGCCCACCCAGGAGCCAATAACGCCAACTTGGGATGTGAAGGCTAGCTCGTCAAGACTGTGACCCTGCTTGTGCCAGGCGCGACGGAAGCGGATATGGGCCAAACAAATAGAACCCCAGGTAAAGATAGAGGACAGGCCGGACAGGGAATAGAGCCAATTGAGCGCGGTAGCGGCGGTTTCTTGGCCCCCCGCGACAACATAGCAGAGAAGACCTAGGATGGATGCTGTAATGATGGCGAAGAGAGGCCGGCCTTTACGGTCAATGTATGCCAGGAAGCGAGGAGCTTGGCCTTGCTCTGCGAGTGCGGCTAGAGTCCGAGAAGAACCATAGATGGACGAGTTGCCAACAGATAGTACGGCGATGAGGATAACGACGTTGAAGACCGAAGGTAGGACGTCAATACCGGCGTTGCTGATAGCAATGACGAAAGGAGAGGCTTTAGCGTCCTGGGAACTCTTCCCAAGGAGTCTCGAATCACCATATGGCACCAAAAGACTGACGAGTGTCAAGGAGACCATATAAAACCCACAAATACGCCAGAACACCTGTTTGATAGCGGTAGGGAGGGTCTTGCGTGGGTTGTCGGCTTCAGCGGCGGCGAGACCTACAAGCTCAGTTCCGGCGAAAGAGAAAGCAGCGGTAACGAACACACTGCAGAGACCTTTGAAGCCGTGGTTGAACGGTCCCGACACGATGCTTCCAGGCTTCTGAGATCCTGAAGCATAGCCCGCGTAGTCTGCTGGGACGTTGTTGGTTTTCCAGAAAGCATTGCCAATGTAGGACCCCTTAGGACCGCCGCCGCAATTGAGGACAATGCCGAGGATAATGAAACCGATAACAGCAACCACTTTAATGATTGCAAAGACGAACTCGGCTTCTCCATAACCCCGGACGCCGAAAAAGTTGATGACGACAATGAGGACAAGAAATATTGTGACCCAGGCGGCACTATTCGTTTCTGCGGCACCGGGCCAGAATTCTAGTGTAATAGAGGCGGCGACAATCTCCAGCGGCAAGACGACCAACCATTGAAGGGCATAGCTGCAGTCTGAAGTTAGCTATGTAGTCTACATATTCACAAGGCTGGGGAAAGACGAACTTCCAGCCCATTGCAAAGCCCCATGCCGGGTCAATGAAACGGGTCGAATAAGCCGAGAAAGATCCAGCCACAGGAAATTGCACAGCCAGTTCACCAAGCGCCTGAACGGTGCAGAACAACATGATGCCGATAATACCGTACGCGATAATCAAGGAGGCAGGGCCACCTCTTGATAAAGCCGCACCGGACGTGACGAAGAGACCGGTACCTGGAAGCAGCGTTAGCAACCCATTCCTATTAATTCATGCATTTCTGCCTGATGGACAGTGGTCTTCTGAAGCCATTTGGAAACAGGGCTCGACCAACTCACCAATGGATCCGCCAATAGCAATCATTTGCATGTGGCGATTCTTCAGCTTGTGGGCCAACCCAGAATTAGCTGTGCGCTCAGCAGCACCAGCATGATCAAATCCACCCTTGATATTCCGTTGCGCTGGTTTCGTGATGGCAGCGTTGGGGTCCCGCTTGAAGCTGTCGACGAAGCGTTCCTTCCATGGCCGCTTGTGGTCTTCGATGCCGGTCTCCGTCAACTCTGGACTGCTGCTGTTGTCCAACTTGTGGTCGCCGACATACTTCTCCTCGTCGATGTTACTCGACATTGTGTGTTGCTTGGTCCCGATCACGTACCCGTACAAGAGCTATTCAAACGGGGACTTGGAATTGATAAAAGGGAAGGCGTGGAGATCGAGATTCGGAACTGAACTGAACTGAACTGAACTGAACTGATCAAAACACAACAACCACCCAGGCCCGGTGTTTATCTTTAATAGAACTCCTCGGTGGCAAGCAGGACATGAGAGTCGGCAGGGATGGTCGCGAGGCCTGGCCTAACCTACCTAGGGAGGTAGCTAGCAAGTGCGAGCGCTGCGAAACATTAGCATGGCGACCTCCGCCGTCCTCGTCGATGGCCTCCACAATGGCAATCCCCAATCCTTGTCGAGTCTTTATCTAGGGTTCGGCGGATGGCACCGCATGCGTAGGACTCCCCGCCGATATCAGGCGCTAGGAAAAGCTGTTACGACATAGTTGGGGGATTATTGATAGGGGGATCCAATTTGGATGTTGGAGTGGCACGATTCAGGTCTTCCCACCCAAACGGCGTGGCTGCTGGCCCCGGGGGAGAGGGGCGTGAGCATGCAGATCAACAGCGGCGATCGAGGCCTTATCAAGGCCCGCCACCCGGTCGTCTGCGGCCGACTGGCCCAATGATAAATGTTCTGCAATCTACAGAGTATTAGTGGCCGAGTCAAGGTTCCAGACGGAAGCTATCAGGTATCAGGAATCCGGTATCAGGCTTCTAGGGCAGACGCTGGGCCTTGGCCCTCAGCCCTCATTTCCGGAAGGGAAACCCAACCTCCCCCGTAAGTACAGTATCTATTTATTATCCCAACAACACCACTTCATCAGCTAGAATCTTGGCCCGGCTTGCAAGACGCTTGCGGGGTATGTATTGCCGTGTTGCTAGCCAGTACTTCTTCACATGTATAGTACGAGTACATGATACAGCGCCTACTGTACGAGGTACTCTACTCGAGTACTGCTGTCCACGTCTCTACTGCTGTCGATGCACGCAGCTCTGCGAACGGATCGGCAGTGGCTGCTGCATTCTTCGGCGATGCCGAACTGCTGCTGCCTTAGATGAAGCCACCATTAATAAATCGCCGGAGTATTGACGCCCATTTTCGATGCTGGCTCGCCACTCCGCCGCCTCTCAAGACGCTAGAACACCGTCGCTGAAACTCTAAAGTTTAAGTTCCAAGCCGCCTCGACCCGCGAGCCAGATGTCTTGTGTGTTGACTCCCCCGCAATAACAATAACAGGATCAACAATTCTTTGTACGAAGTAAGGGCTATTGGATCCAGACAGAAAACAATGGCTCTCCACCAAGCTAGAACTCCTCGAAGGCTCTCAGGCTCGAAGTCTCGGGGTGTTCGCGCCAAACCGGTGGAACCCGAGGGCACTTGGCTGGGCGTGCTCGGTTGCACCCAAGTCCCTGCGTCGGGCTGCTCGGGATATTGCATTGCTTTGGTGTTGTGCTCATGTGTGGTGTTTCGTCCCTTGGGATGTACAGCATGTACTCGTACATGTGCGTGAGGTACATGTAGATGTACTAGCTGTAGCACAGCAGTTGGTGCTTCGTCCGGAGTACCGGGGCGGTACGCAGTAGTTGGTACTTTGTAACTGCTGTACCGATATACTACTCGGCCCCCAACAAGGTGCCATAGGTACTTCGTACAAGTACGGGCGGAATCTGCCACTGAGGCGCATCTGGAATGGTTTTTTATTCGTTTTTGCTTCTCGCTCGGACTTCACCTCGCTTCCTTGTTTTGATTTTATTCGCAGTTGATGTTTTTTTGAGGTTACCGTAGCGCATCTTCCAGCCGTGAATATGAATCGTGAGTGGCAATTAGTAATGCGCCGCACCTACGAAGTACCTACGTGGCCGATTGTCCCTTAAACTCCCTTTATTCTGCAGATCAGGTGAGTGCCCGATTTCTAGTTAGTGCTGACGCTGTCGCTTCAATACTTTCGCAGCAGCGCTGAAGGCGCAACCCCTCCTGCAGAGCTTTCAAAACTGGGATAAGCTTGACAAGCCATATATCTATTTACCTAATGATGCACTGTTGAACTCCTGGTATCTACATTGACTTGGCAAGCGGCAAGTTCCCGTGTGAATTGGAATTCGAGGGCTTGGAGCATATCCTACTATTCACGTCTTTGTTTCAGTGCTTCACAACCCACGCCGACCTTTAAATGGCAGTCAAGGGCGATGCACGGGGGGATACAGGCGGGAATCGATGAATCCAGGCCCGGCAGGCAAATTACGCTGGTGCAGCGCAATGGGATTACCTATGCTATGAGGGCGAGTGTCCTAGGGAGGACCCAGGTTCCGAATATCGACAAATGCAAAACATCATATTTCGCCCTATACCGGTTTATAATACCTCCTCATGAGTAGAATTCTCGACAAACTTTGATACAATAGCAAGGGTGACTTGCTCTCTATTGGGTTGTCTATTTGGATTGCCTCAGTAGGTAGCTGATAGATGATCCCAAAATGCGCCCAGTAATGTGCCCCCGCGAGCTGTTTGAAACTATAAATTAGATACGAAGTACTGCGTATCTAGAGCGGAACTTATTTTGAGATATGCCAAGAAAAGGCTGCCAACACTAGAAACCGCCATACAAGTCCCTCTACGGAGCATTCTTCCATTTCGAAGGACTGGAAACGAGGGGAACTCACCCACGTGCGTTTCTAGCCGGGGAATTTAGTCTCCGCTTGATCGACATTCTGGAATATTCCATTCATGCATACTACTAGGTGCGTAGTACAAAGTACTGTACATGTACGAAGTACCTCTCAAGCATATGGCGGTTATCGTTTCCCCTTGCCGCATCTTTGACACATATGTTTAGCCGGCTATCAACCGTCCAATAAGAGTAGACAACAAGTATCTTCATGGACAGAGATCTACTGCCCAATCCATTATTATACTGCTATGAGCCAGTCCTGGTGATCCGAGAGACTTGGTCCCTTTGGAGAGGTTGGCCCAGCTGGCACAATGGGGGCTCTGGGAATACACGTGATTTGTGGAGTACTCTTAGTCTCGCGCGGTGATCTGGTTATGGTTACGTATGCGGCCAATAAATAGGGCGTGAACACCAAAGTCAAACAAGTGATGGAGTCGGAAACATACTGTCACAGAGACTATGGACTACCCCGGAGTCTCGTATGTAGCTTGTTGCCTGTGACAGGGCGCCGGGGCTCTGCGGGGTGCAGGGTACAAGTGCTTGCCAAGCCTAGATCCATAGTATCCACCTAGTCCTGTTCTGCTCTAGCTTGTGGGCCTACCCCAGGCCTTTTCCCACCCATCCGAAATTGGAAGGTGCGTTGGAACATTCCATTTTAATATCTAGCGCCAAGTGGCCGAATGGCATATCTACCTATCTACCTACCCAGGTACTTTCCCGTTACGGGAGCTACTCAAGTCCGAGTATTGCCAAGCAGCCAAATACTCCGTCATGCTATCGGTACGAAGCACCAAGCATGTGTTCTCTTATGCGGAAGTCGCCTCTTCCGTTCGGCTTACGGTACGGTGCCCGCCCAGCCTGGGCCTGCAAATTGCAATACGGAGAATGTAACAGTCTCGTCTCTGGAATCTGTACTCGAGTATACGGAGTACTCTTGGACAAGGCCTCCATGTGTAGCGGAAGTGTGTCGCTGTCGGGGAGTTCGCAAAGTGACAACGTCCTCCCGTCCATACCATGTACTATACATGTACCCTGTGTACTATACATGTACCCTGTGAATATTCTCTTAACTACTTGCCCGACCCACTGCCAAGTGGTAGGTCTAAAATAGATCCTATGCCTGCTGTGAAATAACACAAGGTCAAAAGCACCGCTGCAATAGTTCACAGCCCCTGAGGCAATCACCTAGAACTATCGTCTAATACGCACCACTGACTACTTAGTAGTTAGTCATGCAGCTGCAAAAGGAAGTTATTTTGCCAGACAACTCCGGCGGTCCGGTTTGATTTGCAACTATTGAGATCAAATTCGATCTTGCTTACCCCGCCATCTACCCCAGATTTCCCCATTGGACTTATGTACTGTACAGTACTAAGTCCACGTATTCTACTTCGCGGGGAGAGAGGGGCGAAGGGGGGCGCTTAGGTCCTAGAGCCATCAAGCACATGGTTATCGTCGGGAGGCCTGAGTTAGGCCGAGGGCTAGGTCGTTTCCCCATGATCCAACGGGTATCACGATATCTCGGTGTCTTGTCGACCGTTCACTGTAGTCTGGAAATTTACTTATTTGTACGGGTCTAAATTTGGCTTGTTACAAGTAGATAGTTTACGCTCTTTTCGAACTCTCGTATGACTTCTGTTAAGAGTATTGCTCTCAGGCCTATTGCTATTTGCTTCTTAAAATGAAATTAATATTTCACCTGGCTCTACTTACTCGGATATCCGCGGCCGGCAGTGCTGGTACGAGATTATAAGCCGCCAGGGAATGGCCCCTACAATGCGCAAGGGGGCACCACCGTGTCGGGTTTGCAGAAACACGGAGGACTCTGAAGCGAACGGTTTAGATCTCTCATTGATCATGCTCATGCAATGGGGCGATTCACGAAAGGTATCAGAAGTCGTTCTCGCTGTGTAGCATGACTAACTACCCGGGCGAGGCACTGGGTCCACCTAGTTCTATTCTACAATCCCGCTATGAAGTATGCCCCTACCAAGTTATTACCAACCAAATCTAAGAGCAACAATTCCATGCCATCCATCATCGCCCGCAACTATCCAGATTTCCGCATTTTCTCCGCGGGCGAAAGATCATACATGTTATGACGCATGGGGATTCCGCATCACAAACTCAAAAAACGTCGTCCTTTGCGGAGGGGGGCTCTGTTTATTCTTGATAACCTCTCAACTAGTAAGTGCGGCGGTCTTAGCTGTTCCTTCTCCCAAAAGTTTTTCCTTCCAATCTCCGAGCTTAAGCTAAACGCTAACATTTTCCCGCCATAGACTGCATATTCCCGGCATGACGCCACAACACACATCAACGACATATGACAACCAGAAATCTTCAGTATTAGTGAATCAGGGGATTATTTTGTTATACTTGTGGAAATACTTCGTTGGCGAGCTAATTCAACTTACGTTTCAAACCCTCTCTACACATGGGGAATGCCTCATAAGGAACATGTAAGTAGTGGCTCTATAGAGACTCTGGCATCTGAAAGGTCTCAGAGTTGTCCCCAAACACCTCGGCCAACACCCGCTTCGCCTCCTTCGTATCCCAGTTAATCAGGTCCCGATTCTTCCATTCCATCTTGTTCTCTACAAAAAGTTCCAATACCCCTTCTTTCCTTGTCAATCAAGAACCCAGACTTCGATTCCATAGCACCCCGCTCCCCCTATTGCCCAAGTCCTTCTTCTCCAAACACTTCCAATATATGCTATCAAACGCTCAGGGTTTTTCAGGGCGTAATTAAGCCAAAACCTCCCAGTTTTCCAACTCTCCCACATATATGTAGACAACTTAGGTGACGAGGCATTTTGCCTCTCCTCGGCCATCTCTATGCCTCCTAGCCAGGTCTTCACGCGCCTATCGTAGATCTTTCTCCACTCATCAATTCCACGAGGCCAGCGCTCAGGCGGCTCTAATAATAACCACCATGGTGAATATAATCGAAGAAGAAACCGTAGGTCCTACCCAAGTACACTCTTAGTAGATTACTGCAGCAATACTATACCCTCCTTTAACAAGACGTTACCTCCCCGAATATCATCGCATCAAAGTTGAAACGACGCAGACCCGTTAGGGGCTGGGAACAGCTTGAGCGTTGGCTCATAGGCTGAACGGACCACATGTCATCTGCAAAGCCAAAGTTAAGAGTGGGCATTTCTTAGCCAACATCTCGAACAGTTGGCGTGCTATATATTTGTTTCGGCAGTCATCGACTCGTCTGGTGTATAAACGTGATCGTTCTATTAAAAGACAAGCTGCGCAATGCATCTCTGCCAACGCGATATACCACTAATTGGCAGTCTTATACGTATTGTCTCGTGATGAAAGGACAATAAGCAAGAATCCGAGGTGTTAGAGTGCTGGGTCATATTGTTCTTTACCGCTGTAGGGCGTCCTGTCATGGAGTACGAGTTGGAGTCTGATACTGGAAAATTGTCGTTGGAAGAGTTGTAACATATAGCTCGCTATTTGGCCGTAGAGATACTCTAACTTGTCTTCCGGAACATCGCTGTCCAATATGTCAGGTTCGCCCGGCACTGTCTTGGGACTGGTCAGGGCTACCCGGCTACCGATAAGCTTCCTCTATTTTCAATATATAGCAGAACGATAAACGGATTGGTGTTAGGGCCCTGTTCTTGGGTTGATAGCCATTAATAGTACACGCAAGAGACGGGGATATCGGTCTCAGTTTTATAAACTTCATCGTCGCCACCTCGGCAAGAGGTTTTACATCTGGGAACTGGACTAGACCGGGACAGGAAATTCTGAGAACGACTCCGGATGCTCCTTGCAGACGCTTCCTGTATACCATGCTGTAGCCATCAATGGGGGTGATAGAGTTGCATCCTTTCCAAACTTCTCCTCAGTAAGATGTTCTACGGCCAAGCAGGCGGACTGGGTTGGAAACCTTTTCTGCGTCTCATCACAAACCTCGTCATTTTTGTCCAATGCAAGATTATCAAAATCCTATTGATCATCGCCTATCCTGAATGTAGTGGTGCTTAGGAGGAGCGATGAGATTGACTGTGGGGTATTGTTAAGTCGCACCGGCGGAGCCAGATCGAAGGCAGTGCCGAATTAGAAATAGGTACTATTGGTAGTGAGAAGATATTCGGGCAGTTGGACCTAGCGGGAGGTGAAAATGATAAGATGTAATATGAAATAACCATCGCTCAACTTTGAATAACATGCTAAGGCGTTTCTTGCGAAGTTTGAGCTGGACACAACTGTGCGAATAATGAAACGCCAGGCGATCAGGATTGGCGCCTACCAGTGGCCAGACGTAGCAGGTGAAGTCAAAATAGCCAGCCTGAAAACTGGCCGGGCCAACTTTGCCTCTGTGGGGATATGTTGGTGGAAACAATGAGGATGAGGCGCGGTCCGTAATATTCGATGTTGCATATTCCGATCCACACGCGTATAAAGTTTCGCAGTCCCGAGGCGCGATTATGACAGGATCAGGAAGCCAATACTAAAAGGCAAAACCATTTGGGGCGAACATGCAAAGAGAAAGAAGGGCGAAGATAAAATAAGTACGTATACGAAACGGTTCTCATCTAAAGCGGGAGCAAACTGCAAGGAGCAGCCGAAGGAGAGTTGCGCAAGGACAAGAGTAGACGGAAATTGGCACAACTGAAAGTATATCTGCTTGGAGAATTGTGCCATGGCCCCTTTTGTGTTCTCTAGATAATGCTACACGAATTAGTATATTGTTTTCTTTGTAAACGGATATCGAACGAATGCTTAGAGAACCGACGTTGTCATACCTTGTTTTTCATAGTGTTGCACCTTGTCAATGATTGTGAAAGTACTCCGTAGTACTTGCATAAGTGGGTTACTAATCACGCAAGGCTGAAGCCTGCAACATCTGTCCCCACCATTTCCCCCCCACCAAAGCCTGTATCCACGCCCAAACATAACACAACCCAACACAACACAACATCTGCCAATACTGCGGCAGCTCTGCACTCTACCAAAGATGCTCATCAAGTCTGCCATCACTCCCTTACCACTACGCCTACCGTAATCCTTTCGGCGCTAACGATATGTGCAGAGTCCGCACGTTAACGGGGAAGGAGATCGAGTTGGATATTGAGCCCGAGTACAAGGTTTGTCTTGCCGCGTCCCTTGGATAGTGCCCTATCGTGGTATTTTCAGCAGACCTGATAAGGGTCAACCGGCTAACTAGGGTTGTGCTGGTGATAGGTGTCGCAGATCAAGGAGAAGGTTGAGGAGAAAGAGGGAATTCCACCAGTGCAGCAGCGGTTGATTTATAGCGGAAAGCAGATGTGAGATTACTCTTCCTTGCTCCCCAAACCATCTATATATTCCTTTCTTTCTGGACAGGGAGCTGTTACCAGAAATTATGCTAATACCATACCTTCCCTTAAATAGGGCGGATGACAAGACAGCAAGCGAATACAATCTCGAAGGCGGAGTCACATTACATCTAGTGCTTGCCCTGCGCGGCGGTAACTTCTAAAAACCAAACACTACGTTCCTGCAATACCATCATTGGCTTGAGAGTTATTAGCAACGTTTTCTTGTGTCCCGATACACCTATACTACCTTCTATGCTTTGGCTTCCGTGGTACCTAGAGTTTCCAATTCGTTTGTTGTTCGAATGGAATGGTGTGGTAAATGATGATTTCAAGGATAGATGAATACGCTTTGGGGGCCGTTTTTAGTCGATACATCATCCCCCAAACGCATCTGGTCAAATTACTGATGCCCCCCACATACGCCCAGACTCGATACCGTTTCACCTTTGCCACATTTCTCCTCCTTTCATGTTTTCCTCCCCTGTTCATGCACGGTACAAGATGAGATAAAGCTTTACGATGGAGGAACAATTGATATTATATATGACTGCGAGTGAGCGAAGATGTAAATTTAAAGGCCCTGTTTTCTGGGTTCGTAGTTTCTAAGATCCCTCAACTACTGGAATCAGCATAGAGATAGGGAGTGGGTGCGTTTACCCGGAAGCGGTAAATATATGTTTTACATCCTAAGCAACTCTAGTATAATATATACCAAAGAATATTACCATTTATTCATCTAATGCGGCCTAATATAGAAGACTTACGACCCTTAAAACCAGGAGCTAGTTTTCTCATTTACGCCGTGATATCCAACCGGCTATGCATTTCATTATACCAGTAACGCCACGCTTAGGCGTAAATGAAACCGCAATAAAAAGCCACTATACCACCACATAGCGACGAGGTCCTTTATTCCATGGTGCCAATGTTATTTAAGTCTTGGCCTTTTAGTTGTTGGTCCTCGATTGAATATATCAACTGGGGCTTTCCTTCTGGGCATCATAGGTTTTGGTGCAGGACTTCCTGTTCCGGACCGAACAGGTGGCGAGGATGCGAGAGTGGACGGTCGGGATTTGTTAGCCATAGAGGTCGAGGGTGTGACGGTTGGCGGCGGAGCAGACTGAGATACCCGCGGTTGTCCTAATTGTGATGGTGATGAGGCTACTATAGCAGGCCGAGCAGGTCGTCGTGCCGCCGCTGGGGATTGTCTAGGTTGTGGCTTCTCGCCGAAGAGGTCATCTTTATCCTCATCATCAGTATCCTCATCCGACGAACCAACCATTGTGATTTTCTGTACATGGTCTCCCTTGACTGCTCCGGAGGCATCCCGTTTCGAACCCGCGCTTCCCATGGTTAGAGCGCGAAGCCGATTTTCTCTCTCCTCCAGGGACGGACCGCTCTGTGCGTCATCAAAGGTGCCCACAATGTTCTTTCGTCTGGACAGGATTCGTACAGGTGGCTCAGCAGCCTTCCGGTATTCGTTAACCATTCCTGCCGGTGCCTTTCTAACTTGATTTCGACTTCCCATTAACTGGTGTGTTGGCGTGGACAATTTACTCCTCTGGCTTAGCTCCTTTGCCTCCCGCCGAGCTTTCGTAAGGACATTCTGGGGATTGGACACCTTCGTCTTGCTTCCTCCACCCCATGTAAGACTGGTAGCCGCTGGCTTCGCAAATCCCTTACTTCTCCCAAGAGGCACACCGCCATTATTCGCCATCATCCGTGGGTCCTTTGGTACCTTGGGTACCATCCTTAAATCCACGACTTTAGTGACATGTGTCTCTTTTTCCCTCCGAACCTCCATCATAGCTTTCTCGAGTTTCTCCTGATCTCGCGCAAGCTCTATTCGTTGCTCTTTCTTGTACTTGCAGTATACCTCGTACCATTTAAGCGGGTTTTTAGGGGTGTAGTTCTTGTCTCTCCATTTTGGGATGTCGCGGGCTATGAAGGCACGCCAAAGCTCAGCATCCTCGCCTTTTAGTTGGGGGGAGTTTATTTCGAGCTGGTGTAGCTGTTCTGCGGACTGCACGCGTTGGAGAATTGAGCGGATCTTCCAGTACTCGAGGTCCCCCACATCAGTAAGACCTAGTTATACGGGTTAGCTGATTGGCAGAGTAGGGGAAGCTGGCGAGGATACATACTGCGAATGTTTTTGATGCATGCTTTGGTGCTTGAGTGCACTAGAGACGGGGCTCCTGGCATCTTAAAGGGGACTGATATGTAGGTATCTCCAAGAACGGGGCGAGAGGCTCAGTACTCTCTGGCGGGGCGGCGGCCGGCGATGGGGTGCTTTCGTATTGTTCGGGGCTCAAGGTGTCGCAAAATGTCAATCTAGATAAAAGGGCCAGAGGCACTCGGTGGGCAGAATAAAAAATATCTCAAGTGTTGTTGAGTGGCATTGTGAATTTCGAAGTGATTGGGAACAAAGGGAACAGGTTGGTGACTGCTGGGCTGAGTCGCAACTAGAAAGATGCGGGCGGCAGAACGCGGCAGAATTCCGTGAGGCTTCAACAGTTCAACTTCAAATGACCTCGAGTATTAAGCTACATATCCAAATAAATACTACAAGGGCTCCAATCTCCGTCCAACCCCACAGTTCCCGCAACGCATCACATTGCCATGGCTTCATTCCAACCTCTTGAACCTCGAGAGGAAGATGAACTTCACAAAAGCCGTCTCCTAAATGTCGAAGAGAAACCCTTCAAACGTATCACCAAACGCCTTCTCGCCCCAGGCTCCCTTGTTTCCACACCAAGCAAATTGCCCACTCCACCACCCGACAATGTGGACGAAGGAGCTGCGGCCCAAGAGGTGGAGGCGGAGCGCCAAAAACAATTAGAAGACCGTCGACAGTTTCGCGAAGATATCCTCCTCGACTTTGCCGCGTTCGACAGCAGCATTGCGCGAATTCAATTCCTGTACAACAGTAACGAGCGCGAGCGCGAACGGTACAAGGCCGACAAACGGCGGATATTAGACACGGCTCAGGCAGTGCGAGATAATACTACGCAGCTGAGGATACAACTTGAGGAGGCGAAGAAGACGCTAGAGCAAAGAAAGAAGTTTGATGAGTTGACCGAGAAGATTACGAATAATAAGTTGTTACGACCCAGGGGAGATCAGGAAATCAACCTTAGGAAATTGGAGGAGGAATGCAGAGAGTTGGAGAGGGAAAGTGCTGCGTATGCGGAGACTTGGAAGGAGCGGAGAGAGCAATTTGGGCGGATTGTGGAGGAGGGTATGCAGTTAAGGCGACTTATCAGGGACGAGAAGGAAGAAGTTGAGCGACGAGAGGGTATGGATGGCGGCGAAGAGGATGGAGAGGTGGGTGAAGAATCCGGCGGTAGTCCAACGCCAAAGCATACCAGTATCAGTGGGAACGCGACGCCCAAGCCTGATGCTCCGGGCCACAGTAGTCTTGATACAGGCTTGAAGCCAAGACCACTCCGTTCTGGGTCTTTGTCGAGGGCAACAAGCAGGGGGCCATCGCCCGATCCATCAGACCGACGAAGAGAGGGATCTACCATGCGGGAAGATTCAGTAATGTCGGAAGTGGGAACGAAGACGATAGATTCGAACGCTACAGCGGATACGCCAATGGCTGAGGTAGAGACCCCGAGAGTGACTGTTAACGAGCCAGCCTCCGATAGCCAAGTAACAGCTGAGGAAGGCGAGGCTGAAGACAAGATGGACACAACATAGCTTGGTTACTGAGGGATGGTGGAAAGGCCTGTGGGCGATGTATTACCATAGAGAACCGCGATACCCCAATGGCATTAATCATCTATTCATTCACTTTTCGCAGCTGAATGAATGTAAGCGCTTCTATAAATCGCTGCTCTCTCAAAGTTGGGAGTCCCATCCACCTATCCATCTCCGTCCGTGGGTATCATTCAGCATCACGCCAGCATAACTCATGGCACAGCAGACACGCCAATTACTTCTGACTCAACGCGTCTTTCGCCTGCTGTATGGTTTCCTTCGCAGCCCTCACTTCCTCCTCACCCACCCCATTTCCCTGCGCGCCTTCCAACAGATCCTCTAGCTTATGCAGCGCATCGGTGATGCGTATCCGAAGGGGGGGAAATACGGCACGAGTCTCTTCTATTGCTCTGCGCTGTTGCGGGACGTTAGCTAGGCTTGCCATGGGACTCTAACTCTAGAAATACATAGAGCTGGAGCTATGGCCGGAGCTAGAACTACGTGGCATCACATACCTCCTGCTTCAACTGGTACTCGGCATTCTCATCTTCATCCTTGTCAGCTTCTAGCTTCGCAAGACGCGCCTCTTGGCTTTGTAGTTCTTTGTGGTAGGAGGCTTCTTCCTTGACGAGGCGCCGGGTAGATGAGGTGGCGATTGCGAGGGGAGTTGGCGGGGCCATGGCTAATGTTTAGGTCTATGCCTTGAACTTTGGGGCGAAAGGTGAAACTGGTGTGTAATGTGGTAGTTCTGCGGTCGGGTTGTAGTTGAAGCTGTGTAGGTAGGTAGGTAGGTAGGTAGGTAGGTACCCAGGTAGTTAAGTAGGCAGGTATGGAGAATATTGGAATGGGTCGCTCTATTATGGAGGGGTTCTTGTAGTAGCGAGAGCGGGGCAAATCCAGCACTCAACAACAAACAACCACCAAAACAAAGAGTAAGGTATGTGGTAATTGGCTGATACTGCATTAGCACCACGTATATTTTGCTAGCTTGTCTTAAATGAGTGGCGGATTTAAACCCGATTAAGCACGTACATCATATATTTTATACTTTATACCTACATACTCAGGCTGACCTTACCAATTCAAGTTGACCTGTTAAGGTTATAAGGGGGACTACTAATAGAAAATAGAGAATTCCACCTACCTACCACGACGTACTGTAGGTGGGACGGTTAAAGTGATCGTTAACTCGAAATATGTACCTCAAGGTACCTTACCTTATTACCTTACCTACCTAATGTAAGGCACCTTACGTATTTGTATACAATTGTATGTATTACTCGCACTCGTACTCGTATCCACGGCCCCCATCGCGCAAACGCGCAAACACGAAATCTCGCACACAAATCTCCACCCATCGCACACCTCACACTACACACCGCACACACAACTGCCTACCTTACCTAAGGTAGATACACACACAACTACACCCACAACACCCACAACACACACCACGCACACCGCGTAGTACACAACACACAACCTCCCCCTTCTAACCACCTAAGTACAAGTACCTTAGGAAGCCTTAGTTCGGAATTGATTGGTCCCCTAGTAGGTACCTAGGTACCTACTATTGAGGCCCCCTTTGAACTCTTACTATCCTCCGGCTACTAGAACTACGACTCCCAGTTCGCGAGGATGCTGCTAGATTCGGAACTTGAAGATATCACTATAGAGGAGAAAAAACGCCTTATTGGAAGGCTTAAACTAAGCCTAGCTATCATAGAAAACCGGAAGCTTGGACAATTGGAGGGTAATAGCTATGAGCCACTCCGTGCCTAGAACTCGTCTCTTGTATCAGCCTGGCTAACGAATCCTCCCCCTACTACAGCAGAAGACCCCTTCCCATCATCATTTCAAGTCTATCGGTGGACATTCAATGGCCCTAATGGTCTCCCTGATGACTTCCCAGTTGTGCATATTCCCAAGGCCAATCCCAATGTTACCGACGGCGAGGACTCGGATGCGTTCGAGCTGCAGCAGCATTCACCAGCTATAGATAATTGGTCTGTAGCTGATCTTCGCAAACTCGAAATTTCATTAAATGAGCACCGAGTCGCGGTTTCACTTCTTCAAAATCAGGAAGTTGAGAACCATAAGACACCCCATTCAAATTCCCTGATCGAGCAAGCAAAACCTTCAAGCTCGGCAAAGAATCAGAGTAGGGCATATCATCGGGTGAGAAGTCGCCTATTCCAAGCCATTAGTACGTGAACCCGCTTCCAAAGCCCTTATCGGCCGTAACTACGGTCCATTGCTAATTGTTCGCAGAAGACAAGACTGGTCATCATGATATACCACGGTCAAATCCTCTCATTTCTTATCCCGGTCCACCTTATTCGTTCGCATGGACTTTTAGTCCCGAATACCCTAGATTCCCTAAGATCAAGGGAGGCATCTCTAGGTGGAATCGCGACCAATTCCATGAATGCGAGCATGCCCTCGACTCGGGGTATCTAACGGTCAGGGATCTTACCAATACTATGTCGCCCGAAACCGAGACTAATAGAGAAGAAAATCACACGCAGCTAGTGGGTGGGGACATCTCAAACCTCGAGGACTCTTGCTCTACCGCCGACCTACCCAGCTTCGTGGGTAGTGAAGCCACCAAGGCTCAACAATCTAATAGTCTGTTGCGTAGCCACGGCTCTCAACTAGAAAATAGCCTGGTGGGTATAATGACTCCGAACGGTGAAGAATACGGAAACAGGCCACAACCGCATCGAGACGATGTCCCTTGTCATGGGGTTGTAGTAAACGCGCTCCGTATACAAATCAACAAAGTTCTCGAAAATGCCAAAGAACTCGAAATGTCATGGAACCAGCGCCAATCAGAGAAAATAGAATCGCTACAGCGAGAGCTTCGGGATGCTTATCTTCAAATCGAAAATCAAACCGAAGAGCTCCGAGCAAGGATGGCAAATGATCAACGGGACGTTGCGGTCCTTATAGCGAAAGCGAGGAAAGAAGGTGAACACAGCGGGAGAGCGAGCGCTATCCAAGACATGGATAAAGATCGAGACGGTTTACTCGTCACGCTTCGTACACATTATCTTAATCAGATCGAGGAAGCCCGCAAACAGTCGTACCAGGACGGCTTTCAAGCTGGAAGCACATCTGGCCAGGTACTAGATCGCGCATCAAGTTGGCAAACCGCAGCGTCCCCTATCGGAGACCAGTATCGTCCGACATCTCAGAGCCATGCTATGGGCTCTGACCATGTCCAAGGCTTAACGCTATGCAGTGAAGAGGCAAGTCAACAAATCCTAGAAGAACAAAGTGTGCGTCAACAACCGGAATTGGCACACACTACGACCAGCGTCGACAGAGCTAGCCCTCAAATTGAAGGCTCTCCTGCGAGGTATGATCAGAATGGCATTACACTATCTCCCGCGGGTCCTGACGATCTCCCCGAAGGGGTGGACTCTATAATTGGATCCCTCCCTCTCAATGTATCCCAACTTTCGCTTCCTTCCGAGTCACCAGAACATGGCTTTGAGATCAAAACCCTTCTCCGCAGTCTCGCGCTTCCCACGGTTACAATCCCTCTCGGTGTGAGGTCTTTTCCTCTGTCGTTTATCCAAAAACACATTGGACGTATCGATCAGACGTTTACGAAGGTAGAGCTTTGGAAACAACAGAAGCAAGCCGTTCGCTGGCCCGTGTTGATTAATCCTGACTGTTCACACGAGATTCATGAATATCCTCCTAGACTTGGTGCTAACGGGGCTCTTACTTCCGTTGATGGCATAGCGGATTGCGGAACAATAGGAGCTGTGTATCCTGTAATTCGAAAAGTGGATATCGACGCGTATCAATATATTGGCCACTATAAGATTATCGACCGCAAGATCATGCCCACACAGTCGTGGTTTGCCTTACCACGATATCAGAAAACCGCGGCTTTGTCGACTATTAGGTACAGCCAAGACGAGGGGCGCGATTTCCTCTCCAAACTGGGCATTAACCTGCAAAAGCCCCCGCATCCGACCTACCTCCGAAACCTTTTCGAGAGTGAGAGCGAACCTTATCTTCGAATGAGCTGGACGATCCTTCAATTAGACCGATTTGATACCCACGATTATGAAACCCTCGTCAAAATCTCCGAGCAGCCAAACTATCAAGATTCCACATCGACAGGTCACCAACCAGTGCCCATCTCAAAGGAATTGTACGACCAAGCCCTTCCACGATGGATTGAAGTCTCATTAGCCAGATACCAGAACAGCACTAAATTTTTTGACAAGCTGCCTCTCACGCCTTCTGCTAAGGAACTCCTCTCAGATGCTATCCGTAAACACGCTGACAGTGCTGGCAAGTTCGGGAAGGCGTACAAAACCCCTCCACAAATTCGAAACCTCAAGCTCTACATATCGGGGCTCGTATCAGAGCTCAGCGCTCGCCATTTCCTTGGCCTAGGCTTCGCTGATGATGTTGCGGCTATTCTCAGAATATTCACAGCAGTTTATGAGAGATTCATGTTCCACCTCTGGCATAACAACCTGAATTACCAGTCTCAGCAGGATGCAACAACTGTCCCAACTGGCAATTCGGCGGCGGTGCAACCCCCACGACGGGTTTCTGAAGGATATCTACGGCAGAAGAGAGACAGACCTGAAGCCCAGTCAAAAGTCACCTCTCCCAACAGTCGAAAGCGCAGAAGACATACTGCCCACGGGTTATTAGCGAATGCTCCAATAGATGACGAGACTCCTTCTATACAACTTGGTCAAGAAATCTTAGATTGCACCGAGGTGAAAGACGACAGCCGTAGCGATATATACGATGCGACGCCTCCCCCCGCTGAACAATAGCCGTTTATGGTGTACCTGGCTTTTACGAGCCGCTCTACAACATTACGTTTAAGGCATGGAAGAGGATTTTAGCCGTACTCGCTCAGCCCATCATTCTTGTAATATTAGTTTACTGTATATTTTGACTTAGTCTGCATGGCCAGCGGCCCGCGACCTTTTACTAGAAATTTAGAATAATCCAACTGTACACTGGCTCATAATAACAACCATAGTCTCTAGTCGTTTGGCTGTACTTTTTATGCCTAGGGTAATTGGCAATTGCATTGCTCCACACAGATTCCCAGGTAACAACTAGGCTCAGTAATTAGGAACAGGTCACACACTAACGAGCCTGAATTGGTGGGATATCAAGGCCTACTATCTACATATCATTATACTAATATAGCCCTTATTAGCAAGTTTTATGACTCTAGAAAAAAAGTGTACGATTGGTGGTTCAAGGCCCATTACAATAACAGTTACAGGCAGTGTTTATTTTTCTCACACGTCGGTATCGGTTAGGTAGCTAGGGAGAGCGTTTCTTAGTCCAATTATCTCGCAAATTTCGGCACAAGCTAGTGTCTCTACTTCATCAATTATTAGTATGTAGTTATGTTTGATATTGTTTGGATATTTCTACTGCAAAGGTAATCGAAGTAGCAAACCCCTACAAGCTGCCAATCAGATGAGATCTCCTCTTATCCAACCTCAAAAATATCCTCCTTTCTTGTTTATCGCTATGAATTTACAGTTATATACTTTTAATCCTATCGACATCCCACATCACCTTGATCCAAGGACGTCTACTCATGCAACACTCATATATACAGCATCCATTCCAGGCCTTTCTTATGTATTTATACACAACATTCCATCTCGCCATCAACCTAAACAATCCGATAAACCATCTTGGCAACAAAGAAGCAGCTAAACCCAAAAAGCAGCAATCCAGCAGTAAGACACCAAAACCATGTCAAATCACTCTCCTCTTCTTGTCCGGGGACCCAAACGTTCATGCCCCACAATCCGGTGATGATATTCATCGGGAGCACAATCGTACCAAGAACAGTTAGCCTACCTAGGACATCTGCAGTTTGTTCTTGCCGCTCGTTCATACGGATGTTGATTTGGGCTAGGTAATTACCATGGGCTCGTGCTAGGATCCTGTGCATTTGTTAGCAGACGGAATTGTCTGATTGGGAGGTGGTGCGACTGACTTCTCATAGTGAGATAAGTTTCCAGTCATGGTTATAATGTGATCCTGGATATCACCAAGATATAGACCAATCTCGCTTCTTGGAGCTACTTCCCAGTGCTCATTACATCTCTTTGCAAACCCTCGGATGACATCGGCTTTGTTTCCAAGCAATCTATATAACCCCATGACCTTCTTCCGGCAATCACCTACACGACGCAACATATCACCACCGCTTTCTCCAGAGGTACCATCGCCATACTCAGATTGTTTTTCGTTGATTTTTAACGGGTTTCCATCAGGGTTAGCGGAGTGTAGCCGTAAGATTGCATCGTCAATGTCGTCAACCTCATCCTCGATAGTTTGGATCAATGGCGCAAAGGCATCGGTAATATCGTCGATGATAGCATATGAAATCCAGTCCGATGAGAGGACGAGATAGTCTTTTAGTTGACGTACTCGGCGGCGAACGTTGGCGGGGTGGGGCGTCAACGAAAAATGAAAGCTTATGATGCCTTCCCGGAACACGACAACATACATGTTGACGGGCTCTAGGAAATTATCATTGTTCATATCTTGTTCGAAGGATCTATAGTTGACGAAGTAATAATTGCGGAAAAGTTCAACCTTCTCCCGCGCCTCTTGCACCATAATATCTTCCGCGGTAAGAGGATGGATCCCAAAGGCTTTAGAGATGACTTTCATTTCCGCTTCGGTGGGCGACAACACATCGAGCCACCAGGTTGGACGATCTCCATAGCGCGTTGGCTTTTCTGGTGCTGGTGACGGGGCTTTTGAATTGCCGTTAGGCGTGTCCTCATGAGATCTTCGCTTCGAATCTGTTGGGGTTGTTGTAGGGTTACCGCTATGGCCAAGCTTCAGGGACTCCATTGATCCCCGGGCTGTCCCTGAATGAGAATCACCATCCATGCCACTCACATGCCGCATCTGCGAATTGGTATGGCGAAACCCCAAGTCCTCGCCTTCGGAGTCTGATGAATCGCTCAATACTGGAGGATCAGGTATAAACAGCTCTCGGAAGCTACCCCCTAGTGGTACCAATTCGGATATTGCCTGACCATGAATTGTGCTCTTAAATTCTTCGTTGAAATAGGTGAACCGGTAGGGGGCGTCGTCCTCAGCACGATGCCATCCCCTATAAGTAGGTCTCAGCCGTCCTCCAACCAAGTGTGGTTCCGTGATTTTCTTTGCTCTGCGTTCCTCGCTTCGACCTTCCTTCTCAAATCTGCTCCACTCATTCAAAATATCTAGATCTGGCCATTTTGACCTTCGCCGCCTCATACCAGGCCCTTGTGCGTAGGCATCCCCGACCCGTTGAGCCATCTCATCTTCTGCCATCTCTGATAGGTCTTCGATCGGGAAACAAACATCCTCTTCGGCTTGTAGCGCAATTGTGTGCCGCCGCTCATAACCCCCATCCCTTCGTGGCATCCCCTTCGGCGAGGGGGATCTCTCAGGGCCATGCTCACGTGTATCATCCCTAACATTTCGCGATGATGCTCGAGGCGAAGCGAAGTCATCCCGAGCCATCACATCGCCAAAACTCATTTCTCGATCAAAGGAATTGGCGGGGGGACTACCCGGTATCGAAGGTGGATGGTTAACATGGTATTCTTCGAATTGCGGAAACAGAGCACTCGGCCTATCAAAAACGGTTTTCCTCTTGCTGTTGGACGAAGACCTGCTGGAAGGTCTACGACGGCGTGTCGAATCCCCGGTACCATATGTAGGAACCGAGCCCACTGGTTTTGAAGACGGTGGTATTAGCGGTTCACGTTCATCCTCGGCTATAGCCTCCTCTTGCTCGAGTTCATTTCTTGAGCTTTTCGGTCTACGACCGACACTTTCGGACGATCTAAAGGGATTCTGGTATTGGGGGCGGTATGATGACGGCGAGTCGTATTGAGGTACCCCGAACGCGCTTTGAGTCATTGTGGACGGCCTTCGAGGCCGCATGCTCTGCTGCTCCCTATATATAAATAGCAAATCAGAAAGGTGGAGGGGAACAAGGGGATCACAACTGACCGGTGGTCCAATAATCCCTCGCTCTCGACACTGGTATTGCTCAAGTTGTTGTCTTGAAGCCTGTAGAATCTGGACCTCGCGGCATTCGAAGGGTCTTGCTCTAGTCGTGACCGTGGTAGTTCCGGCATGCCAGACCCATCCTCGGTTGATGCACCAAAAGATGGTCTTCTTGCTCGTTTCTTCTTCCCACCTCTGTGGTTCCTCTTCTTCTTGGTAATTGCTTGAGGCCCAGCAGCTACCGGTCGTAAGGTAGCACTTGAGGTTCCTGCATTCTCCTGGCTAGGCAGCGGAGCTGGCTCCGGTCGCTGGGGACTATGCTCAGAATTTCCAGGATTCGACGGGGCCATCGAGGTAGATGAAGGTGGGGGGGGTTGCGCCGACATGGGCTGGATGTGTATGGCAGCCAGCAACTCTTCAATAGAGACACCTGTCACGCAGGGCCAAATAGATATAAACGAAGGCACAAATTGACCACAAATTATGAATCCGTTTGCCTGTGCCGCTGCTCTGAACTGAGCAAGCCGAATTGGAGGTTTTGATGGGGGAGTGGGCTCAAGCTCCCATCGGCGGCGCGATAACCTCAATCAGCTGGAAAGCATTGGTAGATAGCAAATGTTAGCAGTGATTAGCTTTCTGGTCGGAGGGTAGAGATGAGAATAGCCAAGTTCGTAGGGCAGAAGTAGACATAAATGGTAAATGTACAAGTAAATTCTCATCGGAATTCGAGAGCCTCAAGGGTCGCCAACGTCATTATCGCTCACCCTAGTACCGTAGGAGCAGTGCGGTTCTACGCTTGTCTCGCTCACCGCCTCTGGGGGGAGATGGATGACTAAGCCAATGACGACTTCAACGGGTGCTTGGCTTGGAGCTTTGCAAAATTAAAGTATCGTACCTACCAGCTCTATCATATATACCGTGCAATTTGTACCACAGGTAGTAATCAGATTGCCATGCAAGCCTGACGTTGCTAGCGAACTACTTACTAACTATTATCGGGCGTTGTTCTCATTGCAAGGAAGAAGTAGCACCAATTGATTGTTATATATTCTGCAATCCTCATCGCAATATACCGCATTGCATGGACCTATTTGCTACCAACTGCTGGTAGCTCCAGGAACAAAGCAAACCAAAACACCCCCTAATAAATCTTCGTAGCCAACCCTGGAAGAACCTCAAGATCCTTCTCATGGTATATATACTTTCCCTCCTTGGACACTTCCGTAGGTGCAATACGACGTTGTTGCTGCCTCTGTCGGGCGAGCACCCATTCCTCCATGGTGATCGTCTTTCCAAGGTCGGTGAAGTTGTTAGATTTCAAGTCAAGTCTGTGAAGTAAGGGGCTGTTGGCGATGGGATTGAGGATTACGTGGTTGTTAGGTCTACTGTATATCAGCTCAAAATCTCTGGATGGAAAGGAAGAATAGTATATACCTCGCAAAATAAAGGAGCCCAAGACGGTCGATATGAGCCTGGTCGCTGGGCGGCGCGTGCACACGATGGATACTGCTCTTGAAATACCCAGCCGTAAGCGCACTCAACGCATCACAGATATTAACTGTGATCGTAGCATCCTGAGGCTTCACCCATTTCCACTGATCCTCGGAATTCAGAATCTGCAGTCCTGCAACCGGCTGCCGGAAGAGCAGTGTGATGGTTCCGAGATCGGTGTGGCCGGCGCCGTACAATTTGCCAACTCCCTCGTTTTCCTCCGGGGTGCGTGCTTTGTAGTGCATGTACCGCAGGTGGTCTTCGCCTTTCTCGTTGTAGGCGTGGTCTTTCACTAGCTGGTCCTGGTCTGGAAGTTCGAGGAGAGTGGCGAAGACGCGGAGGAGTCTCACGACGACTTTCTCATGAACGTCCTATTCAGTATTAGTGGTGGCTATGAACAAGTAGGGAGTAATGGCCATGCATACCCTACTAAACTTCTCGATCTCTTGTATGTGGTCCTCTACAACCTTGGGATGAGTCCGTGGATGGTACCCATCGAACTTGGGGATGTTGTAAACCTCAATATTGTCTTTGATTGTGCCAATACTAGCGGTAACTCAGCTATCCATCTAAAGCCCCCATCAACAAACAAAGAGATCGAGACTTACGTTCTAAGCCCCGAAGGCCTATACCCGTTGAAGTTCCCCCCTTCCAACTCCTTAAGGTTATGGTACTTCAATTTCTCCTCAAGCGGGAGATCATAGAATTCTCGGCCTAATGCGAATTGGCGATTGACTTCCTCCTGAGAAATGCCAAAGTTCTTTACGTAGAAAAAACCAACATTGTGAATAGCATATTCCAACTGCTTCGCAAGCTTATCCTTTCCACCGGGTTGGTCGAGGTCATCGAGATGGAGAGTTGTGAGTTCGGCCCAGTCCAGATCTTCCTTAGTCTCCGGAATTTGCTTGTAAGGTGATAGGGTTACAGATGGCATTTTGGGGATCTGGCTGGGATTTTGGTATCGGTTCTGATATGGAGATCGATACTTGCCTTGATTAGACAGGGCCTGGAAGAGCAGAGATGGTACTATTTGTACATAGACCCGGTCCGCTACCCTCCTTATCCCTCTCCCGTTGCCATGTGGCGCAGCTCCCGTCCTTATCAATGACTAGCATCAGAGTGACTACTCTGAAGAAGCACGTAAATGAGGGCCTGATTACGCAATAGTGACATTCGAGATGGAAGGCAAACACGTAGAGGATGGAGGCATAGGCTTCCCTAACGGGTGTCTCTCCAGTAGAACATTTGAACTCGAAAGTGATTGATAAGAAATCTTGAGGGGAATATCGAAAGGGCCTAGCGGTGTAACACGGCCTAAAGATTCAACCAAACAGTTAAGTATCAGCAGCCAACGGATATAAAATCCCCCGGTTTTGTGGTCGTAACAAAGCAGTCGTGGGATGCGGCCGCACGACCCTTGTGTTGGCTGCAGCTTGACGTGCTAACATTGACATTTGACGCTATGACTTACAAATCCACCACAATAAATGGCATTGCCGCGACAAGAATGCTATATGACAGTTATTAGTAGTTGTTATCGAAACACACATGTTGCCTGTTTCAATCATGAGATGGTCCTGTGACTCGGGCAACAAAACAGCGTGCACAATTCGACGTGCATGCTTGAAGTGAGTTACCTTACTACACAGGAAGAGGCAAGCATACATACTTAATCAACAACTACATTGCAAGCACATCTGAGATAGTTTATTCCCGCAAATCCAGATTGAAAAAGTCGAGTTGGGAACCGGAAAGACTGCGCCTAGCACGAAAGCAATGAGGGCTAGGAATAACCACTTGATAGGACAATTCCTCTCTTTTTTCTTTTTTTTTTTGGTTGCAGTAAACACGGGTAAAATGCAATACTAGAAGGAATGAGACCGTTTCTTTGGATATCATTCAGGGCTGAAGCATTCAAACTGCCCAGGCTTCTAGAGGCATAGATAATACCCACAGGACAGCAAGACTGAGTGTATAATTGATAGACACAGCAATATGTTGATAAACTATCCAAGAGAGCGAGTGGGGATCCGATGCCTCCTAGATCCACTTGGACCTGCGCAGTTTAGCTTGATATCGGGAGACTTCGAGCTTGAAAAGAGATGATAACGGGAGAAAGGCGCACGTGTGCTGGCTTTTTCTATCATCGGGAGCAGAGCGGTCTGATTAGTTGTTTATCTTTTATGCCGGTGGAGGAGGGCTGCCTCGCAATGAGGCAACATCGACATCTCGATTGTAGAGGCGTTGGATATATTGGTCGATATTGCTAAGATGGTGGGTTGGAATAAAAGACGCTTCGTTATCCAGCTTAAACGAGTCACTCGGTATAGTAGCCAGCAGGGATTTATTTCGAGATTTAGGACTGGAATCGAATAACTTGAATGGTTGGCAGTATCTCGAGGTATACTACACCCATGAATCTTTGACCAATTGGGACGAGAGAATCTGGTAGGCCATATTTCTAAGAGTTGCCAAGCAAAAGGACACATACGAAACCATATCGTAGCCAAATCTGGGTCTCACGAGCTATAACAGGCAAGATACCGTGGGAATAAAGTATGGATGCGTCATATCATGGCATCAAAGCAAATTATGCCATTAGGTTCGTGATGGGATGATGATGCGGCTATTGTACCATCCCAACCGGCCTCCATAGTAATATGACGGTCATGATTCCGAAAGTGGAGATTTCCCAAGTAGTCATTGGCTTGCGGTTGAAGGAGGCCTCATTGATCTGGTATCGTAGCCATATTTTGGAATCCATAAGGAGCCCTTACTCTCAAAGGGCTGACGGGGTGAGTGGACTTCTGAGTCGTAGTTGTTGGTATATCTATGAGCAAGGGAGCGGGACTAGAAAGTGCTTCGACCTCCATATATTTCTGTTTCTTCCCAGGGTCAAGATTCTGGAGAGAATCGACAGAAAACCCTTAGTGCAAAAAAAGGGTTCTCTCGTTCTCTGTATTTCGTGGATGTTGACCACCGTATAGCGTATATAGAGCAGGTATCCTCTTTGGCCGGTATGTTGGCCCGTTTTCCCAGGAATATGTTGATGGTATGGTATGCCACAATAAATCGACATTGCCCCGTGCATCTTCGGGCTGGTACTTGGGATCTTGTATCCAGGTTATCGCAGGATAGTCCTCGGGGTAGATAGGTGCCAGAGACTTGGTGCTGTGAAAGTCTCAAGCACATAGTATCCCCATCCTCATACAAGCTCCAGCTCCCCCTTATCAACCAGGCCCTTAACATCCGCCCACCTTGCGACAACCACTTCCCCCCTCCCTACCTCCCACTCCGCATCGCCATCCCGGCCTCTCCCCTTAACAACCACACCATCTTCCCTCTCGCCCTCTTCCCTCGACCCTAACCCTCTAACAAACACAGCCCCCTCCTCATCCGGGCCCTCAATCATGCTAATCCCGCCCGCAGTATCATTCAAATCCCTCAGCCTCTCGGGGAACGCGGCCAAAAAACTATCCAAAAAATGAGAATGCAACAGGCCCTGCCGCCTCGTCGCATACTGTATCTCCAGCTCGCTAATCTTGGCTCTTCCTTCTGGGGTGGAGAGGTAGAAGAGGGTATGCTTGTCGATTTTGCTGAGGCGCGCGCGGAGGTAGGAGCGCGTGAGGAATTTCCAGCGCTCGAGTTCGGTCTGCAGGATTATCAGGGTAAAGTTCGTGGTGGGGTCCATGTCGCCCGTTAGCTGTTCGATACGTTCGACTTGGGATTTTATGCGTGTAGAGATGCGGTCTATTAGGTTATCTTGGGGCCATCTGTTCATGGGGTGTGTTAGCTAAGGTAGACAGTAACATTGTGTTAGGAGAGTGAGGTAGAAAATGGAGCTTTGCGCCTACGGTAGCAGTTCAGTTGTTCCTCGCTCGTTGATCCATGCTCTTGTTAGTGACTGTAGATCTGCTTCCCCGGAAGGCTGGCTAGGGCTGTAGTCTTCTTCGTGAGCGGCGAAGGGGTCTTCAGCGTGGTGATCGAGGTCGCGAAGGATGTCGGAGATATCCATGGTGTGACTTGCTATTATTCGCTCTGGAAGCTAAGGCTGAAATGGAGGGGGATATAAGGTTACGGCCTGCAAGAGTTATGATTTACTTATCAAGGTATCATCGACATTTCACCTGTGTTGGGTTGCAGAAGAGATATAGAGGCGAGCGTAGAGTGGATGAAGATGATCTACTAATAGCGCGTCGCGACCAGCACGCGTACCGACTAAGGTACCTAAGGGAGGTATCAAAAGACCTCTGTCTGTTATTTACCGTATTACGAAGTACAACTGCGCTGGTTCTGCTGCATTTCTCTCTTTTCCATCAAATTCGGTTAATCTCGCTTACTCGTCTTCCAAGTCTCAAAAAAAAATAAAAAGAATACCAATTAATGAAACCCCATCAAAATTAAAAGCAGGACCTCGAAATACATTATTCCCTTTACGGGAAGGGCAAAAAAATTGGTAGCTTCTCTTTGATTGAGCGTGTCCTGTTTTTCAGTTAGTCTTTGGAGGTGGTATTTTCGTAACAGAATTACTAACATCCTTAGTGCAGGGGCCATGCTAATCTTCTCTGTATCGTTTCAATTGACCAAATGCCCGAAGGCGAGAGTAATTCTGCTAATTAGCTTTATATGGTAGCCTAAGCCAGCGCGGCGAGTGTATGCTCAGGCTGCTGTGGCTCCAACTTATTTTGCCACCAACATACACCCGCAACAAGGCACTGTGGTATGCAAAATGAAATGGAATAAATTAATGGAGCTTCGTTCTATTGCTTAGGAGATGGATAGAGGTTATGTGGTTTTACACAACTTCTTCTTGATTATCATTACTTTCTCGAATAATCCAGCGGAATTCATTACATAGAGGCAAGCTGCACTCACAAAGCAGCCCATCGCAAGACAGGCGGACCTCTCTCCTCCACGGCGACATACTACCTATGCTGCAATATGACATCTACCAAGATTCAATCGACTGATACGCTAGGGTATTTATAAGCTTGGACGCAGCCAGGGCAGTCTTATCTTCACAGCGGCATTTACGAGGCACAAGATATAAGTTTAGACATGGATTTTTGTTAATATCACCAGCAGCTTAGCAAGGTAACTAGCTATTCTGCATAGCATCCCAACTCTACACTGTGCATTTCTCATCTCTCTACCCGGCCAGCAACTACTTATTCGTATCGCTCAATGAAGCCGGGTCAATGCGCAATCTCTCCTCATAAAAAGTACCATCAATCAATATCAATCTCAATTTTCACATCATCTTCATCTTCTCAGCCTTCTTCATCCTCAAGCCTCCACTGTTCATTCGCGCTCTCCGCAAACCAAAACGCAAGCAACCTATGAACAGGCACATGAAAAGCCAAGCAATGTAAAAAGAGTCCGGGATATTAAGAGGATGGCATGGGTGCAGTACCCGAACAGGGTAATTTAAGAAGTGATCAATCGTCATCGCATCGAAGGGAGAGAATCGGGAAAAAAGGTGTCGGGTTGAGCAAGGCCGAGTAAGCAGGTGGATGCTATGTTTGGCTGTATGTACGTTCTGTGTGTATCGTAGTCGGGTGTTGTGGGAGTCAGAGCAGACGAGGTAGGCTCGCCGCTGGTTCGCAGGACATGAATCATAGGAAAAAAGTTTTGTTGTGCCGGTTTTGTATTCGGTGATCATGAATATTTTCATTTGCGATCGTTGTATGTGGTCTTGTTGGTGTTTTTGTATCTGGCAATGGATGCCATTAGAAAAAGGAAATGCGGTCCAGGATTCCTGATCCAAGAATAGGCCACTGCGCCAACCGGCAGTAGTCGTAATAGTATAAAGCGCTCCAAACTCAAAAAGGTATGCCGATGCAATATGCACGCCAATGCGCCAGAGCAGATAGAAAATGGTATGGTGCGCCGCATCTCTCAAAGATGAGGTCGATGACAAATTGGTTAAGCGTCCAAAGGGGGCCGAAAGAAAATGCTGACAGGTCAGGTAACAACCTGCCGTATCAATATATGGCATGTTGAAGGATCCCCAACGCCAAAAGTCAAAACGCCATGCCAATGCAAAGTTATTAGTATGATGCCATACGTCGTGTCTGTCCTCCTCGATCGTACCCTCCCCGATATACAGGTGAGTAGTCGCAGGACATGTTCATTCCCATCATTAGTAAATCCCCACCACTGTTTCTAGATCGGTTCGGGGCCGTTGGGCTGTCGTCAATTCCTCCGTGCTGCCCAAAGGCAAAGGTTTGGGCTCGGCTTAATTTGGTCCTATTCTGACGCAGCCGGCCCATTTCCCGCTCGCACGTGTTGGCATGCTCCTTTGCGTCCATCTCGACATAGTTCTGGGGGAAGCATCGTCCTCGGTGTTCCGCAAAGAAAGCACTGTAACCACCATCGAGTATGTACACGTCGGGATAGGTGAGCTTAGGATAGTGCTCAACATTAGTCGTACGATCTTGTTTCCGGACATGGCGAGCCATGATGGGGGCACGATGGGCAGAGTACTCGCAATGAAAAATCATCAAGGTTTTTCCAGGATTGCCTTCTTCAAAAAGTTGAGTAGTGAGTAGCTCCTTGTCATTATAGTTGACAGCGCCATCGATGTGGCCACCCTCGAACTCGTACTCAAATCGGCAGTCAATGACCATACGGCGGTCAAACTGGCTGTCAAAATTGCCATCGAGAACCTTCAACAGGGTTTCCTTGGTAATCCTAGGGATACTGTCAGGCTGGCCTTCCTGGAAGAAATGTGGCAGCGCAGGTAAATGAAGCTCATCAACATCCATGACTGTGTGTAGGTGACTCGGTGCCTGTTCCTCTTGCCTGGGCTTCATCACGTCTCCCGGGCTCTCGAACATGCTCAACGATCTGCGAAACTGTTTTCGAGGGCGGATTAAGGGGTTAGATGGCCTCCGATGGTGGCCTATAGGCGACCCATTGCGCAACGAGTTCCCATTCATGCTCCCGAAAGGTTTGCAGGGTCGAGGGCCCATGTTGGAAACCGACGGGCTGTTGGCCGTTTGGGGTCTCCGTTCCTGAGGCGGTGATTCCATGAAACACTCGCCCAAGGACATGGATGTCGACGTCGACAACTTGCTGCTTCCGGCCCCGAAGCGGAAGGGAGGCAATTGGCTGTCCTGACTTCTCAACGGGAGAGAACTAGTTGACAAGCCCTTGTTTCTTGTCAAGGAGGGTCGAAGGATTATGGATTTTCTTCGCCTGCGACTAATTAGTAAATGGGGTTGAGGCTGGAATGTACAATTTAGCTTACTCGGCGGCATTTGTAGGTCTCGGAGCGTCCATTAACGCCGGCCGTGGCGGTGATGAGGGCATCACATCTTCATGAGTTATTCCTGACGGATAACCTGGTGTTGGTGATTCAACCTCCATCTGTGCCGAATATGGTAGCTTATGAGGAAGAGGAGAAATATCCATCCGCTCGTTCAATGGCCCTGGCGACGAAGATGGGAGAGGAGGGGTCGTAACGGATTCTAATGCCAGTTAATATCATCACCTCTGCCATGTGCCAGTCTTCCAACTTACCCCGACCATCAATTGTGCCAAAGAGGTTTGAGGTGAACAGCGACCGGCGTGGGGTTGGCAATTGCGGGCTGCTAAGGGGTTAGTGATGTCTGCAGACGATGAATTTCGAGATGCCATACCTCATATCAATATGGAAGTTCTGGGAGAGATCTGCCGCCAGGCTAGCTGTAGGTGAAGATCCCCGAACTGGTTGCAGGGCAAAATAATCCCGTCCCCGATTGCCTCTACCTCTCTTCATGCTCAAATCTCGAAAATTGAAGGCACCAGGACCAAATGGGCCAGCTCCAGACAGATGTGCGTGTGGGTGCGAGGTATACAGATCGTTTCCCCACCGCGGCATGAATGAAGCGGGCTGCATAGCAGCCAAGGGCGAAGAAGCCTCCATGATTGCGGTTGATGATAAGTAAAGATATCTTCGTGTACCGATGTGCAGCTGTTTCTTTGTGCAGTCAATTGGACCAATTCGAAACTATCCGCAGTAGGAATTCCTTAGGAAATACCACTTGCTTTTGACTCGGACCAGGCTCCAGAATATGTGGATTTGGGTAGAGCTCGTTTGTGGTCGTGGTAGCTGCTTAGAAGAGGGGCTACTCGAGGTGGTCACCAACCCGTTGCTTTACGGCTGCAAGCTCAGTGGGAGGTCCGAAAAGCTCGCAGGTCGCAGCGATGAGGTTGGTGAGAGAGTAATTGCACTGGTCAGAACATTGAGGCTCGAGGAGATCGATCAGGGTTCTGGTATTATTATTATAAGGGCCTGGTGAGAAGGCTGTGGCCGTGGGTGCTGCGGGTTAGTGGGAGCTGGCCGGAGGTCGAGATGCACACGCACATACGAGAAGGCGTGGGGAGTCCGTTCGAGAGAGTGACGGCTTCGACCGAGGGCGACGGGTGAGGATGAGGATGAGGATGAGGATGTAGTTGGGGAAGAGGAAGAGGAGAGGAGAGGAGAGTCGGAGAGGGTGAGAGGAGGTGAAGGGGTGAGGAAGTAAAAGGGCAAACAGAAAAGAAGAAGAAGAAGAAGTCGGGGTTTGGTTGGCGGGTCGGTGGAGCAGCGACAGCGTTGTTGTCAGGGAGATTTGGGGCGGTGGCAGCGGCGGCGGCAGAGTTTCGTAGCGATGTGTGCACTGCACCGCCAGGAACAGGACTACTAGGAACTGAGAACAGACGCTGGAGCATTACATTGCTCCGTGTATTCCAAGCTTCAGTTGGTTCACTAGGTGATGATAATTGACTGACTTCACTAACTACTCCCTTCAGTCGCTTCACTGGCTCGCTTTGCCGCCGCTCCACTGCCCTGCTTCTTCTGCTTCAGCTTCGGTCCCTAGTAGTGGTTGGCTTCGAGCCGCCGGGGGGGCGCAGAGCACTGTGGCAGAGTACGAGAACCGTACCATAGGTAGTCTACGAAGTACGAAGTAAGCAGACAGAGTTGATTGACTAATTAATTGCCTTTGCCTGGCAGTTTCAGTGAACCTGGTGCCATCCCGGCAGCGTCCTCCACGCAAACCACGTCCTTGCGTTGACATGCAAACCTTATTTATGGGAGAATCCGGAGGCATCGAGATGGACAGCAGAAAGACGACGGGAAAGTACTGTATGTAGAGTGGGTGTGTGGCCATTACAACCATTATACAATACACCCCAACTTCTCCTCTTCAAGTATGTACCTCATGGTCTCCATGGTACTCGTACAGTACCAGCAGTCCAAATCACTCCTCCATGCAAGTCCTCCAGACTCCAGAGCAACCACTGACTCAGCCTGACTGAGATGCCTCCCTTGCCTGGTCCTCGGGCGTTGGCAAGGAACTGGCTATTTTATTGGCAAGGCGGCAGTCGATATACCTGATACATCATATCATACTCCGTACAGAGCTCGCTACTACTGTCCGGCAAAAAGCTCCTCGGCCCAATAGCTCAGCTCTGCTCAGGACAGTACAGTACAGAGCACAATGTACTGGGAAGTTAGTGCGTCGTGCTACGAGTAGCGGCCAGAGTGATTGAGTGGATGAGGTCATCGAATTGTGCTGGATCGTCTCATCAAGTGTAGCAGCATGGAATCACGATTCACGATTCAGTGTGTCCTGCATTACAGCATCTGATCTGCATGATGATGATACTCTCCCGTTGCCCTGGACAGCTTCGACGCGTTGTAAATATTGACATCGCGTCTCCCTCGCAGCAACACAACCCGCACAAACCCAGGAGAGCTTCATCGTCTCCTCTCACCGCTCCCTCCAAGAGTCCAAGGACCCAAGCTCTGTGAGCGGAACATTGATATCGCGGCCGCTGCAGGGCGCGCACAAGGAAAGCCAAAAGGCTAGGAAGCTGGTCGAACAGATGATCAACACCCTGCCAGTCGCCCAATCGCTGATTGATTCCGGCGTCGTTTCCCACCAGCGTGACGCCGAAGGATTACTAGGCGTTGCTAAGGGCGGGGGGTATTTTGGGTTTTCTGGCCCGCACGGATTGCAACATTTCTTCTTCACGTAAGGCGGGAACCGCATCCTGGTGGCCGTAAGGATGTTTCTCCAAATGTCCGAAGATGATGGCCAGGCCACGACATGACGGTGGCCGTGTCCGTGTCCGTGACCGTGACCAGGGCAGGATCAGGGACAAACTCGACAGCAACGTCGAAGCAAGCAAGAATTGAGGGAAAATGTTAGCCGCCGCGAATATCTTCATGTCTCCTGTCATGTTGGAACTACATACCAGGGCGGCGGACGCTTCGGCGTCTACTTTGTACCACCAGGCAACAAGAGAGAGCTCAAAAGTTACTAATTACTACCTCCAGGATCATAGACCGTACTTCGTACAGTAGCACCAAATCGAGATCAAGATCTTCTCGGAATTGGGCCAGTCAGAAGCCCGGGAGGCGGCCCTAAGGCTGACGTTGACCAAAGACATGGCCAATCCAAGCCACCAACTGCATCTTATCCATCGGCGTCTACTTCGTACAGTACTCTGTACTTCACACTTCGTGGAAAGTCGACATTATTCTTCTTCTTCTTCAGCTCAGTCCTAAAGGCTCTGGTTCGCCACATCGGGTCCCGATCAGCTCCGCGCTTCGGGTGTGCAATTTCGTCTCCCATCCTCCATCGTCCACGTCCACGTCCACGTCCGCTCTCTCCAAATAATAATAATACTTTTGCACTCGAAAGGACGCTCTCGAGTCTTGACCCGGGTCTCAAGATAAGACAAGACAAAGCAATACTGTAGGCAAGATGTCGCATTAGCGCCAGGTGTGTGTTTCAACCCTCGTTGCCGTGCCTGGGCAAGGGATCATAGATTCATACTTCGTAGGCACTATCCTATCCGCATGCAGCCAGCCATCCCACGGTATCTCCCTCCGCGGCACCTTTTCTGGCCGCCGCTGGATGAATTGGGTGGAATTGGACGGGCTGATAACCAGGTTCGATGTTCGAAGCTGCGACGGACACTACCGGTATGCCATCCCTAGATCGCCGCAGCCACTTCTGAACATGGTCTCGACGGTGCAGCGTAGCTGAGTTCGTAGGCGTTCCTCCCGGCCCTGTCCAGGGCAGTATTTAGGCTCTACTTCACAACCTTGACATCATGGCGGTCGCCGCACATCTTGGCCGTCCATCGAGGGATCTGCAGAACCAACGCTGGGAAAACTGGAAGCAGGCACAGCAACAGGAAGGCCGCTACCCGGCTTCCAGAGCAACCGCAACCACAACCGCCACTCTTCAGACGGGGATTCTAAATCGGGATAGCAAACTGGAACCCCCTTCGGCCAACACATCGAATAATCTTAATCTTATTGCTCCATCGAGTAGCAGCCAATAACAATGACGCGCGGGAGGTCTTTCAGCACTGGAGCAGCAGCCACCAACGATTGCTGACGCCAGGATGGACGGCGCAGTGGGGTGTAGCGGGGTCGTCAGCGTCTACGAAGGGAGGGGGATACTTGGTACTTTCTCAGGAGCTTTGGATGCGAAGCTGAACTGTCCATCATACGAACAGAATACGGAGCCAGATGGCAGAAGCAGACGGTTCTTCCGGTTGGGAACTCAGGATTTGCGCAGGTTGTTTGAGCACCGCTGCGTTGCAAATCCCTGATCCCCGGAGCACCGTGGACGTGTCCCTTGCCAAGAGTAAACAACACACTTCACCCGGGCGACGCGAGATCACGGGATTCTAGCCCTCTTCATAGCTCTTCTATTTCCAGCATCTTCCGTACGGTTGATGCTCGAGGGGTGGTTTGATTCCCATCCAGGGCCGTCGGTGATCAACAATGTTGCCAAAGAGAGCCTCATCAGCACCAGCTCTTCCCAATTCCTCCTCCCATTATTGCGGTATCATTATAGCAGCTCAGCCCGCGTATGATGCTACGAGTAACAACAAGGCAACAAATCATCCATAGCAACGGTTGCTATGTACTAGATGTACGCCAAAATGCACTGCACACTGTAACTGCACACTGCAACTGCATACTGCAATGCAATGCACAAGTACGAAGTGAAATCCCCACGAGCCCCCTTCTGCCCCACCGTTTCGAAAGCCTGCACGATCGTTAACCCCGCCGTCAACCCGTCAATGCACCACGAAGACGGCCCTGGATTCCTCCATTCGGAAATCAGCAAGCCCCTCAGACCGCAGAGAAATCCTCCCGGCGGCCCCAAGCTCCAGTCCAAAAAGAGAGCTATCAAACATCAAACATCCCACCTGCGGCATTAATCAATCAGCTCGTTACGGGTACCGAGGGCTTGTGGCCCCCGCTTCTGAAGTCAGGCAGTGAGGTTGTGAGGCATTGAGGCTTGGAGATCGGTCACGATGACCACTGATGAAGATAATGCATTGTTCGCTATTCCTTTGCGAAACAATCCATGATGACTCTAGTTAAGACATGAGGCCATTCATTTCGTTCACTAAAGCAACGTAGAACTGCCGGCCTAGGATCGATGATGCGATCGATCTGCCGAGGATTCAGTGCTCAGTATTCAGTACCCAGCAGTTCCAGCCTGCTCTAAGGAGTAACAAATAGCCAGTCCCCTTTGACTGTGGGGTCAAGAGTGAACTGTTCCTTCAGCTGCCCAGCAACAAGTACAGTTTGCATGATCTGTATCGTAGTTCTCCCTCATAGCTTCTTAACTCGTCAACCAATGGCTTATTGTTTCTGAATTATTTCATCAAAGCATGTTCCATATGCCTTTACACCAAGGCATTTTCCAGCGTATAGTATCCAGGCTGCCCGCTAGTTTGTTTTAGAAAATGCACAGTTTTCTCGTGTCTAGTGAGTACTTAACAGTCATTCTCTATGACAAGGAATAGTATTATAAAATATTCAACATTCAACCCCTGGGCTGTGTTTAAATACCTGCCTATGTTTCCAGTCGCATCGTACTTTTATGCGAAGCCTACGAATCTGGATACCAGAAGTCACCTAACTTAATGGGACTTGCTATATACCCACACCCTGCCTACCGAAAAGTACTTCCCTGTAAATCCCCTTTATCTCTTTGAGACCACTTTCTTTTCATGCCTAGATCTCCAGCTCAAGATAAATAGTTTCCCAACAATTGCCGATTATTATCGATATTCAAGTCTATGCAATGCCTAATCAGGCAAACTAATAATCACCTAGTACCTAGTACCTACTATTTCGATTGCCAAATTTAACACCATCCCTCTTACATATTCCTACTCAAAAGTTATCCCTTTTCTTCAAAAGTAGTTATATTATCTATTTAAATTCTACGCCTATCCTCACACTTTACAAAAACCATTGCAGCACTAAGCTTGTCAATGTTGTGTTCGAGGCAAATAACCATCATCATATAATACTCTTCTATATATTAATCAGCAATCGCACCAAGATGTCCTCACTCTAAGTCTTTAGTCGCCCCACCCAATCAACTGTTATGCTTTTAAATTAGTAGTTTGTTTATATGGTAGGTATGTAGCAGCAGAATATTCCTCATTATGTACTACGTCGATGATTATGTGTTGAGTTCAGCTTTGTTTTATCTATTTACTAAGAAATATCGCCTTCCAGGATTAATTGAAGTTTAAGCCAACAATATTTTCCTATAATTATTCCATCTAGTCCCTCATATTAGTATATATTAGCATGTCTAAAACTATAGCTATTATTAGTAGGTTATATTTTTCAAATTCGGAATCTAGATAATAAGGAGAACTCACATAATCACATTGCTTACAGTAAAGCCACCACGGCACCGTCGGGACAGTCTCTGTCCCGGGAAACCATACCTTTGTCGTTGCTTGCCTTCAATGAGCGCAAAGATACAAGCACGACCTCGAAGCTGTAACTTTAAGGTGTAGACGTAGGAACATGGCAAGGCCGATTCATGGAGTCGTTTACGTTGTTTGAGAACGCCAGGCGAGATGGCCGCTGGGCGTTATAAAATGAGGATGGCCGCTTCCACTTAATAGGACGTCGTTCCCCACCATTCGTGGAAAGTAACAATACAATAGAAAAATCGGCGAATGCGATTATCCTTTGTATTACACGCAGAAAAAAAGCATACTCCGTCATAGTAGCCGGAAACGTATTTCCAACCGTTCAGGGCAGCAGCAACTGGAGCTCCTCTACAGATTTATGCATCGCCTAGTCCTCATCCGTCTCCTCCTCTTGTTCCTCTTGTCAAGTTTGGCGAGGTTATATTAATAGAATTTATTTGTCGTAGTATCGTGGGCGGCGTTCTTAACCAAGAAGGAAAGTAGGTATAGGCGCGAAATTATAAGAGGCGCCCTCTGCTAGTAGACAACATCAAGACATATGTCCTTCTAAAGAACCGCAAGGTTAACGTAGGGTTGTGGAAGGTGAGTTGATTCAATTATGGACTATCGCCTTTGGATCGGTCTGCACAGATTAGGTTTCCTAAACGTAGCAATCGCGAATAGGACTTGGACATTTCAAGCTCGAGATCATACCTTGACTTGAGCCCTTACCTTAACGACGTGGCGACCTTATTGCTACTTCTTCACGCATTCCGGGTCTCGAGAACGCCTTGGAGATCCAAGACTTAGAGAAAACCCGCGATGCGTGAGAATGAAGTTTCAACCTGAAGTCTTATATATTGCTGGCAATTGCTAGACGATGCGGAATAGCCACCAGTCTTGGAGGAACATATACAAAAGCTTGCAGTGAGCTTCATCCGCTTTAATGCTCACATGACTCTTGGTGTTCACTTAATTCATGGTCACCCCAAAACACCAGAAAACGCTGTTATGCTGGGAAGCAACTTTGAAAATCCTTGTGGGCGCTGGACCTAAGTGATAGAAACCGGCCCTGTAGACCTTAGCACTGTTCATGGACATATATTTGTTTTCACGAGTGATAGTTTCATCGTAGACGAGTACCATGACGGACCCATGCTCGACCTGTCTCGCCTTAAAAAGGGATTTTTTGCTAGCCTGATCGACTATTTTATCACCATCGGCCTCATGAACCTTCTCGGCCTCCGGGTTCTAATTGATGGCATGGATCAAGCCATGCAGGAGGCCACACTCGACCAAGGGACTGCCATGTTGAATGCAGCAGTCGTGCGTGGCTGCTCTCCGACCGGGGCTACAGGTTGGAGGATTGAGGTCAGAGATGGGCAGCCGTGTGTGTGCCAGGCAAACGAGACACATGCTGAAATGACTTGGGGTAACTACAGTGTTTTCAATTCTGGGAAACCTAAGCCCAAACTAAGTGATGCCGATGACCTCAAGAAAGCCCTCGTCGATGTGGATGTTCTCGGATTCTTTTGTGGCTGCCCTCAAAGGGATAGCGTGATGGGCTCTCTGTATTTGATGTTTATTCCTGACGTATCCATTAACGTAGCCAAAACATATACTAGGACCTTGAGTAAAGAAAGAAAGACAGCGGAAGAATCATACCCTGCCACATCCGACATGAGCGTTCTTCGCTAGATAAAACTTTGTTAAATTCCCGGGGACGGTATTTGCAAGGATAAAGTCCAGATTGCTGACGCCTTGTATTCGATTCATAATATAGACGTAAAGTGGTGCTTTCCCGCCGTCTCCCAACTCACCATGGAATGGCCTGTTCGGGGCGAGGAGCGATGTATTTCTCGTGCTATAGCAACAATCGGCAATCACAGCTGCGCCAAAGGGTCGACCACCAATTGTGACTCTTTTTCAAAGCTAAAACAAAAAGTAGCGTCAGCCGATTGATTGGGTCTCGTGCTTTTTTGAACGGAATAGTGGTTGGAATGGCTTAAATATGAAATAGAACTAACATTCAAAAAAATTCAAGGTATGGGCTCCCAGATGCAAGGGGAGAAATATTCTATCTGTGGTACTTTAATGAATTGAAGGGGTTCGAAGTGCCATTTTGCACAAAGTGGGAAAATAGCAGGATAAATCAACGACTCATATAACAATAATTCATCATTAATTTGATTATTGGACTCTATCAAGCGCTAGCTTTACATGAGGTACCAGGCCTAAATGATATAACAAAGAAACGTGAGACTTGAATGGAAATCCGTCTCTGGATTGCATGATAAGCTAGTGGCTATGTCTAGGGGCGCGAATCCAAATAATATAGTACACAAACCACTAAGAGACGAATAGACTACTAAGCATCTCGTAACTCCTTAAACTAAATGCCCGAGCCCAAGTGTTCATCCCTAGAGAGCGCCTTGACCACACCTTGATGTTGGTCTTTAACCACCAGTAATAACTCCATGTATGCATTAATTATCTCCCAAAGCTGGCCCTTAATGCTAACAGCTGAGCCCTATCTGCTGGCGGTAAGCTATCAATAACCTCTTGAGGCATAGCTAGGACCTGCTGCATCAAGCCATCTGTTTCTGGCAATGGCGCTGCCGGTGCAGCCTGCTGTTGTTGCGGAGGGGGCCTATGCTGAACCGGAGCAGGTGGCGGAGGATATAGTCCGTGGTTTTGCACTGGTGGAGTCCCGCCCATTGGCACACCAAGTTGCCCACTCATATGCGGAGGTGGAGGGGGAAATCCACTAGGATAATTGCCTGGTGGGACTTGGTATCCTTGTTGTGGTGTAGGAACTGGGACCGATGCTGGAGTAGGCGCTGGAGCGGCTGATGCGGCTTCTACAACGGATGAAAGCGCTTCAGTTGACACGAGACCCATGAGAAGTAGGGCCTGAAAGATGGCATATGATAGTTGAGGGGCTTGACTTAGGAGCTCGGTGGCTTTGGCTGGGTCGGTTGTTGCTAGAGTCTTCATTTGTGAGAGGACATCGAGTAATTGTGAGGGCGGGAGGGTGTTGAGTGTTCGAGATATTGCATCTGGACAGTTTAGGCCGGGGGGAAGATCAACTCCTAATGGCAGTGGAGGGAGAGCTGATGTGTTTGTGCCTGTTAGAGGCTGTGCAATAGCGACCCCATTCGGAGGTGCCGGATGCTGATATCCTGTGGGTGCACTCTATTTGAATTCAACGTTGCGTTAGCGCAGCCTTTTAGGATGAGATATGGAGGGGCAAAATTTATATCGTACATTGTCGTCATCACCACCGGTATCATTCGAGAAGTCGACGCGCAATTTCCGGTTCATGATTTCGAAGTCGTTGAGGTTCCGGACTGCGGAGGCGGCGGAATCTGTTTGATGTGTCAATCGAAAGTTAGAAGGAAATATAAACAGATCCTGTAGGGTTCCATCACCTACCTGAATCAGGGTACTCTGCAAATCCAAAGCCCTTCGGTCGACCCGTTTCTCTATCGTAGACCAATCTAAAGTTCAAGACTTTGCCAGCGCTGTTGAAGATATCGACGATTTGCTCTTCCGTGAGGCCTTCAAAACGTTAGTCTCTGTAGAAGCGCCGTCACTTTTGGCGCGAAGGGGAATTTCCTACCATATGGGATATTGCCAACAAACACGGATTTCGACGGTGGTTTCGACATCTTTGCGCGGTGATTGAGGCTGAGGTTTCTGCACAAACAATATCTGTGTATGTGTATGTGTGTGGGGGAACAAGATCACAGGGTGCTGGCAATGCAACAGCCTCTTCTCTTCAGGAATGAAGGCTGATCAATGGTCACCTTTCAAGTATGTTTTGGGAGAATGAGAAACGGAGAATGGCACAGAAGTCTTTGAAAAGGTGTTTCTGGCTATTCTAATGCTGCTTCCTCTCTTCACCACCAGTACACCTTTTTCTCACAATGCCTGCAAAGAGATTAGATATTAGAGATTCTCCCAGGAGATCTTGTTGTTTTGGTGATCTTGATTTTGTGCAAGGAGCTGGGAGCACCGATTACTATGATTGAGGTTCGGATTTGAATGACGCTAAAACGAATACGGATAGCAATGCCTTCCTCAAGGCCTCAGTAACAAGGCAGCGAATGCACCTACGCTAGCGACAATATTCGGAACTCATGAAGGCTTCTTGCACTGTAAACCATCGCTGCAGCATCAACGTCAAACACCTCCACCACATCCGTCTCCGAACTACGACACATTCATTCCATCTTATACCGAACTCCGCCAATATGTCGAACCCCCAGGAGGCATGGAAACAATTGCAACGGATGGCTAATCGAGCCCAGAGAGGAGGCGGCGGAGGTCCTTCACCTAAGGGTATCGCCGGAGGTGTCGGCGGCCTGCTGTTGCTTGGAGGAGCTGTCCTTGCAGCAAACAATGCGCTCTTCAACGTTGATGGTGGTCACAGAGCTATCAAGTATACGAGAATTGGTGGTGTGGGCAAGGAGATCTACTCCGAAGGTATGGCAGCCACACAGGCCAGCAGCTCATCTTCAAGGTCTCGTGTCTATGTGAACTAACGTATTTTCTCCGCAGGAACGCATCTCAAGATCCCATGGTTTGAGACACCAATAGACTACGATGTTCGAGCTAAACCACGCAATGTCGCTTCCCTCACGGGTACCAAAGATCTTCAAATGGTCAACATTACCTGCCGTGTCCTATCTAGACCGAGGATCGACGCCCTTCCTCAAATATACCGAACACTTGGTACCGATTATGATGAGAGAATCTTACCGTCAATTGTCAATGAGGTCCTCAAGAGTGTGGTTGCGCAGTTTAACGCCAGTCAATTGATTACACAGCGTGAAAATGTCGCAAGATTGGTTCGAGATAATTTGTCGAAGAGAGCGGCGAGGTTTAACATCATGTTGGATGATGTTTCTTTGACGGTATGCCCATTTCCCTACCTGTAAATGCTTCAGGTACTGACATAATCCTAGCACCTTGCATTCTCACCTGAATTTACCGCCGCCGTCGAAGCCAAGCAAGTCGCACAGCAGGAAGCCCAACGTGCTGCCTTCGTCGTGGACAAAGCACGTCAGGAGAAGCAAGCAATGGTTGTCCGAGCTCAGGGTGAAGCCCGTTCTGCCGAGCTTATTGGAGATGCCATCAAGAAGAGTCGATCATATGTTGATTTGAAGAGAATCGAGAATGCAAGAGCTATTGCACAGATCTTGCAAGAGGCTGGTGGACGGAACAAGCTTTATTTGGACTCTGAGGGATTGGGCCTGAACGTTACCGAGAGCTATGAGGACAAAACGAAGAAGTAATGGGGCTGTATTTTAAAAGGAACTCTCCACTGTATTGAAGCGATAGCACTGTAATTGTACGATGAGAGCTGCATACCACGGGCGTAGCCCGATTGTGGGGCCCCCACCATCTTTCTATCTCCTCGCTGTAACCTCGATTTTATCTATAATTCGAGTTTTATGGATCAGCCTTTAACATATCTGCTTCGAATACTATTTGCATCAACCTAACGAACATCAAACGATTATTCCTCTTCCACAGGTTTTAGTTAGACTCCATCTCGTTGGACTCGGCCCTGGGTGGAGCTAGGTATGCTAAACTCTCTGCTGCGCTTTTGGAGGCGTCACGTTTCGAAGACATAGTGATGTTAGCCACTATAAAAGTTGGTGCCTTTGTAATGCGAAGAACTCCACTGCCCTTTGAGCGACACGTACCCTCCGGCTTTTACTAATAACGGCGCCCCTATATTACGCAAGATGGGTCACCTCTTAGGGTCTACGTACCTACCTTATGCGTTGAATGCCATGCTTAATTAGAGATATCGCGACTTCAGCGCCATTCTCGATAACGAAAGCCGATTTTATCCTTTTTTGGAATGTGGCAACACCACTATACTCCCGCGGTGTTGCTCTAGCCCTTGCTTTAAACAACCCTTCCCTCTTATACATCCAAAAAGTTCGATATAAGTAAGCAAAGCGTAGCAGCTTTGTGTTTTATCGCGCCGCTTTTTATACTACTTTAATATCTTTAAATAAATTAATTTATATGTTAAAAGTAAATTATTATATACTATATTAATTAGTATAAGATACGATAATATCCGAGTATTTAGCTTATCACAGATATATATATATATTGTTTCTCCTTTGTAGTAGAGAAGTGCCAGGTGGGGTGCAGTAGCTTTTTCAGCTGGGCAGGGAACTCCTATAACTCCTATATTCTAACATGTATGCCTCGAATAAGTCGTGGGGAAAATAGGGCCGGTATGCGATCCTCGAGCTTACAATCGCACCGCAGCAATGCTTCTACCCCATCAACACGGCGTGGGTGTCGCTCAATGCGCGTAATCCGCAGGAGCGCAGCATCTTGATGGCGATGATTATCATAGCCGCTAATTTGGCTGGCATTTCGGGCGGACAGATTATGCGTGCCAGCGACTCGCTACTATATCGCAATGGCTTCTTGGCCATTCTTATCACATCTGCGTTTGCATGGGGATTGGTTGTATTCCAGTATCTGCGGTATAAACAGACAAATGCAGTATAAACAGACAAATGCAGTATAAACAGACAAATGCAGTATAAACAGACAAATGCAGTATAAACAGACAAATGCANGCAGTATAAACAGACAAATGCAGTATAAACAGACAAATGCAGTATAAACAGACAAATGCAGTATAAACAGACAAATGCAGTATAAACAGACAAATAAGAAGGCGCTAAAGTTGGGCGAGGTGAAGTACGTCTATACCCTGTAGAGGAGGGGACGGGAAGATGAAGTGTCGAATGGGCCACGCAATACTTCCTAAATATATTGATAAAAATAATTCGATCGATATCCCGAAATGATAAAGCCTTCACAGCGCTTCAGATCGGTCTAGACGTTGAGGGGCGCGTGGTTTGTTATTGTAGACCAGATTATGAGGCGGATTTCGACAGGGGCAGGAGAGGAGGAAGAGAAGAAACTCGTCTACTACTCTGTACGTCCAAGTATCTAATAATAACGGAGCAGCCAGGGAGTGCTGGTCGTTGCCTAGGTAAATATTACGAGTATCCGAGATGCCTTAAAAGTTAAAACCCCGAGTATTCTACGCCACCAGGGCTTTGTCTCGGCCCTAGGGACTAGTAATATTGCCAACCGGAAAGCAACGCACATATATGGATCAATACTTGGCTGTCGCTGGCGGCTTCCGCAACCATTCCATTCACAACCCTTCTAGAATCTGCATAATGCTTTTTGAGCTAGATGTGGCTGACGGAGGACTCTAAATGTGGAATAGTTCCAAGGAAGGCGACAGGCTAGAGCGCTCGAGGCCCAAATTCAATCGACGTGGCTTGTAACTTATTGTATTTCCAGAGCGCAAATGCCACGATGGGCTCTTATGGGCGTAATTTGCGAATGGGATTTGAGCTGGAAAGTTGGCGATGCCATGTTGAAGGGCATTGATGGGCAAGCGCTCGGATTTTTTAGTTCTTTTATAATTTCCTAGACCTGCTCCTTTCCTGCTTCTTTTCACTTCTAGAGTTTTTACTGCGTTCACTCGCTCATTCTCTCGCAATCCACGCTCGTTGTTGGGTTAATGCCTTAAACCTCAGTTATGCAGCTCAAACACTATAATATTGTACTTACGCTCCTCTTCATTTCTTCCGCCACCGCATCTCCTCTTGTAGCTTTGAACAAACGACAGTCAACATTCTCCCTGCCCTCCGGGTTTGTCTATGAGGGATGTTTCACCGAGGCTACCAACCAGCGAGCGCTCACCGGCCTGGGCTATTTCGACGACTTGATGACGCTCGATAAATGCGCCACAGCATGTTCCTCTTTCAAATTCTTCGGTGTCGAGTACGGACGAGAGTGCTATTGCTCCAATACTGGGTTGAATGCGGGCAGTGTCTCCGCCCCGGAGGAAGACTGCTCGTTTTCATGCCCAGGAAATGCTACACAGAAATGCGGTGCTGGGAATAGACTTAATGTCTATAAGATGGTTGGCTCATCTTCGACTCTGACTTCATCTTCACCAACTGCGACACCGACGCCTGTTTCAAAGTATACAGCTTTGGGATGTTACGCCGAAGCCACAACCTCCCGAGCACTCAACGACGCCTCTTATTTTGATGACTTAATGACGGTAGAAAAATGCCAGGCTGTATGTGATGGGTATAAATACTTGGGTCTAGAGTATGGGAGGGAGTGCTGGTGTGCAAATGTGTTGAGGGATAGTAGGTCGACGACGGACGAGGAATGTAGCTTTCCTTGCCCGGGGGATAAGACGCAGAAGTGTGGTGCGGGAAATAGACTGAATCTATATGTTTTGGGAAGTTCTGTCTCGACGACCTCTTCAACAACTTCTTCGACGACGAGCTCTGCTACGACTTCAAGCAGCTCGTCTACTAGCCCCAGCTCAACAGAAAGCACATCAACTGCATCCACTTCCACCTCCTCCACAGTGACATCAACTACGACTTCATCCAGCTTAACAAGTTCGTCCTCAACCACTTCATCTACCAGCTCCAGTTCAACCGTAAGTAGCATCCCTCCCTACCACTCAAGGCCCGCTCTTCTATCACAACGCTAAACTAATTATTCCCCAACAGACGACCTCCACTACGCCCACAACCTCAACCGCCCCCGCCTGCCTCGCCACTGCGCCCGTCACCAACACCGGCTTCGAAAACGTGTCCGGCACAACAGCAACCGGGTGGCTTCCATGGAACTACATCGGCGGCACCACGATGATTCAAGTCGACTCTACCGTAGCACCCCCTCACTCTGGTGCCCACAGCTACAGGGTCCGCTCTCCTGCACTTACTGTCACCAACTATGCAACATTCGCCCAAAATGTCGTGTACTGTGCTGGCTTGACCTATAACTTTGAAGCCTGGTATAGAGTACCTGGGGCGAATTCGGGGATTACGACATATTTTAGGGCTGGGCCTTTAACTATTACCCCGGTGTATACGATTGTGGGGACTACGGGTTGGGTTAAAGTCAGTAGTAGTTTTGAGGCGCCAGCTGGGACGAGTTTGAAGTTTTATGTTGAGATGAAGTTCCCGCCAAGTACGGCACCGCAGGATATATACTACGATGATATTGTTATAACTCTTGCATGAGGTGAGAAGTGGATGTTTTAGTTGTATAATGTGAAAAGGCGGGGGGTGTTTTCACAGGCTGTATATAGACTTACTTGTTTATAATTTATAGTTTTAATAAAAATTTATAAATATATATTTAATGTAAGTACTTTACTTTATTAAAACTATTTAGGCAATAAAATGGAGTGTAAGTATATAAGTACAGTTGTTATATCGAATATAATCTCTAATTAATACTATTAGTCTAAAAGAAAACAAAGGCTATCAAGTAAGGCTAATGTAGGTACTATTTATATATAGTAGAATTAAACTAAAACTAGTGGCGAGCAGCTACACAACACGAGCTAACTTGACCCAGTTCCCCAACACCTGGGATCGGCCACCATGAGATATTCCCAGGACAAGGATATCGCATAGTTGTCTCTGTCCGATTGCCAAGAGGACGAGTAACCTTCGAGCCTACAGGTACGCTCTGGGCCTTATAAGTTAGGTCGCTACTCTGGAGTGTTTGTCGACGGCGGCCGGGAGCGGCCTAAGGCCAATAGAGATGTGATAAGCGCCAAGCGTCCAGGTTGAAGTCACCTGCCTCATGAGGTTCCGCGTCGGATATACCTTCTGTGCTTCCTATCCTCTCATCTCCAAGTCTCTCGGTGTCTATGCCTCTACGTCTCTAGGCCCCCATTCTTCAATCCTCCAATTCCACAATGGGTAATTGCCAAAGACTTCTAATCCCAACAACGAAGCCACTAGGCACAAAGAGCCGATCAACAAATACGACCTAGGTAGCTCCCAATCGCTCCATTTACTACCGCGGCTTGCCGTACAAGCTGTTGAGATAGCAAATTACTAGGGGTTTGCAAAACCACACCAACCACCTTCCAACTCGGGTTTCTCACCGGGCGGGGTACGGATTATCTACCATGAACAAGATGCTGCTTTTGGAAGCTGGCGCCATCTCTGTGTGGAATGTCGAAGCTTCCTCGTTGCAATCCCGACAATTAGTCTGTTATGCAGATCGGGGGTCATATTGGGACCCAGGGGCAGGACCGGCAAAACGGACAAGGCACGGGAAGCTCCATTTAATTACCCTTGAATCCTTGATACGTAGTAGAGGTGACCGTCACGAACAGCCCTCTCAGATTGCCTTGCATTGCAGTACATGCTACTTACTTGCCATGGGGACGACGTCGTTATTGATTGCGAATTTGCGAGGATAATCGCTTCCGGACAGCGGTGTTGCCCTGTCAGGGTCGCAGTTGAAGCTGCATACACGTCGTGGGTACTACGTATAAGAATCTTCCTCCCCACCTCGAACAACCTCGCAAGTGCTGTTTACTCTTTCGTTCCTATCAATTGTTCCGTTTCCTTCTTGAAATCCCCCAAGGAAACTGGCTCTCGATAGTAGCAACCATGCGGTCACCTTTCTCTCTCGCTCTCCTCCTGCTCTCGGGCACCGTCGCTGTAAATGCAGCCTCCAATTCCTCCAGCTCTCCCCTTTTTACCCCAGAGGCAATGCTGAGTGCGCCTCGACGGGGCGCAGCAATTCCCAATGCCGACGGCTCATTGGCGCTGTATTCTACTACGACGTACAATTTCACGACGCACAAGCGGAAATATGCTCTCTCTGTGACGCACCTGTCAAATGGAACCTCTTGGCTTCTCAGTAACTCTAGCGCGGTTAGCAATGCCAATTGGCTAGGAGACGGAAATAAGATTGTGTGGTTTGAGTCGGAAGACGATGGTTCAACGACTATCAAAGTTGGCGATGCAACCACTCCAGCTGCAGCGTACGTCCAGTTTCCTCCGTACCCTAACGGGAAATTTTCATGAACCCAGAAGCTGCAATAAGTAGGCAGAAACAGCCAAGGGTAGCTCGGGTCATGCTATCTATCCAACCATACTGACCTATGCAGACCAACTTCGGCAGGCTCTGTGCCAGGCTCAATAGATGGACTTAAGGTCGTTGACCTAGGCGGCGGCACTTATGCCGTAGCCTTCGTAGGGACAGCCTCGCCGAACGGGACATTGTACAATTCAGAGCTTGCCGCCAAACCGGTCACGACAGGCAGAATGTATACAGAGGTCTTCGTAAGGCACTGGGATACTTGTAAGTTGCTTGAACCTTACGGGCTATGAAATACTGATGGCAAGAAGATCTTACGCCTGAACGAAACAGTATTTGGTATGCTGCCCTGTCCAGTGGCGCCAAGAATGGCAGCACAGGTTACACATTGAGTGAGCCAATTAATGCCCTCAATGGCACTGGACTTGAGTCTCCAATTCCTCCCTTTGGAGGTACAGATAAGTATGAATCATCCCCTCCATTCTAGAATCGCAGGCTGACACTCTATAGCTTCGATATCAGCAAGTTTGGGATCGTCTTCGTCGCTAAGGATCCTAAACTCAACCCCGTCACCACTACCAAATCAGACGTCTACTACATCCCCCTCAAAACCTTTACAGAAGCTGCACCGGAACCTCAGATTGTCACCACTCCTAAACTCGAAGGCGCTTCCACATCACCAACCTTCTCCCCAGGTAGCGCCGCTGTAGCTTTCGTTCGTCAACAAGAAATTAGCTATGAAAGTGACAAGTGGCGCCTCCTGCTAGTCCCAGATATCACTAAGGGGTTGGAGGCATCTGAGTTTTATGCTTCTGAAGATGGTGTAGGGTCCTGGGATCGTAGCGCTTCTCAAGTGTGGTGGAGCGCAGACGCCAAGACGATTTTTATTTCTGCGGAAGATTATGCTCGAATCCGTCTGTTTAGTGTCCCTGCGGACGCATCAACGAAAGCTCTACCTCAATTGATTTTCGCTGAGGGAGGAGTCTTAGACGTGCATCCACTGGCCAGCGGAAAGGTTTTTGTCAACAGCGCCAGCTTCCTCGATAATTCTATCTTCTCATGGGTTGATCCAGTTGTCTCTGCTGCGTCTAACGCAACCGAAGGAGTCACTCTCATAGACGCGAATCTGAAGAATGGGGCAGAATACGGGTTGTCCCGCAGCCAGATCTCGGAATTCTACTACCAGGGGGACGGCGACTACATTGTGCACGCCTGGATCATCAAACCTTCATATTTCAAGGAAGGCGAAACCTACCCCCTGGCCTTCTATATCCACGGCGGCCCACAAGGCGCGACAGAAGACACCTGGAGCACACGCTGGAACATGATGCTGTATGCCGAACAAGGCTACATCCTCGTAGCCTTTAACCCCACAGGCTCCACAGGCTTCGGACAGGCCCTCACTGACGGGATCCAAAACCAATGGGGCGGACGTCCTTACAACGACTTAGTGCTGGGCTGGGAATACATTGAGAAGAACCTGCCTTACGTCGACACCGACCGCGCCATCGCGCTCGGTGCTTCATTCGGCGGCTACATGGTATACTGGATCCAAGGGCAGGATTTCGGCCGAAAATTCAAAGCCCTCTTCGCGCACGATGGCTCCTTCAACACCATCGCGCAGTACGCGAGCGAAGAGCTCTGGTTCATGCAACACGACTTCAATGGCACGCTCTGGGATAATTACGATAACTACGAGCGATGGAATCCTGCCGCACATACCAAGAATTGGACTACACCCCTTCTCATCGTGCATAATGAACTCGATTACCGGCTTCCGATCGCGGAAGGTCTGGCGGCTTTCAATGTCTTGCAGGCAAGGGGCGTGCCAAGTAAATTCTTAAGCTTTCCCGATGAGAACCATTGGGTTTTAAATCCAGAGAATAGCTTAATTTGGCATAAGACCGTGTTTGATTGGCTAAACGGCTATGTGGGCTTGCCACCTTATTCAAAACCCGGGGATGAGATTTACCAGGCGACTTTGCAGAATGGGCCATGGATTCTGAGTGGCGGTTCGTCGTCGTCGTAGGCGAGGTGAATTAATGGCTTAACATAACACTTATTATAGCTAGGTAGATGATTAATGACATAAGGGTTAATAGGTTATGAAGGTTCCACATCGTGCTGAGTCAAATACATCATTCTGGAATGCTTTTGTGGCCGTCTAATAGGCTTTGGCATATTTGCTGAATCAATGCAAGACGATTCAGCTTGCTTGAATAACCCACCAAACTAATAAGTTGTATCTGTAAGATAATCAGAAAAATATGCCTCTCCTCTGGGTACTAGCCAGGTGTTACGAGCCTGCAGCAGCATCCTCTCATCATCAAAGCTAACAAACCCAAAGGCTCCAGCCTTTCTTGGACTTGATGATGCAAACCTTTTGCCAATTAGTACCCCTTTAGATCAAACGGAAAGTATACGGTTTTTCGTCCGTAGTGCTGTTGGGTGGATTCTCCTACACATAGATACCCGTGAAGAGGTCATGGCGGCTGCGACGATGTTGGACGAATAGTAGTAGGAACTATCAACTATGCTCAAGAAAGTTGGCGGAGAGGTGTAGTCTTTATAACAGCTCCCGAGCCAGACGATACAATGATAGGATAGTGTAGGATCCATGTACTGAGTCTATTCTTCCTGCTTAGCCAACTAAATAAGCTTCTTATTACATGCATAGCGTTTATATTTTGCGGCGAACATCAGCAATGCGCAAACCACCTAGCCCTGGTACCGTAGGTAGTCTATGCTACTGGCTGTTGCTCTATTCCCAACTAAGCCTGTAGAATATATCCTTTAGTGGGATTCGTTGGCAACATTGTCGATGCTGGTAATTGAACATCACAGGAGATATATGTTCTATAGAGGAAGAACTTTAAGAGTCAAACATAGATATTATAAGGGGGTATAGTAAAATTGTCAACCAAGCTAAGACGAGTGAAATAATTATATTTGTATGCACTTGCACATAGATCATAAGATAAATTCGCCTGTTTCACGAAATAAAAAATTCCAGAGCATTCTGATGAAAAACGATTTCACCTGGTCGAGGCGGTGGACATAATGGACGACTGGGGGACGCTAAAAATTCCGGCAGAAATTCGGGAAAACTGACCAGTGCATTTTCAAAAAAAGTTGATGCAGAATCAATTGTCTGCTGCCGTTGTCACCACCACCACGATGCATCAAGACAGGACCAAAAAGATCGCTGCAGGCCGCAAACCAGATGAGCAATTATCGCTAGAAAGCAGACCTCGAGATGAGCAGAGTGAGAGCGATAATGATAGTGCGGATCCCATGGAGAAGGATGCGGAGGAGGAGGAGCTGGATCGACTTGTGCTTGGATATGGAACAACATTCAGAGCTCAATTAGGTCAAGAAACGGATATGGATTATGGCCAAGGCTCAGAGAATGATGATTTTACTGCGCAAGAAAACGATGAGGGTAACGATGGCCTCGAGGGTGTCGATGATGCCGATGTGAGAATACCCCACCAACTATTTAACCACCAGACACTGATTTCTTCAATAGCTTTTCTTCCTAGATTCCGGCCCATCTCTTGTTGATCCCGGTTCTCTGATAGCGCGGGAGCCATCTGAAGACGGAACCGGAGGACATGCGCCTGCCTGGGAAGATAGCGACGACGACCGGTTGACAGTATCACTTGCCGGAAATTCTAGATTACGAAAACTTCGAGTTACCGAAGAGGAAGATACCGTCAATGGGCGGGAATATACGCGGAGGCTACGACGGCAATTCGAGCGTCTTAATCCGGTGCCAGATTGGGCGAAGGATGCCACACGACCAACAAGGCGGCGCCGTAGGTCTTCGGCAGCTTCCGATTCTTCAGTTTCTTCCAATGATATGGATGTTGATGAGGCGGACCTCTCAACTCTGCCGTTGGCGCGTTTGCTACAAGATGCTGGAGCCCTGACGAGGACAACGGCTAGCCCGAATAAACGCCCAAAGCTCAGACCGGAAGTTCTCGATATCCAACGATCGCGCGATATACCCCTCGTTCAACCCTCTTCAATAACCTCATTATCATTTCATCCTGAATACCCCGTTATCCTTTCCTCTGGCCCTGCATCTACCCTCTACCTCCACCATATCGCACCAACCGCACATCCCACTCCAAACCCTCTACTCACGTCTGTTCACATCAGCCACACGCCCCTCTCCACCTCTGCCTTCCATCCGCAAGGAGACAAGATATTCTTCTCCAGTCGTAGGCGTTATTTTCATGTCTGGGACTTACCGTCTGGGACCATTCAAAAAGTGACCCGAGTGTACGGACAAAAGGAGGAGCAAAAGAGCATGGAAAGATTCAAGTTAAGCCCTTGCGGAAGGTATATGGCTCTTGTTGGGTCGTCCAGAAGAGATGGTGGTATCATCAATATACTCGATGCACGGACTACGCAATGGATAGCTGCGGCGCGGATAGAAGGGAAGAATGGCGTTGCCGATTTTGCATGGTGGAGCGATGGAGAGGGCCTTACCATTGTTGGGAAAGGGGGAGAAGTAGGGGAATGGAGTGTGGAATCCCGCTCATTCCTTGCCCGCTGGATAGATGAAGGCTATGGCCCGACCGTCATCACGCTCGGTGGTCACGGTGGGCCACGAAACCTTGGCGGAGATCGATGGATAGTGATCGGGTCTCAAAGTGGAATTGTTAACATTTATGATCGGCGGCACTTTGTCTCCGCAAAGAACGAAATCAACATCCCAGAGAGGCCGCAGCCGAACAGAAGTTTTGAGCAATTTACAAAGCCAACTAGCAATTTGGAAATCAGCCCAGACGGGCAGCTGTTGGTCTTCAGCTCCAAATGGAAAGGAGATGCCCTGCGCCTGGTCCATCTTCCCAGCTGTACTGTGTATAGGAATTGGCCCACGAGCCAAACACCATTGGGTCGCGTTACGGCCGTCGCTTTTAGTAGGCAGAGCGACATGTTGGCAGTTGCAAATGAAGCGGGGAAGATTAGGTTATTTGAGATTAGAAGTTAGCACAACTGAAATCGGAGACGACCAATCTCAATTTTGGATTTGATGCGAAAGGATTGTGATATGACTGGTTAAAGGAAGTACATCTCGAGACGTTGCTGTTGTGAAGGGCGTGGAAGGAGGTCTCATTATTACATCCCATCTTTATGTTGATGGGAAGGTTTGGAGTTTGGCCGGAACGCTTGATCGATGCGACTTGGGCTAATGATAGCATATCATAGTTGCTAGTATATACAGTATATATTGGCAAACATGGCAATTCCTTTTCAAATGACCCTACGAGCACTGGTGGATGCGGGAACCTAGGAAATGTAGCTAATGGATAGGGCGGACAAAGGCCAACTTAACTTACAACGGCTATAAAAGTGACACCAGAAGAACAAAGAAGCGACTGCTTTCAATCACATGCTATCCAATAAACTTATCTTCTATTTGTATCCACGACATTTTCGGTTCTACCAATAGATATTTTGAGCCTCCTTACCAGGCTATTTACCATACTCGCATGCGCTGAGCATTTTAATATCGAGTATAGGATTTGCGGGACTCTGCCCGATGGATAAGACTTCGATTTTGAGTTTATGTTCGCCCCTTAACAAGCATCCTAACGAGAGCTTATAGCGGCCAAGACCCGGCGTTATTGGGGACAGCCGCATACTTGCACGAGGTGGCTTTGGAGCTGTGTTCTGGCCAGCCAAAAGAACCTCCACAAGTCCACATCTATGCGTAGCCAAGGATTGGGGGAATGCTGTCCGAAGCATCACTTGTCTACCTACCTAGGTACGGAGTATTCCATGCACGGATTATCGAGTACCGGGCGTAGCACTTCGTAGCCCTCAAGTCCATGCGCTAGGTCAGCCCCAGCTTATGAGAAGTACTACGCAAGGTACGTTTTTATCGGAATATGATACTGGTGCAACGTGAGCGGGCGGCCGCTGCTTTCGCAGTCAGCGGGATCCCAGCTACAGGCACTGCCACGAAAAGGGCCACCAAGTGTCGCAGACGAAGTGACGATTCTTGCTGGAGCCAGTGATGGCTATCGTGAGGCGACGGTGGCTGTTATTACTTTTCCGCCGCAGCTCCAAGTGGTTTGGCGTCAGGCTGACTTGGCCGGACTGGACAACGCCTCCTGTCAGCCGCAACACTAGAAATGGCCCTTCCAAATTATTTATCTCAGCGGCTAGCCCACCCCCAAGTGGGGTTGGGTTCTATGGTTCTGTGGTTTTGTGATCTCCCTCGTATCTCTTTTCCGTTCGTGAGACCCTCGTGCTATTTCTGCCCTGTGACAGAAAAGATACCGAATACCTTTGTAAACTGCGGCTCTTTGGCCATAAGGATTGTGAGAACTTGAGAGGCGAAGATGGATCCAAGATTTGGACATGGACGGGTGCGTTCTTCGGAGAACTTAGCACCACGACATATTCCGGTACGCACTGAGACTCAGAAGATGATGTGAAAGACACTGTGGGGAGGATTGGCTGACCTTGAGACCACACTAGATGCCAGGAATCCCGGATCCCCATCCACAGCAAGGGCACCTCTACCACCGCCCAAGTGATCCGGAGATGCATACCTATGGACCGGAAGATGATCCTCAAGAATATGCTTTCAACCCTGAAGAGCACCAACAGGCGTATTATCACCAGCCTTATCAGGCCGCACCGCAAGATATCCCCCTGTTGGCAAGAAACCCTAGCCACGAGCCCCTTTATGATCCCCATGAAGAAGATCGCCCGCCTCCTCGTTTTCGGGATTCTCACCAATCATTCCAATCCGGCCACAGTATTCCATCGGCGCCAGGGACCCCAGGCGTGGGTGGCATTGAAACCAAGGATGGGCAGCAGCCCACTGAGGGCAGAGTTGGGCACTTAGTTTACGACTGCCCAGTACCGCCTAGGTTGCTTAAGTCAATTCAACACCCTGGGGGTACTGGTCGCGATGAATTCACCCATATGCGATACACAGCTGCAACATGCGACCCTTCCGAATTCATGGCGGAGCGGTTTAACCTCCGGCAACAGCTCTTCGGGAAACCTAGACATACGGAGCTGTTGATCGTGGTTACGATGTATAATGAGGATGACGTGCTGTTTGCCAGAACTATGATTGGAGTCTTCCAAAATATTGAGTATATGTGCTCTATGAAGGGCAAGCATAAGGGTTTGTGGGATAAGGAGGGCTGGAAAAACATCGTTGTTTGTGTGGTTAGTGATGGCCGTGCAAAAATTGATATCAGGACTAGGGCAGTCTTAACAGCCCTTGGAGCTTACCAGCACGGCGTGGGCAGGGAGAAAGTCAACGACAAGAAGGTCACATCTCACATATACGAGTACACTACCAAAGTTGGCATTGGGATCAAGAACGGCGTTGTGGAGACAAAACCAGGTATGCAGTGCCCGGTGCAATTGTTATTCTGTCTTAAGGAAGAGAACCAGAAGAAAATCAATTCTCATAGGTGGGCTTTGCAGGCGTTTGGTGAGGCTCTCCAACCGAATGTTGTGGTGCTCTTAGATGCTGGTACAAGACCTGGGCCCAAGTCAATATATCAACTGTGGCGTGCTTTCGAAATCGATGAGAAGTGCGGCGGTGCTTGCGGAGAGATCAAAGCCATGCTAGGGACCGGTGGCAGAAATCTCCTAAACCCACTCGTTGCGGCTCAGAACTTCGAATATAAGATGAGCAACATTTTAGATAAGCCCATGGAGTCGGCCTTTGGATTTATATCCGTTCTTCCGGGTGCCTTTTCTGCCTATCGATTCATGGCTCTGCAGAATGATTCGCGAGGTCAAGGCCCTCTTGAAAAATACTTCGACGGCGAGAAACACCATCTAGACGCCGGGATCTTCACCAAAAATATGTACCTTGCAGAAGATCGAATTCTCTGTTTCGAGCTTGTCGCAAAAAGAAAATCGTCTTGGGTGTTGACCTACGTCTGCACAGCTACCGGGGAGACCGATGTCCCCGAAGAGATGCCAGAACTGATCAAGCAACGTAGGCGTTGGCTTAATGGGTCTTTCTTCGCTGCAGTGTATGCACTAGCACATTTCTACCAAATCTTCCGCAGTTCGCACTCTATGATGAGGAAGGTCATGTTCTTGGTGGAGTTTCTATATCAACTAATTAGCATGGTATTCTCTTGGTTTGCAGTCGGCAATTTCTTTCTCGTCTTCCGCATTCTCACCACTGCGTTAGGGGCACCGGAGCTCCTAGGCAGAGCAGGGGAGCTTATATCTGTGGCGATAGAGTGGATTTATCTGGGATCTTTGGTCACCTGCTTTGTCCTGTCCCTCGGAAATACGCCTGACGGATCAAGGCGATTTTACATGGTGATGGTATACACCTTCGCTATAATAATGCTGTGAGCACATGTGATACCAAGTTCTCTAGGCATCGCTAACCTCTTCCCAGGTATCTTCTATTCGCTTCGGTATTCATCAGCTACAAGTCTGTCCAGGCTGAATTACACGACGGAATCAAATTTACGATCTCGAAGCTGTTTAATAACTCGATCTTTTTTACGCTTATTGTATCATTGCTTTCTACTTATATCCTGTGGATATTTAGCTCCATAGCATTTCTCGATCCTTGGCATATTGTAACATCGGTAAGAAAAACCCATTCTTCCAGAGCATAGAGGAGACCGCTAGCTAACTGCATCTCACCTCAGTCATTTCAATACATGCTCCTCTCTCCAACCTACACGAATGTCATCAACGTTTATGCGTTCTGCAATACCCATGATGTAACATGGGGCACGAAAGGCGATGACAAACCGGAGAAATTGAAGACAGCCAAAATTAATAGCGAGGGCAAATCTGATGAGGATCCCGAATTTGACGATGGTGACTTGAATGCCTCCTACGACTCGGCATTGCAAAAATTCTCTTCGGTGGCTCCCAAAGAAGAACCCAAGCCAAACGTTAGTGAAGCGGAGTTGAATTACAATAAAGCTTTTAGGAGCTACGTTGTTCTTGCATGGATGTTCTGCAATGCTGCGCTCGTTGCTGCGGTGTTGAATACAGGTGGCCTCAATCGGCTCTCTGTCAACAAAGCCAAAGGCGAAAACCAGGCGACTGTGAAGATCTACCTTCTAACAATCTTGTGGAGCGTAGCGGGCTTGTCGGCGTTTAAATTTGTTGGCTCGATGTGGTATCTTATTAAACGAATTGTGAGTATATGAATTTGAGAGTTGCATGCCAACCTGCTTACACATTTATAGTTTAAGAGGTAGCGAGGACTATATTAATGATCTGGGATGGACAATTAAAGGCGTTGTTAAATACCTTCAAATTTGTTGGTAAAGTTGTCTTTCGGGGTTTGGCGTGTCATCATTACCACTTATTACGACCATGTTTCTGTTCAATAGAACTATGAGATACTTGAAAAACAGGGGCAATGGGCGTGGAGTTTGCGTGTAGTGTATCGAGGTAGGTATAATAATAATCTTACGCTATTCCAACGAGTAATTGAAAGCATATCTAGTAGGTCTTTCATGTCGGGCAAAATTGCCATCCCGAAGGATTTTATCTGTGCCGCAAGTTTGTTGCGAGTTTGTAAGGCCCTTCCGCTTGTTTCCAACTGAGAGACCAAGCCTTGCACAGCGAAATCTGGCGGTTGTGTTCCAGGGGATGCGCACGACCAGTGTCAGTCGCCTCGATATAAGACTTCCCTGAGAGTAATAATTTGACCTCCAAATTTCGCATTTTGCCTTCCGTCTGGACATTTGATTTATCGTAGGACCGAATTCCTTTTTTATGAATTACATCTTCTTCTGTTCGAGCACCGCGGGGCACGGCAGTCACTTTTTGACGGCCATGTAATTGTACCCCAAGAGCCTGCTTTATGATGGTTACTCTGTTCCCATTGGATTTGGTCGATTATCGTTCCACTCTAGAACTTCCGGCATAGGGATATTAGTTTGCCTTCTGACTATGAAGTAGCTAGCAGGTTGACTAGACTGTATGCTATCGTTGCTACTTCAGAATCATCGGTCAACCCGTGCAGGACCTGCGACACGAAATGCTAGTCGAGCAAGAATTCGTTGCCCATCAACGCCATCATCAATAGGGAAATTGAGGACTCGGTTTAAACCCCCCTTTCCTTTGTCCAATATTTGTTTATTTTGCGAGCACCTAGACACAGGCTAAGTACTTTCTCGCACCGTGCAGGAAAGTGAAACTGTATTGAAAGTGGCGTACGCTGCAGCTGGTCATGATGGAGCCAGGGCCCACTTGTGTATAAATGAGTATTTGGGCCATCTGGAACCTGCAACGATAGGGAGTTGGATATCGCAAATGATTTCGTGGATGTAGTCAAATTTTGGTTTCGAGCAACTATGCTCAGCCCTTCATTTTCGGCCATGGACGTTGTCCGCCGGCCAGAAGTCTTCAAAGCATTCGTCGCTCGAACGATGAGTTAGGGAGGAAAGGGGGTCCATGAAAGGATCAGAAGTAAGTGGGAGGGTACGTACTCCCTGCTGGCAGTTCAGTTGAAGGGGTGAGAGGGGCCGGGGACACGGACGTGACAACTAAACTTCCGAAATGGTGTATTGCGAACAGGTGCAACTCAAAGGGTGCGGCAAAAAAAAAAAAGACTCATTGGCTTGTACTTCGTAAACCAACAGAAAATTAAAGGTAGTTAGTAAACGGAGAGTGCATATGTCAATAATAGGTTTAAAATTGTCGTATTCACAATCTACATAGGCAGGACACCTGCATTCGACCTCGAAGTAGCTGCAAACATTATTGCCCTTGAACTTGCTGCAAACTTGCGGAGTGATATCTGAAAATAGATCCTAATTAAATTACCCACCTACTAGTACCTATACGTCAGGTATTAGATGTGGAGATTTCTTTCTGACTAGTTATCAGAGGGTGCATAAATATAAATCTAATTACCTACCTAACTACCTACCCGCTATTCAAGACTACTAGTGGGGAAATCGGAATGCGAGGGGATGAAGCACATCGGGTGGTATCGGCCAATTAATGCGCGTCGTAAGTCTTTCTTTATATGATCAAATCTTACCAAGTAATCATAATATACGAGAGTAAGGACTTTAGAAGTGGAATAAGCTTTTCCAATTTATATCGCTGGAAGGCGTCCGCACAGCAGCTTACTAGGCTACCCCGTATCCCACGCATTATTAGAGATCTGACGTTCCTAAAGCGCTTGGACATGCAGGCAATAATGGCGATCTTGATCCCGGCCCACATCAGTAACGGGCTGGGGAGAGTGGGGAGGGAGTCCGAGCTGCGACGAGTTTCAGAGTGGGAGGGAGAGTAGCAGCACAGGAGTAGCCGGGAATCATTAATAATGAGCATGCATCGTTCAGCTTGGCTTGAATATTTACGGAGGAAGTTGGGGATCGGAGCCCAGAAGGGGGGAGGGGAGGGGGGGGGTTCGACGTGCACGCGAGCCTCGAGGGAGGGTTATGACCTCTCCTCTGAGGCTTTGACGGAGCGTTTATTACTCACCCCTATTAATATTCTTCGCCCTGTTACCGGCGTTCTGCCTGTGTGCTCCGTGTCCATTTTAGGAGCAGGATACCCTTAACTACCTTGCCTTACCTTGCCTTACCTTATGGCATGGTACGGTATGGCATGGTACATGTACATGTACATACGTTACTACTACTCTACTACTCTATCGCGGGGAACCTTTCCTTTCCGTTCCTGCACCCCAGGAATCGAGGAATCCTGTCCTTATACTTAACTATAGGTACAGTGCCTACTTAGACGACGACGCCCCGTTACGCCACATGGTTCGTGACTTTTCTACAGCACGTACTACTACGGAGTACACTACACCACTACCACTACTGTGCTCTGTATCTGTATCTGTACTCGAGTACGGACGGTGCCTGGACGTTCTCAACTCCCCATCCCATCGTATCCCATCCGATCCGGGGGCTGGCGGGCAGCCCCTGAGATGCCAATTTCACCCTTTCACAATAATAATGTCTCTCCACGCCGCACCCCGCGCCCACCAAGCGACCAAGCAGCTGTCGGTTACCGCTCTCGGCCTGGTCGCCCGTGGCCCCGACCGATGTCTCGCCCCGACCAGACCAGAGCCCCGGAGTCTTTGGTTAATAAGTACTGCGCAAGATGCTGCTGCTCTGCTCTGCTCAGCGGACGGGGTTTGGGATGATCTGAAGTTCCTGCGCTGTCTCTCTGGCCGCCGAGTTGTCGTCGCTTACCCGCCCGTACGGCCCCCCGATCATTCATCATCATCATGGCGGATGCCGGCCCCGGACCCGGACCCGTCCTGCTGCCGGTGTCTGACGCCGCGCACCACGCCGCCCGGGTCTTCGTCGCCATCACCGTGCCGCTGCTCACGCTCTCGCTGGCCACGCTCACCACACGCATCGTCCTCAAGCTTCGGTCCGGGCTGCGTCCCGGGTGGGACGACGGCCTCATCGTGCTTGGTTGTGTAAGCATCTCGAACTCCAAGTAGTGGCGTGCTGGACGAAAGGTCACCCGGCTAACGTGTATATCTGCAAATATTAGCTGCTGGCCGTCGTGGACTGGGCACTGCTCTTGGCCGTGCTGGCCCGGTGCACGAACCAATCTGCCTCGTTCATCACGCTGCCGATGCTGGAGCAGACCATCAAATTCGGCATCATCGCCACGTCGGTCTGGAATGTCTCCATCGCGTGTATCAAATGTAGTGTCGCCTGTCTGCTGCTACGCTTCCCCCACCGCCTGGGCTGGAGGATGGTGCTGTACGCCGTGATTGGAGTGGTGGTCGCCTGCTCCACCGGCTCCTTCATATTCAACCTCCTCCAGTGTCAGCCGTTAGCAGCCGCGTGGGATGTTACCATTGTCGGCGCGAGATGTGTAGGTCCGGCGGGGATCCGGATTGGGTCGAATGTCTCCTCGGGCGTCAATATCGCCACGGATTTTATCCTGTCTCTCTTCCCCTTAACCTTCCTTCCCAAGCTGCGGCGGCCGGGGATAGAGAAGCTGCTCGTGGCGATTCTGATGGCCATGGGATTGACCGCCAGCGCAGCCTCCATCGCGAAGGCCGTCTTGATCCGCTCGTGGGGCACTACAGATGACTGGTTTCCCATCGGATTCGCAATATCAACTTGGACCTGCGTGGAGATGTTCCTCGGCATAATAGCCGCCTGCTCACCCAGCTTAAAACCAGTGGTTCAGCGATTCCTCACTTGGTTCGGGATCGATTTCAGCCATTCTGGCGCCTTCTCATTTTTCGGTAGCATACACCAAGACCCTGATCGGGCGGATACCTCCCCCCGCCATGTATCCGCTAGGAATCCGTCCGAAAAGTCGCCCTCTCAGAATGCACATTTCTTACCCTCCGTTGGTATATCGCATTCAACCCCATCACCAGACGGGGATGGGCAGGGAATGTCGGAAAGTGGGAGCGAGGAGTTCAAAAAGGGTTCAGAGGGAAGTCATGGATCTATACATATTATTTAATAAGGAGTCTTGTGGGTGGAACTGGCGTCTTTCTTGATTATTAAGCTATTAGCATCTAGTTCTCCTTATCAAATGCACTTTTTGACCAAGTGGGCTGATTCTTCGAGTGGAAAATAGTCCGGCTGAGGAATACTACAGACTCCGTTAGAGTTTTCTATTGGCATTTGGCGGACGAGAAAAAGTGTGGAATACCCCTATAACGACGACTGCAGCCATGTTGGAAGTATACTCCCAGGAACACGACGCAAAATCCCATGCAGATAGACGTTATTTCTAACTGAAGCCTTGAAGCCGGCACAATCTTCTCCCGTGGCAATAACGCCATGGTTCGTAACTGTGGGCTGCCCCTCCCTCCTAAGGGGCATATGGTTTAGTTCTCTGTACCCAGCAGAGCTTTCGGGGTTTATTAGTCAATATGCACAGCAGTGTATTCCTCCAGGGTCCAGCCCAAGACGATGCCATTCTTTGAATACCTTAGCAGGCGTTTCTGAGTCATTTAGTCATCTGTTCTTACCCCCGGCGAGTGACTCTATCTAATGCAAGGCAGTGTTCTTCTCTAGTTTGATGACAGCTTGAGCAGGATGCGGAAGCAGCCCTCCTTGGATATGATTTTCTGGAGAATTCATGTAAAGCTTCCACTTTTATTAGGAGATTCCAATGAAACGATCTCGCCAACAGGATCAAAGAAGTCTCCTCCTGTAAAGGGCTAAACTCCTAGTAATTTATATCAAGAACACGTTAGATCCACGCGTAATCTTCAATGAAGGTAGGTATAACGCGTGCTTGTGATTTCCCGCATCAATTGTCGAGAATCGATCTGAGACATGACCTTAGATGAGGGTCGGGACTGCATCTTTCATTCGGGTGTTGAAGAGGAGACCTCGCAGCTGAAGTGATTACCTTGGTGACAAGCCGCGGTGGTGAGTGGGTATTGAGTGAATTTCTGGAAGCCGTCTTACCTTTGGGGCTCTCGCTAATATATTCCTCCTTTACCTGATTTTTCTTCGGTCTCCTCAACCTTCTCAACCTCCTCAACCTCCTCAACCTCCTCAACCTCTAGCCACCTCAAAGGTTACCTATTAATATTACAGACTTCCAACAAATGCTAAGCCTCACCATGACGCAAGAATGCGATCCGGTACCAATGTCCAACCAAGAGTTCTTCGAGTAAGTTTTGCGATTATGTGCCGCTGTTGTCTTGCTTCCTTGAAGGTTCCAACGGGGGTTTGAAATTCTCACCTCACTGCCCATCAGCAAGTTGCTCTGTTTTATATTGGTTTGGACCAAAGTAACTGAGGCAATATACTTCTATCCTTAAACAGTACTTACTAATGTCGTCGGATAGGTCCTTGGGCCTCAAGACCGTCACCCTCACGGTTGGGCCACACGGCAAACAACGCACTGCCCACTTAAAGCTATTGTCGGACGCTATCAAAGGTGCAAAGGCGGCTGACCTTCCTCTCAAGTTCGTTGAAGAAGATCCTGAAGTTTTCGATGACTTCCTGGCTTGGCTGTACAATCCGCAAAGGAATCATAAGGTGAATAGTGACGGGGAATGGACCAATTTACTCAAGCTTTACGCCTTTGGGGTCAAGTGGGGATGCGAGGAGCTGAACAAGAGCATTGCCCAAATTCTGTTTTGCCAATGCATACCTTCAGATTCCAATGCTCCCTTGGGCCTTATCGCCATTCTTGCCAAGATCGAATACCTCCGACATCTCAATGATTACGCCCAGCAGTGCTACACACAAATGCTTCGTGATTTCTCTCGTTACTTCACCAACAAGAGTATCACGGTGCTCGATAGGCTTATCGAAGTTTATTTCGGCGCTATGGAAGCAAAATGTTATATTGTGCAAAACAAGGTCATATCCTCAATCAAAAATAAACTGTCTGACAGTGACGAGTGGCTTCGCATGGATCAAATGAAGGAAATCTTTGATAAAACACAAAACTTTAAGCCAACGCCGCTTCGATTATTTTGTGTTGCCCAGACATGGTACCGAAGATATGCAATGAGAGACCCCGGGTGTATGCGTTTGGATGCTGAGAGTGTGCAGCAGTTCCAGGGTATTGACAATGAGGAATGTGGTATAATATTTCATGAAATCACCGGGTTCATGGAGGAATGGATGGATTTCCAACAGCTGGTTAACCACAATAGTATCACAGAATACGAGGATCCCCGAGGCACTGGCTACGCATTTGAGTGGGAGCAGGAGTTTGGGGCTCTCTATAGGTAAAGATGCTAAGAAATACTGGATGGTATTAGAACGAAAGACAAAGAGGAAAGTTTACACGAATCGTGTTAAGAAAGTAGGCAAGCCTGTCGCCGCGATTTCAAATCTTTGATTTGGCCCGATCACTCTCTATCGTCACCCCGAGAGGCGAATTGTCCTGTTTTAGAAACAAGCATCTTGCCGTTACCAAGGCCTCCAACAGAGAGCGCTAGCCATCAGCACTTTTAAGGAGGAAATGAATGCTACATTCTAACCAGTCTCTTATTTGCTGTTGCTGTTCACGCTTTTAGATTATCAAATCGCACAACTCTAACCAAATTCTCATCACATGAACGCTGCTAATAATGGCGCTGCTCCGCTTGGTCATGCGTAAATACATTTCAAGTAGGCGGAAAAACGTTCCTTGACCCCTAAATCCAAATAGCAGTTCAAGTTCCCCTAGCCCCTGAATCGGCGACCTCGCTAATCTCTCATCGCCTTCCCGAGCCCGCCGAGCTTGTCCTCGCCGAACCCCACTCAAATCATATAGTGCCTCTGTCACTATCACCCTACACAATCATCATCGCTGACCTCACCTCACCTGACCTTCACTATTATTCTTCAGACATATATATACTTCGTATGCCCTCACACTGTGCCTTCAAAACACATCCACGAATCCTCTAGACAGGCCATTATTTGAACGACTATTGGGCACGGAAGATTAACAGATCTTACCCCGCAGCCCCGCAAAAACTGCCCAAGACTGCTATTCGCACACACTTCCGAGAATTTTAATCCTGACTCCTATAGCGAGAATGTGTCGGAAAGCCACTTGCTCTACATGCCGTACGTACCCTTTGGCTTGTGATTTTTCGTATTCTAAAGAGTAACTGGGGGAGGGAGGAAGGAACTGACATGAAAATGTATAGAGAAAGCCACATGGTGGGGCTGCGGCAATCACATCCCCAGCGTTATGGATAGTGTTCCTGAGAATGAAAGATGCACTGTAAGTTGTACGAGAGAGTCGATGGGGGAATGGCTGATTGATCCAATGGCAGTGTACTCCAAAGGTTGAGAAAGAGGGCAAAACGTACCCGCCTAAGGCGAAGGATGGGTGACTAGCCGGCTGTGTGGTGTCTTGAGGCATTGAGATCTTGAGAGGGCACGACGTGGTGAGAGTAGGTTGTGGTGCCGCCTGGGAGGGTGGGCGGCAGGGAATGAAGGGGAAGGGGTTGCATGCGTGATCCCAGTTACTGAATTTCAACTGATTCCAAGGTGTTCAACTTTGTTGAGTGTTGTTGTAATATTCTATCTGTCTGTCTTGCTGTAGACGCCATAGAAATATGTCTATCTATAACTTTGCCCGACCATATTGATTCGGCCATTGGACATCAACCCCGAGGGTATGCGCAACCCTTAGCACCCACTCGGGCTCCCTCAAAAATTGCCTGGCGACTAAGACAATATCTGCCTTCGCAACAGCATCTTGCTCATCGATAATCTCTATAGTCTGGTCTACCTCTACGGCTTTCCCAGCCTCGACGATTGATTTCGCAACTTCGGCCTCCGTGATCATGCCCACTGCCCCAATAAGCAGATCTCTGATACCAGATTTAAACAACTCAGTTCTGATCCGTCCCGCAATGCCGGTCTGGAAGTCGGTGTGCATCTCGATCTGCTGGGCAGGATTGTTTCCACCCGAGCTAACATCGAGTAAATCAACGCCTAGGCCTGGGAGTAACTTAGCCAGGCGGATAGTAGACTCGACGTCCCAACTCTCCGGGGCCTGGCTCTCCATCCACTCTGTTGCACTGACTCTAACCAATAGCGGCATACCAATTGGAATGGCTTCTCTCACAGCCTGTATGACCTCCAAAAGCATACGAATTCTATTCTCGAAACTGCCGCCATATTTGTCCGTCCTCCGATTGCTAATGGGACTCAGGAACGAGCACAAAAGATATCCATGGGCGGCATGAATCTCAATAACGTCCACCCCAGCTTGCACCGCTCTCTTCGCACTATCCCGGAAGCCATCCACGATATCCTTTATATCGTTCTCAGTCATCTCTTTTGGCGGAACATATCCATCTCCCCATACAATCGCACTCGGGGCCACAACATCATCGGGCCACCCATTCACATCTTTAGTGGCAACGACCGACTTCCCTCTGTCGGCCAGCCAAGGTGCAACTGTACTTGCCTTCCGACCCGCATGTGCGAGCTGGATCCCAAGCTTCTGGCCCTGCGAGTGGACAAAGTCGGCAACGCGGCGGATGGGCGCGATCTGCGAGTCTTGCCAGAGACCGCTGTCTTCTGGCGTGATTCGGCCATTGGGGCTAACAGAGGTAGCTTCGATTATGGTAAGGGAGGAACCGCGGTAGGCGAAGGCGGAAAGATGAATGAGGTGGAAGTCGGTGAGGTGACCATTGGAGGCGGAGTACATGCACATTGGTGCCACCCCTTGAGGGACGTTAGTATTCTGTTTATCTATAGGAGTTTGGCACGTACAAATGCGGTTTTGAAACGTAACATCACGGATCTTGAGGGGTGTAAAGAGTATTGGCGGGTTGGACGAGATAGCTGTGCCAACTGGTGGTGATTGAACTGGCGTAAAATAAGGAGCGTTTGGTGCTGGGGAGTTTTTGGGAGCCATTGTTGGAGTTCAAGGTGGGCGAGAGCTTGAGATATCGAGCAGGAACTCCTCGAAAGTTACGTTTATGTCGAATGACGCCATGGTGGGCAACATTTATCTTTTATAATTATTCCTGTCATTGCGTGCTGCGGTACTACTTACCGTCATGGGGAATGATTCTCCGGGGGAGATTTATAATCAGTTGAGTGGGGTGTACGAGTATACGAGTCGGAGTACTCCGTAGTTCTGAGCTCTTCCTGCGGAGAGATCCCCGGCATTCTGTCTCTTTCGTCCTGTTTGAAGACCTTACCGCATCCACCTTCCCCATTTTCGGACTGTTTGTAACGGCCATTGATTTCAAATCTAAAATATCCCTTCGGATCTTCCTCGAGCGATGGAAGTTCTGCTAAGAAGAGGGATGTCTGTATGCCATCCCGGATGCGCCCTCCGTGTCAAATCGAATTAAAGCTGGAAGGCTAGTTGCCAATTCGTTAAGGCACACATTCTGCTATGAATTGCTCCATATCAGAGATTTTGACAATGGACCACTAGCACCCAAGGCTACTTCCGTTTGGCAGCCCACTTTGCGGCTAATCTGGGATGCCTTTGGCAATCCAAATCCATTTTATGCTTTTCCCATTCGTTTCTTTGCAGTCACTGAAACTGACCGCTCTCCTACTTCTCGCCTGATCTGAAGCGGCGCATCCAGACCGGTTTCAATAGATACAGGTAGCCTTATCAGCCCGGGAAGCTGCAGTTCTGTCAAACACCAATATGTGATGGCACCACGGAACTTTGAACTGGCGGTAACAAGCATCACTGGCTGGATTTCAACGGGAAGCTACAGGACACATGCGCGGCTGACCGTTCGTTGGTATAGCGCGTAGCTAGGGAATACTTACCAGCCTACCTTAATATTTCCGTATGGTCCTCTAGAGAGAAAACAGATAAAATCGCAAGGCCCAAGGAGCCGCATATCTAACTTCACCTTATTATTCCACTCATTTTTGCGTTTTATCTTCAATATTTGCCTGCTCCATCTCATATCCTCACGCCTAAATTTCGAGATGCCGAATCCCCACCTCTCAGCTGGCGGGCTAGGAGAGAAATGTCGCGATTGCTTCATGGAACTACTTCAAAAGGGTAGGCAATTTCTCAAAGATTTTGAGTTCAGCAATTGCAATAGCTAAATAAATCAGGTGAAAATGGCTACTCCACAACCCCTATTCGAATCTCAGATTTCGAGGCTGTCAGTCCTTCCTTTTTACCCCTTCCTCGCACTCGCAACTTACCAATCGACAGGCCTGCGCATCATTACACCCTATCAACATGTTGTAAGCCTTCGAGGCCCTCCCCTCCCGGCCTAGGGCCACTATCGCTATTGTATAACCTAACACCCCGTACCAATAAAGCTTCGTAAGCGCGCACGAGATTCGAAGCTGTGACAAATGCCACATGTATCTATCACAGTCGCTACAGATCGCACCTTTCTTCTGGACGCTCTGCGCTCAACGCTCAAACGGCTATTTTGGGTGTGAGAATACATCCTATGCTGCTGAAAAAGATGGGACATTCACGGGTCATAGTAAGCTTTTCTATTTCTTTTGCCGTTTTTATACATCGATGATACGAGAAATTAGATACTACTGAATATTAACTTGAAGGTAACTTGCAGATACTTGGTTCCACTTCTCCATCAAACAAGTCCTTGCACAAGGAATAGCAGCAGCAAATAGAAAAAGCTCCATGTGGCATAAAGTCAGTATGTTCACGCGCTGGATACCCTCAACTGGGCAGAATATCATTTTGAGCTTCGAGCCCCCGGATGTGCTTTTGCAGAGATTGAAAGATACGGATATGGTATGAGAAGGAAAGGCGTTCGCAGAAACCGATCCATATTGGATCCATAATGCTATTATTGAAGAGGTGGTGAAGCTTCAGGATGAAGCTGTTTGGGGGGTGGGGAAGCTCATGAAATCTGCGGAAACTGTGTGTTTTTCTGACTATCATCATAACAGGAACATTGGTTCTTACCCAGAGGACAGGGCAAGCAAGAGCATGGATAGGCCACAACCAAACAGCTAACTGCTCTCTCGAAATATAGGGCAGAAATCTACAGTCCCCCAAACTCCACGACATGGTTCGACAGGCCATGAATGTCTCAGAAACCCTCTCCGTAGCTATTACAACGCTGTCCCACAGTCTTTCCGCTCACGAAAAGTTCGTCAGTGAGCGGAGTCTCTTCCTACAGGGAGCATTCTCCAACAACGCCCAAGGCAGCTCAAGAGTGTCTAAACAAATCACCAGAAAGATGAACTTTTATCAGCACATGCTGACGAGTTTAAAATTTCGAGCGGATGCTAATAATGAGAGATTGAGGAATGAAACTACACTTGTGAGGTTCCTAGAAATTAATAACACTCCGAAGGGAGGAGCTAATTGCGATTGAGGAAATAGGCATCCAATAGAGTCGCTCAGTTTGACAGCCGCACCTTGGTGCAAATTGGCCAAGCTGCCCAAATCGACGGTGCGAATATGAAAGCCATCGCCTTCCTCACGCTGGAATTCTTGCCCCCGACTTTTATATCTGTAAGTTCGCACAGAAGCTCCCTGTCTATTTCTGTTCCTAGGAGAATTTAGTTGAAGGAGCATATTCCAAGAGGGCAGTGGCTGAAATAAACGAAATATAGGCGATGCTTGGCACCACTCTCTTCAATTATACTCCTGGTACTGAAGGTAAACTGGGTGCGTGGTCCATATCGGAGCACGTTGGGCTATACTGGGCGACTGCCGTTCCAATTAGCGCCGCGGCTGTTGCGCTGTGGCTGCACTGGCATTGGATGTTTCCACCCGGTAGGACTGGCGAGTGATATTTATGTCTCTTGTCTCTTTCCTCCTGTAAGAATCCGGGGAAATTAGTGAAGCAGACGGGTTTCTTAGAGCTAGGAAAACGATGAATGCCGGAGAAGAAGAAGACGCAAGATAGCTTGCCCATAACTTATATATTTAGCTCTTAGGCGTTTGTTCTCGTGCTAGCTTCTTCTTTATCGCCCCACTCTGTACTACAGCTCGAATCAACTCAATGGTGACCTCGATGCCCGTCTTCACAGCAACCTCATCAGACGCAACAGGCACATGTAAAAACACCACACGTTTATCCTCTTCTTTCCTAGTCAAGTACGCCAGACTCGAATAATAAATGAAATCACACAGGTACCTGCCTGCATTTTCTGAGATCCGTAAATCTAGATTCTACTCCAAGTCAGTCCACATCCCGAACCATTCAAATCGAGGGAGGGAAGTAAAGTACCGGCAGTGAACTCCTCCACCTCGTCCAGACATCATCAACAGCAACGGACGTAAACAGCTCATCCGGCAACCCATGCCATACCCACCTTGCCCCTTCCTTCTCCCGCCTCTCAGCGTCACCCAATAGCTCCCCATCGACATCCTTCATTACATACCCGTCCCGATGTCCGCGCCTCTCCAAGCTGTAGAATTTCCGCCCAGAAGCCATACCAATGTGGACAGTGTAATCTATCTTCTTCCCTTCCCATAATTTCGGGACCAGATCTCGGACGGCATTATACGAAACGCGGACGGCTTCAGGGTGTACCAATATTCGGACGGGCGGGGATGGGGATGTAGAAGCGCCACTGGAGGACGCTGATTGAGGTTGAGCGGGTGGTAGGAACAGAGGGAGAGCTTTCGCAATCTGCCATGCTGGATTGATGGGGTATTGCTCCTTGAACGGCTACAATGTTATATGAATTAGCAATCAATTCTGACACGCCATAATCTCCTATTCTTCAGGCATGGATACATGATCAAGGCTATTTTATAACCTTGTATTGTATGCTGTTATCATGCCAAGTTGCCAAACCACCATTGCTCGCGTGCTCGGCAATTGCAATGCGACGGAGGAATCTGGGACCTGAACTTACGGCAAAGCCGGTAACAAGCACGGTGATCTCGTCCTCCTGGGGAGGCACGGCGTCTGCATTAGATCCCATGATTTTTTGATGTTGTGTTTTGGAGGCACAGGCGGACAGACGTAATGTGGCGAACGGATGGTGGAACAGTTCCCTCGTTGGCTTTCAAGGCGTGTTGGCAATGGCGGGGTCGGAGTCTGTCTGGGCTTGGAATTGCCCCGCCGTTGGTGCAGTGATGAACCTTGAAGGGCGATGTAAGTTTTAACCTTATATTCTTACTCGTAGGGAGTCCGTCAACTTGCACATCGAAATGGGAGACTCAACGACTCAAGATACTGCACTGTGATTTCCAACAGCCTTAAGCGCTCCGTCCTCAACACCCTTGGGAGGGGCGAGGACACGACGCAATATTTTATGGATATCTCGTCTCCTCAGTCTCTTGCGACGCGTTTGATGCCCGCACTGAGCAGGTAAATTATGATGCACGGGTCTTCGACCTGTTATCTTATATCTACCATCGAATACGGGTATACAATGAGGGAGCCTGTATCGTTAACACCGCCTCGGCGCGTTCCTTCTTCCTCATCGTTACACTTCTCTTCTCCTCAATATACAGATCACGGCCGATCAGACACAAATATGAAACCTTAGTCAGCTTGGTTCTATTAGCTGGCAAGCGTCAGAACGCGGTTGTCTCACTTTTAACTTGATTATATGGCTCTCTATATCCTTGCAGCAATTGGCCGAGACATTCGTGCAGGATATCTGCCCATTGCAGTTGATCCTATATATTGAAATTGGAGAGGCAGGGTAATAAACCTGTTAGGCTATTCTAGCTCTCGTTTTCCCTCTGAATTTTTTAAATATATAAGATGGAAACATTTTGGGATATGCAATGTGCCTTCTCTAGTCTCTAGCTTCTGCTACAGCATACACTCGAATGATGACTTTCGATTGGGCATGCCATCAGACAGATGCCTCGCCCGCAGCCGGCTTAATTAGGTAGTCGGCCTACATTCGTCGCGTCTGAATTACTTGCGCGTGGCTTCGGTGTCACTCTACCACATTCCAGCACCAGATCATTGTCCAAGCCCCTTCTCTTACACTTCATCTCGTTCCCAGGCCCTTTTTATTTCTATCATCAGGAACTTGGTTTTGAAGCCACCCCTTTTTATATTCATCACACTCACTCAATCCCATTTTGGATAACTCCTTTTCAATATTTATCACTCTCATTAATACGCTCTTCACACTCTCTTTTCCCACTTCTTCAAGATACTTGGGCATAGTATTCCGACTGAATCCCAATTCAGCTCCCCAAAGTTTGAAATGCGCTTCTCGACTATTTCGCTCTCCTTCCTCTCCCTCATCAATCTCTCATCAGCAGCTGCAACACCTGTCGAACTCGCTCCTCCTTGTGGTACAACCCTCTACCCAACCATCCTCCAGCAGATTTACGAAGACCGCCCCTTCAAGGTCTTTGCCAATAACCGCAATTTCTACGTCTCCCAGGAATTCGACGCATCCGGTAATGTCTACAACCGCACATACCAGATCGTGGGATTTGAAAAAATCCCTCCGGGCTCGTATGCCTGCCAACTCAATGTAAAGTTCTCTGCTGGATATAATATCGCGGCCAGCGGCACTCCTACCCTCAATGTTAAAACTCTCTTCAATGGAGATTCCAATAAAATCAAGAGCCCAAATCACTGGACCTGGAATAAGTTCTACCGGGGAACTTCGTCCCCTTTTGGCCAGGGTATTTTCGGCACGACAACTTTGACGCCAGGGATATCCTCCGCTATTAATAGGTGCCCTACCGGTGGCGGAAACCTTGCATTTATGTTTGAGATTGCGGATAGGGTTTTGACGGATGCGAATGTTCAATTCAAACAGACGGATAAAGGTGGTTTGTATCTCACGTACAACTGCTAAAGGATTCCTTTCGCGGGAAAGCGGCCTAGGATTAGATATGTCCTTTAACGGCGATGATGTCATGATTACGAGCAAATGCTATAATATGAGGTCTTGGGGCGTACAATTTGGCTGAAGTAGGACGTACTGGCGTCTTTCGGCAGGCAAACAGGAGTTGGAAAAGAGGGTGCTTTATATTGGATATTCGAACCTTAGTCTGGGGATTAATGGACTATGATTCATTCTTGGCTTCATTTCACTAGTTTAGTGGAAATGTAAAGTATTTTGATTTAATCACCCTCAATGTTGTTTTATCATGCTCATAGTAAGGGAGTTCGAATATCATTTCCCTGATCGCTTGGAGAATGCCTAATTGGAACTTCACTACACACCCCACCTATCAATAAGCCTCGTCACATCACCCTCGCATCCTCTCCACAAACCCACCTCCGCAATTTAACTAGCATCATCGTCCTTCACCCACTTAGGATGCTCCGCCCCCTTAAATGCCGCCAAATCCAGTGTCAATCACCGCATAGCACTCAGCTCAAATGTCTTCAACGCCGCCCCCTTCTCTTCCATAACTCAAAGTAAGAGCGCACGCGTTTTAGCACCGCAATGATTTAATATCCCTTTGGAAACAGAAAAGCTGGTTTGCGGGCCAAGATTACTTGCTTAACAAGTGGACAGCATTCGGTTTTCGCCTTCAGAACGGATGGGGAGCTAGGAAAGTCGAACTATATTTCCCGAATTGATACTAAGTTGATAGCCACTGACGTAGATCTAGGCGCGGAAATCGACGGGGTCTGTATTGTTTACGATATTGAGGGAGAGAGGAACATCAAGGTTTAAGTGGATGTTTAGCTCGAAGGTTGTGCCTTTTTATGTGTGTTAGTATTAGAGCGTAGACTAAGTGATCAAGTAGGATTTAACTATAAAATCGAACTCCCAGCTCTTTCATGTCTTACTAATGACTTCCTCTCATTCATGACGAGGTCTCAACGCCTAGTTGTTGGAGACCTTGGCGTTCGGAATAGAGGCCCCCTTATTGAATGGGACGGGCTCCATCAATGTACTAGGGGTAGTGTTAGATATCTTCATAAAGAGTGAGTTTGATGGAACGCACATGTTAGCCACCGAGGTTGCCGGTGACTTTCCATGATATATCCGTAGGACTGGCCCCCGTGAGTTTATAGTTGAGAATACCACAAGGGATCTTTGGGGGTTAGTTCGAAATGTCTGCGAGGATAAATTTGGGTGGGTACTAGATACCTTAGGTTACCTACTTTGTGTAAATCGCCTCCTGGCCGTTTCTTAAGACATATGTGGCCCTAGTTGGTGTATGTATAGTAGTCGGGGTTTCAAGGGAAAGCTTATTGAGATTGTAACATACCTGTATAATAGTAAAAACATGCTTTCTCCGCTTTTCCAATTTTGGTATTGTGCCTGTTAAATCCACGGCAGCCACACCAGCGGCCACCGAATAATAAGCCAGCTGCTTATTATCAAACCACAAGCTTGCTGAGAATGCAGCACCATCTGCAACTATGTTAACTTTCACCTTACTTCTAAGCCAGATGTTATGAAATGTCCGTGCCATAGAATATCCCCAGTGTGACACTAGAAGAAGCCAGCATCATATTGAGAGAAAGAATTGTATATAAATCACTCCATAATCACTTGAGGATAAACTCGTGGGCGTTGTTGGTTTCTGGGAATTGGTACTATTGATCATATTCGCGTTCGTCCATTTTGAATCATCATAACCCTTCTGGAAATCCATCCATGTATTTCTACAAAACCCCCTGTGATCAGTGTGGGATTTTGATAATGGCGGAACTTAACAGACCCAATTCATCTTCCCGAGCTGAGGCAGAGAGACTTTCAGATTAGAAGTCTTTAGATTGAATTTAAGTGATCCGTGACTTGTTTTAGCAACCGCACCCGCTTTCCATCACATCCCACAGACTTCATTCTAGGTCGAATATCCAGAGAACCCGTAATATTTATTGCCTAGGTGTATTCATAGCTGATTAGCTTAAGTTACCCTTATATGCCGCTCCTGGCTTGAGCGCCCAGGAATAATACAGGACTTGCAGATACGGCACACACCACTTGATGCACTGGATTATATGGAAACATCATGCTTATACGCAGAGAGCTCTATTTTAGGACGGAAATAGTGGTAAGGGGAAAGTGGTGTCTTACCGGGCAGCCTGGTGTCTCACCGAAGACGCCCGCATAGGAGTAGGTTTTAACACTTCGGGCAGTAGCAGTAGCAGTTGAATTAATTGATTTGACATCGTGAAATCGGTATTACTGTATAATACCAGCAGGAATAACGTTAGGAATAGAGTTAGTCTTCTCTCAAATTATCTTCACGAGGGTCGTGCCTGCTCCTTCCCACATATGGTTCAATTGTTCGTAGCTGCGGAACATTCCCACTCTCTGAAACTCATCCTCATTGACCCGAGTGAGAATGAGACCCACTGTTGCATCGAAGTCCATTTCCATTCCTATTTGAATGAAGTGCAAGCATTCATCTTTGTGCTGCTCGTCAATGTAGTCGAAGTGCTCGGAATAGACATCGTATCCATCTTGTCTAAATCTCCCTTCGTGATCAGCTTCCGTAGCAGGGAATTGGGTACCAGGGAGCAATTTAGCTCTGAGTTGCAGCACTCCAGACTGCACGCGAGCAAGAGGTGCAGCTTCATCAAACGCAACAGCAGTGCAGGCGATTAGCTCTGCTTTAGCAATGAATTCGCGGGAGTCTACGATGGGCGTGAATTTGATCTGATTGTTCACGGACAGCCATGACCAGGATGGGGCAATGTACATCGCGGGCTTTCCGTGCGGCGAAGATACTTCCCAATCCAGCAGTTCAAACAACAAGTTTTTATGGCCCGCTGATGGTTGGTTCCAGATTCCGGCGATGTATTGATATTCTGAGGTCTGCAATAAGGCGGCTACTCCTGCAATTGCTGGCAATCGATCTTCTAAATAAGTAATATTTCGTCGGCTATAGTCATTGGCCACGAGCCTCCATGCATCACGTAGTTCGCCGGAGCTATGGATTGTGTTGATTAGTTTTGTAAGGTCGGGTGCTGTACTGCACCGGCTGCCGATGTGGTGTGGGAAGATAGGTTTATTGGCGTATTTGTGGCACCTCCAGGTCAACCTATGTGCCTCAAACGTCAATAGTCTAGAGGCCAAGGCTGATTCTTGAAAGGACCATGCTCGCTGTTGTAACGGCGCTAGCTCGTCCTCGGTCGTCTTATGATCGAATAAAATTACCTCCGTAACTTCCTTGCTGGGTAGCACAAACGGTAAGGGCAGTCCGTCTCCTATTGAAATCTTTCTCAAAAAGCCCTCTTCGACATGAGAGGCATTCTCAGCAACGAGGACAAGAGTTGCGTTTCTGTACGTGTGCCCCATGTTGTTAATCTCGACGGCTTTGTCGGCTGCACTGTCCTGGATGATGCAGAGCGCATCAACCCAAAGAAACTTAATTCCTAGGTTCCGAGTAACGTTGATGGCATCCTGAAGTGTACGTGGTAACGCTGCGAGAGCAAACCCTTGAGTCATACGGACAAGATTGTCAGCGGTGGTGCAAAAGGATTGCGGTCCACCCCAGCAGTAGCTTAACGCTATATATGCTCCCTTCTCGCCCGGTGTAGAGGTATATAATCGAAGTAGAGATTGCTCGCTTTTGTTTAACCCCACATCTATGACCCTGGTTGGCATAAATGGGCTTGCAAATGAAAAGCACTCAGAGTGGTTCTCCAGACAATTTTTCAACGTGTGCTGTGTAAGATTCAAGAGACCTGGAGACGTTAGTCAAGAAGAGTGCTATGTGCCACTATGATCAACAGGCGAAGCAAGCCCGTTCAACCCACCAGAATCCGTCATATGACGGTAAATAGGACCACAACACAGCCTGAAATCTTCGTCTAGAAAATTCATGACACATTAGCAGCTGCAACGGAGGCAATTGGCGAGAGGATATACCTCGGCTTGAGTATATGCTTAATTCAAACCCTACCATCCTTCCGGTGCCACCGACAAACATAACAGTAATACATTTAGAACCCGTCACCCAAAGGGGATAGCCATTTATATAGTCTTTTGGAGCAGACTCGCCACTGAGTCTTTGATATTGGGCGGATATATTCAACTCTCGCGAGCCTTTACCGCAGCGCTTTCTCAGGATCTTACAAGGCTGACATCCGCGTTTGGTCGATTGCCGTTGCTCAAGGGCACTGTGCTGATAAACCGTTGTTCCCAGAGCTAGGAGTCCTTCGAGGGTTCCGAACATGCTAAAGCAATCTCCACAAAGCTTGCTAAAAGCGCCTGCATTCTTGGGGGCATGGCGAGGAGCAATTGTTCTTGCCTTGCGTTTGCTACCATTCCATTTCCAATCTGGGGGATCAAGCGGTCCAATCCATTCGCGGATAGGATGTGGGTGGTAAGGGCTTTTGATATAGTGTGACCTGTCGATAATATTGACTGAGGTGTACTGTTTGGCAGCAGGCAGCGAAGGTGCGTTGCCGCCGTCGCCATCCTCGTCCCCAGTTCGTGTAGAAAATTCCGGAATCATGCGGCTCATATTTGCGTCAAGTTCTAGGAAGGGATGCTTGTACAGTACGCAGTACAAGTTGAGTGGCAACACGTGAGGCTGGTGAGAGGTGGTGAGAGGCTATTTTTCTCATTTTTCTCTGGCGCAAGCGAGGGCGCAGCGAGGTGTAACAGGTTAGACCATGGTAATAATGAAACGCCGTTGTTGAAACCACCATGGGTTGATACAGAAGCACCACGTTTTAAGTGCAGGTGTGTTGTCCCTCGCAGCTCATTTGTCATAGCTCGCAATAGCTACATCGAGTCGGAGTATACTCGAGTATCGTCGAAAGTGCTGAGTACCCGGTTCCCATAAATGCAGATAATCGTTTTATCTCCATCAGCAGCAGAGAATGATGTCAAATGATGTCGCGTTACTCTCGTGATAGGCTGTCTCTCGTTGCCATACTACTGGTGATCTTGAGGATGGGTGCTATTGAGGAAGCTCGCTTCACTCCCTTCTAGCTCGGAAACTTCGCGACGTCGTAGTTAGATCTTTTCGGAAAGATGTGCTCAAATTCATAATAAATCCATCAATTTAAATCGTGTAACCTTACAAGCAAGCTGAGTAACTCCTGGACTGGGCACAATGACGTCGTTATTCTCGGAGCTATCAAGATGCAAGATGATATTAGCTCTAAATATTCAAGATAAAATGCTGTCTGTGTGCGGGGTACGAAGTAATAAAACCCGCTTTGATTTAGAGCGACCATTTGATAAATGGAGGGGAGAAGTTAGGAGTGGTCTGGACGTACTGATCCTGTTTGCCACACCCCTTTTTAAGTACCTACGAAAGGAGGATATAAGAAGGCTAGGATGTAAGTAACAAACATACCCAAGACTTTACATATCCACCACCATAGTATCCAGTCCATACCAAGCTCCTAAACACATACGGCGGGTGATTTATCCACTTATAATAGCACTGGGACACTCCAATCCACCACCGACTTCCACCGGTCAAAACTAAACAGCCCATCCGACTTCCAAACACCCGTACTCCCAGTCTCTTCCCCTAATAAATATTTCCTAATGAAAGCCGCAACTTCCGGGTTCTGACTATCCGGCATCTGACACAAGACGCCATCCGGATGAATAGCCTGAGAGAATCCAAAGCTTTTGTTCATTCCCAACGCCTCAAAAATACGCCTCCCAGCAACAGAACAAGCATACGTGCTCTCCGGTTCCAAATAAGCAACCCGAGAATTCTCAATAACCAACAAGCCTCGCCCGGGCCCCGCTATGAGACCTTCAAGCATATGATGGTCGTACGGGAGCTTGTAAATGGAATTCTCACGATCGCTAAAACCAGGCGTGAGCAACCCATCTTCTACAGTGATTGGGGGTTCTATGGTATTTCCCGTGGTTGTGGTACGCCAGCACCCTGGACCGCCGTGACCCCCAGCTTCTTGAGGAATGGTTAACACAATTCGATCATCGAACGCCCCCGCTATGAGAGCGCCCTTCCCATGGCGTGTGCAGCCCGTTACGCCGATTTTGCTTGCGTCGATACCAATTGTGCTTGTTGGAAAAAGCGTTAACGCATCGATGATCCGACTCGCGGCCCATGCCCAGGCCATCAGCGCACCTGCGGAATGGGACGAGCCGTACAGGGAGAAAAATTTCCCTCGCCGATCGAGGCTGGAACTGGCGATGTCTTCATTGTTGTAGGTTATTACTGCCACGCCTGATGGGATCGGGACGAAGGCGCCGGTCAGTGCAATGATTGCTGGGTAGGGTGCTTTGCCTGTGGACGGCAGAGTGATAGTAGCGGAAAAGGTGACGGACTTCCCAGCCTCACCGCAGACTATGTTTATCTTACCATCGGCGTAAGTTGCTGTCAGGGTTTCTGGCTTGGGCGGTTTGGTGCCAAGTTCGTAGCGTTGAATTAGGGACTTGATTTCTTCCCGTCGGCACTCCCAGGACTCTTTTGTGGAGACTTTTGTGCCGTTGAGGAAGGTAAACGGATTGGGGAGCTTGGAATTGACTGAAGAGGGGATGGTAGATGGGAGGGATCCGCACTGTGTGGTTGGTTGTCCTAGGCTGCGAAGAGCCAGGAAGGAGAGGAGGAAAAAAGCGTAGAGTAAAGCCATTGATAGTGGGTTAGGCGTGGTTGATATATAACACACACCTAAAGGGCAAAATAGCTCATTGAGATCGAAAGAGAGCAGTTACCTGAAACACAAAACATGCCATTAAATATATAACAACTTCCACAGCCCATCCTTTTTTTCAATTGACGCAAATATTGAATGAATCCTTCTAGCTAGAGGTCAGAAGTGCGACATGCATATTTCCGAAGTCGAGAGAACAACGTTTGTGCTAGCCAAGCACGGGTAATATAGAGATCTCAAAAGGTTAATAATACATCTACCCGGTAGAATGGGGATTTGGAATAAAGATATGGGCTAATCGCGAGAATGCTTCGAGTTGTTATACCCCGCCCACGGGTCATTCGAAATAACGCATTCTCGTACGTAGTATACAGGGGGGTGTCACCTTAAATCTACCGTGTTAAAGGCGGCAAGAAAACTTTAAAGGCCGAGGCTCTGAACCCTGGGACTACCAGTGTATGTAGTATGACATGATATTATTCTATCTAACCTGAGCCATACCTAAAACTCTATAGCTGTCCTGTATGACTAAATGTTCTGTTGCCCAAAACCCCAACTCCCCTTGATATGCCACATGGTATTAATCCAAAAAACGCAAAATACATCATGGCCACATGCTCAACTGCATCATCCTTCCCTCGCTCGAAGGCCCGAAGACAATACTAACCTTATCCTTAAAACTTTGATGGGTATTGAAACTAGCACTTTCTGGTTGCTCGTCCGCCTCAGGAACATCTGTCCCTACCTCTCCGTCCCTTACTAATGACCTCCTCCCCTCTGTCATCGATTCACGCCTCCCAACACTGGACCCTTCACCGCCAATGGGGGTCCAACTTCCATGGCCAACGACAACATGTCTACGCATAGCGATATTCCAGCTAAAACTGCTTTCATGCGTCCCTCCAAAAGCACTACTTCTCAGCAAAACCTCGTAATCAATCAATTCTCTCTGATCCCACGACATACTCTTCATCTCCTCCAGTTCTTTCTCAAAGCCTTTTCCACTTAGTAAGGCCTCCTTTGTCGTTACCGCCATACTCATATTCCTAGCCGTATTTGTAAACTCCCTCATATCCTCTGCATTATCACTTGTAAGGTAGATGAGAGGCAGGCTTAAATGACTGGCATGTTGCAAATAATTGTTGCTCTGCTCGGAGTATGGTGTCCACCCTGCAGCCCGCGCATCCGCAGCAGTGCGTAAGTGCGCTCCATAATATCGACCCAAGTGTATACCCTGCTCATCCGCATCAATCCCTAACCCGAATTTTTTATCCATCGCGTACAGGACGGTTGCCGCGAGACGCCGTACATCCCCCCTGAAGCGCAAAAACTTCCCAAAGTTGGCGACAACGACTGGATGATCATATGACAAAGGAATTTGGAGGATTGGCTTTTGGAGGGAAACGAGGGCGGGTAGGTTGGCCGAGATAGGTTGGCGATGTGATTTCTCCAGGTGCTCGTGGAAATTATTGGCCCAGTCTCCTGGCTCGGCGAGGAAATTTCCAAGGTCTTCTGGGGACAGCATGACGGGATTGGCAGTTGATGGCTTGTCCCAAAGATCGTTGGCATGTGAAATGAGGTTTATCTGGGGACAAGAGCTATTGAGCGCGTGCCTGAAGTATCCGAGATCGAAAAAGTGTTCGAATGGAACATTTATATCGCTATGGAGTGTTTTGGGCGTTGTGCCGCGGGCGACGATCTCTGGAACAATGAACCCGGTTGCTATGAACAAGTCAGTCTAGTTTCAAGGGAGTAGGAGGGGGAGTGGAGGAGAGCAGGAACCAGACCTCCAGCCTCAATAGCATATCGCAGGCAGTCCAGGAAAATATTGCGCACAACGGCAACACCTCCGCGCGGTGCTTCACACTTGAATATCAAGCCAGGTGTCCATGTCTTGCCCCTGCAGAGCTCAATCAAGCCGCCAATATCGAACGCGCCATCAATCTGGGTCTTCAGCGCACTCTCAACAAACAGAGCTTTCTTACCGGATACCGCGACTCGATATATATGGTGATAATCTTGCTGGCCGATTTGTGGTCGCAGGAGGTAGTATCCAGTAAGGCAAACAGAGATGAAAACGACTGAGACCGTCAGGATCTGATAGGATTGGGGCGAAAATAACATTGTGAGAGGGTATATGGAGGCGAAAAATGCCCGTCTCTATTGCTCCATCCTAGGAAACTGGTCTTTCTTTCCTGCAGAGATGTTTCTTGCAACAAAGGGATGGAGCGAGAGAGAATGGACAGAAGGAAAGGGACTCCCTACCTGAATGTTGAATCGAGCGCAAAGCAAGGATGCGGTGTGGCGCATCGATTATCGTGGCGATTGAGAACCATTCGCTCTGTCGCAGCCTCTGAAGAATGGAGAATGCAAGCTGAGGCCACTGGAGGAAGAAGGTCCACTCTGCACACGCCATCACGCATCTTCAGCCCTAGGGGGCGTCCAAAGCACCCCTTTCATGTCAGTACAGCTACTGTAAGTGCACGGAGGGCTCTGTACGAAGTATGGAGCACATGGAATATAAATAAATAACATATAGACGAAAGAGACCAAAGAACAGATTGGGGGAAGCAAAGTGGCTGCCAAATGAAGAGCGAGATTCAATCGGCGACGCCACGATAACCGGTGGCCCGAGTGATTCTGTTTTGTTGTTGAGACGTTTTAAGCCATTGTATTGAACAGATAACTTCAAGGAGGAACCACCTTCGTATGGACGGGGTAGAACCCCTACAGGATATTAATTTACTATTACTTCGCAGGTATGTACCTACCTAGGTAGTATAAAGTGGGTGGGTACCTTAAGGTACCTAGGTATGGATCGACCTTCAGGCTTGAGTTTCCGTCACGTGACGTTCATTTGAGAGGTTTTTAAGGCACCTACTAGGTACCTTAGCTTTGCAAGGCTCTACTAATAAGTAGTGCCCTCGTCGTGTTTTTGCACCATATTGTAGCTTCGTAGGCACTTCTCACCATGATGTTCGGGTCGACTTTACTTCGTACTGGCACAGAGGGGACCCACAGTCCATCGTTCGTTGCACTGGCCTGTTTGTGGACGAACTCTATCATCCGCTGTACTAGTACTACCCAATACTCAATAATAGACCCTTCAGTTTGTCTCCAAGAGTTTATTCCCGTGTTCCGGGCCTGGCTCTGGGTCTGGGTCTCACTCGCTCGTACACCGGCAACTCCATGCCGCCACCCTCAAAAGATCCCCCGCCGAGCCCGCCTTCAGGGATATATTCGTCGTGGGGCGCTATTCGTGTGGGACATCCACGCCTAACCTCCACAAAGCTCAACAGCCATGATAGGGTCACAAATAGAACGGGGGTTCTTCAGAGTAGGAGTAGGAGCAGCAGTGACCGGATCTTACATCCATTGCTAAGGCCAAAATGAAGTTCCAGCGTCTCGCCCGTGTCGTCGTTGTCGGCCGGAGGGAATTTTCCTCGTCCACGGCAAGGAGGCAGATTAACAAGATTTGCCCTTCTGCTCAGGATGCCATTAAAGATATGCAGAGTGGCTCGATCTTGCTGGTTGGAGGGTTTGGCTTCAGCGGCGTTCCGGCTTCGCTCATCAATGCATTGCGGGATCGGCCAGATTTGACGGATTTCACTGTCGTGTCGAATAATGCTGGGATGCCTGGGGTTGGGTTAGGTATGTAGCTGCTCCCCGATTTGGAAAGAAATGCGGTTTTGTGACTCTGATCTAATATTGCGTTGGAATTATATAGGACAGCTACTGGAAACCAAGCAGATCAGCAAAATGGTAGCATCGTTCATTGGCGAGAACAAGACATTTGAGAAAATGTATCTCTCTGGTGAACTGGCACTCGAGCTTACACCTCAGGGCACAATGGCCGAGAAGTGCGCAGCTGGAGCGGCAGGCGTGCCTGCTTTCTATACTCCTGCAGCATATGGCACAATCGGTGCGTAGCTATCCCCTAACTCACTCACTGAGAATTTAACACGTCTGCATATCAAGCTGATGCAACATCAACAGTACAAACGGGTGAACTCCCTGTCAAGTATAACCCAGATGGAACCGTTGCCATCATGTCTAAACCAAAAGAAACCCGCATCTTCAACAAGAAGTCGTACGTGATGGAAGAGTCAATATTCGGAGACTATGCTTTCGTCAAAGTGCACAAAGCTGACCGAATGGGCAACTGCCAATTCCGCAAGGCCCAGAACAACTTTAACGAGGCCATGGGAAAGAATGCGAAGGTCACTTTGGTGGAGGCAGACCATATTGTTGAGGTTGGAGAGATTGAGCCCGAGAATGTCCACTTGCAGGGAATCTATGTCCGCAAGGTTATCAAGAGCACCGAGGAGAAAAAGATTGAGAAGACGACATTTAGGAAGAATCCAGAAGAGTTGAAGCAAGCTGGTAGGTCTCACTCTAAGCACAACGTTTTGCCAGCTAGGTACTAATGGGCATAAATCATAGTTGGCGCAAGTTCGTCAAACCGGGAAAGGATTATTAGACGAGCAGCGAAAGAATTCAGGGATGGCATGCACGTCAATCTCGGAATTGGCATGCCCCTCGCGGCTCCAGCTTTCGTCGAACCCGGCATTGAAGTCGTCTTGCAATCTGAGAACGGAATTCTAGGAATGGGCCCGTACCCCAATCCTGGAGAGGAGGATCCCGATTTGATCAACCCTGGAAAGGAAACTGTGACACTAAATCAAGGCGCATCGCTGTTTGGCAGCCATGAGAGCTTTGGCATGATCAGAGCGGGGCGAATTGATCTGACGATGCTTGGCGCTTTGCAGGTGGGACAATTTGGGGGTAAGTGGAAATCCTAGAGGAGCTCCTGAAAGAGCAGCAGGCTAACAAAACAACCTTGTTATTAGATCTTGCAAACTTTATGCTTCCTGGAAAGGTCAAGGGCATTGGTGGTGCAATGGATCTAGTTGCCAACCCTGCCGAGACGAAAGTAGTAGTCACCATGGTAATTGAGATTATCCCCAACCACCTCTAGCTTATTAACCTTGCTACTAGGACCATACTGATAAAAGGGGCAACCCTAAAATTCTAAACCGTAGGCCACTTCCAGAAATACACCAGAAATGAAATATGCTGACAATATCCAGAATGCTCATTCCCTCTCACCGGTCAACGCTGTGTATCCCGCATCATCACGGAACTAGCAGTGTTCGACGTGAATCACACTGAGGGCTTGACCCTTATTGAAGTTGCTGAAGGCGTTACAGTTGAGGAAGTCCAGAAAAAGACCGAAGCGCCCTTCAAGGTTGCCGAGGACTTGAAGACGATGTTGTGTTAACATATAAGTATTGTATAGGGATGACCAATTTGCACATTATACCACAATTTGAGAGAATGACATCATGTTATGGCGTTGAAGTATTTGCATGCAAAGATTAGCCGCCAAAGAATATACAATTTCAGTTTTTGCTTCATATTTCAAAGGAGGGTATTTTCTTGTCCGATTGTGTTACTCTACATGACACTTTTATCCTCCGTTCCATACAGACTATGAAGGATATCCACCACTATATACGGTCAGTGAGTTGCCACACGGGTCTTGGATATGGCTGACATACCATTTTGATAATCAGGATGTTCCCTCCCTTTCACCAAAGCGTTCATCGCAATGCTTACTTCTTCTCCAGCTGGTACATTATACTACACACGCGGAGCATCACATTAGCCAGGTCCAAACCCCGCTTTACATATTCATCAATTTGGAAATACACATACCTGCGACAATGTCGATTTATGCCCCAGCCGCTCCACCAACCTAGCAACCCCCAAGCTTACCCTCTCCGCATCCTTACCCATATCCCCTGTACTCTCAATTCCGATATACGGCAACACCCTCGCAATTTGCCTCGCCTCTTCCGGCCTCGTCCTCGCCTTCAGTTCAATAACTGGCGCAAGCGTCAAACAACTCGTGATCCCATGCGGGATGCTATAAGTTGCTCCCAAAGCATGGCCAATACTGTGACTCAGTCCAACACCTCCTGTAAACGAGAAAGGGAAGAGCGAGGCGTAAGCAGCCAGGAAGAGCTTTTGCCGGACATCGGCGTCTGTGGGGTTGGAGAGGGAGAGGGGGAGGAGAGCAAAGAGATCCGTTATTGCTGTTAGGGCTAGGCGTTTTGTGGGAATCTCGGAGGCGAGGGGGTGGTAGAGGAGCTCTATTGCGTGATCAAGAGCACGGATCTGAGTTTTTATATCGTTTTAATTTAAGTGTGAGGAAGAGATAGAGGGGAAGGCTGGTGGAGAGACGAGGTACGTACGCCTGTGCTTGTCCATAGGTTCGTTGGGGTGTGGAGAGCTAAATCACCATCATAGACGACAACTACCCGCAAGAGGAAGAATCAGCCAACGCACATCCTCGGCAACTTTGCCCTCAAAACACCAAGGCGAAAAGGGATACAAAACCTTTCGGCACAAGCTCCGGGTGGCTCACAGCAACCTTCTTCCCCTCTTCATTTGTGAATCCTGCGTTCTGCGTCGTCTCCGCCACGCTCAACGTAGTCGGCACCGCAACGGTAGGAATCCATATCCTAGTTTCGACAAAAATCTGATACGCTACGGCCTTCGCGCTGTCAATGGGAGATCCTCCTCCTATCGAGATGAGAACATCTGCTCTCGTCTCTCGGGCGAGGTTCTTGGCCTCGCGGATAGCTAGTATTGGTCTATCAACGGCAGTACAATTAGTTTCCTTGTTATTTAGCGGCCCGGAAAAATTCTAGAAGGAGAATGGAGAGGGAGCGATGGGGGATGAGTACGCATGCTGTGCTATCTTGTTGAAAGTTCCTACGTGGGAATTTCCCAGGGATTTTTCGATCTCTTTTATTACGGGGGTTCTGGTGCTGAGGGATTGGCCGGTGATGATGAATGCTCGGGATGCTCCTAGCGTGGATATCACATTTGCGAGAGTCTTTCCAGTTCCTGTAGGATGATTCCACGGAGGTTAGTTTATTTAGTTTGTGGTGTAGCTGGCTGCCCTGAGGTTTAGGTAGGTATATATGTGGCGGGGTAGCTACATACCTCGTCCGTAAATCATAGATTTCACAGGAGCAGCTTGGTAAGCGCCCGCCAGTGAACTATCAACCTGGGCCTCTTTCTTATTCGAAGAGAACGACATGTTTTCCTGCACTTGAAGCTTCGAAATTCGAAATTCCCAGCGTGGGGTTTGTGGTTTCTTAGTCGTGAGTAGTTCGTAGGTGGCTTCAGATCCCCAAGACTCGGAGAATTAAATGAACGAATAGAGGGAGACGTTGAAGGCCCAGCTCGTCGAGTCATGATGTTTAGATTATTCCTCTACGGGATGTCGGCGCGGGGTGTTCCGTGGGGCATATTGACCCCTATTAAATCGGGTAAATCCAGTTACAGATACAGAGCAACACTTCACAAGGGATCCAGGGGGCGCCAGGGAGTGCCGAGCCCCACACTACATTTGTCCTCGCTCACGATACGGGAATACGTGGTACTAGGTGCTGCACTGGAATACACTACTTACTTACTTCTCGCGGTTCACCATGAGTGATCAGATAATGAATATATTTATACTCTTAGCGGAAGAGGGGAATATTTCATTTACAGTCATCAATCCCCACTCATAACACAATTGCTGTGAAGCTGCCCCCAATTTCAAATCTCACCCGCCATAACACCGTCGGTGTGTCTTAAGTTTAGTAAACAACCCAAGATGTCGGCCCTCCGGTCAACCGCCCAAAGAATTACTCAAAAGCTTCCCAACGATATAGTAATTCTCTCCGCCGTCCGCAGCCCTGTGACCCGCGCTTTCAAGGGCGGTCTTCGCAATGCCTGGCCAGAAGACATCCTCGGACCTGTAAGTACGTTTTCTCCACCCCGTATCACATATCACATATCACGTCTCATATCACTCAAACAAGCTATCTACTCACACGGATTGCCCTACCTAGGTAATGCAAACGGCCGTCCAACGAGCCCAAATCAACCCAGCGGACGTGAATGATGTCCTCATCGGGACGGTGCTCCCAGAGCTCGGCTTCGCAAAAACAGGACGGATGTGCCTGAATCATGTAGGGTTTCCGAACTCCACCACGTTCCATACAGTGAACAGACAATGTTCCAGTAGTTTACAAGCCATCACGCATCTCTCACATGCGATCATGGTGGGACAAATGGATGTTGGGTTGGCGGGCGGCGCGGAGAGCATGTCGAGGAATTACAAGGCCACGCGAGGTGTCCCCCAGGATGTGTCGCCGCGGTTGAGAGATTCACCTGTGCAAGATGCGAGAGATTGTCTAATGTCAATGGGGATTACGTCGGAAAATGTGGCGGAGAAGTATGGGGTCAGCAGGGAAGCGCAGGATGAGTTTGCGCTTGAGAGTCATCGGAGAGCTGAGGAGGCACAGAGGAAGGGCTACTTTGAGAGTGAGATTGTGCCCATCGAGGTTGAGAATAAGGACGAAGCGACAGGCGGGGTCTCAAAGGATATAGTCACAAGAGATGATGGGATCAGAGTTGGGTTAACGTTGGAGAAGTTGGCATCGCTGAAGCCAGCGTTTAAGGAGAATGGTGGAAGCACTGCCGGGAACTCGTAGGTTTTTCTCCTCATTCCCTTTTCAAAAATAGCAGGCCCTGCCTCATTTCTTCTTCCAAATGTTAACTAAAGCTAACACATCTGGAAAACAGTTCTCAAGTGTCTGACGGCGCCTCCTCAACCATCCTCGCCCGCCGCTCGTGGGCCGAAGCCCGCGGCCTCAAACCCCTCGGCCGCTTTGTCGGCACGCAGGTAGCCGGATGTTTGCCTTCAGAAATGGGCATCTCGCCCATCTACGCAATCCCGGCGCTATTTAAACAAACCGGCTTCGAGATATCGGATGTGGACATCCTCGAGCTGAATGAGGCATTTGCAAGCCAGGCCATCTACTGTATCCAAAAGCTTGGGTTCGATATGGCAAAGGTGAACCCAAAAGGGGGTGCAATAGCCCTTGGGCATCCTACTGGCGCGACGGGCGCAAGACAATTGGCCACGTTGTTGGCGGAGCTGGAAAGGACGGATAAGGAGGTGGGTGTAGTCAGTATGTGTGCCAGTACGGGGATGGGGGTAGCTTCGCTGTTTGTTCGAGAGTGAAAGGACAACAGCTTGGAAAAGGGTATAGATAATTATACATAATAAATAACTTATGGTTGCCTGCCACCAGATATCAAAAGGATTAAACCACCCTTGATGGACTTAAAATCCACCGCTGCTACAATCCTCATACCCTAGATTGTCTAGGTGTTTCAAGGCCGGAAAATATCCAGCAATAAAGTCAGTCTCCTCTCAACATTATCCTAGAAGAGCTGTCAAGGAAACGATTATTTTTCATTTAATCCGAAATTGAAGCAAAATACTCCGAGTCGTATTAATGCCACCGATTTCCAACCGGAGATAGAGACTACAATGGACGTAAACTTTTACATCCTTCCGTCGGCCTATCTGCCCCGCAGGTTGAGCCCACCCAGAATAAACATGATAGACCTACGGGCCACAATCATGAAAAGCCACTTGGGCCGGCAACTCGACCATTATCACTTATCACTCGGGACTCACGGGTGTGTCTGCAGTAGATCCAGAGCTCCCACCACCCCGGGAACCCCACATCCCGCCACGCCCCTGAAGCTCAACCCCACGACACAGCAACCAGCGACAACCACCTCCCACCACATAGGGAAATGTTACGCCCACCACAGCTCCAGCTCTAGTTCCAGCTCCAGCTACTCGGGGCAAAAGCGTAGCTTGGCCGTAGCTGGAAATTTCCGTGGCCATTTGCAATTAAAATTATTTTGAACTCAATCCAATCCAACCTCTCTTTCCCAGAGCTACTCATTATTCAATTGCACTGCGGGCTGCTATCGTTTGTAAAGGGATAGATACCGAATGGGACGAAGAGGCACGAAAATGATCCACAACATCCTCCGGCGTGTCATTTTCTCTCCAGCGAGCAGGAAAAACATCAATCTCCCGGTATTCCTAGCAGCTACTGCAGCAACATCTCGACGGACAATGAGTAACGTCAGCGCCATTGACTCGCGGATATTCCGCTCCCTATTCGGCACCGATGAGATCCGCAATGTATGATTCCCTCCCCATCGAAAAATGCGAAATATATCAATCTAACGGGCGCATACAGGTATTCTCAGACACAGCATACATCTCGCAATGCATCAACGTCGAAACCGCCCTCGCCCGCGCGCAATCCACCTGCGGCGTGATCCCCTCAGATGTCGGAAAGCATCTAACCAGCACTCTCCAATCCACCTCCCTTGACATGCCCACTCTGGAAAAGCAGACGGAAATAGTAGGCTACCCAATCCTCCCATTGGTAACCCAACTCGTCACCCAAGCCACTTCCTCCTCCTCCCCGGACACAGCAAAATACATCCATTGGGGCGCTACTACGCAGGATATAATGGATACCGCGTCCATTCTACAAATGAAACAGGGCTTGGACGTTGTGGAGAGACTTTTGGGTGATTTGTGTAAGAGCGTTGCGGCTTTGGCGGAGAAGTATAGGGATACGCCAATGGCAGGACGTACCCACCTGCAGCATGCGTTACCTGTTACTTTTGGGTACAAATGCGCTGTGTGGCTGTCTAGTCTACAAAGACATCAAGAACGGCTTTCGCAGCTCAAATCCCGTGCGCTGCTCGTGCAGTATGGTGGCGCGGCAGGGACGCTGGCGAGTTTGGGGAACGGCGATGATGGACTACGTGTGCGTGCTGAGCTCGCCAGGGAATTGGGACTGTCAAATCCAAGTATTACGTGGCATGTTTCTCGGGATGGCGTGGCGGAGATTGTAAATCTGCTTGCGCTCGTTGGGGGTTCCCTGGGGAAGATTGCGCTGGATTTGATTATCATGAGTTCTAACGAGCTTGGTGAGGTTTCAGAGCCGTTTGTTCCTCACAGAGGCGCTTCTTCCACTATGCCTCAGAAGAGAAATCCCATCTCGAGTGAGGTCATACTAGCTGCGTCCAAGATCCTACGTTCCAACGCAGGGTTGGTCTTGGATGGAATGGTGGCCGACTTCGAGCGTGCCTCGGGCCCGTGGCATCTGGAATGGGTTGCCATCCCCGAGAGTTTCGTGATCGCCGTTGGTGCATTGCACCAAGCCGATTTTGCTCTATCTGGCCTTGTGGTCCACGCTGAGCAAATGGAGAAGAATCTACACTCCACGCAGGGGCTTATTGTGGGAGAGGCGGTGATGATGGGGTTGGCCCCTTACATGGGCAGAGGCAAGGCTCATGATGTGGTCTATGAGGCATGCAAAGAGGCTATTGAGAAGAAGAGGACCCTATTTGAGTGTTTGATGGAGAAGGAGCAGGTTACTTCAAATATTGAAGAGGAGAAGTTGAAGGGTCTTTGTGATCCTGTGAACTATATGGGAGCGGCGGGACAGATGGTTGATGACGTCTTACGGTTGACATAGAACCAATCGAATAGAGTTTTAATTGTTACAAGTTACACCAATTTGAGATACAAATAGACTGAGAAAGAAATGAAACAGTGAGCATGAGAATGCATAATGCTCGTAATTCATAAATTAAGTGTAAAGTTGTATTAAGTAAATATTGAAGTCTATCAACATTGCAAGTCGACGCCTTTCGGTACGGCCCGACAATTGACAAGTCCATTGCATGCCCTCTATGGCAGTTATACCGGGTCTGAGCCGTGGCCGCCATGGGCCGGGTGACAATAAGTGGGAATGATTTACACAGTGGTGCATTTCCTGGGACATGCTACTGTACTCGTACTCCCACCGGTACCCTGCAGAGACCTCGGTATCCAGAACACGTTCCAATGGCCTGCGAGCACTCCGTAGCACACATCGACAACTACACCACTTACTGTACCACAACAAAGTACCTTCTCGTGCAATAACTCGGCCTCCCGGAGGGATAATCCCCGTGGGGCAAAGAAGTTCCACAGATCCGCATTTTTATACGGTGGCTCGACGTTATTCCCCCCCAAACGAACAACCCCACAATCATCCCATTCGGCCGCCCCACCACATAAACCCATAGCTATGTGTGCTCCCAAGAACCGACGCCAACCTGACATGACCTGACCTAAGATCAAGAGGCAAGCCCAGGGAAATAAGATAAGAGGATATGATAAATTACTTTTTGACTCTGTAGTTATTGCTCTCCATCTTATATTTTTTGGTCATTAGGAAAAACTCCCCCAAACCCTCCCCCAATCCGCAACCATGGGTTCCACCGATCAGGGTTTCGTCCTCATCCCAAGGGCTCCGAAGACAGACCCGCAATCCATATTCCACTACACGGATCTCCAGCGCAGCAAGCCAACGCGCGCCAACGACCCCTACGAATACATGCCCGGATGGGGAAACCGTCACCAGTCTGAGGTTATCCCGGGGACGCTGCCTGCGGGCCAGAATAATCCCCAGGAGACCCGGTTCGGACTCTATACCGAGGGCATTACATATTCCGCGTTTGCAGCACCAAGACATGCGAATATGAGCACTTATATGTATAGAGTAAGACCGGCTGCGGCACATAGTAAGTTTTGATACTCCCAATGTATTTTACTTTTCCATACGGTTTGTTCTTGGGGCGGAGAAAAGTCAATGGGAATAGATGACTGAGTGATATGAGTATATGAAAAAAAACATTGGGCTAATACATATAAAAATTACAGACGGGTATAAGAAGATTGAAACCAAAGCCCACATCGAGAACTGCTTTCTCTCCCTTAACCCTGGGGTAGATACGTTGCCGGAACAAGCAGAATGGACTCCATTCCCACTCCCCAAGGACGATGAGAAGATTGACTTCGTCGACGGCCTGCACACGCTTGCCGGGTCCGGAGATCCCAACTTGCGAGAGGGCATGGCTCTCTACGTCTACATGATCAACACCAACATGACGCAGCGCTCGTTCATCAACAATGACGGCGACTTCCTGCTCTGTGCCCAGGAGGGCAATCTCGACATCCAGACCGAGTTCGGGAAGCTCTTCCTGCAACCCGGCGAGATCTTTGTGGTCCAGCGGGGCGTGAGATTCAGCATCAACCTCGCCGAGGGCACCAAGGCCGCTAGGGGCTATGTCACGGAGGTGTGGGGATCGATGTGGGAGCTTCCCGACCTAGGGCCAATTGGTGGCCATGGGCTTGCAAATCCGCGGGATTTCTTATTCCCTGTGGCTCATATTGATGAGGAGCTGCATGTGGATTTCGAGATTGTGAATAAGACGAATGGGAAGTATATTGCTATTGTTCAGGATCACAGCCCGTATGATCTGGTGGCTTGGCATGGGAATGTGGTTCCTTATAAGGTATGTTTCATTTGCTCTCCACTCCTTGAAACATAGAAAAGTCAAATGAGAAACAGCCCCACAAAACGAGGTATGGAATATAAAACGCGAGAGAAACTGACCAAAACTGTCATACAGTACGACCTCACCAAATTCTCCTCCCAGAACAGCACCTCAATCGACCACACCGACCCATCCATCAACACCGTCCTTACTGCCAAGTCGCGGGACCCCAACACTCCCCTCGCCGACTTCCTCTGGTTCGGTCCCCGTTGGGACGTGGCGACCAACACCTTCCGCCTCCCCTATTTCCACCGCAACTCCGCATCTGAATTCCTCGCCTGCCTGTACGGCAACGGGCTAGGGAGATCCGATGACTTCAAGCCCGGCGGAGGCAGCTTCGAGGGCGGCCACACGCCGCATGGTGGGTTCAGCGATGGTTATGTGAATGAGATGCAGATCCAGGAGAGCCAGCCGAGGAAAATCCTCGAAAGTAAGATAGACACGCCCCCCCC